GGTAATATCGGCCGTTGAATATGCGCCTTACCATCTAGCAGCAATCTGCATACCACATGGATCTCCTGGAGATACATGTCCATGTACGAAAGAGTCTACAAACTAAATTGAGTGCTAATGGGGGGTTTTTGTGGGCTTCTGCGTGTTGCTTGCAAGCTGCTGCGAGACAATGAATTTTGCCGACGTCTCCCCATCTCACAACTGCGCGTGAATCTTCTCTTTTTTATCACTTGCTCCGTCTTTCCTCCCTGGAGCCGCGAAAGGGGGGCACGCTATCTCGAGACCATCCCGGCCTAGTGTCTTTGAGCGATTGCGCTTGTTGTGCGTCTGAAAAATGGAACAAAAAAGGTGTGCGTGTCGGTGCAAGGTGGGATCCGGTCTCACCTTTTGGGTCGGCCGATTTGGTTCGACTTGGTTCCTCGCTCTCGCAACCTTTGTTCCTGGCCCAGTTTATTGCCACGGGGGTCTGCTGTGTGGACCACTAATCTTGCTGTGTGACCACTAGATTAGTTGTCCACACAGCGGGCTCCTCCTCAGGTTGTCTAAGCGCGCCCGGCAAAGCCACAAAAATCGTGGAATTGGCGTCGACATAGAAACAGGGCTGAGATACCCTCGCTTGTCTCGTATCGGGCGTTTTGTATATTCTCCGGGAGGCGGGTGGACGCGATGCTACGACGTGTTTATCTTGCTACGTCTTTGTTCATATTCTTCACGCAACACTCCGTTATGGACCTAGTCGTAATCCCGAGTTCCAATCCCCTCAACCTTCCCCCCTTTTTGCGACCGCCATCTTTTTCTCGTCTGAGCCTTTGTCCGTGTCCACTTTCCTAGTTATCTAAAAGGCCCGCACCATTGCCAAAAAGCGAGGCGCGCTCGGCCATAGGCCCCAGCGTATCGCATTCTTTGCCACTCGTTCAGATCATTCAGCTCGCGTGTTGTGCCTTAAGGGTCTCTTTCTCCGGTTTCCCGTCTTCTCCGACCCTGTGGTGCAATCCCGCGACTTCGGATGCTGTCCTTTGCAAATCCTCTCGCTATTCTTGCCGGTTTTGTTGTCGTCGTTTGGACCATTAGTTTGCGATACAAAACTTGTGACATCAGCTGGCGAATGGGGTGCTCCAGCGGAAGCTGTTCAGCGCTGTATTGTGTCGTCTTATGCCGCGGGAATTGTTGCCTTAAAAGACAAGACAGGAGGTAATATTGAGGACGTTGATTGCTCCTTCTGCTTTCGATTCCCCGGCCGATCCCAGCCTCATCCCACTCTGCCTGTCATTGCTGATCGCCTCAGTGGCTCGTTTTAGGCAAGAGCGGAAGGTAAATGCAACATAACAGCATGCACGACAGAGTTGCACTGAGATCTTCCGCAAACCTTCTTTTTCCGTAATTACAATCTTCCGACGGCGTGTATGATTCGCGCTTTCCTTGGCCGTCGGAAGGGTCTCACGCAACCAGACGAAAATTCATATTCATTCTTTGGCAAGAGCGACTGTCGTTGATTTTGGAATGGATTATAAAAAACGGTTGTGGAAGGAGCAGGCGACGCCGGCTAGTACTCCTTCCACATTTGCGCATCTTGGTGCACAACCATGTGTACCTCTGTTGCAGTTGCCTTGTCTGGGTCGTGACTGTTTATTTTGCTCACGTAGGACACAGCTCGCTACCACGTGAACTTGTCTCGTCACAGCCAGCATTCATCCTTCAAAACACCTCCGGTCAGGACTGGAATCTATCTGTAAACGAAAGTGCAAGGCACTGCGGAAACAACAACGCGCCGTCTCACGGCCAATTGTGTAAGTGCAAACCAGTCTGGATGAATCGCACTCATTCGTGGGCGTCCTCTGGGTGGCGCACTCTTGGATCTGTCAACAAATCATGAAACTGAGCGATTCGTTAAGTTTGGGCATATTTCTAGAATGACTTCACTACGTTGCCAAAGGCCGTGGCTGGCCGGCTGGTGAACCGTTCAATACGCATCCATGGCTATCCCAGCGGGCATATGCCCCCGGCATCTCCTTACCGAACCTCCTTTCCAATGTTGCACCTCTGCCGTTTCGCCTCTTCTGCCCCTGCCCACTCTTGTTTGCATATTGTTCTTTCGCTGTTCGCAGGAAAAACGGTCGCAGGCTCTTGCACCCTCCCGCCGGAGTCCGTGCCCTGGTTAAGCTTTGGCACTTGAAACGCTCTGGGCATACGTTTTATACAGGGCATGGACGGCCTCTTAGCATCATGAATATACCCTCCCAGCCAACCTCTCGATCAGTAAGTACCCTGTCGTATGAAGGAAGGCTCCGCAATATCAGGCTCCCAAAAGCAAACGAATCTTTTTCGCAAGTTGTGCATCTACTGCGGCAGTTTCTCGGAGGACTATTCTTTCAAGTCGATTAATATCTATTGAAGCAGACTCTGGCTTCAAGTCTACCTTTCTCGATCATGTTAGCGCCCGAGAACGTCGACACCTTACGATTTCATCGCGCTGGTTAAACGGGCGGAGAACGCTCGGGCTCGAAGTGGCCCGTCTCATCAGTCCCATCTTAATTCAAGCGCTGGGTCGAAAACAGGGATCCGGGCTCGAGGTTCTTGGGACGATGTGCGATGTGCGATGCACACCTGCGATGCACAGCGATGCGCCGCACATCTGCGCAGAAGGCTCTCAATGCTACCTTTACCCAGTGCGCACGAGTCGTACGTCGACCTTCCATCACCTGCACATTATATGATGTGCCATTTTACAGAGACAGATACTGCAACCCGACGTGATGCGCACCTCATCTACATCCTTTACCGTCTCTGGGCTGGGAACGATAGAGGCTGGCTCGTGTCTTGCGACAGGCGGCTTTCCGTTCCCACCTTGCCGAACCAGCAGTCTTCACCACACCAGTCTGGTTACCATTGTTTTGGCTTTGACACTTGCCAGTGTCGTGAGCTCCCCCTGCCAATAAGAAAAAGGTGCCGAGACTTTACTGCCTGCTTCATCCACGTCCTGCGCCCGCTCACTGACGTGACGTTTGGTTCCCTGGCAGGTCATCCACAAGTATGCGGATAGAGTGTCCAAACCATTCGTGTATTGCAGGGGGAAGCACGGAGAGCCTCGTGTGAGGCTTTTGCCGTGCTCATACCCTGGTCAGTTACAGGCTTTAAGCCATATTATGGTGCACATGTGCCCTGCACCCTTTAATATGCAGAGACTCAAAGGTATTGCTCGCTCTGTGCGGTATTCTTTTCAATTAAAGCTCAGAAAAATGATATTTGCAGGAATTGCTCGACAAACTGCAACCAAAAGCCCATAAACGTCTCGTACTGTGTTCTTTCTGGCTTCCATCTATTTTCGTCTGCTATGAATCCTGGTTCGGCAGTCCTGTCGCTGCATATATCTCTATATAGCCTCGGCCCGGCTCATAAATCTGCTATTCTGGGCTGCGTAACTGGGAGATACGGCTCCTTTTTACACTTTTGTGTGTTCATTTCCGCTTGGATATCATTATATACAGCTCCTAATATGCCCAAACGCCAATCTATTTGAGTATACAACTTATATGAGAGTTCTGGGCACCGTCTCACTTCAGACCGGGAGTAACAGTATGATAAAATACGCGAAAAATATTTGATAGGCGAAATATCGGCCTGACGTTCTCTTGATACTTCCCTGAGTTCATCCGTGAGATCGCAGAAAATTATGTGCCATAAAGCAGCGCCATCCTTACTTACCTATACTTATATCAGAACAGAGGCTAGGCTGGGCGAGAGACACATTGCCGTTTTGGATTTCAGTTCGTTCCATGGTCCAGGAAGTTCATATTGCAAAACTATATCAAAGATGCCAAGTGCAAATTCTGACAAGGGTAAGACATGACGATTTTAAAACCAACAGCAACAAAAGCACCAAATGGTGGCTATACTTTCAAGAAGCCTGCTTTCTATGTACTCTCTTACAATGACCGTGTTGCCGGCACGTTGACAAAATATCCAATAACAAGTGCCTCTAGTATACATGACACGGTCTGCCCCGCACGATCTTATGTTTATCCCGAGGACAGAGTTCAGGGATGGTGAAGGCGGCCGGAACGTGAGAGATATATGCCTAATAAGTAGTGGGCCAAACGGCCCATTGAGATAACGGGATCGGGAGACTCTGCCGAACTGGCAACCCTCCACGTTTTCGGCCTCTTCTCTGCCCTATAGCCCTGCCCTTGCGTGCTATGTTCTCTTCTATGGCGAGATGCGGGCTGTAGAACACGGGTGGCCCTGTGTCCAGCCATGAAATGGTCTTTTCTGGAAGCACACGAAACATACCCCGGCCTGGTTGTGGTAGAAAGACAAACCTTAAAAGCTATGCGCATTTTAAAAACGCCTGAACGGCCTGTCGGATAGGCCGGTTGAGCCACTAAGAGAACTGATCAGAGCTTGGTTTCCGGCTGTTGTCTACGTCTCGTATCAGCATCATGCATTTTGTTGGTAGCCTTAGGATGGTGCAAAGATGGCAGTCCGAGTTTGTAACGAACTAAATTTTGTTTTAGACGATACCAGCGTCGACCGAAAATACCGTGGGGCCGACAATGGCATAATTGTTGGGAATATTTTGATGGTTTATTTCTTTTAGTTTTGTTTCTGCGTTTACGCTGTGATTTGAGTTTGCAACCACTCGCTCGTCCACCTCCTCCAGACCTCCCCTTCCAGAGCGCGGTCCTATACCTGATCGTACAATTATTCACACATATGCTATCATTCCTCCTCATGTAAATGAAATAAGACAACCTTGCGCCGCATTCACGAACACCTCAAAACACCGACGCGCACACGTCCCGCGATGCTAAGACAAAAAGCACGTGGGCCAACCTCTGCAGAATGCCGTCCACGTGGATCAACGCTTGGTGTGTCACAAGAGCGTAACAAGACAGACAGTCTCCATCCCTGGCTGCCAATGTCGATTTGGCCCCTGAATACGTGTGTGTGAAGCCGCTTTCGCATGCTGGAGTTGGTGCCGTCCGCGCCAACGCGTGCCCACACTATCTCTTGACCCACGCAGGCATCTTTCTCGCCTTAAGGTGGCCCGGCTTCTTACGCTCCACCGTTCTTCTATCACGCGTAATGCAGCCGGCTGGAGCGAGAGAAAGACGACATGTTAGCAAAATCCTGCAGAGAAAATACGATATTTGCGCGGTTGTAGCTTGGGCCTTCAGTGAGAGCCGTGAGCCGTCTAACGTACCTTTTCGGAGTGCTGTCTTGAGCGCGGGCTCGTGGGTCACGAGCGCCTTGGCCACAGCCAGCGTCAGCGCCTCAGCCTGGCCGGTCGTGCCACCTCCATCCACCAGCGCCCACACGTTGTACTTGTCCATCCGCTCCGTCGACCGCAGTGCCCACGTAGCGCTCTCGCGGTCGTGAACGCGCGCAAACGCGCCGCTAAGGCTCTTGCCGTTGACAAGCACCTCGCCCGTACCCTCCACTACCCACGCACGCGCAACCGACTCCTTACGGCGACCAACACCCAGGGCACGGCCGAACTTGTCGACCGTCTGCGGCTTCGGCAGATTCTCGTCAAAATTCGTCTTGACAATGAATTCGCGGAGAAACTCGGTCACAGCAGCCGGCTTCAGGTCGGGATTGATGCGGTGCAGGGTCTTCATCATGCTCAGGTATCTTTGGTACACTGAATTCTTGACTGACTCGTGAAAGATCTCCTGAAACTTGTCCTTGGACATCCATGCCACACGGTCCATCTCTTGCAAGGGGAGTTTGGGCAGTTTGCTGTACCGCCTGAACAAATCCTGCAGGGCCAGGAAGCGGTCGGTGAAGTTCTCTGCGCGCGTAAAGTAGGACGGAGATAGGGGAACGGCGCGCGCATAGCCTCTGAGCTGCTGAAAGTTGACTGCGGCTGGGCCGCCACCGATACCTTCGCTGTCGCTGCCGCTCTGTGAACTTTCGGAGAGAGCGCCGCTTGTGTACTTTTCGAGAATCGCGTCCATCTCCAGGTCGCTAGTATTGGCAAGCGAGGCAGGGACCAGCTGTCTCTCGGGCGGCTCTGGACGGTGTATTTGTTCAGAGCGATATCTGGTCTGCGCCAGTATTTGGCTGCCGGCGGGCTTGTTGGTGATGTGTGCCGGGCCAATCCGCAGCAGCGAGAATTGCTGCTCAAGCCGCATCCGTGCCCGTGGGCAGGAGGAGGCGACCCCACGGGACAGCGAGCTTGCGCTTATGCTTGCCATGGCGGTTGTGGATGGGAGAAGAATTCGAGTTGTGTCGTCGAGTTGTGTCGTCGTCGCCAGAAGGCGTTCATGCAGCTATGGTAGAAACAGACGTCCCCACGAATCGATCGAGTCCGGGCACGGAGGGGGGGATCGTGACACGGTCCCGGATTGGGGGGTTGTTGAGTGGTTGTCTGGCGCTCGACAGTACTTTGTCGCCGTGATGAGCCCGTGATCGTAGCTTTGCAGTGGTTCCAACTTTCAAAAATTCAATTGCGCTACATAGCATTTTGCCGTGGGCTGGCCACGTGATGCGCACAGCTCAAAAGCGGCGTCCGAAAGGGGATGGAAGGTGCTAGGGAAGCTCTTTGACGGCCTTGTTCCTGCCAATTTTGCCGTTCCTCTACCAACCGCACTGGCCAATGGCAGTTGGTAGGTCCCACCACCCGCTCGTTTTTCGTCATTTAACTTTGATTTTTTTTAAATGCCTAATGCTTTCGCGGTATGAGATTTTTTGAGATTTTTGGCCGGACCCCACCAATCGTCCGGGCTCCTTCCTTGGGCATTATTTTTGCGACGAAAAAACTTCCGTTCTCTGCTCCTTCCCCTCCTTCCCCTTCTCTTCTTCTCTTCTCTCCTTCGAACACCAGCATCACCACCCCTTTTATATCGAACCACACTCTTACCTCACATTCACCATGTCGTTCGGAAAACTCTACAGCTTCCTTGTGAGTCTGCTCCTGCGTTGAGTCTTTGTTGGCCAGCTGCTTTTGCTCGAGCCCCGCGCTGCGTGTTCTGCTCTTTCGCGTCGTTTCAACAGCCATTCTTCGTCTTGATATCTTTCGTCTTTCATTGCTCTTTGTCGCCTTTTTTTCTCGTGGCTTTTATTTTATCCATCTTCTGCATGCCGTCTCTGTTCGTCGGACGCTCGTCAGGCTGACCCCGTCTTGCAATGTGCAGGAGAACCCGCGCAGCACGGGCATCCTGGTTGTGGCCAAGGCCAACAACCTCGATATCGAGCTGGTCGACACCCTCCCCGCCACTGCCCCGGCCGACTACAAGAATATCAACAAGATGGGCACGATCCCTACCTTCGTTGGTGCTGATGGCTTCACCCTGTCAGAGTGCATTGCCATCTACGTCTACGGTATGTGTCTTGCGCTTGATTTCTTCCCTGCTCTGCTGTCCATTTTTCGTTTGTCCGTTGGCCTTTCCAGTTTTCGCCGTTGCTGCCTTGGGACATCTCGAGTAGTACCGGTCGACGCTTCCATGATGAATTAGACAATCATTATACAGTTATCCCTGTCTGAATCCTAGTGTTGATATTATCTACCTTCTGATTTTGCGTCCCCTCTTCAATCCCTGTTTCTTCTCCTCTCGAGTGCACACCTGTTTTTCTGGGCCGTCCGCTAACTGGTGCCTTACAGTCGCTTCCCAGAACGAGAAGACCACCCTTCTCGGCAAGACCAAGCAGGAGTACGTATCAGACGCCACGTCTCTCGTTTTGGACGTTCCATGGACGTGCCATGACGCATACTGACATTCACACCAGCTACGCCAACATCCTGAAGTGGATGTCCTTCTTCAACAGTGAGGTCCTCCCCAGATTCGGTGACTGGTACGGCCCTCTCCGGGGCCTTGCCCCCTACAACAAGAAGGCTGTTGATGATGCCTCCAAGGCTTCCCTGAAAGCGCTCAGCGTCGCTGAGGAGCACCTGCTGCACAACACCTTCCTGGTTGGCGAGCGCATTACCGTGGCCGACATCTTTGCCGCCAGCATATTTGCCCGCGGTATGCAGTTTGTCTTCGGCAAGGCGTTCCGCGAGGAGTTCCCTAACCTCACCCGTTGGTTCACCACCGTCTACAACCAGCCGATCTACTCGAGCGTTGCCCCCAAGGCCGTGTTCAACGACGAACCGGCATTTATCAACGTCCCCCCCAAGAAGGAGGCTGCCCCCAAGAAGGAGGCCCCCAAGAAGGCCGCCGCCCCCAAGGCCGCCGCTGCCGCCGAGGAGGAGGAGCCCGCAGCTGCTCCCAAGCCCAAGCACCCGATTGACCTGCTGCCGCGTGCCACCTTCCCTCTGGACGAGTGGAAGCGCCAGTACTCTAACAGCGACACTCCCGTTGCCCTGAAGTGGTTCTGGGAGAACGTCAAGTTCGACGAATACTCGATCTGGAAGGTTGAGTACAAGTACAACGACGAGCTGACCATGACCTTCATGTCCAACAACCTGATTGGCGGCTTCAACAACCGCCTGGAGGCCTCGCGCAAGTACCTCTTCGGCTGCGCCTCCGTCTACGGCCAGAACAACGACTCTGTCATTGAGGGTGCGTTTGTCATCCGTGGCGAGGACTACCTCCCCGTCTTCGATGTCGCTCCCGACTACGAGAGCTACTCCTTCACCAAGCTGGACCCCACCAAGGCCGAGGACCGCGCCTACGTCGAGGCCCAGTGGTCGTGGGACAAGCCCGTCATCGTCAACGGCAAGGAGTACCCCCACGCCGATGGCAAGGTCTTCAAATAGACGAATCGCACTGTGCCGTGTAGGGAGGTGTTGCGGATAGTTGAAGCTGTAACGGATCTTGAATGAAAGGTTGGGGCTGGGTTAGTCCGGGCACAAAATATGACGGAAAAATTATGTGTTATACAAATTGTAGCTAGGCAGGGCCAGTACGATGTTTCTTGGACGTACATCATGGTTTTCAGGAGACGAATACAAAATAAACCGTGGTGAATTGCACATGCATAAATGGTGCATGAAGCAAAAGTCTCTCCCCATTGTAGGTTGCATGCTATGGTGTTACACGCTATGCTCGATGTTGTTGATAAGCAGCTCCCCATCACCCACCCCGACGGGCTCTGTCCCTAAACGATAGAAGACTCATTCCTAGCCTGGTAACAAACTGCTCATTACAACGCAGCTAGAATCTGTCTGAAAACACCCCTTCGTGTTGTCCTCGCCGCCGGTCGGCTTTGGGTTTGTCAGGTCTCCGCCGCTTTGAGTTCCGTACAACCTTTGGTCCTTGGCTTGTGGTCTCATCCTCTTGTGCCACCTCGAATGCCATCTCCGGATCTTCCTGTGGCTGGAACGGATGTGCCCTGATGTATGCGCTGACATCCGACTGGAAGGCAAGCTCGTTAATGTAGTCGTGCACTTGCGGCAGGACGAAGTCGTATTTGTCTTGCTTGTCGGCAAACTCGGGGATCTCAATGAGATTGAACGGCTCCGAGCGCGCCTTGGTGGCCGTGTCGTCGATGAGCACCGTGTTGGCCTGTGACCAGCGACCGCCCGTCTCGTAGTGCGGGTGCGTGCGCGCCACGTCTGGGTCCTCCCACATCAGCGACAGCCGCTTGTAGCACTGCGTCCGTCCGCAGTAGTCGTCACGCGTCAGGCCAAAGCGCGAGCGGTCCCACATAGCGACGAGCTTGGCCTTGTTTTCAGGGTGGATAATGGCATTGACCATGTGGCGGACGTTCTGGGGCCGCGCCGACGACCAAAAGGCAAACCAAAAGCTCTTGATCATGTAGTCGATAAACAACGGCGCATACGGCCGCGGCACCGCCGTTCTCGGATTGCCGTAGCTGTCGGGGCGGTGAAGCAGGGTACCGTTGAGATCACTGATGATGAGCAGCGGCTGTGGGCTCTCGAGCCGCTTCGACTCGCGCTCGGTCTGCTGGAGGTACTCGGGAGTTGGATCTGGCACGCCGCCAGACTCTTCGGATGGTTCCTGAATATCGGGCCGGGGCGGCCGCGGTGTCTCTATATTGTCCATTCGTTGCGGGAACACTTGGGATCGACCAAACTTGGAGGACTTGCTTTTATATAACACTTTCTGAGCCGAGAAGGTTCGTTCGGTGAGCGACGGGAGTAAAGGACTAATACTTTTCAAAGGCAAGGTGTGTGTTGTCCTTCTTGACCTTGAGAAGCCATATATTGCGTTTTGAAGAGTCCTAGACGCCGCAAACCTACCCATGACAGCCTCTGGAGAAGTGAAAATCTATGTGCAGGCCGCTAAGGAGAGTCTAGAGAGTGTGGATATGGTACAGTATGATGTAACCTGAAGTGTAATGAAGTGTCCTGAGGTGTCCCGAGCCGTCCGGGGCGTCCTGTTGTGGTTGGATGATGACAGGAGAGCTTGGTTTATTTGACTGTCGTGTGAATTGGTTAAAAATTAAATGAATTCGAAATTTAATGCAAATTAATTGTTAACCAAGAATGGTGCGTGATCTGTGAGTATGCCACGGCCAGTTGAAGTACCAAGATGAAAATATTGTTGATGCGTCTCGAAATTTTAGTGGAAACATTTTAGGGGCTGCCAGAGCCTTGTTCCCGGCGATCGTGATTGGCTGGTGGACCAGAAGGCTGCGTGAAAACTGCTCCATGAAGAAGTTTAAAAATCAGTGATGGCTGCGCTAGCAGCATTGTTCCTTCCTTTTTCACATCACCGCGTTCACTCATAGTCGATATCAAATTTCATTCCCAATCGCCAAATAGAAATCAAATTTCCGGACGCTCCTTCCGTGTGAGAGAATAGCTCTCTAGGAAAGGAAAGAGCTAACACTGGGCACACAACACTATCTCTTCGCTCAAGACCTCAAAGCCCTGTTGAATGCACATTCAGCCACGTTCAATACTACATTCCATACCACACGCTCAAACATGGATTCGAGAAAACGAAAGAGCAACCGCCCTCCTCCTGAACGGAATGTACGGGCAAAACCTTCCAAATTTGTCGACAACGATGACAGCGACGAGTACGACAACGACCTGAGCAAAGCAGGCCGGCGAGTCAAGATTGAGGAGGCTTCGGAGAGCGAGAGCGACGAGAGTGATGATCCTGTTCGGGGCGGACTAGAGGACGACATAGACGACGATGAAGAGGGAGAAAGTGAAGACGAAGAAGGTGAAGACATTGGCCGAGAGGCAACTCCCGAGGATGAGGCGCCATCGCCAGCAGAGAACCTCACGTTCGGCCAGATCTTGAAGAAGAACCAAAAGAAGAAGAAGGACAAGAAGATCGACAAGGTCGGCGGCAAGGTTGGATCCAAAGCAACCGACACGGGCGAGGCAGCCAGTTCGTGGAAAGACGACCGTTCAGGCAAGCCAACCAAGCCTGTCAAGCCGGCCCGAGCCCACAAGCACGCACCGACGGAAATGTCGAGCCGTTTCGCTGTGAAGCGCGGGCGCGACTGGACCAGCGGAGACGCCACGATTGCGGGTGTCTCGGTCAAGCCAGTCGAGGCGCGCTCGCGCGACCCGCGCTTCTTCTTGGCGTCCATGGCGACACCGCCGACGCGCGCCGACGAACTGCGCGCGCAGCGCAACTATGCGTTTCTGGACGAGTACCGCGACAGCGAGATGGCGGAGATGCGCGAGGCGATTGCGCAAAACGAGCGGATTGCCAAGGCAGAACGCAAGAAGCGCGGCGGCAACGCGGTGAACCGGGCCAAGGCAGAGGCGGCCGAGAAAGAGGCGGCATCGCTGCGGCGAATGCTGACGTCGATGGAGGCGCGCAAGCACGACCGCGAGGCCAAGGAGAAGGCGCAGGCGGTGCTGGACGAGCACAAGAAGCGGGAGCGGGGGCTGGTGAAAGAGGGCAAGACGCCCTACTTCCTCAAGAAGTCGGAGCAGAAGAAGCGGCTGCTCGTGGACAAGTTTGCGGGAATGACGGAGCAGCAGGTCGACAAGGCCATCGAGCGGCGGCGCAAGAAGGCGCAGACGCGGGAGCGGCGCGAGATGCCGTCCATGCGCCGTGGCTAACGCGGTGCAGACGAAGACTGCAAATGATTCAACATGGCTGGCGTTCTGTTCATGTTTTTCTTACTTTATTCTATAGCATGTAGATGGCGTGTAATAATACATTATGATGCATGAGCAGCGTGTATGGTAGTACAGATAAATAACGAAAACCATCTATATATGTATACAAAACTCAGAGTTTATGCAAGGCCCATCTTCTTCAGGCTGTCCTCAAACATGCCACGACAGGCCACGCGACTGCCCAGGCGTGCACACAGTAGGAAGGCACCGCTGAGCTTACGGTGCAGGCTGTACGTTTCCTCGGGCGGCGGCGTCAGGCGCTCGCGCACCATGACGGGGATGAATGAGCGCACGCGATCCGTGATCGTCTGGTCCTGGAAGTCGTAGATCTCGGGCGCGTCTGCGCGGAAGGGCTCCGCCAGCGTCATGACCGACTGCGTATGGGCGTCCAGCATGGCGCGGCTCTCGTGGCCCGTCAGGTAGCCCAGGTCGCGCGACAGCGCCTGCACGCCCTCGAGGTCGGACTGCGAGGCTGCCTGAAGCAGACGGACGTACTGATCAACAAACTCGGCCGGGTACTCGCGCGAGGCGCCAAAGTCGAGCAGCTCCAGCTTGTTGGTGCCGGCGTTGTACAGGAAATTGGTCCAGTTGGGGTCCGTCTGCATAAAGTGGAACTGCGTGATCTCGAGCAGGCACAGGCGCAGAATCTGCGTGCCGATCCAGTCGCGCTGCTCCTGGGAGAGGTCGTGCGCGACCTTGGTGACGCCCACACCGTCCATAAAGGACATGGTCAGCACCTGCTTTCCCGACGCCTCGCTAAACACGTCGGGCACCACGAAAGCGCCGTCGACGCCCGTTTCGCGTGCGCCGTCCAGCAGACGACGGAAGCGCTGTGCGCACTCGGCCTCGCGCAGGTAGTCGCACTCCCACGCCAGCTCGGTGCGCGCATTGGCAATCGTCTTGTCCAGGTACAGGCCCTTGGGCAGCATGCGCGTGGCCGTCAGCAGGATGCCCAGGTTGTCGAGGTCCGAGTTGATGGAGTCGGCGACGCCCGGGAATTGGATCTTGACGGCGACGGCGGCGCCGTTGGAGCGCAGCGTCGCGCGGTGCACCTGGCCAATGGACGCCGCTGCCAGCGGCTTCTCCTCGAACTCGCCAAACAGATCGCGCCAGTCCGCACCGAGGTCGGACGCCAGCACGCGGTCGCGCTGCCATGCAGGCATGTAGTCGGCGCTGTCCTGGACGCGCTGCAGGACCTCCTGCAGCGGCGCGGGCAGCATCTTGGCGTCCTGGAAGCTCATCATCTGGCCGAGTTTGAGGGCCGCGCCGCGCATACGAGAGAGCCGCGACACGAGTCGCTCGAGGTTACCAGGGCTCAGCATGACCGACCCGCTGTCGCCGCTGCCGCCTCCAAAGCCGCGGCTAATCGACTCCGTCAGAGCGCCGCCGAGCATACCGGCCGCGAGGCCGCCATAGTTCCATATCCGGCTCAGGCGGGTGGCCGGCACCTTGGACTCCTTCAGCTCAAAGGCCCGCTTTGGTGGCTCTGCTACCCGCGTCGTAGGCAGGGGTATTGAGGCGAGAGGAGTAGCTCTAGCTGTGCTCGGAGACGGCGTCTCTAGTATCTCGGCCTTCAAAGTCTCGGTTTCCGGTAGGGCTTGTTGTGTCTCTTCCGCTCCTGTGCCAGGCGACTCTTCCGCTTGTGGAGCCGCCTCCGGAGTTGTTTCAGGAGTAGCATCGACTGTGGGCTCAGTTTTGGGAATATCCTCAACATCCAAAGTCTTATCGACGACGGAAGGGTTCTCGTGCTCCTCTCTTTTGCTAAAAACGCCCTGTTCTATACTCTCTGCAACTGCTGCCGAGACAGAGTTTGCTTTTGCTGCAACATGAACATCCTGCACAGCCTGACTGCGGACAGCTGGTGGCGGTCGTGGAGTCTGTTTTAGCCGGGGATCCAGAGGGTGCAGTTTCGATGGACCTCCGCTCGGACCCGCAGCCTCGGCGGCCTTCCTCCGGACCTCATTTAAGGCACCTGGCGGCCTCGACGTGCGCAGCTGGGCACGGTGGATGAAGGTCGGTAGGACGGGCTCTTCCGGGGAACCAGCGGTCTCTGGCTCCTGGATATCTGGATTCCGTGTTTCCTGTGCAGCTTGACGTACGGGAGCAGCCGCAGGGACTGGTGGCTTCTCGGTCACCGGCTCCGTTGGTGACGCTGACGCAGACGAAGGCGATGCTGGGGCCGCCGCGTCGGCTTCTGCTGGGGTGGCGCCACCCTCGGCCGGTATATCTTCTGGCTTCGGCGCCTCCTGTGACTCTGGCGATGATCTCTTGAGATCCCGGGGGTTCTGCACAAGGGATGCACCAATCTGGCGCGAGCGCAATGCCGCGTGCTTCGAGGCGACGTTTCGCGAGGCGCTGACGACGGCCGCGAAGTCGGCGGCGAGGTCGAGGAAGCGCATTGCGAGTTAGGAAGAGGATGGCTGCGACACCAAAGAAATCAAAAGAAAAAGAGCGGCAGCTACCGCATCGGCAACGGCATGGTGTGAGTCGAGCGGACTGTTATGTTGGGTGTTGTCGCAGCCGGATAGTCCCGCAGAACGCAAGCTCTCTAGAGCTCCCGAAATTTTTGTAGTAGACATCTATATAAAAGTGGGCCCTCTTCGACAAGCTAAAGCCACCACTGGGGTACGTGGATTTGAACAATGCCAAATGTAACAGTGATGTCAAAATAGGTCTTCACATGTTCGCTTTCATAAATCGTGGTCAGTCTAGTATCGAAAATTTCTGTTATTTTTGCTAGTTCCCTGGGTATCATATGTTTCTATGTGAGATGCTTATAAAATGCAAAACAAAAGCGCCGCTGTAAACCATGTTCCATTTCCTCATGCCCATTGCCCAATCCCCTCGTTACTGGAGCACGGACCGGATCTCCCGTAATCTTGCCCGTCGGCTGCCCTTGGCATTGTTCTGCTTCCCGCCCTTGCTCCGATTGAACGCCGATATCGCATCTTTTGTCTTGCTGCCGCCACCGCCGGCCATGTTGCTCCAAAGACGCTGTCCAGCAGGCGTCAGTCCGCCCGACAAGCGCGGGCTATGCGGCAGCGGCGTATGCGGAGTTTGGCTGGCGCGGCCCGTCATGCCAACACGCGCCGACGTCCGCCTCGAGTGCGCAATGCGCTCGACCATGCGGTGGTGCAAACCCTCGCGCTTGCTCTTGTCTTGAAGCTGGAACGGGTTGGGCGTGCCGTCGACCTTGCCAAAATCGATGACTGGCGATGCGCCGAGCTCGGCCTCGGGTTCTTCATCGTCGACAAAGGCGTACCCGTTGACGCGGGGCGTCTCGCCGCCCATGGTCGAACCGGCAAGTGAGCCTGCTGTCGAGTCAGCGTCCATGCGCCACGGCTTGCCTGCAATGGCGTCGCGCACGGCCGACAGTGTCGGTGATGGTGGGATGGCGGCGCTGGAGACCGAGCTGCTTCGCCGTCCCTTTTGTTGATTTTGTTGATTTTGTGGTGTTTCCTGTCTCCGCTGCTCAGAGAGCAGCGACGTGCCTCGCAGACGCGTGTTGGCGTACACGATCGACTTGGGCGCCGCAAGCGAGTCAGCTTGCGCCTTTTGGGCTACGGTCTCGACAGACCCGTCAACGCTGTCCGGCAGGAACATGAGTGCGTTCTTTGCTTTGGTGTTCCACGTATCGGGCGCCGCTGGACGGTCGTCTTGGTCCTTGATGGCCAAGCGGTCCTTCTTGTAACCGTTGTCGACGAGGCTGACGCCCGACTCGATCAGCCGGTCCTCCACCTCCTTCTGCTTCAGCTGCATCTTGGACGGTAGCTTGTTGCCGTTGTAGACCCATGCATGCTTCTCAGCCCGCGTCTGATTCTGTTTGTCGAGCAGCTTGTAGAAGCTTTCGTTGTCCTCGCTCGTGTATTTGGCCTGGTACGTGCCAAGGCTGACGTTTGTGTCGGGGCTCGATCCCACCTTGGTGGCTACCGGGGCATCCGCTGTGGCCGCTGTGCTGATGGAAACGACCGACGCAGGTGTGTCGCCCGCAAAACTCTGCGGTGTTTCGCCCGGGCGGCCGTCTAGAGTGCCGCGAAGAGACGGCGTGTGCAGCCTTGAACGGTGGCAGCGGCCGGGCGTCATGGCCTCTTTGAGCCGCTTGCCAGCGCTGGAGATCCATGCTGGATCTTTCGATTCAAGCGCATTCAGGTATTCGTTTTGCGTTTCCGATTCAATCAGGCCGGGGAAGAAATCGCGTGCAATGATCTTCGACAATCCGTCCGTGTACGAGTCTTCGTCGAGGACGGTTTTGGGGCGTTGGATGCGCTTTGCTGGTGGCGGAGGTGGCATCAACTCTGTATCCGTCCGCTTGCGCACGAGCGACGAGCTCGTAGATGCACATGGTTCGGCCATGGTTGTGTTGTTGTGTTGGCGATGGTCCGTTCACCGGATGCGGTGGTGTTTTGTGTTGGGGAAGAGCAGCCTAGATTTGGCAATCACACGAGCCACTCGTCTGGGTTCGTTACCTTTTTGATGCATAACGCGGGACAAAATTATAATATGCATATACCCGTGATTTTCCTCATAGAAGGTCTAGGCGGTCGCGGCAAAGGCCTGGCCAGAAAGAACGTTCGGCGGCCTTCGGCGCCTGCTCCTGCCTGTAACGGGATCATCGCCTCCCCACACGACAGCGGCCGCCTCGTGTACTACATTTTTGCTGGCCGCTCAGAACAAGCATTTTTCTTAATTTTTTTGCCGCTCGCTCCACGCTCTGCATTCACGCCCACGAACTGTCTTGAGCGACCTTTTCGCAGCCTTCGGCGTGCGGCGTGTCGAATTGCGCAACGTCCATCAGCAAGCGGCTCTTCCCCCCGCTGTCTCACCATCGGCTCGCCCAACTATCACCAAATCCCGATCACGATCCCCTCTTAATTCCTCGACACGCCGGCTGCCTGTCATGACGACGGACAAGGAGAAGGCCCTAGCGGCCAAGAATGATGGCAACAAGGCCTTCCTGAAGCACGACTGGCCGACGGCAATCGACCACTACACTCAGGCGATCGAGCTCGACCACGGCGAACCGACCTACTTTGCGAACCGCGCCCAGGTGCGTCTCCGAAAAGGGCTCGCGTGACCCTCACATCCGCGTATATATGCACTTATATATGCCATGACTTGCTGCTGACAGTCGTGCAGGCATATCTGAAGACAGAAGCATACGGTTATGCCATTGCAGACGCCACCAAGGCTATTGAGCTGGACCCAAATTTTGTCAAGGTACTGCTTCCTTCTGTTGAAACAGATGCTCATATTTTGTATTGCAAGCTGACAATCATTTTTTTTGCGTTCGCCAGGCTTACTATCGCCGTGCTCTGGCCTCTGCAGCCATTCTCAAACCAAAAGATGCGCTGCAGGACTTCCGGATGTGCGTCAAGCTCAACCCGGGAAATGTCGACGCCAAAGCCAAGCTGTCCGACTGCCAAAAGGTGGTGCGGCAACTACAGTTCTTTGAGGCAATCGAGGTCGGCGACGAGCCGTCGGCAGCCGAGGGTCTCGATGTCGAGTCTATGGTCGTCAAGGACGACTACGACGGCGTGCGCCTGGGCGACGAGATGACGCAAGAGTTCATCGACGACATGACCGAGCGGTTCAAGGAGGGCAAGAAGATCCACTTGAAATACGTCTACCAGATCCTGCTGGCCGTCACCAAGATTGTGCACGACGAGCCGACCATGAAAGAGGTCATGGTGCCCGATGACACAACCCTGACCGTATGCGGTGACACGCACGGCCAGTACTTTGACCTGATGGAGCTTTTCCGCCTCAACGGCAAGCCCTCGGAGAAGCTCTGGTACCTGTTCAACGGCGATTTTGTCGACCGCGGCTCCTGGTCCACGGAGATTGCGCTGCTTCTGTACGCCAACAAGTGGCTGCGGCCCGAGGCCTTCTTCCTCAACCGCGGCAACCACGAGACCGACGACATGAACCGGGCCTACGGTTTCGAGGGCGAGTGTAAAGCCAAGTATAACGAGCGCGTATTCCGCCTGTTCTCGGAGAGTTTCTCGGCGCTGCCGCTGGCCACACTGATTGGCGAAAAGTACTTTGTGCTGCACGGCGGCCTCTTCTCGGACGACAATGTCACCCTCGACGACATCCGCAAGTTGGACCGGCACAAACAGCGCCAGCCAGGTCAGGCCGGTCTGATGATGGAGATGCTGTGGACGGACCCTCAGCCCGAGCCCGGCCGGGGTCCCAGCAAGCGCGGTGTCGGCATGCAGTTCGGTCCTGATGTGACAGCGCGCTTCTGCGAGAAGAACGGCCTCGAGGCCATTATCCGCAGTCACGAGGTCCGCATGGACGGCTACGAAGAGGAGCACAACGGAAAGTGCATTACTGGTAAGCCACGCTCGCGTCACATTAACAATGTGTTATTCGTGCTGGGGTATCTCTTCTAACAACATACAGTCTTCTCCGCACCAAAGTACTGTGATATGACTGAGAACCGCGGCGCGTACATCAACATCGGCTCGGACTACAAGCTCAACTTCCACCAGTTCAACGCCGTGCCACACCCGAATATTCGTCCCATGGTACGACCCAACTGTCCCTCCCTCTGATTCTGTGTATTTTGTTTTGTCCAAAACTAACTCGTCCCAGGCGTACGCAAACAACTCGATGATGTCTTCGCTGCTGTAAGCATATTGGGTGTCAAAAGTAAAGAAGACAGAAATAATAAAACCAACATAATTGGAGATATACCAAAGCAGACGCGGCATGAAAGAAAAAAGAGGATAAAGGCAGGACACGGTGTCGAAAATGGGGAACGCGGCCTACCTTTTGAACAATACAAACACGACAACCAGACTTGCACATATTGGAAATGCATCCATTTCGGCGAGGGCGTTTTGCGACTTTGGGCCGGTCATTTCTTTGGGGCGCTATCACGGATGCTCGGACGGGGTTGGCATTTTTGGGCGTGGCGTGCATTTAAATACTGCTAGCATTTTGTCGTTTATTTGACGAATGGATTTGTGGGCATGTCGAGTCGTTTGCGCCGTGGATTGGTATGGCGTGTCAGTCCTCGTGCTGTTGTCCACTTCCCGTCGCTATTTTCTGAGGCCGGACACAAGTGCCGCTTTACCAGCGTGAGAAGAATATGGAAATCGTGCATACAACCCCTGTATTGGTACATTGGCATTCCATGACTTTGTCGTTCATGTGGCAACGCCGTTCCACAGAGCCTGTTGTTGGCTTCGTCCGATCAGACTGCCTAGCCAGTTGCCGGAGGCTCTCAGACGCAGTGCCGTGGCCGTACCCTCTCGAGACACGCTGCTCCAGGCCGCAAGGGCCGCCGCAAAGAGTCCCATGTCCTCGCGCGGCAGCCGCACCCAGAACTCGCTCCCCTCGAGCTTCAGCAGATCGAGCGGCATGGCCGCACCCGCAGCTCCCAGGAACTGCTTGAGGGCCGCATCGCAGTATGAGCGCACCTGCAGCGCATCAAGCGGCCCCTGTGATGCTTGGCTCTGATGGTTCTGCACGACCTCGATCTGGGCATAGGCAAACGGGGGGCGGCCGATCGTGCTGCTGTACAGCTCCCGCGTCTTGCTCTCCTTGGCAGTCTTGGTCTTGGAGGCAGCGCCGATGGAGGATGCCAGTGATGTGTTGCCCATGGGCGTGTCATTGAGGTCGCTAGCTGCCATGGTAAAATTCTTTTTGTAAAAAAAATCACAAGAACATCGCCTTGCTTTATTAAATTGGAAGTATCTTGGGAGGCGCTGGTGGTGGTTGGGACGATATGACGATGCTTGTGAAAAAATCGCTTACCTGCATAAGAACTCAATGATGCATGTAGCCAAGATACGTTCCTGCGCTATGCCATTCGCGACTTGAGCAACCAACGCCAACCACTCGACAACGCCAGGCTGAACCCTCCAAACTTCAACCTTTGAAAAACTACCAGTATCCAGCCGCTTGCGATTTCTCCTTTGTCCACGTCCTGTCCACCACCCTGGCCACCGTCTCCCTCTGACTGACTTGAGATTGGCGTTTTCACTCGGTCCTCGCCTTTCTCCTACGACCCTCCCACGCTTTAGAGCATCGCGACCACGGCCCATCCGCAATCATGTCAGATAACTACGTCGCCCCAGGCCAGCAGCGCTACCTCCGCGCCTGCATGGTCTGCTCCATCGTCATGACCTTCCAACGCTTCCGCGAGGAAGGGTGCCCCAACTGCGAAGAGTTCCTGCACCTTGCAGGCTCCCCCGAGCAGATCGACACCTGCACGAGCCAGGTCTTCGAGGGCCTCATCACGCTGGCGAACCCCAACAAGTCGTGGGTGGCACGGTGGCAGCGCCTCGACGGCTATGTGCGCGGTGTGTATGCGATCAAGGTTTCTGGTCAGCTGCCGGATGATGTACGGGCACAGCTCGAGGACGAGCACCGCATTCAATACATACCGTGCGTATTTGCCTCGACGTACCTTAGCAGGGAATTGACAAGTGCAGTTGCTAACTGTATACAGACGTGATGGAAGTGCTGCCGAGGCCGACTAAGTGGTGAGATGGAAAGCGAGCGGGTGATTTCAACAGTGCTCTTTTTTTTAACTGGGAAGCGAGCGACTTTTGGTGATACTTTTGGTGTTGCACGGCGTTCAGGATCGGATTTTGGTGTGAAAATAAAGGACACGGCAAATGTGCGCCGAGTAAACTTCGGGAGGATGATACAAAGTGAACAAAAATGGCTTGGATTTTTATGAAATAAAACGCAATGCAAAGTCTCCCAAGCCAAAGACGCCGCCCTCTATAAATGGTATAATACGCTGAGAACTCCTAACATGCACCCTAAGAACCGTATCGCCAAATTCGCAGGAAAGACTGGCTCGGCTATCAAAACCTCGGCTTCTTGTTCGGTGGCCCGCCAAATTTGAAGTTCGTTCCACCGCCCGATTCGCGGCCCCGTTTCCGCTCCATCTCCTCCTTCATAATGCGCTCCGCCTCGCTCATCTTTTTCGGAACCTCAATCTTCTTGGCGCTAGACTTCCCCCCGAGTGCGTTCTTCTTCGCGGCGGCAAACACGTTCTTTGGTTGGGGCTTGCTAAGACCTCCAAGCTTCAATGACATGGGCTTGGACGCAGGAGGCTCGGCCGGCGGTTCTGCTGTCGAAGTCTCTGTACTTCCAACATCCACTTCCCTGCCCTCCTTGCCCTCCTTGCCCTCCTTGCCCACTTCTCCATCTGCTTTTGGTGTTTGTGATACTGGCGATGAGGACTCGCCCGACGTCGACTTTGCCGGACCGAAAGTGAGCTTGATCTTTTCGCCCTCTTCCCGCTGCAACATGTGTTTCTTCTCCTTCTCATCCTCATCCTCCTCCTCGTCGACATCATCGCCCGAGCCGCCCTCTTGCTTCTTGCGCTCCTTCGCTGTTCGTGTCGCGCGCTCAATCTGGGCCTTGAGCATCCGCTGTTCCCACTCCTCGTCGCCACGGTCCTGCGCCTCCTTCCTCCGCAGAGCTTCTTGCCGCTTGAGCGTCTCGGGCGATGTGTCGATCCACGAGATAAAGATGCCCTTTTCGTTCTCCTCAACGCGGCAGATACCCTCGCGCCCCAGATACTTGGCGAACTCGGTCAACGACGACCATTTGGTGGAGTTCATGTGGATGTGGTCGCGCCGCGCAATAAACTCTTGGTAAAAGTGGTTGATTTGCACCTGCTTCTCGCCGTGGCCGGTGCGCAGGAGCTGGACAAAGTCTTTGAGGAACTGGTCCGAGTACTCGTTGATGACTTTGCGCGGGTCGGAGCCGACGGCCAGCATGTTGCGCACGTGGCTCTCGCTGAGGGTGTGCTGCTTGAAGGCGTTTTCGTCGCGCAGGGCGCGCTCGCAGATCTGACAATACCATCGCAAACCTAGAACAGTCAGTACAGTGCGACTGAGGAGTAACAAACAGGAGCAAAAGGAAAAGTAAACATACGAGTCAGGCCTTTGGCCTTCATCTGGTTGCTCAGGTGTTTGACGGACCCGACCTCTGCTTTCGGCATCTTGGCGACAACGTTTGTAAGTGATTTGGGGGAACGTGGTGGCGTGCAATGCGTTGTTGAAAGGCTGTGGTGAAAGGCTGAGAAGGCCGTCGCCAGCATTTAAACGGCAGAAAGCAAGGCGGCGAAACTCTGCGATAAGCATACAACCAGATATGCGCCAAAGCGAGCGCCCTCAATTTACTATCAGAAGGTGCCACGGTCGCAAACCGCCTGGCCGCCCCCACTACGAACCCCTGAGCTCCCTGATGGTTTCGCGAGGGGCGGTCTGGATTAACCATTGCCCCGCCTGCCAACCACAGCCCGCAAGCTAGTTGCAGGCCATCTTAATAGTTGGGATGCTCCTGCCACAACAGCCCCCGAATCGGTCGCCGTACAAAGAAGGGAAAGCACGACCCGAGGGCCAGGCATCCGCGAACCGCATTGCCAGCCAGCAGTATTCTGCATCGAGCAACAAAGACACGACACACCGAGACATAATACGAATTCTTCATCACTGCATTTCTTCGCATCCCGCCGCACCATCCCCCTGACTCTGGCGCCGGCTCCTTCCCTGTAGGCCGTAACGGGCCTCACATCGAATCTACTCGGGCAAGATGTCGTCCTGTGAGTGCCACGTCTGGAATGATATGCTCAAGGGATATGTCGAAGGTGTCTCGAAACTAACTTAGTCACCTCCTCTACAGTAAAACAGTTCATCCGCAATGTGCGGGCCGCCAAGACCATTGCCGATGAGCGCGCCGTGATCCAGAAGGAGAGCGCCGCCATCCGTGCCAGCTTCCGCGAGGAGACCCATGACCACAACGTTCGGTAGGGAAACAGAGGCCAAATGAACATGAGACATGGGTAGAGAGTCGTACTGACACAGACTCGCATTGCTAGGCGCAATAACGTCGCGAAGCTCCTCTATCTCTTCACGCTCGGCGAGCGGACACATTTCGGCCAGATCGAGTGTCTGAAGTTGCTGGCCTCGCCGCGCTTTGCCGACAAGCGTCTCGGCCACCTGGCAACCAGCTTGCTGCTTGACGAGAACCAGGAGGTGCTGACGCTCGTCACAAATTCGTTGAAAAAGTAGGTCCTTAATCAGCAAGCGGCATGCGGGAGAACGGACGACGGGGAGCGGGCAGGTACTAACTTTCTTCACAGTGACCTGTCACACTCGAACCAGTACGTTGTCGGCCTGGCGCTGTGCACGCTCGGCAACATTGCGTCTGTCGAGATGTCGCGAGACCTGTTTGCCGAAATCGAGAACCTGATATCGACGTCCAACCCGTACATCCGGCGGAAGGCCGCCCTCTGCGCCATGCGGATATGCCGCAAGGTCCCCGACCTCCAGGAGCACTTCATCGAGAAGGCCGCCCACCTGCTGTCCGACCGTAACCACGGCGTGCTGCTCTGCGGCCTGACGCTGGTTACCAGCCTGTGCGAGGCCGACGAGGAGGACGAGGATGCCGACGTTGGCGACGAGGGCATCATTGAGAAGTTCCGCCAGTTCGTCCCGGCGCTGGTGCGCACGCTCAAGGGCCTGGCGTCGTCTGGTTACGCGCCCGAACACGACGTCACCGGCATCACCGATCCGTTCCTGCAGGTCAAGGTGCTGCACCTGCTGCGGGTGCTGGCTCGTGGTGACGCGCAAACGACGGAGCAGATCAACGACATCCTTGCACAGGTGGCCACGAACACGGACTCGTCCAAGAATGTGGGCAATTCGATCCTCTACGAGGCTGTTCGGACGATCCTCGACATTGAGGCCGACTCCGGACTCCGTGTCCTTGGCGTCAACATCCTCGGAAAATTCCTCGCCAACCGCGACAACAACATTCGCTACGTGGCGCTCAACACGCTCATCAAGGTGGTTGCTATCGAGCCGAACGCCGTGCAGCGCCACCGCAGCACTATCCTCGACTGTCTGCGCGATCCTGACATTAGCATCCGGCGTCGTGCTTTGGACCTTAGCTTCACCCTGATCAACGAGGGCAACGTACGCGTTCTCATCCGCGAGCTGCTTGCGTTCCTGGAGGTGGCCGACAACGAGTTCAAGCCGACAATGACGAGCCAGATTGGCATTGCCGCCGACAAGTTCGCACCCAACAAGCGCTGGCATGTCGATACCATGCTGCGCGTGTTGTCGCTGGCCGGCAACTACGTTAAGGAGCCCATCTTGTCCTCGTTCATCCGCCTTGTGGCCACGACGCCCGAGCTGCAGACGTACGCCGTGCAGAAGCTGTACGCCAACCTCAAGAAAGATATTACGCAGGAAAGCTTGACGCAGGCGGCCGCCTGGTCCATTGGCGAGTACGGCGATTCGCTCTTGCGGGGTGGCCAGTACGAAGAGGAGGAGCTGGTGCAGGTGGTGAAGGAAGAGGATATTATCGACTTGTTCTCAACCATCTTCAACAGCAGCTACGCAACACAGGTGACCACGGAGTACCTGCTGACGGCGCTGATCAAGCTGACGACGCGGCTGTCGGACCCGGCACAGATCGAGCGTGTGCGCCGGATGCTGCTGGCCAATCAGACGAACTTGGATGTCGAGGTGCAGCAGCGCGCCGCCGAGTACGGCAATCTGTTTAACCACGATGAGATCCGCCGTGGTGTGCTGGAGAAGATGCCGCCACCGCAGATCAAGGAGTCGTCCCGCGTGTTGGGCGAGGCGGCAGTGACCAAGAAGTCGAGCAAGGCCGCCAACCGCAAGTCCAAGATTGTCAAACCGACCGAGCAGGATCTCCTGCTGGATCTCATGGGTGACAGCGCCCCTGCCGTCGCGTCGCCTACCAACGGCGCGCAGCACAACAACGCCGATCTGCTGGCCGACATTCTAAGCGGCGGCAGTGGTCTTTCGGGCTCGCCCGCGCCATCATCGTCCTCCCCCGCGCCGGCACAAAACAACGTCTCTGCTATCATGGACCTCTTTGGCTCGTCGGCACCTGCTGCCGCTGCCACACCACCCCCCGCCGCGGCCGCAGCACCTGGCGGTCTTCCCGTGGATCTCTTCTCGTCTTCTGCATCTCCCACTCCCGCCGTTCAGCAGCAGCAACAGGCCCCATCTGCGGCGCCTGCAGGTCATCCAGTCTACAACGGCAACGGTCTGGAGGTGACCATTGCTACGCAACGAAACGCCGAGGGCGCCGTACAGGCGATGGCGCGTTTCCGCAATGTGGGTGGTGCGCCCGTGTCAGCCGTGGGTCTACAGGCAGCTGTGCCCAAGTCCCAGAAGCTGCAGTTGCTGGCCATATCGTCGGCCGACCTGGCTGCAGGCCAGGAGGCAACGCAGCTGATGCGGATTGTTGGTGTGAAAGGAGTAAGTTTTGCTTTTTGCCCCCCTCTCCTGGTTTGTATGTTATTTTATCACCAAGTTACTGACGATTTGCAGCCCCTTCGTCTGCGGCTACGTATCGGATTCACGCATCCCTCGTCCGGCCAAGTTGTCGAGCAGGTCAACTGGACCGAGCCGTCATGAGCAGCCGGTTGACTCATTGCAGGTCTCATTTTTTCACTTTTAGTTTCTCATTGCTTTTTGGTGTTTTGAGCAGCGAAATAGGGGACAGAAGGTGTGTTGCTATTGAATACACAAAGTGGTAGTCGTTTGTTTTGAGGGTATATACAGAATTGAAAAGTTGCGAGGTTGTGAGGCAGCATAGACCAAAAAAATCTCCGGTGGCGGAAAACGGAGACAACAGCTTCATTCAAAGCGTCACAAATAATACATTTTCCAACCACATAGCGGCTGTTAACAATCATGGAACACCATGTCAAAGATTGAGGTGCTGTGAAAACGTGACTAAATGGTATTTTATTAAAAGCACCGAGTAAACTAGAAAAAGACCAAAGACCCAGTCACTGACCGTCACAACTATTCAACGCCCTGACATGTTTACATGTTTTATCCCAATCACAGACGGAAATAAGAGGAAAAGAAAACAGAAAAGAAAGAAAAAGGAAACCATAAACAAATACGTAGCTAGCATTACTGTAACAGCCATTTAGCTGGTCTCGTAAAACCAGTACTGAGCTGCGTACTGCACCGTAAACTCAGCCGGCATGCCGGCACACTTTGCTGGCGGGCTGCCGCCGACGGTCTGCAGCCGGTACACCTCTTGCAGGCCGCCTGTCGTGGGCGCCGTGGCCGCCAGCTTCAGCCATGCCACGGCCGCCTCGCCCTGCTGGCCGCGGTTGTCCGAATCAGAGCCCACAACCGTGTCGCTGGGCGCACTCTGGGTGGCTGTCTTGCCGCAGGGGATCTGGCCGACCTGGGTGGTGGGGGTGTCCAGGTCGAAAAACGCCGTTGTGGCCGTCTTAAAGTAGTGGTGGCCCGACAGAGCAAGGTTGGTCGGGTAGAGGCGGGTGGAAAAGGCGGAAATCTCATTGTCTGACAAGTTGAAGGGCAGGACGACGCGGGGCAGCAGGTCGAGGACGTCGGGATAGCTGGCGGCGACGCAGCTGGCATTGAAGAGGGTGGCCAGGGCGCCGGCCGCGACGGGGACGGCGGTCGCGTTTGCGACGTCGCAGGTGTAGTTCTGGGTACCGCGGCCGATGGCGACGTGCTTGAGGACAAGGCCAGCCGAGGGCGGAGGCAGGGCCGGTGTGGCGGCTGTTTGATGTGTTAGTATGTCGAGTTCTTCTGCCACATATTCGCCTTCAGAATGGTCGTGTTGGGCACTCACAATTGGCGGGGAAGACAGCCTTGGAAAGATCGCAGACGGGTGCAGCTGCAGACTGGCGAGTCTGCTGGGCTTTCTCAGCTAGCACGTTGAAGTAGCTGGAGACAGTGTCGAGAGCACCGGGCATGGCATTGTTGCTCGTCAGCTCGGGGTAACTCGGCGAGGCCATGACGGCGACGGCGGCCACAGAGGCCAGCAGCAATGATGAGGCGTGCATTTTGTGTGTGGAAAGGTTGGAGGGGAAGTCGAAGAGGAGGAGACGGCAGCTCTAGTCGAGAGACGGTATGGGAGCTCTGACTATATAAGGCGACAGATAATTGGTGTCGTCAAGGGTAGAGAAGAAGGTGAGTATGTGTGGATACAAGAGGAGGCTGGATAATAGCAAAACAAGCAAAGCGGCACTATTAATATATATTTTCGGGAGGAACCAGTCCAGCAATGAAATAAAATGGATAAAGAGGAGACGAAAGGGAAGAAATAGAAAAGACACTGAACCGAAATGAAAAGAGAATAAGATAAATGAAAAATAAAAAAGACTTCACAACGTTGCCGAGAATGCTTTGTTTTCTAAAAGTATTGTCAAGATCTCGAGATGGGCGACACACACGTCTATTATACGAGGCTGGATCAACAACATGTTCGGAATATCCGCCGACAGTCTTGGAAAGAAAAAATAGAACAAAGAGCGACCTAAATTAAGGTCCACACCCTTGTCTCCTCTGAGCAATTGGGACGCTCCAAGTCCGGTCTCCCAGCGGCACGCCAGCAAAAAGAGAATCCTAGACGCGGCCGCATCGGCGGCCAACTGGGGCTAGCCAGGCAGGAGGCGTTTAACGCATCTCGACGGAAAACAAACACAATGGCAGAGAGTTGGGAGAGCAGAGATGGGGAGTACCCGGACTTGGCATGGAGCCCAGATTAGAAGCAGGCCAGGGTCCGCCGCGGGAGGACGAGACCAACCTGAACGATGGCTGGGAAGGCCAACAGACACAGAATGATGAGGACTGTGCGGAAGGAAAACAGAAGAGGCGGGCGTTTGCAGATCGCGGTCGAAATGAGGGACTGGGTCTCCCAGCAAATGGTAACGCAGAGGATAAAAGCCGGGGTCTGGTTGGACGAGCCTGGAGATCGTGCGGGAAGGTGCGACAGGGGTGGGTGGTATGTCGTACGGCAAGCACTATTGGCTCCTGCCTCTCAAACTGCAGGCAAAGTACGTCGTACGTTCAGTCAAGTTGTGCACGGAGTACTTTCATAACATAGCACGTTGAGTGGAATTCGACGTTCCCCTCTGCATGATTGCAAGAACGAATGCTATCAGAAGCCTCATGACGGTCGCGCATTTTACCAGCCGCTTGAATTGAGCAGATTCAGAACGGCAGTTTTTCCACTGTACCTATGACACGCGAATGAGGAGAATAAGCCATTCGTCGTCTTCGTAGTTTGCATATCCACATATGTATTACGTCCAACTCTGCACACGAAACCAATGCCGTCCTCCATACACAGCATCTGCTCAAACGCTCGAGCTCGAAAAGGGCGGCCGGTCGGACGCCACAGGCCGCCACAGGCCGCCACAGGCCGCCACAATGCAAAACAGGAAGGTGTGTCTCGACCTGCCGGACAGAGAAGGAAGGAACGAAAAACGGCGGGCAAAAGACCTCAGAGCGTGCAGGCAATGGAAAGGCGACGCACTGGCCGCCATCTTCTCTGTTTACCCCGGACGGCCTCTCGTTATTTTCCATAGACGAAAGTCGCATTTTGCCATATTCCAGTGTATTGTCGGCCTGCTATGTCCATTTGCCTCTCCCGTTCTCAGTGTGTACGGAAGGTCGTGTGGTGTTTTCGCCAGTGGCTCCTGCCGTCCTGTTTCCGCCCTCTGCTGGACTGTCGTTTTCTGTCTGAAAATAAATTAACTTTAGCGCCGGCGGCTATGGGTAGTTCCCCGCCGCAGAAGTGGGCAAAATAAGTGGGCCGTGTCTATTGTAAGACACAGCTCGACGAACTAATGCGGCCTGGGCGGTTCGATGGTTACCTGGCCTCTGGCCTATTCGCACATGTTCCTCCGCGTGTCGACACGTGCCAGGCCCTACAATCCAGTGCTGGAAATTTTGCTCTCGTGTTGGAATACGTCGTCGAAATGCAAGGCTTCCCGCCGCTACGATCCCAGCGAGCCGCCCAGAACCAGACGGCTGCCTGCTGCCGCTGTTTACCAAGCTAGGAGGCTAGTTGTGTGGCGGTAGGTGTGGCATATTCTTAGATTCATCCTAGATCAAGATGGAATTGATTGGATGTCGTGCGCCCGTTTGTCAGTGGCCTACCATTGTCCGCGGGTATCGATGTTGTATTGGTGAATGGGACACGATGCCGTTGTCTTGTATGTTGGAAGGTTGAGAAAGCAGTCAGAGCCTTTTCTCTCAGTCCCTTTTTAAGCCTTTTTCGGGGGGGGGGGGAATCGCAGAACCTAGAATCTCAACGACGTTGAAATCAAATAACGAGACACAAAGTAAGCCCACAAACCCCCTGCCCTTATATCCGAGAGGACCAGACAACAAAGAGGGCGGTCTGTGTACCTATTTACTCGGAAAAGCCTCATCTCAGAGCCGTCTTTGTGGACAGTGCTGTAATATGATGGCGACAAACACGACAGTGAACTTGTCAAACCAAGCACAACCTTAGCGCTTGGGTAACATCTAGCATCGGGGCGCGGCATATCAGCCGCCTGGAGAACAGCTTCGTCCGCCCGGAGATGCTTGATTCATCTCAAAGGGTCCTTTTATTTATTTTTGTTTTATTCATTTTCTCTGCCGGGACTGGTGGCCACCATCAACCAAACCATTATTGGGCCGTGGCCTTGCAAATCAGCCAACTGGCCTTGGTACTGGAAAACGCCCTTGTGTCTGTTGGCTTAGCTGCCGAACCGCTTGCTAGGCGAGGAGTAGTTGTTCCTTCGTGATCTAATAATGGCCACGCCAGATCGAGAGACCTTGGCTAAAACCTCCAACAGGTCTGAGAAAGGCACCAAAGACCAACACGTACGCACCCTCATACCGATGAAGCGCCCGTCGAATCTTGCGTCTTGGCTTCTATTGTCTTGGCCATCAGAGTGGGCCACATTGACTTGTTGACTTGCATGGAAGGGAGTGGCCGGTCCAGTAGGCCGGCGGCAGACGAGAATCGATCACGAGTGGAGGAGACAAAGCGAAAGAAAAGGTTTATTCGGGAGATGAAATAGACACAAAGCGCCAAAGATTGTAAACGCCGCTGTTCTTGCCTTCATGACATGATGCCACCACACACTCGCCGTGCTTTTCTTGCCTTACCCATCGGTTTCCAAAAATACACCTCCGCCTCCTCACTGGCCGCCATCGTGATTATGCCTCTCAAACCTGGCCGGCCTTGTCAAGGATTGAAGAAACAAAATCTGCTGGGGGAAGGGAGCGAGTATCAGTATCGCAAGAAAAACGTGGTCAAATGTGGAATCGAATTAAATAGGAATAGGGATCAAACAACCAATCAGAGGGCTACCCAAATAGAAACCAATAACACCGAATGCTCCATTTTACGTCCACGATTTCACGTCCATGAAATTCCGTTCCGCCAATTAAGGGAGGCCCTCAACCCTCAGTGACTAAAGCCTTCTTCCTGCCAGTCTCCATGTGAACTGGCGCCTCCATCGCCAGCCGCTCCTGCTGGTGCCGCCGCCGCCGCACCACTGCCACCTGCCGCCGCCGCCATTGCTGCGTCGTGCCCAAAGTTGCTCGCGTGTTGGGCGCTGTCCATGCCACTCATCCAGTACAGTGACAGGAACACCACTAGGTGGAGAGCCACGCAGTATGCCGCAAACAGGTTGCGGCTTGTGCGGCTGGACAGCACCATACGCGTGATTGAGTAGACGATCCGTTCAGGGTACGACAGCCGCCGGTATGCCCGCGCTGACTCGCGGCCGCGGAACGCCTGGAACGGCGACAGGTTGCTCTCGTAGGCCTTGCGGTACCGGTCGAGCGACAGACCGGACCCGTTGCCACCACCAATCGACACCGTCGACGGGTTCGGGTTGGTGGCATACGCCGAGGCCGACGACGAGCTGGCGCCACCGCCGCCACGGTTGTAGCTCGACATGTAGCGTGTCTTTTCGTAGAGGTTGAGGTTGTCCCTCTGCAGCGCGGCCACCTCTTGGCGCAGCTGCGACACGACCCGACGCTCGTCGGCCAGCTCCTGCTCCAGCTGCGTGATCCGGGCCTTGAACCGGTCGCGCTGTGCCGTAATCATGGGCAGAATGCCCGATCCGCCACCCATGGGCTCACCACCGCTCCCACCACCGCCCGAGCCGTGGGGGCTGAAGCCGCTGATAATCGACGACGTCGGTGACGTGGAGCGTCCCCCGGCACGGCGTCCACCAATCGTGGGCGTGTACCGGCTAACGTAGGTGCCGGCCACCGAGGCACCGGAGGGGAAGGCATTGGGAGCCTCGGCCTCGACCGTGGCCAGGTCGTTTTCGAGCTTCTCGGTCAGCTTCTGTAGCCGCTCGACGTCGGCGTTCCGCCGCGACAGGTCGTCTTCCAGCTTCGTGAGGCGCGACTGGAGGTCCTGGTGCGACACGCGCAGAATGGTCGCCTCTTCGGTAAGCTTCTTGTTGCGCGCCAGAAGCAGCTGCTCCAGCGTGTCGCCATTGCCCGCCTTGCCACGGGCACCCATGCTGCCGCCCAGGTTCGCATCGTCGTCGTCGCCCGTCGAAAACTCGATGCTCTTCAGCACCTCGAGCTCCTGCTTGACGTCTTCGTAGTCGCTCCACTTCTGCACCTTGGTCTTGAGCGTGTCGCGCTCCTCGCGCAGGAGACCGACCTCCCGCTCGAGCCCGCGCAATCTCGTGTCCAGGTCGCGCTTGAGGCCCTCCTTCTCCACCCGGTTGGCATCCAGCTTGCGCACGAGCGATGCGTTCTGTGAGAGCACTTGCAGGTACGCCGGGTCGTCCTCGACGGCCTTGGCCTGGTCGGGCACCGCTGATTTGGCCTGTGCGAGCTCCGTCAGGAGCTGCTCGTTGCGCGCCTCCACGTCGGCCAGCCGCGCCGACGTCCGCTCGAGGTCCGAGTTGACCATCTCCAGCTCGGCGCTCGTCACGTACGGCCGCTGGCCCTCCTCGCCTGCCTCCTTGGCATGGCCCAGGCGCTGGTTGACCTCGTAGCTGGCCTTGATCTCGCTAAGCAACCGGTCCTGCGTCTCGATCTTCTCCTCGAAAGCCTTTTCCTTGGCCTCCCAGTTCTCCTTCTTCTCGTCGAGCACCGCTGTCCACGACTGCTCCACGTCCTTGACTTTGCTCTCCAGGTTGTCCTCGAGCTGCTTGCGGGCCGTCAGCTCCGTCTGCAGCTTCGACTCGGTCTCGTCCAGCTGCGACGTGAGCTTTGCCACGGTGCTCTGCAGGTGGCTATTCTCCTCGGTGAGCTTGGGCAGCGTATCCCCGGCGACCAGCATGGAGTCGACCGACGCCTCGAGCAGTGGGTACGGGTCCGGCACCTCGGAGAGCGAATTGTACGCCTGGATGAAGGCCGAGTTGACAGACTTGGAGTGGTTCGTTATCAGGTCGATGAATGTCTGGTAGGCCTTGAGCAGGCCTTTGATCTCGGACAGCTTCGTCGTGTCGTCCATCTTGCGGAAATCCTTTGTCTTCTGCGCAAGGTCCTTGCGCTGCACGGTCGAGTCGCGCTGGTACGCAACAATTTCGGATGCAGTATTGTCGAGACTCGAAACAAGGGTCGTCAGGTCGACATCTGACAAAACACAAGATGTTAGTAACGTTCCTGTTTCCACAGCCTCGCCCATCACAGCGCCACTGCTCTCCCCAGGACAAGACGTACTCCGCCATGCCGAGATGGCCCCCTGGAACTTATTCTCAGCACCAGACCCCGTCGCTGCAGTATGGGATCCGGATCCGGCTCCATCTCCGCCCGGCACAGGCAAACCTGCCACGGCTGCTGCGTCGGCCATCGCTCAACGGACGCTCGGGCGAGACGGCTGGCAATATTCGATGGACAGAAGGCAGTGTCGCTAGAAATGAATAAAAGTCGAGTGCGGCAATGGCACAGATGGAAGAATCCGAACGAGCAGCGGGCTTCAATGAGTTGCTCGTTCGCTGGGACCGCTGCGAAATGAGACGATAATGGTTTGATTTAGCAATGGGGAGGTTTGAGAGGTGTCGTCGAGGTCGAAGGCCTGTCGGTTCTTTAATTAGAAAAGGAGACGCGAAATGCGGAGGAAGGAACGGCACATGTGCGTTCGAATACGTATGCTAAAACCGGCGTGGTTGCCCTGCAGTGCAGGTGGGCTACGTCGTTAGCTGTCCGAAATAGCAGGCGCTGAGGTCGAACTTGTGGGTCTCGTGGGACGCTAGACTGCATGGGTTGGGACAGAGCGGTCGCGCCTTCCTGTCCAGCAAAATGCCTGTGCAGACCAGCCACACCGGACCCTGTGGACGCTGCCTAGTGGGGGGAAGGTGCAAATGGACCCAAGCTCGGGTCGTTCCTGCAGGTAGCCTCGTCACCCTTTATCAGCTCCGAGTGCCTCACAATGTTACAGCAGGAGACATTATCACTGTATTTCGCACTCCGTGTTTGACTCCTAAGTTACCATCGCCACGGACCTCGCATTCTGCACCACTCTCTCGACGTTGCTGTAATTGGTATTTTTTTGACAGACGCACACTTTCAAACCGGACACCCCATTATCCAGCTTGTCGCACCTCTGCAGACTACGAGGGCCAGAAATGGCACGGCTCTCTTAACGACCTGCCAACGAAGCAAAGACCACGATCCCTCTGGACCACTGCTCCTAGAAGCTTGTATACGGCAGTCGGAGAGGTGTAGCTTTCTGCAATGGCTGCGGAGGCGGTCGCCAGCGGTGCCGATGCCACGGCGTTGGAGCGAGGGCCGTTTGTGTTGCGGTCGCTGCTGGAGAATGTCCCGCTTTCGGCCGATGGTACGGAGGAGGACATTCGGATCAATTGCGTCGACTACTATGGTAAGCAGCTCCAGTACCGGCCCCTATATGCTGTGCTTTTTCTTGGCAAGGACAACTGGCTGACCCCGTCAACCAGACGGCAATCTTTACGTGGGAACCTCTGCCTCGGAGCTGCTTCATTTCGTGCAACTTCCTCCCGACCCAGACGACGAATCCTCGACAAGTACATTTATGCTTGCCTCTAGGCTTTCTCCGCCGTTTACCGAACCAGCACATCCCCCAGGGCCGGCGAGGCCTGGCGTACAGCAGATCGTTCTGCTCCCGCCGGTCGGAAAGGCCTGCGTGCTCTGCAACTGGACGGTCACATTTTACTCGCTACCCGAACTCACCCCGATTTTTCGCGACGTCAAGAACTGCAACTGGATCGGCGGCGTCGACCTCAGCGAGGAGCTTGCAACGGGTCCGTCTCCGCGCGTGACCGTGTTGCTCTCCCTGAACCGCCGGCTGCAGGTCGTCCGCATCGGCGAGGATCCACGGGCCGTAAAGAACATAGACTTTGGCGCAAGTATACTCTCTGTCCGCCGTGATGCTATTGCCTGTGTGGCCGACGCCCGGAACTATGCATTGGTCCACGTGGAGCAGCAGCTCAAAATCCCGTTGATGAGCATATCCTCGTTGGACCAGCAGTCACCCGAAGCAGCGGCTGGCCAAGTCCAAAGCCTGAAGGCCAGCAGTGGCGACTCCGGCTTGTCTCGGAGCTCATCGAGTGCACAGGCGCACACGCGGTCAGCATCGACCGCGACACAACAGAGCGGGCACAGCCGGAGCACATCCCTAGGCAGCTTCATGACCGGAAGCAACTCTCGCTCATCGAGCCAACCACCACCGCCGCCGCCTCCCAAAGAAAATACCGAAGAAGGCACTGCTGGGCAGGACTCGACATCTCCATCAAAGCCATCATCTGTCGTTTCACGGAGCTCTGCAGCGAGTGGCGATGAGGTGGCCGCACAGCCATCCCTGACACCAGCCGTAATCTTACCACCACCGCCTCCACCCAAGCCGATCGCACCAGTGCTGAAGCCTCTTGTCGTGTCCCCAACTCCAGATGAATTTCTTATCGTGACTGGCACGGGACCGTCGGATGCCGGCATCGGTATGTTTGTCAATCTCGACGGTGACCCCACGCGCCCTACCTTGGAGTTTGAGAGATATCCTACCGAGATTGTGGTGGATGGCGGCGTTTCTGATCTCTCTTCATCACGTCCGTCACCCGGTGGCGGTGGCCCGGGCGACGAAGAAGACGATGGCTACATTCTTGCCTCAATATCTAAAGGCTCGGACGATGACCTCCGCTATGGCCTTGAAGTCCAACGCTGGGACAGTAATGTGGGTGAGGGTGAGGTTGGCAAGTTCTGGCTCGAGACACCCGGGAAGCAGAGTGGCACACCGGTGGGTGTGCACAAGCTTGTGGGAAGCCAAGAGTCGGTTGTCTGTGAAGTTGTTGACCGGCTGGCTCAGAAGCGGTTCTCTCTGCCGAAAATAGCACCAGAGCAGAAGTCCGCTCCCACGAAGAAGTACAAGAAGAAGAATCAAAAGAAAGAAACGCAGCCGAACGATGACACAAGCGCCAGCGGCCCAGAGACCCACGAGGAGGAAGATGCAAGCCGTAACCGAGCCGAAGTGGTCTTTGCTACGCGCCTTGCCAAGACGACTGGCCGCGTTGCCGTGTGGTCCGGCAATCGCATCTGGTGGGCTATGCGGAACCCTGTGGTTCTGCAGCTCGAGGCTGGTTTAGAGGCAGCCTCCTCCGAATCCAAGATTGCGCCGGAGACAGCAGACGAGAGGCGTGAGCTTTTCACCGTCTTAAAGTCACTGCGGGGCCGTGATGCCAAAACAGAGCTCGAGTTTGTCACCTTTAGCTATATTCGGCAGCGCGGCGGAGCTCTTTTGTTTATGGGCCTCCCTCATGCAACTGACCAGGAAGCATTCTCGGACGCAGAACTCAAGGCTCTGGAGGAGGTTTTACTGGACAGTGCACTGGACCCTCGCGTTCTCCTGGCCCTGGTTCCTGAGCTCCGCGACGAGATCATCCAGAGTCGAAAGGGCATCTGGATTTTTGGTGGCGTCAAGGATACATTCGAAAAATACTTGGCACGAGAGGCAGCAAACACGGACAAGGGCCAGGGCACTGTGGCGTCCCTCAACCCGAAACTGCTTCAATTCCTGCGGCGGTTTTTGATTGCCTGGCGGAAAAAGAAGGGGTTTGGCAGTGTTGCAGACGAGAGCGATGTTTTCCGGACCGTGGACGCGGCTCTGCTTTCCGTGCTGCTCGAGCTCGACCAGCACACTCCCAAGGGCCTTGCTTATGTCAAGCCCGACACTGTCCGTGGCGATTTGAACGACGTAGTTGACAAGGGCGTGGACTGCTTTGACCGCGCCGTTGAGCTACTCGAGTCGCACCACCGGCTCTTTGTTCTCAGCCGCCTGTACCAGAGCCGCAAAATGGCAGGCGATGTCCTGGCCACGTGGAAGCGGATCGTGGAGGGCGAGCGCGACGATGGCGGTGAGCTGGTGGACGGCGAGAACCGCATCCGTGACTATCTGTCCAAGGTCTCAAACCAGGCCCTTGTGCAGGAGTATGGCCTGTGGCTCGCCAACCGAAACCCCAAGCTGGGCGTGCAGATCTTTGCCGATGACAAGGCCAGAGCACCCAAGTTTGAGCCGACGCAAGTCGTGCCGCTCCTGCGCGAACATGCACCAGGAGCGGTGAGGTACTACCTCGAGCACCTTGTGTTCTCCAAGGGCCACTCGGCATATGTCGACGAGCTGATCTCCTACTATCTGGAGGTCGTCACGGTTGCCTTGCGGTCCTCCAAGGCGGCCCGCGACACCATGTTCGCGTCGTACGGCGCCTACCGCGCTCTCCAGCCGCCCAAGCCGACGTTCCACCAGTTCCTCGCAGACAACGCTGTACCGGGTGACGAGGAGTGGCAGAGTCGGCTGCGCCTACTGGAGCTGCTAGGCGGCCCGCATCCGTACGATGTGGCCGCCATCCGCGCACGCCTGGCGGATTCACTACCGGCAGACCAGCCGGCCGAGCGTCTGCTGGTGCCCGAGACCATTATCCTCAACGGCCGCGAGCACCGCCACGAAGACGCGCTGCGACTGCTCGTACATGGCTTGGGCGACTATGACACTGCCGTCAAATATTGTTTGCTGGGCGGGTCGAGCCTCTACGACAAGGTCCGCGATGCCACCGTCGGCAGCGCCGCCAGCAACAAACTGCCACAGCGCCGCGAAAGCCTGCCGCCCACGGTCGAGACGCAGGCCAAGCTGTTCCGCACGCTGCTCGTCGAGTTTTTGGCCATTGAAGACGTGAGTGACCGCATCGAACAGACGGGTTCCCTTCTGGGGCGGTTTGCTGGCTGGTTCGACGTATTGGACGTCCTTCAGCTGCTGCCAGACTCGTGGTCCATTGAGGTCACGTCGGGGTTCCTGGTGCACTCGCTGCGAGAGCTCGTGCGCGACCGGAACCAGAGCACAGTGGCTCGCGCACTGAGTGGCGCAGAGAATCTGCGGGTGCACGACGAGCTTATCACAAAGGCAGATGAAATAGGGCCTCGGGTTGAGGCAGAGAACTGATGGTCGTGTAAGAATGATTTGGACAACAGGAGGGGTGACTAGTGGACGGTGTTGGCGAGCGTTTTGAGCCTCTGTTACGCCAATGTAACGATTAGCTGTACTGTTTGACTTTGAATATAGAAGCAATCTGAATATAAAAAGAACCAATTATCTATATTGGTGTGACAACATGTGTCATCCGACCCATCCTAGAACGCCATATGCGTACACTCCAGCGTCAGCATCTCGGTACAGAGATGCGATGACCGTTCGAACAGCAAAATAAATATATAAAAACAAATCCCAACAGATGATAGTACAGAACGTAAAAGGGAAACATGAAAGACCAAAGGTAAAGACGAGTCGGAAACCGAAAAGAGAAAAAGGAAACCCTACTTGGAAGGGAACACGGCACGCCTGAAGGGATGCGCCTCGGTGTTAAATACCCATTCGTCGAGGCTGAGAACGTCAAAGTCCTCAAAGACGAGGTAAAAGTACTTGAGCGTCTCGGCCAGCCAGAAGCTCTCCATGCGGTCCATGAGCGCATTGGAGTCGCCCCGCAGCACATCCTCGACGGCGGCCGCGGCGACCTGGCCCTCGTTGCCAGAGCCCGGCGCCGCACCGGTGTGGCGCACCACGTGTTGGAACATGCGCCAGGCCTTCTCCTGCCACTGCTTGTCGCCCGTCAGGCGCCACATGACAAAGATGGACTCGATGGCCTCCGGCCGCAGCAGGTAGTGCGGGTTGTCGACGTCGAGCATGCCCGGAGGAATGCGGCCCTCCTTCATAATGTTCTCGACGCCGTCGTCCACGTTGCCATCGCCGCCGCCGTTCAGGCTGGTGCTGTGTTAGTTCATTTTTTTACAGTATGATTATCGGCATATTTTGGGGCAGAATACGCTGCGTACCTGACTTGCTTCCAGTGCTCCTTTAGGGCAGCACGCCACTTGTCTTCCGAGTAGACGCAGCGCAGGCCCGTCTGCAGCTCGTTCGGGCCCCCACAGGACGCAAAGAAGAACTTTTCTGGGCCAATGCCGGTGGCCGTCACGTTGTACGACCACACACAACCGTCGGTCAGCTGGGCGGCCAGGTCCATGTTGTCGTTCTCGTCGGGGCCACCGAACGCACGCGCGGCCAGGCCGACCATGCCGCCCGCAAAGCAGCCAAGGTGCTCGCCGCGCGCCGTTGTGGCAATGGCCTTGCCCGTCATCGGGTCGTCCGTGACGCGGGCCTCGCCCGGCAGAAGGAGCTTCAGGTTCCAGGCGTTGACGACGCGGCGGAAGATGTGCTTCTTGGCGACGGGCAGCCACTTCTCGTACATCTGGCGCGGCTGGTCGAGGGCGCCGCCGAGCAGCAGCCACTGCTTGGGCAGGTACTCAAAGAGCGAGTCGGCCTTGCCGTTGATGGTGAAGAGGTTGTCCTGGTCGAACGCGGGCTTGGAGGCGTCGATCTCGACGGGCCACATGCCGGGCAGCCGCGTGAGCTGCTGGTGCTCGGCGAGCACGTCCGAAATGCGCTGGACGGCGTCGTAGAAGCGCACGTCGCCGGTCAGCTGGGTCAGGCGCGTGAACTCGAGCGAGAGCGTGCCAATCTCGGCCGACAGCATCTTGGTGGGCGCCGACGTCTGCATCTCGCCCAGGGCGTACGCGAGCCAGTCCCAGCGGCCCATGGGCAGGCGGTTGGGCGTGTCAAACGCGCCGAGCAGGATCTCGCCAATCTCCGTCGCCTTGTGCAGCAGCTGGGGGTAGGCCTTGCCGCTGATCTCGTAGGCACCCAGGAAGCCGCCCAGATAGCGAATGGTCGTCTCAAAGACGTGGACGGTGTCGGCATCGGTGACGCCAAAGTCAATGGCCTCGCAGGCCCGCACCGCCATGCGGAACTCGTCGCGCAGGCCCAGAATCCAGAGCGTGTCGAGCGTATCGACGAGCGTGGCCGACCAGCCGCCCAGCTTCTCGTAGTCCTGGCGCGGCGTGGCCGACAGCGGCTGCACCTCGTCGGCCATCCACGCGTTCTCCTTGTAGCCCTCCCAGCTGCGCAGGAAGCTGGCCTTGACGGCCTCGAGGCGCGCCTTGCGCACGTCGCGCTCCTCGCTGGTCTCCTTGGGCTTGGGCTTCTGGATGGCGGGCACAAGACGGCCGGCGGCGGCGGCGTCCGAAGCGGGCAATGGCAGCTCCTTGAAGGAGGTCACCGGGTAGCGGTCGGGCAGCTTCTCCAGGCGCAGGTAGTCGGAGCTGGCCTGGCCCTCCTCGTGGTGCGGTGGTGGCGGGATTTTGACGGGTGGTGCTTTGGGGATGGGGCCCTGGTGCTTGTAGCGGTCGAGGATCTCCGGGTCTCTGCGCATCAGGACGTAGAAGGCGCCCACGAATACCGCGGCGATGATGACAAAGGTGCGCCAGCGGCGCATTGGGCCGAACATGGTGGTTGTGCTGTGTCGGGACCGCCGCACTGAATGGAATGGAGAGGGAGAGATCAAGTCTTCGAGTCGGCTTTCAAGATATCGCAAAGTCGCGATGCCGAGAGTCTAAATCAACAATTCGGGTTCGGGACGGCACGTCTGAGCGTTCGACGTCATCGGCCAGCGGATATGTCTGCTTTGGAAACTGGACACAACATGCGCAAAAAGACACTGAGCAAAAAACGACAGCCAAAACGACGAGAACCAAAACGATACGACAATGGAAGAGACGAAGTTGAATGCCCCTTCTTCTCCGATCCGCTAAAGGGTGTCGGAGTTGACATGTGGAGCTCCTTCTCCTTTTTGTGTGGTGGATGGCCTCCTTCCTTCCCAGAAGTCGAAGATAGGGGGCCTAGTCGGTTGCTTGCATTTTGGTGCCAATGTCACAAGGAAATGAGTTGCAGCAACACGCTAAGCGCGACCCAATAGCGGAGACTGCAAATGGTAAGCTGCGCAGAACACGCAGGTGCGACTGGCGCGCGCCGGTGGTGTCTTGTCTTACTGGCGGCCACTGAGACAAAATAATAGGGGCTCTGGGGAAGGAACGGCCAAACCTGCAAGAGCCAGACCGCAATGCGGGGCCATTCGAAAGTGACCTCTCCTTTTCGAAAGAGCAATACGACGGACGGTCATCTACAGTAGACTTGCGGAGGAGGGCGCTTTTGGCCAAATATTCCCAATAACCAGCGGCGAAGAAGGCCTTTAATCCTCTTCGTAAAATGAAGGTACTTGGTGAATTGGGGCGCGCCAGTAACAAAAAATACACTTTTAATGTAGAGTCCCCGTCTGGCCCACATTGCGCCGTCTCAAACGACCTGCCCAAGGTCCCGGGACGGGCGAAATGCATACATGCCACTATTCTTGAAAATTTTAAAAAAAAAAAAAAAAAAAAAAAAAAAAAAACAAAAAACTTTCGAGGTCCATCCATAAGGCTGAGAAGGAGGAGGGGTGCGTTGTGGTCAAGCATCGATCGAGATGGCCAGAGGCAGATAAGAAAGGGACCGACCAGCGCTAAGAGCACTGCCACGCTCGGTCCTGCATCTTGTTCCTGAGTTCCAGTATACGGGTGGGTGCCAGCTGCGGCGGGCAACAGACGGACTCCAGAGGTTTGGTTGGCAGGCTGGATGCCATGTGGCTATGGTTAGGGGCAGCTCGTTTGTGACACGTTTTTGCCTGCCTCATTGTTTACGAGAATAGCAGATGGCTGGTGGTTGCAGGTACTCGCCTGAGACGGTCTCGTCGGCTGTTGGAACGGCCCGTATGTGTAACAAGCGGGAGGGAATAAAGGCGGAGCACAAAGTGCGGTAAAGGTAACATGTGGGCAAATAGCTTTGTTCGTTTTGGGAGAATTGTTCCATAGAGTCGTCAACAAGGTACTCTGCAAACACGGTGTTGTGCGAGACGGAATATATCACGAGAGCAACAGACATTGTACAACGCAGCTATTGGCGCATAGTCTTTGAGAAGGACCAAAACATAGTAACAGCCTCGTCCAATTATTGTAAAAGTGGACAACACAACGGTATGACAGCTATGGTCGAATAGTTGAGAGTTGAAAAACAAGAGACAAAAGAGGGGAAACAAGAGCCACTGCCACTGGGTCTCCTTTTTTTAAAAGGGAGAAAGGAGGAGAGGGCGGAAAGGACAGTCCAAAAAATCCTGCTGCAAACATGCAAAACATGGCCACCGTTCATCGTCTCATCATCACGCGAGGGTGGGCCCCAACTTATTTCTGCATCATGAGCTGGACGAACTCGTTGTCTGTGGGAGCGAACATTGTTAGCGGTGTGCCTGGGGAAGGTGACAGTGGTGGGGAGAAGTATGACGCATACAGTCAATCCGGCCGTCGCCGTCCTGGTCGGCCTCACGGATCATCTCGTCGACCTCCTCGTCCGTCAGCTTCTCGCCGATCGACGTCATGACGTGGCGCAGCTCAGCAGCCGAGATGAAGCCGTTGTTATCGCGGTCGAAGACCTTGAAGGCCTCGCGGATCTCCTCCTCGGAGTCGGTGTCCTTCATCTTGCGCGCCATCATGGTCAGGAACTCTGTGGATGGTTAGCCATTGTCGACCCCGGATAACCGTGTGTCATAATGCAGCGAATTGCCACCGCAACACGTGTTTTGGATCTCTTCATTCCTCCTTATCTCTTATCCTCGCATCATGCCACATTCAACGGTCAAACGTACCAGGGAAGTCAATGGTGCCGTTGTTGTCGGCGTCGACCTCGTTGATCATGTCCTGCAGCTCAGACTCGGAGGGATTCTGGCCGAGCGAGCGCATGACGGTGCCGAGCTCCTTGGTGGTGATCTGGCCTAGGAAGAGGGAAAGAAAACAGCGTCAGTTCGACTGAAGGCCACGGGTTTGCGGACGGTACGAAACGGCGGTCAGCCGAACGCATTCGAAAAAGCACATTGAGAAGTTTGACTAACCATCGCCGTCCTTGTCCTATTCAGCCCAAACAATAAAAAAGAGGTTAGCAAAACGCCGTTGTATCGGGAGCGGGATAGCGCCGAAGCTCAAGCCAAGCGTCAAACGGGGTGGCGATCCGGGAGAGGAAGAACATACAAACAGAGAGAAAGCCTCCTTGAACTCGGAGACCTGCTCCTCGGTAAGTGACTCGGCCTGGCATTGCGCGTTAGTTGGTGTCCAAAGCAAAAATCGGAGCCAAAACTCATACGAGGCGGTTTCGGTCGAGACCGTCGCCGCAGGGCCCAGTTGACGACCAGAGCACGAGGGCGACGAGACGAGGACGCGGAGAGACGAACCATAATTGCGAAAATGTGCTGTGTGGGCTTGACGAAAAGAACGGTGTGCGGTTTGGCGTGGAGTCGAGAGTGACGATGAAGAGTCAAGCGAAAACGAAGTGCTGGGGCGGATTGGTGTGTAGAAGGGAGAGCTTGAAGCCTTGGCGAACGGTCGTTGTTGCCTCGCGCGGGTGGGCTGTTATTATATTGTCGGTGTACGACGTAGTAGGGCAGAAGTTTTCTTGCGCTGCAGGAGCACCCCAGCAGAAAAAAGGAGGGGAGAAAGGGGGGAAAGTGGTTTGTTGACGCTGTGTAGTGACAGGAGCCAGGTCGAGCCAGCTTGGGAAAGAGCGGGGCAGAACGAGTTGAGGCAGGATGCACGGAATAGTAAGGCGGCCTCGTACGTTCGCCTGGGGGGTTCTTGGCCTGCGAATTGACAATTGGCCAGTTTGTGATCCTGCGCCTAGAACCGAATCAAGGCCCAGCCTGGGCGAATGCGGCTCACTGCAGCAATTTCCTGGCTGGGATTAGGCCTTGCCGATGAACAACATGGCAGTTAGGCTCACTCCCTCCTGCCAATCTCAGGGCTAGCGTTGGAGAGCTGAAAAACCAGGCTATGGAAACTCGGTTTGGTGCATATGTTGTCCCCTTCCGAAACAGTGGTGTGCGGGTGCTGACGCCCTGTTGGAAGAAGCATACAAAGAACTGACTCGGTGGGCTCCAGTGGATTCCAGTGCAGCGGCCGCCCCAATAGTGCTCTCCCAAAAAGCCCGGCTCGGCAGGTTTGGGCTAGCGCAGCCGCTGTCGCATGCAACGGTGCTACTGGCCAGTGCCTCACAGCTGCTTCCGGATTCCGTCAGCGACTTTCAAGCAGCCACACTCACCATCGTGACATTGAGAAGTAACAATTGAGGAATCGCGACCACGTCATCATACTGCCTACTTGAACACTTCACGAGCTGCACCAGTAGCAGATACACTGTTCAAAAACTTAAACGGCCCCTTATCTCGGCGACATCGTTGCTGTTCCAACAACCCTGCGCCTCCGAACCCAGCAGCTTTCCAGCTTCTTCAAGACAGACACAGACAAACGAGCATACGGTTTCCCACCCCGAGCTGCCCGAGCTGCCCACGTGCGCCCTCGTCCCGGTTCTGCGGTCTTCCTGTACCTGTTCCAAGCAGCGGCGGCGGCGACGATCCCGCCAGCGTGTCCGCCATGTGGCGTGACCGCACCAACCTGTGAGCCCCTGGCTCCTCATCGTCCGAGTACATTTGACAGAGTGAGCAGCATCTGACCAGTTTCTTCTCCACCGTGCTCTAGCTACATATCCTACCGCCAGTCCTATGCACACCACCCGGCGACACGGACACCGAAATACTATGGCGGCCTCGCGAGCAGCTCGTCCGCCGCCGCGGGTGGTGACGAGGACCGCCGCGGCCTGCTCTCGGCCGACCCTTTCTACGACCAGGCCGACGACCTGGGCGGCTCGCCGGGGGACGCCGTCATTGAGATGGACGTCTTGCCGCCGCGCTGGGCCGACATCTCCGACGAGGTCGCCGAGATCCTCGGCGACGTCGCCCGCCAGAGCCAGCTGCTCGACCGGCTGCACCAGAAGCACGTCCTGCCGGGTTTCAACGAGGACGAGGCGGCGAAGCGCGCCGAGGAGAACGAGATTGAGCGGCTGACGCAGACGATTACGCGCGCGTTCCACGACTGCCACGGCTGCATCCAGCGCGTGGACCACATGGTGCGCGAGTCCAAGAGCCAGGGAACGCTGTCGCGTGCCGACGAGACCATGGCCAAGAACGTGCAGATCTCGCTGGCGGCGCGCGTGCAAGAGGCCAGCGCCAATTTCCGCAAGAAGCAGAGCGCGTATCTCAAGAGTGAGTGCAAACGGGGCAGCCTGGAGGGGCGACGGCCACGCTGGTTGTTGGACACTAACGTTTGCAGAATTAAAGGGCTTCTCCGGCGCGGACCGGGCATCGACGCCCGTGGGCGGTGCCAGCACGTCGGGGAGCAACTACGCCGCCGACCCGTCGCTGCTGGAGTCGGACGCCGACCGCTCCTTTTCGCAGTGGGCCCTGCAGCAGTCGACAACGCAGCAAAAGCAAGCACAGTCGAACGACGCCGTTATTATGCAGCGGGAGCGCGAGATTGAAGACATTGCGCAGGGCATCATCGACCTGTCCGACCTGTTCCGTGACTTGCAAAACATGGTCATCGACCAGGGCACCATGCTGGACCGCATTGACTACAACGTCGAGAACATGAACACGGACGTCAAAGCGGCCGAGAAGGAGCTGGTTGTGGCCTCGGGCTACCAGAAGAAAACGACCAAGCGCAAGATTATATTGCTATTGATTCTGATTGTGGCCGGCATGATCATCTTGCTCATTATCAAGCCCAAGAGGCATGGCGGCGGTGCAGGAGAGGCAGCACCACCAGCGTCGCCCGATGTGCCGCCATTATTATAACAAACTGAACGAATGCGCCTTTGTTGGCCGGGTTTCATTTTCTGTTTTTAATCACATACAACGCCCTGCAGTTAGCGAGCAGGTAGACAGTTGTTCCTGTTTCTTTCTTTTCCATTTTTTGTAACATTTAGGAAGGCGTCAACATTGTTTGTATATCACCATCATTTTTCTATGGTCGTTTCCTTAAAAATTATGAAAGAAGGGGTATCTAAAGTAAATTTGTACAAGGTGTCGTATGAGATTTTTGGCATATGTGCGGGGCCATGTGGAGAGTAATAGTCGCCTGCCCATTACGCGGTCGGTGATGGCGACTTCTTGGAGATGACTTCCATAAAGGCGTCACGAGAGGCCTTCTTTTTGTCGCCCGGCCGCGTGAGCTTGCTCGCAAACGACGCTGCCACTGGTTTGACAGCTGCCAGCGCTTGCTTGAGCACCCGGAACTTGGGAAGCAGCGTGTCCGTCCTTTGGCCAGCTTCGAGGCTCTCTGTGTCGTGCCCATCACTGGCCCAAGCCGCATCGCAAAAGGCCTTGACCTCGCCCAGCTTGAGCTGGTTCGCGGCGCGCGACGGCTGCCAGTATCGGGTCGACATGGCCTCGGGTCCGAACAGGGCGACAATGCACACCAGCGTCTCGGACCGCACGCACGACTTGGACACGTCGACGCCGCGGTCGCGCAGCATGGCGAGCAGGCGGATGCCACCAGCGAGAGAAAAGTCGCTGGGTGTGGCATCGCTTGGTGGCGCTGGGATATAAGGTTTCTTGGGCGAGACAACCGTGTCGCCTGTACCCTTTGGCGCTGCCGGCTTTGGTCTGGTCAACCGGACCTTACGGGCGCCCTGCTTTTGCCGATACGCCGTCTTGCGATGAAAGTACCACCGAACCATCGATGCGACAATCTCTTCGTTAAAGATGAGGCTCAGTGGATGGAGCGGGTGGTTGCACGGCAGATCGCGTGGCAGAAGGCGGTAGCCGAGGTCAACAAGCTTCTCTGTCTCGCCCCGGACAATGTCGGGAACGTCGGCGATGTTCGCTTTGAATGCGGACGTTTCGTCTATCGAAGACAAGACGGACGAAGACGATGTGGAGGGCGGTCGTGCCGGTGGAGGGGCAGAGGACGCTGTCGGGGACACCGGCTTTCTCGGCAGCCTTGCTGTTTGCAACGACACATACTGATCCACAATGTCGAGCGCCGTCTTCTCGAGGTCGTCAAGCCGGCCCAGTCGCCCGTACACGAGCAGTATATTCTGCCACGCCTCTGTTGCCACGGGCAGTCGCATTGCTAACAGCCGCCGGCACAAGGCGGCATAAAAGTCGACATCCGGAGGTGCGTTGGGATCAAATTTTGCTGGCGCTTCATCCAATATGAAATGCGACAGACTCTCCCAGGTGGCAGGAGTGATCTCCATGCCACGGGCGGAGAACTCGTCCAGCAGGCGCAATACGGAGCCCTTTTTTTTCTGGGTTACACACGCCATAAGCAGCTTGTTTGACGATGTCTCCAACGCATCTTCCGACACAGCGAGGCGCACAGCAAGCACGAGCCGGTGGGTCTTCCAGTCACCCGTATACATGGCCGAGCCGAGAACAGACCGCTGCAGCACAATGTCGTCAAAGACCGCCGGGTGCAGCGAGGACTGCAGCAGCTCATTCAGCGTCGCCGCATCGCCCGCTCTTGCGAGGTAGCGGATGGCCTTGGAGTAGTTGGCGCTGCCAATGCTGATATGGCACTGCTCGAGATGCTCCAGACTCCGCAGAACGCTCGCCGGGTCGCCGCTGCGCAGGGCTATTGACTGCAAGGACAGCGGGCCAATCTCGTCGATGCCGAGGTTGTAGATCATGTTGATGGCCGTATCCAATGACACCCATTTGGTGGCAAACCACTTTGAGCCGATCTTGTCGTTGAACGACTTTTCCTGTATACCAAAGGTCTCGCCGTGGACACGGTTCACCAAATGAAACAGGTTGGTCGGCAAATCCGGCGCTTTCGGCGCGGGCTTCGGCGGCTGGGGCGAAAGGTACTGCGAAGGCTGTGTGTTGACAAGAAACTGCTCTTTTGGCGCGAGCTCCGTTTCTGGGTAGTAGCCGGCCACAAACTGCAAGAAAGGCCGGGAAGAGCTCGACGCGGGGAGGTCGTCGTGAAGGATGAGCGTCTCGCGCCAGGCACGGGCGAGGGCCGAGTGGCCGTGCGACCATAGAAGCGGCACAATCGTGTCGTACAGTAAGCGATGGCGACTAGTCGCATAGATATATCGAAGTGTCTCTTGGAGCTCTGGGTGAGGATCGGTGATGTACGACTTGAGCAGGTCAAAGAAATCCCGCTTTGGTACAGAGAAATGTGGGCTGAGACGCAGGTGCCACTTCAGAGCAGCGTCGTAGTCGCCACTGTCAAGAAATGACGAGACAACCAGGCGGTAGTAGTGTGGCCATCGGGTGCCGCGTGTATCGTGCATCCACTCGGCGTAGGCCCACGTGCTCTCGAGGAAGCTCGCATCGCGCGATTCCAGAGCCGCTCCGACGACGGACATCCAAAACGCATTGGCCACGACGCCGTCTGTTTTGTAGAGCTGGCGTCGCAGAAAAATCTCGTGCCAAACGACAAGCGCACCGTCACTGTCGCCTCGCCGTTGTGCAAAGTTAAAAATAGCACTCCAGAGGCTCATGTCAGAGGCATTCTCGGGGCGGTCGACAGACCGCTGTACATTGCCGGCAGATGCTGCTACCGAAGGAGCCAGGCCGGACTCAAACATGAGGCGGTCGTAGTCGAAGACGAGCTCGCGCCATTTCCCGTAGTGCTGTGCGCCGAGCATCAACTGTCCTGGCCGTTGCGATATGTTCCAGCGGCCGACAGAGGCGGCGGTCGGTGGGCGGGTCGCTGCATCGTCCTTGCGGTCGAATGCAAAGGGTCCTCGAAGCTTCAGATGGTCCGGGAAGGCTGGCAATGACGACGGCGCGTTGCTTATATCGTAACTGCTGCCATGGTCCGTGCTGCTTCGGGCCAGCACTGGGGATGCAGCGGCCGAGTTGAAACGGAAACCGATGCGCTCCTGGAAGCTCTGAGAAGCCGGCCGTGGTCCGGACGTAACTGCCGGCACATAACCTATGCTGTATGTGCCACAGGAGCTTCCGAAGAGCGCAGAAGCCGGCGCCAGACAAGATGGTTGCGCGAGCCTCAGCTGCAAAGACGCTGGGCGCATTGCTTATGGCCGCGGCGGCGCAGGCAGACGGTCTTCACAGGCATAAGACACCATGACAAACGGCTGCCAGGATGCGGTCATTGGGGCCAGAGGTCTTCGTTGGCGGTCAGAAGTACTGAACAGTGGCAATAATGAGGCTGCACGAGGCGTTTGTCGTCGTCGATTGACGGCTGTGATGTCTTAATTTGGGAATTTTTGTAGCTCACTGTGTTTTCTTCTGTTAGTGAAAAAATACAGCAGGCGCGTCCCCTGGAACCACCTAAAAGAAGGCAGGCACGACCAGGGAGCATTCATGCACTAAAACGAAAATCCCGACTCACGCAGGCTTAGTCACCAAAGGCGTCGCTGGCCAATCGGAAAAGACGATTTTCCGGCAATCCTTCTTCCCCGTCTTTCCTCGGGTGACGCCACGGCCAAATCAAAAGCTTTCATGCTGAATCGAACCACCACCCTCCTTTGGCGAAGATTCCCTCGCAGCACGCACAACGGTCAACCACGACAGCCCGCCTCTACATCCAAGAACTACGTCCAATTCAATCGTCTCCAGCCGTCACAATGGGGTAAGCCACTTTCCCACTACGAGAACAACCATTGAGCGCTCTCGGGGCTTGCCAATGGGTCGCTGTCGGGCGCGAACGGCTTTGCGATGCCGCGTGAGCGAAATAGAACCGGACGACGTTCGATGACGCTGCGGCATCCACCACTTGCAGCGACGACGACAGCGACAGCCTGGGAAGCTTTGACCGTCGCGTTGATGTCCCGAACATCTATCTAACACGCTTCTGTAGTATCTTTGACGGCCCGAACAAGGTCCCGCAGCACCAGCGCGAGTACCAGGCCGCGTACCGCCAGCACGTCCGCATCTGGAACATTGTGAGTCGCCCAATCACGATCGATTGAGACGAGCGTACTCGAGACGTACTCGAGACGTACGCGAATGGCTGGAATTCGAGCTAACATGTCGATCACAGAGCCCACGCAGCCGTATCATGATCGTCCCCTACACGATTGTCCTTGCTGGCACCGTCGGCGGTACGTTTCACTCCTCCGATTGTCGGCGGTTTCCATTTGTAGTCGAAACCATACTAACGATGTTCTCATAACAGCTGGCTTGTACGGCATGGGCCGCAAGGTCCTCGGCTACACCTCGTACGTGTAAGCTGGACGCCGCGGCGCGAGGTGGAGCGAGGACGAACGATAGACTTTGAGTCGGCGGGTGGATCATACCCACGGATGTGATACTGAGATACGGTAATCGGAAATACAAAAATAGATTTTGCATTTGTGCATTGTTGCGTCGTGGTTCACTTTGCCAGGGAGTATGTCAAATGTGACTATTACAATTGACGTGCGGTGCTGTGTTTATGGTTGCATTCGCTATTATGGTGCTACCATACAGCCAGCACACATGTGCTTTTATTTTATCGTTTTCAACATGAAAGGCCGTCAAAGGATTCGGGGAAAGCAAAGGGGTGAGCATAAAAACAAAAGAAAAGTAAACATAAACAGAGACACCATATCCCCCGAGACAACCTTCCATATTAGATTTACAGATGCAAACTCGTTCCGCCCCCCTTTGTGTCTCCCTTTTATTCGCTTGCTTATTGCCAACTGAGTTTGCATACCTGAGTAGACGCAGCGCGTCTCTAGCGAACGCTACCACGCCCCCCATTCACTCGCTTCCGAACGTTGTCTTAGTCGAGAAGGCCGCCGTTGAACAGGCCATGAGCAAGAACGGGGCCACCAGACGACAAGGGAGAAGACGCAGGAGTGGCAAAGGTAGGAGCAACGGGAGCAGCAGGCGCAGCAGGAGCAGCATGAACAAGAGTAGCCGCCGGGACCGAGGGCGCCGTCAGCTTGAAATGGTTCGTGCCGGTGCCGATGCACGAGTCCACGCTCTTAAAAGCTATCTCCTAGTAGCCCTCCGCGCCCGGCGCCTTCTCGTCCTTGCGCAGGCTCATCAGCAGCTCGCGGAAGCGCTCCTTGCCGGACCCGGCAGCGCCGCCCTTGGCGCCCTTGCCCGAGACGTCGACAATCTTGGCAATGCGCTCCCAGCTGGTGCCGCCCGAGGTGACGTCGTCGCGGTTGTTGAGGAAGGTCTCGGCCTCCTTCTTGGTCGCGCCGACCAGCTTGTCTCTCTTGTTGTTGTAGTTCTCGTAAAAGTCGTCAATGTTGCGCTGGGCCTCGGCAATGGTCTCCTCCCGCTGCTGGGCAAACTGCTGTGCGCGTTTGGCGTTTTGCTCGTCGCGCTTCTCCCGCCAGGCCTTGAGGACCTCGGGCTCCTCCTCGTCCTCGACGGTGGCGTTGTAGCCCGACTTGAAGTCGACGGACGGCCCGCTGGTGATGGTGGTGGTGGCGGCCTATACAGTTAGTGAGATGATGCACAGCAGCAACGCTGGCGTCGCACGCAGATGCACGATGCACCAGGAACGCACCTGGTTCTGAGCGGAGAGATCGGGGAAGCTGCTCTCGAACTGGGCGGTCTCTACGCTGTCGCCGCCGAGCAGGTTGTCGTCGCCACCAGCCGTGAATGCTGCGCTGTCGCCGGGGGTCGTGAACTGGTTGGCATCGTCGCCGAGGATGGCCCGCTCGCGAGCCAGGAAGTCGTCGCCAGATGCCTCGATGGTCGTGCCTTTGATGTCGGTCTGGGCTGTAAGTCGAGACGAGGGGGAAGGGTCAGCGCATGTCTAATTGAACGGGTAGAGGCCAAATCAACGCGCAAAGAGTTTGGCAAAAACTCAGAGCAGCTGCAAAGTCAACTGAGAGCCTACAGGGGAGCTGCAACGTACCGCCAGAGTCAAAGTCCTCCAGCGAAGGGAATCGGTCCGCCATCGTTGTCCGTTTGGAACGAGTCGCGAGATAGGGGGTAGTCGGAATAGGAGGGTCTGTAAAGAGGTCGTTGGGAGAAAAGATCAAGGTAACACCGGATCAGTTGTGATGGTAGATCGGTCTGCCGGGTGTTGGGAAATTCGTGTATTGGATTGTAGAGCTGTCGATTGTCGGCTTCAGGGACAGGAGGAAGTAGGTCCAGCGATCTGTAGTCAACAGCGAAAGCAGGGTAGCACCGTTTGATGACGAATTCGTCTTGCTGCATTCTGTTTATAAGGATATATTAGAAAGCCCTAGCTAGAGCGCTGTCTCACTAGCCGGAACAGGACTAGCCGCTGAAGCTTACCTGTCCGCGACCTACATGTACTCGTGCGACCGCGCATATCAGAGTCGTATTGTTTTGGAAATGAAATTGTACTCACAATACCTGCTTCTCTTCTATCATCTTCCCCCAACGTGCCTTTTCCGCCCACCACAGCTCCAGCTGCATCACGACGAGCAAGCGTATTTTCTTGTCCGTGCCGCAGCGAGTCTTTTCGGCGTAGTTCCTTGTTGTTCTCTTTGCAATTAAGCAGCCTGGTCCATGTGCTTGTCTGCGGTGATCAAAGCCACATCTGGAGAACCGACGTCTTTAATGTGTCCTCGTGCTCTCCAAGACGTCTGTTCGCCCGTAAACAACGCCTAGACCCGGGTGTAGAACAATTGATAGACGAAGCAACTGGCAGCGTGCGTGCAAACTTGTGAAATCGCATCCCTGCGTTGAGGCATCACCATCAGAAAGCATCGCGATCTCGAGCGTCCCATCCACCGACAGACGACAGACGACTTCCCTGGCGACTCCAAGGCATCGTGCCTTCCCCTTCTAGCCCTCTACACCAATCCCAACCCCCGACATGGCGTATACGGACGACGCCGTGCTGGCGAAGCTGTCGGCATTGAACGAAACACACGACAGCATCGCCACGGCCGCACAATGGATTATGTTCCATCGGTAAGCACAGGGAAAGCAGCATCGGGTCGCGCGAGGAAAATACTGACCTGTGGCAGCCGGCATGCAGAACGGACGGTCCAGCTTTGGTTCCAGCGACTTAAGGACTCGCCGAGCCCAAAGCGACTGAACCTCGTCTACCTTGCCAATGGTGAGTTTCATGTCAAAGTAATCGCAAAAACGACGCATCCAGTCACACCCACTAACCCGGCCCTCCCACCTACAGAAGTCACGCAACAGTCGAAGGCGCGGCACAAGGACGACTTTGTGGTCGCATTTGCGCCGGTGATTGCCGAAGCGTTGGCAGCAGCATACAAGGGCGCACCGTCCGAGGTGCAGACAAAGCTCCGGCGGGTGGTGGAGGTGTGGCGCGAGCGCAACATCTTTGAGCTGCCGATCCAAGCAGCCGTGGAGAGCCGGATTGAAGAATTCGACAAGGCCAAGGGCGCGTCCCGGACAGCGATGGGCGGGTCCATCTTTGGCGGCTCGTCCAGCTCGTCGTCGTCGGCGGCCGCCGCGCTCCCACAAGAGCTTGCGCCGCTCGTGGCGCCGCAGCGCAACGTCACAAAGCTGTTGATATCGACACAAGGCGCCGCCAGCAAAGCCGACGCCGAGTTCGACAAGATAATGAACAGCGCGCCGCCCGCAGCGCCCGTCTACGCGGCACGGCTCAACGGTCTTCTCAAGACAATTGCCGACGGCGAGGACGCGCTGGCGCAGATGGTGCGTGCACGCATGGACCTCAAGAGCGTGCTGGACAACCTGCAGGCACAATACCAGAAGCTGCTCGAGGCAGACCGGCAGCGGCTCGCCCAGCTGGCACAGCGGCGCGTGCAGGTGGACGAGCGCAAGCGGCAGGTCGAGGACAAGATTATGCGCGATCTGAGCGGCGCCGGCGCCGGCGCCGGCAATGGGGCGGACAGCGATACGCCCGGCGGCCACAGTGGCGCCGGCAGCTTGTCGCCGGTACAGGAGCCGCCACGGCCCGAAGTGGAGGCGCTGACGCCGCCCAGCACCGACCCGGACGACATGAGCGAGCCGGTCTTCCCAGGTCTCGAGCCACCACCGCCGCCGCTGTCTCGGAGCGCGTCTGGCGATGCAGCAAACGACGCGGCTGCGGCCAGCGACGACCACGCCAACGACGGCGCAAGTTCAGGGCCACCACAGGTGCACGTCACGCCCGCGCCCGATCCGTCCGTGTCTGGCATCGCCATCCTCTCAAGCCTTGCGGCGCAGGCCGTCCCTGTTTCGACCAATGGAGCTAACAAGCGCCGCCGCATCGACTCGTCCGAAGAGGTGCCGGACCTGGACGACGGCATTGATGCGGACGTGGCCGAGATGCTGCGCAAGGACAGCCAAAGCTAGAGGCTGCCGGCGACCGGGCAGCTCTAGCAGATGCATCTGCCATACATTGTGCCCAAATTCAATGTGTCTGTATTTATGTACTCCGTAACTGGGAGGAGCTGAAGCCATGTGAGCTGGCGTGTGCATTTCTGTATTTTACATTTGCTGCTTTCTTCTTCATCTTTTTCTTCTCTTTTGTTTTCACCTGTATTTATTTTGCGAGTCACCGAAAACGTCAGAGAAGACGGACTCTTCTACTTCGTATTTAATTAACAAATGCCATCGCAAACGTATTTGTTGCCAGTGATTTTCACGTGAAGGAATTTAGGACATTCACAGGCGCGCGTTCTTGCCAACAATTGTGCCTGCCGTTATATGCAGTTAGCGGGGAAGAAGCTAAGATACAGTGGCAGCCTTTGAGAAAAGTGCGATTGCAGCGGAGCTACCGCGAAATTTAGCGCAGCGACCTCGGCCTTACAGCGATGAGTGGGTGGAGGCGGGGCAGTCTCTCCCCCTGTAAACGGCCCTGTCTGCCGGTGCACCGCCAATGTTCCTTCCGCGGGTTTAGTACCTCTTTCCTTTTTTCCCCCGAATTCCGATTTTCAGCGACTTCACCCGTCGACGTCAACACAACGCCGATTCAGCAACTCTCATCTCATCCCCTGACCGGGCACACGCACGGAAACGACAAGCATCGCCCACTTTGCAGTGCCAGGACCTCTCGCTTTGTCCTCTCGCAATGATCTGCGGAGCACTGCGGCGCCAAGGCGCGCAGCAGCTCCAGGAGCGCGCTGCTGCTGGCAGCTGGGGAAGCTGTAGAAGCTGTGGAAACAGTGGAAGCGGCATTGCGCACGACGCGTTGGTGCGAACAGCCAGGCCACAGACGCCGACCGTTACCAGAGAGTGTATGCGGCCGCGGATACGACACCAGCAGCAGTCGCGATACATTTCGAGCGGCAGCACTGGTGCCAGCGCCCCTTCCGCCGAGCCAACCGTCTCCTCCCGGCCGCCGGTTTCGTTTTCTTCGGCTCGAAACAGCGGCGGCAGCAGCTTCGGTCTCGGGAGCAGCCGTGCAGCCTCTCTCCGTTCCTCTATGGCCTCGGCCGGACGGCCCAACAGCATAGTGTGGGGTAGTGACAGCCGCTCGCCCGCAGCCTCGGCGTTCGCGATGATGCGGCGCATGTCGACGACGGCGTTGCGGAGGCAAGATAACAGGACGGCACCAGGGACACCAACGACGTCTACAACGCCAACGACGACCAGCCCCACAACGACCCCGCGGGCGGCCGGCGACGAGTACCAGGACAAGCACGGCTTCCAGCGCAGCGAAAGGGCCGAAAAGGCCACACAGGTCAACATGGCGGCGCGGCTGTCGCGCGAGGGCAAGACGACGACCAAGGCCGGCTGGAGCGAGGTCTGGCGCCTGATCCGCATCGCGCGGCCCGAGTTCCGCTGGCTTGCCGTGGCCTTTGTGTTCCTGCTGCTCTCCTCGGGCGTGTCCATGTCCATCCCCTTCTCTGTCGGCCGCCTGCTCGATCTCGCCACCAAGGGCGCCGTCGACGACGTCCGCATTTTGGGCCTGACCATGAACCAGTTCTTTGCGGCGTTCGGCGCGGTGCTCACCATCGGCGCCGCCGCCAGCTTCCTGCGCATCATCATCCTGCGCATCGTCGGCGAGCGCGTCGTGTCGCGCCTGCGCGCCCAGCTCTACCGCCGCACCTACACCCAGGACGCCGAGTTCTTCGACGCCAACCGCGTGGGCGACCTCATCTCGCGCCTCAGCTCCGACACCGTCATTGTCGGCAAGAGCATCACGCACAACCTCTCGGACGGCATGCGCGCCATTGTCAGCGGCTCGGCAGGCCTCGTGGCCATGATGTGGCTCAGCCCCAAGCTGACGTCCATCCTGCTCATCATGTTCCCGCCCATTGCCGTCGGCGCCGTTGTCTACGGCCGCGTCATCCGCAACATCTCACGCCGCATCCAGCGCAACCTCGGCACGCTCACCAAGATTGCCGAGGAGCGTCTGGGCAACATCCGCACCAGCCAGGCCTTTGCTGGCGAGGTCCAGGAGGTCTCGCGCTACAACAAGCAGGTCCGCAAGATCTTCTCCCTCGGCCGCCGCGAGGCCCTGATCTCGGCCACCTACTTTGGTGCCAACGGCTGGATGGGCAACATGACCATCCTGGCCCTGCTGATTGTCGGCGGCAACCTCGTGCGCTACGGGTCCATGTCCGTCGGCGACCTGACGTCCTTTATGATGTACACCGCCTTTGCGGGCTCCAGCATGTTTGGCATATCGGGCTTCTACTCGGAGCTCATGAAGGGCGCCGGCGCCGCCACGCGCCTCTTTGAGCTGCTCGACCGCGACCCCGGCATCCACACCACCGTGGGCACCAAGGTCAAGTCCGCCCAGGGCCCCATCCGGTTTTCCAACGTCACGTTTGCCTACCCGACCCGCCCCGCCGTCAACATCTTCCAGGGCCTCGACTTTGAGATTCCCTCGGGCAGCAACGTCTGCATTGTTGGCCCGTCGGGCGGCGGCAAGTCGACTGTGGCGAGCTTGCTGCTGCGCTTCTACGACCCGTCCCAGGGCAGCATCACCATCAACGGCGTCGACGTCAAGTCGATGAATGTCAAGTCGCTGCGCCGCCGCATCGGCATGGTTGCCCAGGAGCCCGTGCTGTTCTCGGGCACCATTGCCGAGAACATTGCCTACGGCAAGCCCGGAGCCTCGCGCGCCGATGTCATTGCCGCCGCCCAAAAGGCCAACTGCCAGTTCATCAGCGACTTCCCCGACGGCCTCGAGACGCATGTCGGCCCCCGCGGTGCCCAGCTTTCCGGCGGACAGAAGCAGCGCATCGCCATTGCGCGCGCGCTGCTCAAGGACCCGGACATCCTGCTGCTGGACGAGGCCACGTCGGCGCTCGACGCCGAGTCGGAGACGCTCGTCAATGCCGCGCTCGCTGCCCTGCTCAAGGGCCGCAGCACCACCATCTCCATTGCCCACCGGCTGTCCACGATCAAGCGGTCCGACCAGATCATTGTCCTCAGCAACCACGGCACCGTTGCCGAGACGGGCCGCTATGCGGAGCTCAGCGCCAATCCCAACAGTGCCTTTAGCCGGCTCATGGAGTGGCAGATGAGCGGCGGCGAGGTCGCTGCGCCGACCCCGCGCAACGATGGCCACATCACCGAGAAGGAGCGTATCGAGGACCACCTCGAAGAGCCGCTGCCCGAGGAAGAAGAGGAGGAGGATGATGCGGAAGAGGACGACGACGACGACGACGAGGAGCACCACCGCAGGACGAACGCCAGAAAGGTAGAGGCCATTCCCAAGGCGGAGGTCTAGACGATGTCGATCTTTTGTCCTCGCGTTCATTTCGGTTCTGAATTATCTCATCGCATGTTCCATAAAATAGAAACGGGAATGGACATCGGGCGAACTACTCCACTTTCAACAGACACAAAACAACGTTGCGTTTGGTTTGCCTTTGGGAGGGCATCTTTTCATTTTGGGAGTTATATTGTATCTATTTTGGGGACCTAGTGGGCGGCTTGGGCCGGTCGTGGCCGGTCCTTTGTACTGTATCTCTTGCTTTTTTTCAACATTTCCCTCCATGCCTGTACATTTTGCTACTATTTTGTCGTTTTATTCTTTCGACTTTACACTCTACTCGATACCTCTCCTTGTCAATATAAATAAACTTAAATATTGCAAGCAAATTGGGTAATTATTATTCGGTTTTACAGTTTTACAGCAGGCACAAAGGAAGCGAGACTGTATCCTTTTTTTTGTTAAAAAAAAAAATTGTAGACACAAAAAATAAATACGCACATAAAAGTATAAATAATAGGTAATTTCTTTTATTTCCTAGATATATTTTACTGTCTTCCAAACACCGTCTGTGATTCTATTTTTGTGTTTTCAAAGGAAACGACCACCACCCTGACATACCCGTTGACGCCGAACAAATAACAAAAGAGCAAAATAACTATAAATTAGTAGATACATATGTAGTACATTGTTCACGGAGGAACCCTGCCCGCCTCGTCCTGGCCTTATACATCCTCAAATTCAAAGCCTTCCTCGTCCTCGTCGCTGTCTTCGGCCTCCGCTTTGACCACCACCTTGGCCGGTTCTGCAGCGGGTTCGGTCGCCCCGTCCTCCAACTTCATCTTCTTAGGCGAGCTTGTTGGGCTTGGCGGGTCGGACATGGCCTCTCGCTTCAGGCTGCTCTGCGAGTGTGCTTGGCGCAGAGGCGATGGCGCCTTGGGCAGTGTGCTGGTGCCGTTGCCCACACCAAACGGCGTTGACCGGGGTGGCGATGCCGCGTTTCGTGGCGGCGGCGGCGCCAGCCCTCCGCCCGGGCTGGCGGGGGTGGCCGCGCCCGAGTTGTTGCCCGTCTGCACCACGTCCTCGAACATGGCCTCGTCATCTTCGTCGTCGTCGTCGTCGTCTTCGTCGTCCTCCCCGTCGTCGTCGTTGCCGTTTTGGTTTTTTTGCGCCTCCTCGGCCGCCTGCCGCTTGAGCCGCGAAAAGTAGTCGTCAATGTCGGCCTCGGCCGTGGCGTCCGTCTTGGCCTTGGCTGTCGGGTGCTTGACGTCGTCGTCCAGCGCCTGGACGCCTGCCACCTGGTCCGTTTTGAACGCCTCGCCCGTGATTGTGCTGCTGGACATCCAGCTCGGCAGCGCGTTCTGCTGGGCCACGCGCTCGCGCTGCGCGCGTTCCTCGGCTTTTTCTTCCTCCGTCGGCCCATTGCCGGCCTGGATCGACACGGACAGCGTGCTCGGGCCCGTGTTGGCCATGCCCTTGACGGCTGTCGGCCGGTTCATGGCGTCCACGCCAATGCTCGTGTGCGTCTGGTGCATGGCGTCGCGCATCACGGCCCGCCGGCTGTTGAAGGCCGCCTCGAAATCGTTGTCGGGGATGACGACGCTGTCAATCTTGGGCAGCAGGTCCGTGATAAACTTGAACTGGTTGTTCATGCGCGTGCTCCGCTCGTGGCCACCCGACTTTCCGCCGTCGCCATGGCGCAGGACGGTGCCGCAGCGGTGGCACAGGAAGCCGGCCGGGCCGACGCTGTCGAGCACCTCCATCTGGGTCCACTCGGCCTTGCAGTGGTCGCAAAAGTACTCCTTTTTCTCGCTGGGGGGCACGACGGGGCCCTGGAGGTCCTTGTCGATCTTGTAGACGCGCCACTTGATGGCGTCAATCGTCTGCCGGTAGTCGATGTAGTAGTAGGTACGGTTGTTGGGCCGCTGCTGCCCTTCGCGAAGCTCGGATCGAGAGTGTCTTTTCGACAAGAAGGACAGGAAACGAAGGGAACGAGGGTTAGCAAAGATACAAGGCTAAACGGAAACCAGGCAGGTGGTGCGGTCCGTACGATGCGAGCAAACGATCTTCCTTGAGCTTCTGGCACATCTTGTGGAGATCTTTAATGTTCATGCTGATGAGATAGGCCAAGTCATCGTCGCGTAGTCTGTAAGTCAAGCCAGGCGAGAAGAAACAGGGACATGATGTCAGCACTGCGTTTAAAACCATGCCCTCAACTAGGTCCAACATACGCCGAGTGAATTACAAGCGCATCGATAATGAGAATGTGCTTGGTCTCGTAGAACGCCCGCACGACGGAGCGCACCAAAGTCTTTGCGAGATCCATGGCGAAGACGATGGACGTGAGGACGTGAGGACGTTCGGGTGGATGGACGAAGGGGACGAAGGAGGAAGTTTGAACAGGTCGGATGTGAGATGAAGGTCACGAGGCGAAGAGAGGAGGGCGGGGAGAGAGGAGGAAGCGGCGGATGCGCTACCGAGACACAGCTATCACACTGGTCATGATTCAAAGGCGGACTCGCGCGATGTATTTCGATCGGGGTGTGCGCAGGGGCGGCAGGTGGATGAGAACGTAGGAATGTCGAAAAGGTCGAAAGGTCCAAAGAAGAGGCTGAGGGCGACTTTTCGACAGCTCTGTTTTCGAGGCGCCGCGATCGCCCAAAGACTATCGCTCAATCGAGAATCGAGGGGAGAGACACACTCTCGAGTAAGCGACGCGCGGGACGTTGTGATGGCGGGCGTGGCCTGCGTCGATGGTGTCGCGTGGTCGTCGTGGAGAGGATGGCAAAAGGGAAGAAGCAAAATTGATGTTCGAAGCTGTCCCATAGGCAGCTGGTAGCTTATGGCAGCCGCGTGAGGCTACGGGCCCACAAGGGCGGCGGCTTTGTCTTCCCTGTGGCTCTAGGCGGGTACGTGGCGCTAGTGCGGCAGAGCGGGGAAAGGTATCATCGACTTGACTTTATGCTTCACACTGGACAACGTCTTGAACGGATCAGCTACGAGGACAGTTTATTTTGAAGAAATTCACATACATGATCGACAGTATGAGCACCTAGTGTGGTACAATAAGCTGCTTCCCCGACAATATATGATCCATGGCAGGCTTTGTCAAATACAATCCAAGACCGAAAGACGAGAAAAATGATAAGAAATGATGGACGAAAAGGCAAGTACATATGCAGAAATACAGCTCAAATGACCTCGTACACTACACTAGATATCGGGCAGTCTTCTGTTGGCCATAATGGCCCTTCTAGCACCGTCTTACAACTCGCCCATCTGCGGTGAAGGCCGGTGGGTTGTGCCACCGGCGCCCGCCATAAACGGCGACCGGTCAGCATCGAGCACGGCGTGCACGTCCAGCTCGGCCGGAGGCAGCCCATCGTCTAGGAACGCCAGCGCCTCGACGGCCTTGCCGCCGCACGCGCGCTCCAGAGCCAAAAAGGCAAAGTGGCCGCCAACGACGGGGCGGGCGCGGAACATGAGACCGCCCGGATAGCCGCCGTTGCCCTCGGTCTCGTAGAGGTCGGTGAAGGGCTCGGTCGTATCGGTCTTGTTGACCCAGTGCGCGACACTGGTCAGGATCTCCGCGCGGGTGGACTTGCTGGTGATGGCAGCGGCAAAGAACTCCCAGTCGCTCTTGGTGTAGAGGTGGCGGCTGTCAAGGGGCAGGCCGAAGCGCTGCAGGACGTTGTGATACCAGTCGCTCTGCATCTTGTAGATCTTGTCCGGGATAAAGACGGACGAGTCAGACTCGGCGTCGGCCAGAGGCGTCTGGCCCGTCGTGTCAAAGACGGCGGCCGCCTCCGCCTTGGCGTCCGACGGAATGTGGAAGCAGAGGAGCGAGTCCGCGTACAGGTTGTAGAGTGTCGTCCACGAGCCGTACCAGTCGTACGCGAGCTTGGCATGCGTGCCGTCGCGCGAGATGCCAAACTCCTGCCACTTGGCCATGTACTCCTCCGCGATGTCGCGGTAGTGCGCGGCGTCCTTCTTCTCACCCAGCACGGCAGCAATCTCGCTCATGGCGCGGATGCCGATGATGCCCTTGAGTGCCAGGTTCGTCTGGTAGGCCAGCCAGCCCGCAAAGTCGTCCGTCGACAGCTGCCAGCGCGGGATCAGCGACTCACGCACCAGGTACCCGGTCCACTGCTTCCAGAGCTTGTACGACCGGGCGACCCACTCCTTGGCCTCTCTTGCGCCTGTCGTCGTCGCCGAGGCCGACGTCGAGGTCGAGACACCGCCCCACGGCTGGTCGATGCCGTGCACGTCCATGTAGCGCATCTGCTCGTCGGTCAGGTGGAGCCGGGTCGCAGCCGTGACCTCGTTCCCGATGGAGGCCTCGGGTGTGTTGAATGCCGGTGTGGTGTCGTACCTGAACGCGTTGACGAGCGCCAGGCCCATGATGAGCATGTTGCCACACTCCTCGACGGGCATATACTCGTCGTTGCCGTCGCCGTGGCCGGTCTGGTTGGGGAAGTGGTAGCCGAGATCGTGCATGCTGTAGTCGTTGGGGTACTGGCCGCTCAACTGGTGCTCCAGGAGCGGCTCCAGCAGGTACGCCAGCCAGCGTGGGTTGGTGTACAGGAAGAAGGGGAACGCGGGGAAAATCACGTCGACGGTCTGGCAGTTGCCGTTGGACGAGATTTCCTTGAGGAACAGCAGCGGGTTGTCGGGCGTGCCGGAAAACTCGGTGGCGCCGAGCACCTGGCGCGCCGACAGCGACGCAATCTCCTCGTACTCCTGGGACCCGGACGCAAAGGCATCCTTGGACAGCTGCTCCGAGTACGTGCGCGCCAGCTTCGTGGCCGCAGCAAAGTCGTCGTAATGGTACTGGATCAGGTCGTCGGTTTCGGGGATGTAGCTGGCCCAGAGCGGGCGCATGAAGGTGAGGCCACGGGCCGACGCATACTGGACCACCGGATCCTGGATCAGCGCAAACGTAAAGAGCGCGCTTTCGTCCGACACGTTGCCCTTGTCGGTCTTGCTCTTGCCGCCCAGGTGGAACGACTTGGAAAACGCAAAGATGGGCTCCCGCTCCATGATGCGGCGAAAGGGGCCGTCGTTGGCGTTGCCCAGCGCGCCCGTGCGTGCAAACTTGGTGCGGATCTGTGCGGACACGCCGCTCTCGTGCTTGACGGACTCGGGCGCCGAGAAGTACAGCGTGCCCCACTCGGCGCGGTCGGCAAACTCGGTGAACAGCTCCTGCTCGACGCGGGACACGGTCCACGTCTTGATGGGATTGCTGCTCCTGCGGGCGTCACCAAAGAAGCCCTTGTCGGCCTTGGCCTTGTGCTTGGCCTCTTTGATGCCCCACTGGATCTGGTTGTCGCGGTTGCCGCTGACCCACTCGCCGTTGACGTCGAGGTAGATGTCGATGTCGAAGCTGCCCTCGACAACCACGTTGAGATAGGCTGCCGGGATGGACTGGCGGAAGGTCGACGTGGGCGTAATGGGCGACAGAAACGAGAGAGTGACCTTGAGCTTGTCCTCAGCAGGGCCCGGCACAAGGTACGTCAGGTTGGTGGTCGAGGCGTCAAACGTGGCGCCGAGGTACTCGGGGAAATTGACCGTGAAGCGCTTGTCCGACCGAGAAAGCGAGTCGTGGGGCCGGCCCAGCAGCGGGTAGACGTTGTGGGTGTCGGGAACGGAGGCCAAGACGGAGAAGCCTACGCTGTTGCCGGTCCAGAAGATGGGCCATTTCTCCCACGGATTCTCGCGCGCACCCGTCAGCCAGAAGCTGAGGTACGGGTTGCGCACGAGGAGCGGGAGCACCGGAGGCGTCAGCGTCGAGCCGGCGACGACGGCGACGTGGGCCAGCACCGCGAGAAGAGAGCCGAAATGCATGGCGATGCTGCCGAATGGTGTTGATAGCAGAGTGGGCGGACCACCGTGGGCCGGTGGAGAACACGAGTGATGAGGAGAGAGTCGACAGTCGAGCGAGAATGGATCAAGACGGGCTCGGTTGCAAAGGAAATCAAGGAGACGATAGAATGACGCTCAAGAAGAGTTGAAAATAAAAACGATGAAAGCCGCAGAGCTCAACGAGAAAACGAAACGCTATCCAGCAGCACGCCGATTCCAAGGGCACAGGGGACACGAAAGGAAAAGGAAAGAAAAAAGGAAATGCAAGTGAGAAATACAGAGGCACCAAGAGGAGAGAAAAGGACCAAAACAGGACAAAGGAACACAATCAGGGAAGAAGCATGGCTGGTCTGACGGTCATCGGAAATAAAGACGAGATCGAATGGCGAGACAGGAGAAAGAGAGGAAGAAGGACCAGGACGGATGCCATGCAATGGCGGCAAGAGCTGTTTCCAAGCTTACCCCACACTTTCCGGGCGTCAGGTGCGCATGGCCAAGGGGGGTTACGGGTCGCGGATGACGGCAGGTGCAACCCACTCGTGGCTTGTCTGGGCAGCACCTTCCATACCCCGCAGGCCACACAATTCACAGATGGGGAAGGTGCGCACTTGCATGACGGCGGCCACGGCGTCGCTTCCGCACAGTGGTCCTCCATACGGAGAACAACGAAACTATTTGGTCTTCAATTTTTATGAGTTACAAGTTACAGAACATCTTCCCCCCCCCGTCCACCGACCGGAGCATACGGGGCGGCCCAAAGGCCTGTTGGTTCTGTCTTAGTGTCCGAAATGTCAAACAACATGCATCGTTCATTCGTCTCTTTGGTATGTCTATGTACTTTAAATGGACGTCGATCAACGCAAGCCAATATCCCTTCCGTCGTCTAGACTGTAGGCTCATGACATGGACAGGCTATGTCCTCAATTTCTGTGCTGTTCGTCGGCTTTGCCTGCGGCCATCCCACCCCCTGCGGTTACCACACATCGTAAGGCTCGACCTCATGCTTCTCGCCGTCGTCGCGGATGTGCTGCAGCTTGACATCCCGCTTCATGGCCTTGCGCATATCGTATGCGTCCTCGCTCTCTTTGGTGGGATCCGTCGAGTGGTCGCCGTAGTAATCCTTGACCACGCGGAACACGCTGTAGCCCATATTCTTGTAAAAGGCAATCGCCTTGTCGTTGGTGACGCGCACAAACAGGTCCACAAACCAGGCATCGTTGGCGTCGGCCGCTGCCTCGAGCTGCTCGCTCAGTAGCCGCCCGATGCCCAGCCGCCGTGCCTCCGGTGCAATCGTAATGGCCGTGATGTGTGCGTGCCAGGGCAGGTAGTGTTCTGAGAATTTGTATTCATCGGGCGAGGACTCGAGCTTCCCCATGACTGCGGCCTGGTCAATATACATGTATGCACGCGGCGCGTATTTCTTCTCGTGAAAGGTTCGACGTACTGTAGCCGATGATGTTGCCGTCGGCGTCCTCGGCCACCTGGAACAGTGCTGGCCACTTAGCATAGTACTGCAGGTAAAAGGACAGCTCGTAGGTCTCCGTGTAGCGGTCGAGATTGCACTTGGCGAGCTTGTTAAGGTCACCTGGCTGGAATCGCCGGAAGTTGGCCATCCTGTCTGTCGCTCGCGGTGCCTATGCGGCTGTCGACACGAGGATGGCAAGGCCGTCGTCTTGGTTTGCGGTCCTATTGCTTCCGCCAGCCCAGGCCAATTACTGCCTATGGCCCGCAGCTACGATCGATAGACGTGAGACTGTACGGGCAAGGGATACCATTCGCTCGTATCAGGTGTGCGGGACCGGCGAGCCTGTGTCGTGTCTGCCCGTCGTCCGTATTCGTGATGCCTTTGACATTATGCATGGGTCAATTTTCACGATTTCTACTGAATTATGCATTTAATTTTGCTCTAAAAATAAAGCCCATAATTCTTCCCACCATTACCAACCAATCGTGGAAAGAGCACCCCCGACGCCGCTGTCTGCACTAAATCGGGACGAGCCAGGCCCTGAAGGCAACAGCCAAGCCCCTGAATGACCCGTAACAGAAGGCGTCTGTTTACGCATAGACGTCCGTTAGAAATCCGTAATCCCCCTCCCCCAAAATTCAGGGACCGATGCGACGCGTTGAGACAGCAGAGACAACACCAGAAATTATTACATGCAGCAGCCCAAGAGGAAAAACGCCCGAAAACAGAATAGCCAGAGTAAGACACACAACTACTGTACGAAATACGCTGACAGCTTGTTTGTCTGCGCATCGTGCTTGCCAACTTTGGAGATTTCGTCAGCAGAGCCCCTCTGCAGCGCGGCATCGCACAAAGGGGAAACCACGACCGACTTCGTGTTCTTGCTCGTTGTTGCCCAACGAGCCACGGCTGCGGATTACAGATTACGGATTACGGCAGGAGCGATAAACACGACAGCCACGCAAACACCCCCTCCTCCAACAACATCATATCGCCGCCCCCTACCCTATATCGCGACCTGACTATACCGTGCTATTGCCCGCGCATCCACTCTTTCTGCGCTGCCGTCTACCACTTGTCGCATCAGCAACGAACGCGGCCTCGAACAACAAACGCCGTTCCCATCAACAAGACATCGACGACCGCGTCTGCGAACGGACCCGGGCCATCGCACCACATCACACCACAACCCACGAACATACGTCAACGAAGAGCGATAGCGCACAGGCATTCTGTACGTCACACGATCTGCACCACAACCATGTCGGTGCCGACTACGCCGCAACACTCGCGCCAGTCCACCAGGGACTTCTCGCCGCAGCTGGAGCGGCGCCAGTCCAAGTCCAGCTACAACGAGCCCTCCACGCCCACACACCACCTGCACCCGTCCTTTAGCCATGGCGACGGCCTCGACGTGTTTAGCAGCGGGGGCATGGGCGGCATGAGCGGCGGCATGGGCGGCCTCGGCAACCTGGCAGACGAGCTGGGTGATGCCTTTTCGGACGGCGAGGACGAGGAGGGCGAGTACTACGACGACGAGCTGGACGAAAGCCAAGTACGGGCCCTCGATGGTATACCGCCCGAAATCAGTCTGTCACCGACCGAGCAGAGTGCCGCAGAAGCAGCAAAAGAAGGAGATGCCAACGCAGCAGCGACAGCAGCGACAGCAGCGGCGGCGGCAGCGGCAACAGCAGACGGTCAGGCACAGCGGGACAGCGGTGTCGACGTGGTTTCGGCGTCGAGTCCACGCACCAGCGGTGCCGATGGACCACGAGCACGCAACGCAAGTCTCAGCTTGCCCTCGACACATGGAGGTACTGCCCAGGGCGGTGGCAGCCGGCGCGGCCACAAGCGCGTAGGCAGTGTGTACGATGGGTCGGAGTACGGGTCTGACTCGGACCTGGAGTCTCCAGGGATACCGACAAGCCTCGTGGCAAAGATGGATGCCGTCGAGTCTCTGGCGCGGCGAGGGACCGAAGACAACGGCGGACCGACCGACGGCGTTTGCAAGCGGTTGGTCGACGAGCTCCGCGATCTTGGGTCACAGTCTGGTGTGGAGGGCGGCGCGTCGAGGTAAGAATGCCCGTTGCCCACATTGCAAGGCCGTACAAGCCCCATATACTGACAACTGTCTGTTTCCAGGCTAATCACTGCACACTCGGCGCTGACGACACATCTGACGCACCAGACCCGGCAGCTGCATGCTCTTGCCTTCCCGTTGTTCTCGCCACTCGCCGGGCCCATGCCGGCGCCACTGGTGGGCATTGCAGTCACACGGAATGGAGGCGACAGCGAAGATGAAGACGAAGCCGAGGACGATTTGTTGCCGATGCTGGCATCCCTCGTCGACCAGATGCCGCGTCCCAGCACCGCCGCATGCCAGTCCCTCGGTACCCTGCACGGCCTGACCAACGACCTTGTCTCGACACTCAACTACTTGTCTGACACGCTGCACATGGCACGCCAGACGACCAACACGGCCACACGCCGCCTACGTAGTGCAAAGGAGCTCGTGGCTGAGCTGCGGCGCGATGAGGAACTGCGCGAGGAAGGAGAGCGGTGGCTGGCACGTGGCAACTGGAACGAACGGTTGAAGCAGAGAGAGTGTGCGCACGTGTGCGGCGACGTTGTTGGCGGCTTTGAGGAGGTCTGCAACGGCTGGCGGGCGCGGCTTTTGGCTCAGGCCGAAGCAGCACAGGCGTCTGCATGAACAGGGGGACGGATAGACCACAGACACGCGGCATCACTCATACAGGCGACATCCCTTTCCTTTGTTTATCTTTTCTCCTTTAAGGTTTCCATTTCATCTGCCTTTGACCGATGCACTTTTATTCCCCCTCTCCCATTCCCTTTTGTTTCCTACTGATTTATTTACAATGTTTCTTATACAACAAAGGGTTGATAAACCAAGGACTTTACAAGTACGGGCGCAAGACACACTCAGATCTATTCAGAACAAAACCCCCTCCTTATGCGATGGCCCCCCTTTGCGGTTTATAGACGTACTGCAGAGTGCAGAGATACAGGTAGCTCTTGATATATTTTTGCGAATGCAAGGGAATAGATCCCCCCTTATTACATGTTTATTTTACTAACTGTCAGACGAACTGGACGACATCCCGTGCACTGCATCATATAACAAGTTCGTGCGTAATTCAACGCGGCCGCAACTATGCGGTATGGGAAAAGGTCAACGTGCCAGCCCAGTCGACTGGACAGCAAACTTCCACGGCCATGTCGAGGCCGATGGTGCCGTGTCCATCGAGGCTGCCCACCACGACGGCATTGCCAATAGCTCACATATCGCATCCGACCATGGCCGCACCCACTCAGGTGTGCGTCTGCCGAAGCTCACTCCGTCTCAAGAACCGGGCAAGAGCTCTGTGTTGGTGTATCCGTTCTTCATCGTCAGCACTGCCGCTCTGCCTGCGCTCGCGGTGTACGTCTCGCCCTCGGAGAAGTCCATTCCCACGCGCCCCTGGCTAATGCGGGTAACAAGTCGTCGGGCTGGTCGACCGCTGTCGTTGCCGGTGTAATCTTACGTTGCGACCAGCATCCTTTGGTCGTTGCCATTGGTGCATGGGAGGCACAGACTTGCACCATGGCCGTCACCAAATTGGTGGTTGACGTAGGGGGTCTGAAAGCCAGTACGTTGGGTCCACCGGCGAGCGTGCAGGTCTGAGTGAGATGTGAGGTGTACGGCGGCAACTTCGGAGTAACGTAAGCGGCGCAGAGTTGGTGGCCTGGCTATCGCTGGACTCGTAATTCTCTCCAATGCACTCGGTATTTCCACTTCACCCTTCGATGCCTGTCCCCTGGTTTGACGGCTTGGCGGAATCGCCCTTTCCTGAACGTACATTCTCCCTGGTCCTTCCTGTTTGCAAGTCGTCCGTAAATACTCCCGCACTCAGTGTGTTGTACAAGTAACTGTGTATTTCCGTCATAGGATATCGTATATCGTGCCTTCTTGGTGGGGACTTTCCTCGTTGGACAAAAGAAGGCAACAAAAAGCCCAGTAATCCGCCACAAAGCTGCGTCGTAAGCTCCTCCCTCGTAGCCGCTCCGTCGCTCCTTCTGCCTTTGAAAAAGTGTGGACTTTCATGCCCCCCCTTCCTTTGTACTGAGCAACATCAGCCGGTCGCCGGTAGGACTTTCCGTCTACCAGCCTCTAACCTCGCTTGGCTCGTTTTCGCTGGTAGGACCGCAGGAACAGGAGACGGAAGTCCCCTTCATGAGCCAGAACATGGTCCCACAGAAACCCAAAAGGAAAAGGAGGGAACACTGGGAATGCACAGGGGCTGTTCTTTCCAATTGCGCTTCTTGTGTTAAGTATTTGTTGCCGTTTTTAGCACACAGCGAAGTTCCCAAGGCCCGCTAACAAGCAGCGCTAGACAAGCGTCCAACGTGCTGCCTATCCAACTAAAAGTTACTTCTTACAAAACCCACAACAGCACTTCTCCACGAGTGGGCAACAGGGGCATGGCGTTCCCCGTCTGGCTGGAGCTGGCGCTGGCTGGCGCCTTTTACCCTTTTCAGCTACTAACGGCTGGCACCATTAGCTCTAACGTCCAACTCTCGCAGCGGTCGCTTTCGTGGTTAACGGGCCGCCTTCCAGTGGACAGTGAGCAGGACGAAGCGCCGCAAGCTATAATGTCCTTGAGTAGCTTTAGAGGGTTTGTTATTGTGTGGTGCACGCGTCGTAACTTACTCCTGTTATATTCAACAAACCCGAACAATATTAGCCAATATTGTGTGACATAACATTGGCGTCCACAAAGGTTGACCCGGTCGTTCCTTCCCCCGCCTAATACACGGCGAGACCAGGTTTGCATGTTTGTTGGCTGTCTGGCCAAGCCCGCGTGGGCAGGTGCTATGGTCAGGATTTCATCGCACACCTGCCCCGGGGCGGGCGCCGCCAAAGTGAGGTGTGGTGCATGGTTCGATGTTCCAGTTAGTGCCTTCCTCTTGAACTACAGCGCCGCCCGCCTTACGCTCCTGCCGCCAATCGTATCCCAGCCCTTTCCTCTTTTTGGCCAGGCCTTCCCTCTTTTGGTGTCCCTGCTCCATCCAACCACCACCACCGACCCCCTTTTCACCTCAGCGACTTGCATCCTTTCCATCGGTTCCGTGTGTCTCGTCTCCTTACGACTGCATCTTTTCTTTTCACCTCCCGACACACAATCGCGTCGTCGCATACCCGTTCCCGTCGCTCGTTTCGTGTTTTCGATTGGGTGCTCGACCGTACGCCCTTCTCTACGGACTTTTACGGAGTACGTCGTAACACGTCGCAACGCATTTACCCTCGCTTCTCAGCTATCCAACGTCAGCCTCCAGCCTCTCGCCCAAATAGAATTACCTGGGCATCATTCCCGACTCTGATCCTGCGCACGCCTGCCTGCGTTTGCGTTTGCGTCTGCGTCTGCGTCTGCGTCTTCGATGTCATTGCCATCGGCCCTCTTAACACGCATCTTCGATTCTATTTTGTTCGCCATGTTCATGCCAAACGCTTGCCTTGACCAGCTTGTTTAGGAAGTGGTAGCATGCCCGCCAACTGCTGCGCTTTCTCACGCTACCGCACACCTTGTTCGTCGCTTCGTTCCTAGGCCGCGAGCATAATGCCTTTTCTCCGCCGCCGTGGCGTAATGGCCAGCGAGTCGGATATGCGCCGGCACACATCCATCTTTAATCTTCCACTCTCCGCCCCGAAGCTGCCGCAACAGCAGCAACCAAAGCTGCCCGAAGCTTCTCTACCTCGCCCGGATCTTGCTACTACACAGTCGGAGCCGGTTGTGAAATTACTTGGAGATCCCGTCGCGGCAAGCTCTGCTTCAGACGACCTTGGCAATGCAGTGTCCGCCGCCGGTACTGCGGCTGCCATCTCGGTCACTCAGCCCTCCACGCCGGCCACGCCGGCCACCCCGGCCACACCGAGCAACCCGGCCATGCTCCCACCCTCTACACCGCCGTTCAATGGCAGACATAACAGCTCCGCCCGAGAGGACACGCGCGGCGCCGTATCAATCGACAGCGACTATCTCGGCCGACCGGAGTCCCCTCCCATCCAGGAGCAGACACCTAAGCACCGCCGTTTCTCACTACTTCGCTTCCGCAACGCTTCTGACTCTCAGCTCGCTGCGCGGGCCCGGCAGCAAGCGCACGCGGAGGAAGCCATCCCGCCGATCCCACACCGTAAGCTTACCCTGGCCGTTTTTGGCCACGATATGTTTCTGTGTACCTAATGCTGACATCGTTACAGCACCCGAGATCATTATGACTGCACCGACGTTTGAACTCGGCGCTGCTCCCCAGAAACGGCAGAACCGCATGAAACTCCCCAACCTTGCGCGGAAATCGAGTGATTTGCCGCGTATCAACGACGTTGAGGAACCCGTTGGTCGCACGAGCAACACATTCGGCAGCTGGTCAAAGAGGGAAAGGCGCAAGTCGATGATTGCACCGCTCAAGTCACACGGCAAGCAGCCTGCTGTGGCTTTCGACGAGTCGGCCATTGTCCAGCAGCAGCAACAGCAGCAGCAGCAACCAAATCCGCAAGGCCACTCGCCACCCGAATACGGCGACGAAGCGGGCACGACGCTGGCTCTTCCCGTCAACCGCCTTTCCGAATCCTCTCGCTCTGACGGCAGTTCGGGCGACCGTGTTTATGGTAGCACCACTACGACCACTCATACCGTCAGCACTACTACCACCTTCTTCCGACTGTCTCGCCGTCGCAAAAACTCCAACCCTCCTTCTCTCTTTCCTATCTCTCACTTGCCACAAAAGGGACAGCCCACCACCCCGATCGAAGGCGCCATCTCAGAGAATAGCACCGACATTGACGCCCTCAACAGCAAACCACCGCCACCCAGAGCGCCGAGTCGCGGCGTGGGGGCCTTTGGGCGAGGGGGGCTTGGCGGTCTTGGCGTCGAGGAGCAGGACACGCCTACACAATCTCGGCCCGTTTCGCAAAGACATGGCGCTTCAACCCCGCCGAGGGGCCTGGCGCCGTCTCCCGCCATGGCCCTCTTCCATAAGGGCAACCCGTCGCCTGCTTCCGCCTTCTTCCGACCTAGTTCAAGGAATTCGGGCCACTCGTCTCCGACGCGCTCCATCCCAGGGGCTCATGGGCCACTTGGTAGGGGCCGGTCCTCGACCATGAGCTCCGTCGGGCGAGACTCTGCGGCAGGCCGCGAGTCTGTGGACGAGCATTTGACGCCGCCCACCCTCAGAAGCTCTTCGTCTGCTACGGGCAGGAAGAGCTTTAGTGACCTGCTTGGACTGAGCCGGTTACGGCAGAACTCGGAGCCAAATCGCCAGGGTGCCCTCACCCCTGTGACCCCCTGCTCGTCTACGTCCAAGAACAACTCTTTGCATCTGCCGCGGGACTCTTTTGTCCTGCCAGAGCGCCGGGAGGACGACACACCCGCTAAATACCTGGCTCGTTTGGAGGAGGTGGTCAGCCGAAGCGTGATTGGCAGTGCCTTGTCAAAATCCAGTGATCCGTTCTCGCAAGCGGTTCTGCGGAGTTACATGCGCAGCTTCAAGTTCTTTACGGACCCCATGGACATGGCGATTCGAAAACTGCTGATGGACGCCGAGCTGCCACGTGAGACGCAGCACATTGATCGCTTCCTCCAAGCCTTTGCGAACCGGTACCATGAGTGCAACCCAGGTATTTTCTCCACGCCAGACCAGGCGTACTTCATCGCATTTTCTCTTTTGATTCTGCACACGGACGTCTTCAACAAGAACAACAAGCACAAGATGCAAAAGTCCGACTACCAGAAGAACACGCGCGGCGAGGGTATATTTGACGAAATCCTGGAAGTGTTTTATGACAATATCACGTATACGCCCTTCATTCACGTCGAGGACGATATTGATATCAACGGCGAACGCATTGTTGCGCATAAGGCGAAGCGCAAGAACATCCTTCCCAACGGGGGCCTCGACATCGCCAAAAAGTCGAGCAAGGAGCCAATCGACCCATACACCCTCATCATCGACGATAAGCTAGATATCCTGCGGCCAAATCTCAAAGACGTCATGCAACTGGACGATCCGTACAGCTATCTTGGCACAGCCAAGTCGCTGAACATGAAGGAGCTGCAAACCACCTTCTTCCGTACGGGTGTACTGCAGATCGTCTCGGCCCGCTCACGCCCCGATGCATTCATGACTGAAAAGACGGTGACCAACCCCCAGGAGGCACACCCCGGCATTGTGGATATCAAAATCACGAAAGTCGGCCTCCTCTGGCGCAAGGACGCAAAGAAGAAGAAGACTCGTTCACCCTGGCAGGAGTGGGGCGCCATCCTCACAGGCGCCCAGCTGTACTTCTTCCGCAACACATCTTGGGTCAAGAATCTGATGCACCAGTACGAGACCCACATCAAGCACGGCCATGACGGCATTCCCATCATCTTCAAGCCACCACTGGAAGAGTTTAAGCCCGACGGGCTCATGTCAACCAATGGTGCGGTGGCTCTTCTGGACTCGTCCTACAAAAAGCACAAGCATGCGTTTACCTATGTCAGCCATGGCGGTGTCGAGGAGATCCTCTTGGCCGATAACGAAGATGAGATGAACGACTGGCTCGCCAAGCTCAACTATGCGGCCGCTTTCAGGACATCCGGTGTTCGTATGCGTGGCGTTGTTGGAGGCTTCTACGAGGGTCAAGACCGTCGAGCCATCCGGCGCGTTGGTTCCGACGATGGCCAGTCGGTTCAGACGCCGACCGGTGAGGTCACGATTACGCGCAGCAGAATCGACCACAAGATGGCCCACGACATTCTGGCGGCCCGTCGGGATATCATGATCCAGAAGATAGAGGACGCAAACCAGAAACTCGAAGAACAGGGAAAGCGCCTCGAGGTGCAGTTGCGCAACTCACGCCATCTGCAGATTCTGGCTCCCATTCAGCCCAAGACACGTGAGCAAATGCTCATCTCGGCAGCACGGATGGATACGCAGCTCAAGATGACCCGGATGACCATGTGGCGGCTCAAGTGCCACAAAGATATTCTGGAAATGGACCTTGATGATGAGCGGCAGCTGGCCTTTGATCCGGAGCATGCTTTGGAGAGCGGCGCCGCTTTTGCCGGCATTGTCGGCGTGTCGCCCGCCACTTCCGGGATGGTAGCGCTCAACAGCGGTGCCCTGTCGTCTGCCGTTGACAAACCAGCTCAGTTGCATTCACAGCATGCCCAGCTCCATCGTGAAGAGTCCAAGGCCAGCACTTCGAGCACCGTACTTCCTCGCAGCCCGAAATCGGCCGCACGCCGCGGCTCCCTAGCCAGCGGCAGCATCGGCTCTGGTGGTGCTGCCACTGGACCAGTCGCTCCCGACTCGCCAACGTCAGACGACGTTTTCCAGACACCGCCAACAAGCGCCACGGGGGCCGCGTTCTTCCAGCACAAGCACCAGACCTCTTCGGATGTTGCAGCCGCAGGGCTCGACTTTACCAGCCTGCGGAAGGCGTCGGTGTCGAGTGCCATGTCCTCCGGTCCGTCGATTGCGGCAACACCGCCACGCGCTGTGCGAAGCCTGAACTCGGCGCACGAAAGCACCCCGTCATCGAGCAAGCAGGCAGGTCCGACTTCTGCCGCACAGAATGAGGACAACGTCGACCCCAACGACGTAGACGCGGACGAGCACAGTCTTCTCCAGAAGACTGGTCTGCTCGAGTCGGTTGCTACTAGTACGAGTGGCAGTGCGGGCGGAGCGGGTAAGAACAAACCGGTCGGCCTCGAGGATACTGGCAGTATCCCGTACGACTCGAAGCAGCAATACACGCCCGATGCGTCGCAAACGTCTCAGCATGACAAGAACAAGATCCGCCGCAGCTTGCAGCGCACGCTGAGAGAAGGTGCCGGCCACCTATCTACGCGCGGCCGCAAGCCCAAAGATGCATCGACGACTGGCGGCCAAGAGGAAGCGGCCGACGAGCCCATCATTCTTGAGCGTGGCACTGGATCGTTTGTAGTGCACGGCAAAAAGGCGTCTGTGATCAACTTTGGCGGCGACTTCTCGTCCATTCTTCCGCCTGACGAGCGTCTGCGTCAACGGAAGCAGCAGCAGCAACAAGAGCAGCAGCAGCAGCAACAACAACAGCCACGACAGTCGCAACATTCTCAGCGCTTGCCAACTGTACCCGACTCGGCTTCGCAGTCAACAGCTGCACTCGTGCAGCCGCCGTCGACGGGTCAAGACGATGCGAGCCTGCTGTCGTCCAGCAACGGCGGTGAGAATAGCATCCACAACGGCAGCACGGACAACAACCAGTTTGGCATCCACAGCGACTCTCGCGTAGCCATGTTCCAAGACCGTGAACGCCGTGAGTCGGCTGCCAGTGCCAGCACGGCAACAGCACGCAGCTTCCGCGAGCTGCACCGCAAGTACTCGTCTGTGCGCGCGGCCAGCCGGTCGAGCACGGGCGGCAAGGCGCTCATCTCGGACGATGACGAGAGCGAGGCGGCCGTCAGCAATTCCGAGGGCCGACACACCCCTCTGCCACTGGGGCCGGACGAGGCTGGCAGCAACGACCGCGAGCGAAAGCGGAAGAAGTACTTGTCTGGTGTGGGCGAAGCCAGCGGGAGTGAGGAAGAGCGGCGGGCAGTTGCGGCCAATGTCGCTCCTGACTCGGACGACAACATCGATGATGACGACGACGATGACGACGAGAGCAATACCGGCAACGCTGTGGACGCCGAGGAGTTCCTCAGTGTCCCGAGCAGTGCAGCTGCACAAGCACAGTTCTTCACACCCGACCCGCCAGCGTCGCCAGCGTCGCCCGCGCTGCCGTTGCAGGCGCCAGAAAGCGCCGATGCCACCGACGCCGAGGAGCCGGGTCCGAGCCAGAAGCTCCAGGCCGTTCAAGTCTAGTTGGCGCGGCGAATCTCCTGCGGACTGTTGAGCCGACACGGATCCAGCTAAATGGGGCTTTCTTCCACGCGATAATTTTTACACTCTTTTTATTGCTTTATCAAGCGGCCTTGCTTGGTACGACGGTCGTTACTTTACATTCTTTCCCGGCATTATCATATCCGATCCTTGTCGGGATCCTACCACCGCCCACCACGGCTGTATCAACACATGGCGGGTTTTCTCCTTGGCTAGGATTTCCGCATTGTGTGCTTTTTCTTTTCTTTTCTGTGAGATGTATCATTAGAGCGACGGGATGGGATTGGTTCGAAAGGCTTGGTGTCGGGCCGTTTTTTCAGGATTGTGCATTATTTTACAGCGGGTAGAAAAAATCGGTAATAATGAATCCATACAATATTTTGTAAAAAAAAGCACAGTGTGCCGCAAACAAACATGCAAAAGCCCAGTGACCATATCGTTGATGGGCACGATGTTCTCCATACTCTGTACACCTTCGTCTGATCTCGGTGAATCTCGGGGATGAAAATCTTTATAGTTTACGTACATTTAAATCAGTCTAAGGGCACGGGTTCGATCTTTGGGGACTGCAAACGCAAATGTCAGGGGCCATGCACGTAAGGCACAATGGCAAAAGGGAAACAAAACAATTAAAGACGTCTTTCGACTTTCACGCGATGCCGTTCGGTCGGAGCCAATGAAAACGGTGCATGCAAGACCCAACTGCGGTCCGCATCTCCCCAGGAAATCAAAACAAACGCGTTAAGTGGTTTTGTTTCCAGGGAGGGTTGGGCCGTGTGTCGCGTCGCCAGCCAATCGTGCACAACGTCGAATTTCACCACAGCCAATCACAGCCCGCAGATCCGGAAAAGGAGAGGTCCGCGCGCGTGGGCCGGGACCCAACCTTCAAGGCGCCAGCAAACAGTAGCCAATCGGCACGCGTGCTGTTTTTCTGTTCGTTGTTCGTGGTCCGTCTGTTTCGTGTGCTAAAGGAGAAGAAAAGACGAATGTTGTGACGATGCCCCTAGGTGGGTTTTTTTATGTCTTTTTCTATCCCTTGGCCTCGCGATCCCCTTTGAGGGGTTCTCTGTTGTTGTTTATAATTGCCTCTTTCGTCTGCAAGTGGACGCAGAACGCGCAAGACGTAGTGCAGGGAGGATGTCAGGACACGTCCGTCGTTTCGTTTCGAGACGTGAGTCGCCAGTCCCGTCATACGGACTGCTCTGCATAGCGGCATCGCCAGGCACAGGCACAAGCAGCGTGACTCGATCGATCTTGGGCGTCGTTTTCACGGCAGAACGCACAGAGGCACACACACGACACACTGTTGGGGCGGGTGGCTGTTGCGTGGGCAGCGTGCTACACTTTAACATGTCGAGATGTGTGAAAAGTTGGCTCGTGCAGTCAGCCTCGCGGCTGCCATTCGCAGTCACGGGATTATGGTATGGTTTGGCCCGCAATGGCGTGAATCGTGCATCGTGCTTTCCACTTACACCTGAACGCAACTGCCCAAACTGCCCACTACCTGACCTCGTGGCGTAAAGGGACTTGCTTGAGTTTGGGAAGGTGCCGCCTGTCAGGGAAGGACCAGGCCAGACCCAACGGTCTCCACGGGCTCGCGCCCATGGCCGGCCCCTTGCCTGAGACAACAATAACAAACAACGGGCGGAAAGGTAGCAAAGGGGACATTGACAGCGAACGAACGCCAGACAGACAGCTTTCGCGTGCTGCTGTGGGCCAGGGCCACTGGTACGAAGTATGCGCGTCAAGAAATAAAATGGGACCCCACCCGTAGTAAGTCTTACTCCGTACAGAGAGCAAGTTACTGAAGGGGAGCTCTCCCCAGGCGCTGTTCTTACGGGGGTTACAGCACTGTAAAGTCCTGATGGTTGATGTTCAGGAGCGCTAATCCATTTTGGTTATAGTGGCTTCGCTCTTCTGAACTTACCATGGCTATGGCCACAACAAAGGCAAGTCCTTTCGACAAGCCCAGAAGCCCTGCCCGCTGCCGTCACCTTCGCTCCTTCCCTTCGCGTTTCTCCTGTTGTCCCTCTTTCATGTCCTGGTCCACTCTAGTTCCCCTGCCACCGCCAGCCAAAAGCCACTACCGCCCGCTCCCCGTCGCTGCCTTTCCCGCCAGAGCAACCCCCAGCCCAAGGTGACTTGCCTTTCTCGCACATTCCTTGGTCAGTTGCTCCTTCCTCACCCTCGACCAACCTCCGTCCGACCACGAACTAGGCAATTCGAGCACGACAACAATAACAACGTCTTGCTGCCACCACCGCCACCTCTTCCCACGCTCTCCTCCAACCTGCGCGACATTGTACATCGCGGCATCACGGCATCGTATACCGTGTCGCCTTCATCCGAACCTAAACGTCGTCTTTCCTTCGAATGACAAACGCCATCGAAGTAGCCGCCCGCGCACCTATTGCTATCTGCATCCTCCTAGAAACCACCTCCTCATTGTTTCTTCTCCTATTGTCCTATTGTCTATCGCCACTTCACGCCATCTATTGACGCCCCTGGGACTTGACGCCGACCACCTATTTGTTGTCTCGGATCCTCCAGGCTTCGACATCTGCACGCCAGAAAGCGCGATCGTCTCACGGCCTTGCTCGACCCCCGAAGCATGCTGTAGAAAGCGAACAGCAGCATTTTTGTCGTCTTCGGCCTTCGCGCGGTTTTTCATCCGCCGGATCGCTGCTCCTTCTCTTCGTCGTATCTCCAGGCGAGGCGTCCGTCGCTGCCCGCACCTACCGCTCTCATCGTGCACGCCCGACGACAAATCGGTTTCGACGACCCATCACACACATCATGGCTTCCGACGCCAATAAAGATGGCGTCGGCTCGATTGCCGGCCCATCGTCAACTGCAGCAGCACCAACAAGCATCTCCGCTTCACCAACGCTATCGTTGCCGCCCACCTCGTTCGCTCTCACCGCCCCGTCCGCTTCATCTTCCTCCGCCACAAAAGCAACCGCTTCGCATGCAAGAATAGCGACCACACCGCCACCACTTGCAGCATCTGCGCAGCCGGCTGCCGCGCCGTCTTCCTCGTCCTTGCTCCGCACACACCTATTTGACATCAAGAGAAACAGCAGTGCGATGGACGGCACCAGCAATTCGGCACCCGGAAGTAGTACAAGAAATAACATATCGGCGGCTGCCCGGCTCGCACGGGCCACGGCCCGCATCAGTAGCGGCAGCGGCAGCGGCAACGGCAACAGCATCGGAAATGGCATCGGCGGCAGTAGCGACAGCCACATCGACGCAACAACCACCGGCAACCGCAACCGAAGCCACAGCACAGGTGTCTTGGACGCCGACGCAGTCGATCATGCGCTTCGTCGCGAACTTGGTCGCCAAAGCTACCACGTACCACCACCACCGCAACGAGAGGGGACACCCGGTGCGAGCCCGCATAGGAAGCGGCAACGTATCAACGGCGACCGGTTCGTTTTTTTTTTTTATCCTTTTCCCTACATCTGTTCTGCTTTTTGGTCTTTTAGTCTTTTGGTGGCACGATATTAACTCTCCCCAGCTTCATTCCGACGAGGTCGGGCCAAGATTTGCAGGCCAGCTTTAGTCTCTTACACGAAGACGGCTCGCCTGCGACGCCTTCAAAGCAGAAGAAGCGCACGCCACACGGCGATCTTCACTTCCAAAAGAGTATGTTATTCACTGTCAAGATAGGATATGCCGGTCATACCAGACACTAACACACACCCAACAGCCGAGGAGGCCAACCGCACCTTTTCCACGCTGCTCCGCGCCGAGCTCTTTGAAGACTCAATACCACAGGTCACACCGCCATCCATGTCACCCGATCACACTCTGCCCAGTTCTTCCAGAGTCACCAATGCCATCGACGGCACCCGCTCACATACCCCGCCACGTGCCACCAATCCCGCCGCCTCCTCGGCCTCTGCTACCTCCATGACGCCGTCTACACCACACAAGAACCTCTTCTCGTATATGTCGCCCCGCCAGTTCAGCCATGTTGCCGGCCACCCAACGCCGTCCAGAACACCACAAAGCCGGCACGGTCCGAACCTCGATACGCGCGCCGAGATTTACAGCCTGTCTCCGGTCCGTTTCGGCAGCCAGCAGATCCTCATGAGCCCTCGCCGCCAACCCAGGGCCGTCAGCAAGGTTCCCTACAAAGTACTCGATGCGCCAGAGCTGGCCGACGACTTCTACCTCAACCTGGTCGACTGGGGCAGTGCTAACGTCCTGGGCGTCGGCCTGGGATCGAGCGTTTACCTATGGAATGCGCAAACGAGCCGGGTTAACAAGCTGTGCACTCTGCCTGACGACGACACCGTTACCAGCGTGTCCTGGATCCAGAAGGGCACGCATCTCGCCATTGGTACGAGCAAGGGGCTCGTCCAAATCTGGGATGCTGAGAAATCAAGGCGCTTGCGTACGATGACGGGGCATACGATGCGCGTCAGCTCGCTCGCCTGGAACACCCACATCCTCACATCCGGTTCCAGAGACCGCCTCATTTACCACCGTGATGTTCGGGCACCGGATCAGTGGCTGCGCAAGCTCGTGGGACACAAGCAGGAGGTCTGCGGTCTGAAATGGAACTGCGAAGACGGTCAACTGGCCAGCGGTGGCAACGACAACAAGCTGATGGTATGGGATAAGCTCTCCGAGACGCCGCTATGGAAGTTCTCCGACCACACGGCGGCCGTCAAAGCCATTGCCTGGTCGCCCCACCAGCGAGGTCTGCTGGCATCCGGAGGCGGTACGGCCGATCGCCGGATCATCTTCCACGACACGCTGCGCGGCACCGTGATCAACGAAATTGACACCGGCAGCCAAGTCTGCAACCTTGCCTGGTCCAAGAACTCCAACGAAATCGTGTCCACCCACGGCTACTCGCAGAACCAGATCGTCGTCTGGAAGTACCCGTCCATGACCCAAGTGGTCAGCTTGACCGGGCACACCTACCGTGTGTTGTACCTGGCTATGAGCCCGGATGGCCGTGTTGTGGTCACTGGCGCCGGTGACGAGACCCTCCGCTTCTGGAACGTCTTTGGCCGCAAGCCCGGTGCCCGCGACGATAGTGACGGCAGTGGTGGCGGGCGTCTCGCGGACTGGGGCGTCATCCGATAGACGGCGCAACCATCGTAGTACCATTGATTCTCAATTATATGCTCATTTTTTTCCCACCTTTATGTATACACAGCATCCAGGTACTTCTTCATAGGCATTTTCAGGCGCACCAGAGGAAAGACGACTAGCGACGCCATGGCAAAGCGGCACCCGTCCCCCCTGAATAGCGGTGGCCTCCCGTGGTCCTTCTTCAACGCATGGTTTTCATATTTTATTTATTATTTGAATCCTCATTGGCTCGGGAGGTCGGCTCATGGTTGAGATTCTAGTCTTTTATTTTTGGATTGCTTGCCATTTCCATGTTTTTTTTCGGGTTGTTTTCGTTGCGGGCTTTCTACTTTCTCATTACGGCAAAGGCATAACATCATGATGAAGCGGGTTTTCTTTGTATGGTTTTTGTTCTTGCATCTCGCAAAGGGGGGCAATCTCAGCGTGTGGGTTTTAATCATTAGGTTAAAAACAACATTATTTGTGTTTAAAATGCTGCCATCGAATGAGTACATGTGAATAATCTACACGTCCGGAATATACGAGTCAGTAGTATTATATACGTGCAATGTACTTATTGATTTCTTTTTGTTTTTGTTATTATTGGTTTTATTTTGGTTCATAAATATACTCTGAAATAAAAATATTCCGACGACGTCACTAAACATATTGGTTTGAACAGTTTTATTTGATAGGAAATATCAAGTATAACTCAACTCCAAACCAGTATCGCATAGCTTTTGGGGCATTCGACAGTATATCCAAACAGACGATTGTGAAGTTACGAATACTGAGAGTAACCAAATTCAAACCGAAATTAATTTGCTAGCTACCAATCTATGTCCACCATCCAGGTCCGGTCCCCTAATAATATACTATCCGGGTATCAATATAAGGAGTGAAAGGGAAAACGATAGCCACTTGTAAAGAAATCGAGACCAATACAATATCCAGAATTCCAGCAATGAACAGGAACGAAAAGCAAACAGAATGGGGCGAGAGAAGTGAAATGTGTGTCCATGGGGAGCAAAGAAACCCAAATAAAAGTGCAAACTATGATTCTACTGTATCTTTCCATTCCGTCGTGTTTCTTGTCATTCTGTCGTCGTCGTCAAGGGAAAAGCCAATACATGAATAAACGCATAACGGAATAAAAATCAAAAACAGGAGTCGTGAATGTGCGTAGGTGACGTGATAGAGAAGCAAACAAAACGGGGAGGAATACAATAAGCAAACCCGTAAACAACCATAGACATAAAGTGGAAACAGTGAAAGAATGGTCTATCAAGATGACAACGAGAACAACAAGTAATCTCATGTTGGCAGTCCCTTCCCCTTTACACAATCTCCGTTTGCCACCGCCTTAGTTACGGCGGCGGGCCAAATCTTTGGCTCCCATATCCCAGTCGGCACCGGTGGCACCCGTCATTGTAGCTGCCGCTATGGCTTCAGCGGCGGATGCGACACCGGGTGTCTTGGCTCCGCTCTGCGACGGGCTGTCGGTTCCGTCATCGTTGATGTCGCGGTCCAGAAGTGGGATTGCGTCGATGCTGTGGCGGCGGCTTTCGTCGTCTTCTTCACCATTGTCGGTTCCGTGCTCGGATAGCGGCTCGAGCGGCGGGCTCGTCAGGTTGCTGTGGATGCCGCCGGCTGTGTCAGCCGGGCCGTCACCAGCGACCGCAACGCCCGAACTTGCACCACCGCCGCCAGCGCCCGGGGTGGTGCTGCCCTCACCAGCCACAGGCTCGGCTGGGTGCCACTTGGCCACCTCCTGCTTCATGGCCTCCAGCTCCTTCTGGAACCGCTTGCCAAATACGTCAATGTAGTATGTCGAGCCGTTGTAGATGCTCCACGTGAACACGCCCATCATGAACACACCGCTGGCCCAGCGATACCGGAACCAGAGCGGACACGGCAGCATGGTGCACACGGCGTAGTTGTATTGGATGAACATGAAGGCCGGCTCCTGCAGCGCGTTGGGGAGCGCCAGCACGATCTTGCCGATCCATGTCTTGCTGTACGAGCGGCGCAGCCACGTGAAGGACGTCGGGCGGCCGGCGGCAATCTTTTCGCGCCGGCGCACGGTGATGAAGAAGTAGTACGACAGCTGCCAGAAGGCGTACGGGATGGTCGACCAGGCCAGCATCGACAGCACGTTGGCGTACGAGCCGCTGGTGCCGGGCGGTGCATGCTGGATGGCGTAGACCGCGGGGAACCGCACCTTTTGTATCTCGGGGGACACGAGGTGGACAACACAGTGCAGGGTGGCACACGGCATAACGTGGATGAAGAGCGACGTGACCTTGTCGAAGCTGTGGAAGACGAGCGAGTTACGCCACATGACAATGGCCACGGCATTGTTGCCAAAGGCCAGGCAGTAGCAGGCGACGAAGAGGCGCTTTGAGCTGGGGAACACCCAGAGGCTGAGCATCAGGAGGAAGTTGACAAAGTAGCAGAGGTCGGCGAGGAAGTAGTGGTAGCCGCGCCTGTGGTAGGTGTAGAAGCGGATGGGCATAAAGTAGAGGATCTGGGCGGTGTACCAGAGATGCATATACTCGGGCGAGCCGCCGATCAGGTAGCCGCTGATGAAGATGTTGAGGACGCCGCAAATAAAGGACACCTTCTCGCGCAGCGTGATGACCTTGGTGTCGTTCCACTGCCGGCCGAGCTTCTCCACGCTCGTGCGCATGCGCTTGCGGTACCGATCCAGCTGTTCCTCGGCCGACGGCACGCGATGCCGCCACTCCTCCACCATGCGCTCGCGTGCTACCTGGCTGCGCGACTTGAGGGCGTCGCGCGACTTCTTGAGCTTGCGTGTCTGTGCCGAGATGCCCTTGGACAGTTTCTCGAGCTGCTGCGGCAGCGCGAAGTTGTCGAGCAGGTCGAGGACGGTCAGCCGGTCCAGCGGCGGGATGTCCCAGTCCTCCTGATAGGAGCTACTGCCGGAAAAGGACGGGTGGCGCGACGAGCCGTACCGCGGACTAGGGTGGCCGGACGTCGTCGGCCCAAGCGTCGGGGTGTCGGCAATGGCGTGTTCAGGCACGAGCTGCGGCGAGCCAATGCTACCGGCAACATCAGCACCGGCAGCACCAGAACCAGCACCAGCAGTATCAACACCAGCAGTATCAGCAGCAGAAGCGTCAGCACCGGCACCAGCATCAGCGTTGCTGCCGCCGCTGCTGCCCTCGGGCGTGAGTGCAATCTCGCTATCGGTCAGCGTGTCCTCGGACTTGGTGTTTCGGGACGTGGGTGTCTGGAGACCGGAGCCGCTCGACAGAGCGGCGAGCTCTGGCTCTGCCATGTCGGACAGTGTGAGTCTTCGAAATCGTTTGTGGTCGTTGTTGTGAAAGGAGACCTTGCGTAAGGCTTCTGCGCCGCGGAGAATCAAAACGTCAGCCATGGCCGGTACCACTCCAGGGATGGAGAACGAAGCAGCAATATTGTGTGCTTCATGCACCAGAAACAGAGGCACCAATAAACGAAGGGGGAAGCGGTATTGGGGTGGGTATATAAAAGTATAATGTAGTAGGAAAAAAAAAGCAGACAAAACTGTGCGATCCAAAAAGGGTAGCACGAGGCGACGAAGGGGTAGAATATAAAATGGGCACGAGGGGTGACCGGGTGGGGATATAGGGTCAGGATAGGAAGAAAGAGAATAGGCGACCGAGACGGATGGAATGAGCTGAAGATGGACGAAGTGTGGACAACAAATCGCCGGCGAATATGGAGCAGGGCAGACGGACCCTCTTGACGGTCGAGACTTAAGGGGACTGTCATACCTCTGGAGGACGGTCAGGGTCTTGCCCCACCGTGCATAGAAATACCCGTGCAGACGTGCGGAAGTCGGCGTAGTAGCGTGAGATCCACTGCACAAAGAAATGTAGGATGGGAGGAGTCGCGAAGGACAGAAGTGCTGAAAAGCAAAAGTGGCGATATCCCAAAGCGATGATGCAACCACTGGCGAGGGAGCGGTCGGCCAGATAAACGCGCCCAAGGCAACAGCCGCAACAAGGCGACGGGTCTTGAGCCTCGAGCAAACTGTGTGTCCGGCGCTGATGCCGGGTGCTGCAGGTCCAGGTGACGGGATGTGGATGTGGTTGCAAAAGTCGGGGGGTGAGTCGACGTTTGCGGTTGCTTGTGATCGTGGACGGCTGGCACGAGGCAAGGGAAAATGGCAGGAAGGAGCACCCCAGAAGACGGCAGGAGCCTATCTGGAAAGGGATGTCATACTTACTTACAAGGACTAGCGCGGTCTAGCTGGCTGGCCCAGCACCAGGCCTTTGCTCCACTTGCCAGGCGTGGTCAAGACCAGCCTTGTGGTTGGCCCAGAGGACAGTGCGACTGCCGTGGTGGTTTGTTATCACCTGCGCACCTGCGAGCACAGCGCGACCGGACTGGTGAAGCTGTCGGCTCTAGAACGTCTTTTCTCCATTCTTCCCAGCGCCTCCAATTCCTTTGTACCTTTTGCCTGGAAAGCTTATGTGCGTTGGATGCCGCCCGCCTGACCGTTTGTCCGGCTGGCCCGCACTGTATGTGCGCAATGCGACTTATGTACGCACTTTAATTGTGCTACAGTGGAAGTACACCGTTTTTGACGTTTCTTTGCACTGTGTGGCTTGACGTGTCTTCACGTGACCATATTTGCGCGTCAGCACCGCTCCTTCCCCCGCGCTTTGCGCCCGTAGCTGCCAAAGTCGCGTAAATCCCACGAGGGAAAGGAGGTGGTAAACTTGAGGACGTCGCGACCCTAATAATCTGCTCGACGTACTCCCATATCCCCTCCCCAGACTCTCGACGCTCGGCCGGACAGCGACGCAGCATCGCATTGTTCGCTTCTCGACTGCTGCAAAATAGCGTGCCGACGACTTAATCGAATACACATCGACTGTCCCGTCTGCCAGCACGCATTGTTTGTTTGTGCCCCGTCACGCGCCTCTGGCCGCGATCGACCTCCAAACGAACCTCGCCTCATTACGCGGCCGACTCGGTCGCCGCACCCGTTGCAAGAATGGGCAAGCTCAATCGCTTGGAGCTGTTTAGTACGTGTCGTCTTTTGTTGCTGTTGTTGCTGTTGTTGCTGTTGTTGCTGTCGCGATGCGTCTTTGTGGAGAGACGTTGCGCGCGCTCTCGCTTGCCGCAGACTGTATCTAACCCGACGTCCCTGCAGACTTCAAGTCCTACAAAGGCCATCATGTCCTCCTCTTCGGCGACTCCTACTTCACTTCCATTGTCGGCCCCAATGGCTCTGGCAAGTCCAATTCGTATGTCATCCGCACGCAATGCCGCTGGACGCGCGGCTTCTGGCTTCTGTTTGAGGTCTGGTCAACTGACTAACCACGTTACGCGTGCAGCATGGACGCCATCTCTTTTGTGCTCGGTATCAAATCTTCCCACCTTCGGTCCAGCCACCTCAAAGATCTAGTCTACCGCGGGCGCGTCATGGAGACGTCAAAACCAAACGAAGACACGCCTCTCCAACCCGACGCCAACGGCCACGCCAATGGTCACGCCAACGGTGACGATGACGACGACGACGACGACACGCCCGGTGATAAGAAGGCCGGCCGCAAGGACCCCAAGAACGCATGGGTCATGGCCGTGTACGAGGACGACGCTGGCGACACCCACCGGTGGAAGCGGACAATCACGAGCGGCGGTTCCAGCGAGTACCGCATCAACAACCGCATCGTTACCGCCCCGGAATACAACGCCGCTCTGGAGGCCGAGAACATTCTCATCAAGGCTCGCAACTTTTTGGTTTTCCAGGGCGACGTCGAGGCTATTGCGTCGCAGTCGTCGCAGGACCTGACGCGCCTGATTGAGCAGATCTCGGGCAGTCTCGACTACAAGCCCGAGTACGAGCGCCTCAAGGCCGAGGCCGAGCAGGCCATCGAGAACCAAAACTTCCACCTGACCCGCCGCCGTGCCATCAACGCCGAGATCAAGCAGTACCAGGAGCAGAAGGCCGAGGCCGAGAGCTTCCAGCGCAAGCTGAACGAGCGCGACGACGCCATTGTGGACCAGATGCTGTGGAAGATTTACCACTACCAGCGCATCATGGACGACTCCAGCAACCAGATCCAGGAGCACAACGAAAATCTCGCCGAGTTCCGCCGCAACCTGGGGGATGCCGAGACGAAGCTCGAAGAGGCGCGCGCGGCGCAGGCGGCTGCCAACAAAGAGGCGTCGCGTGTGGAGCGCCGCATCCGTCACAAGGAGCGCGACATTGAGGACGAGGAGAACAAGCTCATTCCCGTCTCGGAGAAGGTGGAGCAGCTGTCCAACGACATCGCGCTGCTGAAACAGAAGATCACGTCTGCCACCGAGGAGCGCGATGCCCAAGCGGCGCGCGTCCAGAAAGCCGAGAAGGAGATTGCCGTTGTCGAGAAGGCGCGCCAGCAGTTTGAGAAGCAATGGAAGGAGACGCTGCAGAAGCAGGGCAAGGACTTGAGCGACGACGACCGGAAAGAGTACCACGCTCTGCGCAGCCAAGTCCGCGCCAAGTGCGCCGTGGAGCTTGCCGACCGCGACCACATCCGCCGCCAGCTCAAGAGCGACGAGGTGACGGTCAACACAATCAAGGGCAACGTCGACAGCCGCCAAGCCAAGGTGACGAAGCTCGAGGCGGAGCTGGAGACGATTAAGGAGCGCCACAGCACGTGCCAAGACGATGTGCGCAAGATCGGCCAGGACGTGGACGGCGCCAAGAAGACGTTCAACCAGGCCAAGTCAGAGCGCGTGCGTGTCAACAACGCCGTGACGGATCTGGAAGAGCAGATGCAGGACATTTCTACCCGGCTCGAGACGGCCCGCTCCGGCATGGTGCAGAGCCGCAGGGAAACCCGCATGAAGGAGGTTGTCTCCCAGATGCGGCGCATTTACCCGGGCGTGCACGGCCGCGTCGGTGAGCTGTGCAAGCCGAAGCAGAAGAAGTACGACGAGGCCGTGGTGACGGCGCTGGGCCACGACTTTGACTCGGTCGTGGTCGATACCGAGAAGACGGCGGCCGAGTGCATTCAGTACCTCAAGGAGCAGCGCCACACACCCATGACGTTCATTCCCCTGGACAACGTCAAGGTCAGCGCGCCCAGCACCGCCATCAAGGGCATACAGGGTGCGCGGCTGACGATCGACACCATCGACTTCGACTCCAACCTCGAGCGCGGCATGGCCTTTGCGTGCGGTGGGTCCGTGATCTGCGACTCCATGGACGTGGCCAAGAACATTGTCTACCAGAAGCGGCTGCCGGTCAAGGCCGTCACGCTGGAGGGCTTCCTCATCAACCGCTCCGGTACGATGACGGGTGGTCGTATGCCCGACCAAAAGGGCAACCGCGGCAAGCGGTTCGCCGAGGAGGACGTGCAGAACCTCGAGCGCATGTTCGAGAAGAAGCGCGCCGACCTCGAGAAGCTGCCCAAGCCGAGCCACCTGCTCCACCACGAGAAGGTGCTCAACGACGAACTGGTGCATCTGGAGCAGCGCCTTCGGTCAGCGCGCGCGGAGCTGCAGGCCTTTGAGAAAAACCTTAGCAGCAAGAAGCAGGAGGTCGCCGAAGAGAAGCAGCAGCTGCGCGAGAGAGAAGCGAAGCACGCCGACGAGGCTGCCAAGCTGGCCAAGACACAGAGCGCCGTGACCAAGACGGAGCAGGCCATCAGCAAGGTCGAAGACAAGATCTTTGGCGCCTTCTGCAAGAAGCACGGCTTCAAGGACGTGCGCGAGTACGAGGCGCAGCAGGGCAGCCTGGAGCAGCAGGCGGCCGAGAAGCGGAGCGAGTTCGAGGTGCAGCTGCAGCGCCTCAAGTCGACCATGAGCTGGGAGGCATCGCGCCACGACAGCACCAAGACGCGCGTGCAGCAGATGGAGCGGCGGTCACAGCAGCTCACCAAGGACCTCAAGGAATACCAGGCGGAGAAGAAGCAGGTGGAAGGGGTGATTGCGCAGGCACAACGCGACGTCGACAAGCTGCGCAGCGACCTCGACGCGATGCAGGAGGAGAACAGCGACACGGCCGACAACGTGGCGGCCGCGCGCGCCGAGGTCCAGAAGTGGCAGCGCGAGATCGAGTCGCGGCACAAGGAGATCAACGGCTTGGAGACAGAGGTGCAGAAGAACAGCGCAGCCAAGTTTGCCCTGTTGCAGCGGTGCAAGATGGAGCAGATCCAGATCCCGCTGGAGGAAGGCTCGCTGGACGACTTGCCCAACGAGGACCAGCTGCTCAACCAAGACCCCGATGCCATGGACATTGACGAGGGCGATGACGGTGTCATGGAGGTGGCGATGGACGACCACGGTATTGAAGTCGATTTTGAGCGGCTACAGGGCGAGCTGAAAGACGTACGTCCGAACCCCGTCCCCCCCCCTTTTTCTCGTGCATGACTCGAATGTTACAGTATGCTGACAGTAGTTACCCAACAACCAGGGCGAAGACGAGGAGCGCGTTGAAGAGCGGCTGGAGACCAAGATTGCCGAGCTGACGGCGGAACTGGAGAAGCTGAATCCCAACATGCGGGCCATTGAGCGGCTCGAGTCCGTGGAAAGCAAGCTGCGCGAGGTCGACAAAGAATTTGAGGACAGCAAGAAGGTGGCGCACCGGATCAAGACCGACTTTGAAGACGTCAAGAACCAGCGCACAGACGTCTTCCGCCGCGCATTTACGCACATCCAGGAGCAGATCACCGAGGTCTACAAGGAGCTCACGCGGACAGAGGCGTACCCGCTCGGCGGCCAGGCGTACCTGGACATTGAGGCCGAGGGCGACGAGCCGCCGTACCTGAGCGGCGTCAAATACCACGCCATGCCGCCGCTGAAGCGCTTCCGTGACATGGAGCACCTGTCGGGTGGTGAGAAGACGATGGCGGCGCTGGCGCTGCTGTTTGCTATCCACAGCTACCAGCCATCGCCCTTCTTTGTGCTCGACGAGGTGGATGCGGCGCTGGACAATGCCAACGTCGACAAGATCAAGAAGTACATCCGCGAGCATGCCGGGCCGGGCATGCAGTTTATCGTCATCAGCCTCAAGCCGGGCCTGTTTCAGGACAGTGAGAGCCTGGTGGGTGTGTACCGTGACCAGGAGGTGAACAGTTCAAAGACGCTGACACTGGATGTGAGTTTTCCCCGGACCCTCTTCGTGGCGTCTGCCCTATTTGACGTATTGTGCTGCACCCTACTGACACATGCATTTAGCTTCGCAAATATATCTAATCACCAGGACAATTAAAAACAACGAAATCACATGCGGCAGCGGGGATTTGAGGAAGATGCGAAGCGGACGAAAGGGGCATGTGAAAAAAGGGGATACTTTAAGGATGTTTTGCGGTTTTTATTTACGTGTCTCTAGCTCCGCAAGGGCTCTGCCGATGGTTATGTCTGTGTAAATATGAAATTTGGGCTGGCTGTTCAAATGCGGGTTGCGTGCTATTTTTCACGTTAATTTTTTTTCTTTATTTTGTGTTTCTTTTTCTGAAGGCTAGCAACTGCGGCGATGGACAGTGCTCGAGGGGTGACTGTGTTGCGTATTCCTGCCATTTTCTGTGTTCTTATACATTTCTTGCCACTTTGTTCTATGTAATGCCAATGCTGAGCGGAGTTTCTTATTTTTTACATTCATTTTCATTTTCGTCCTCATCACACGATTGTGTGAGCTTTGACGCAGAGATCGCTCACCAATGGCCGACTTACACGACATGTGGCAGTCTGAATCAAGGAGTCCACTTAGATCAACCCACGGATAGCCCATTTAGCCAAGGCGAGCGTCGCTGCGACTTTCTATCACGTCAGCCCGAAATCGACACTCTTTCTGTTGTGCTGCCGTCTTAGTGGCTCCTGAAAGACGTGTTGTTTGACGCGAGCTGACGCAGAATGGGGGTTGTGCAGCGTACAGCGTGGGAGATGGCTTGTCTCGCCTGGTAGCTACTTGTTCAAAAGACAATGTTCTGCTTCCCCTCATTTATCTCCAGCTTATTTACTTTTGTCTGCTTGGAATCATCGGCCCGAGAGACCTTTTTATAGGCACTTAAAGCTGCAGCGTTCCTTCCTGACATTTGACCTGCAGTTCACAAATGCTTTCTCCCGCTGTTCAAAGTTAACAACTGCCCCTCCTTCCTCATTTGTCACCAGGAGTTGATTGTGAACCGAAAGCAGAAAGCGCAACGACCACAAGGCTCTAGCCTTCCAACCACGGCAACACCAGAGACAGACGGGTTCTTTCCCTGTTGTGCAATTGTCCACCGCCGCCGCTATTGACTTGGACACGGCTGTCCATTCGCTCCTTCCGCACCAGCGAAATCCGGAGTCCAGACGGCAGAAAATTTTGTCCTCTTTCCAACCCGGGCCCACTAGCGAACATTTTGTGGGCCGCAGAAGAGTCATTGCCTCGCTCCTGCCAAAACTCGAGGTTAACAGCGCGGCCGCTGCTAGTGTCGTTCGCTGCTTCTTTTTTCGCTCTTTCCTCATTGTCGAACAGTTGCTCTTCCTTCTCTTCTTGCAATTGCATCTTCTGCTTCACTCCTTTTCCAAGCTTCCAGAGACCTCACGACTCACGACTGTCTCTGTGGTTGCTCGCCATCCGGCCCCCAGAACCCTATTCCCCTCTATCCTCCGAATCTCCTCCGTTGGCGAACGTTCTTCCTTTGACTCGAACCCCCACCCCGACAAACGGCACGTCTTTCGAGCGTACAGCCTCTCCCCCTGTGCGCACGCAAACTGCACACTAAGAACACACGATGTCGCGGCCATTGTTAAGAAATTCCGGCGGAAATGGATGGATTGTGCAGAAGTTTGGTGGCACCAGTGTCGGCAAGTTCCCAGACAAGGTCAGTGTGTCACACTCTCGTGCCGACAAGCGCAAATCGTGCTGCATTGCAGCTCCAAACGTGGCTCTCGGCGCGTTGGAACGAAAGGGCAACAGAAAAAAAATCACAGACAGACAATGCTAACAAGCTGTCCCGTTACAGATTGCCGAGGATATCGTCCGGTGAGTCAATATAAGAAATTAAAATAGTCGGCACAAGAAGCACCTTGGGCGAGCCATTGCGCAATACAAGGGTTCGCGAGTGGGGCAGAGACAACAATCATGTGCAAATGCAAGGGCGCAATACAAATGCGCATGCGCGCCCGTTCCGAAACAAGACGACACCCAACAACGACAGCTCTACTAACACGCGGTGCCCAGGCAATATGTCTCGTCAGAGAACCGCATCGTCGTCGTCTGCTCGGCACGCAGCCCCGGCAAGAAGGTCGGCGGCACCACAAGTCGCCTACTGGAGGTCGTCAAGAGCCTGCAGCTTCTTGGCCCAGCCGCCGCTATGAGCGACGAACCCGCCCAGGTCCAGCTCGTCGAGACTGCCCAGAAGCTCATCCGCGACATCTGCAATGAGCACGTCACATCCGCCCAAGCAAGCGTCTCGGACCCGGCTCTCTGCGACGCCCTGTGCAAAGAGATCGACGCCGAGTGCCGCGAGCTCGCCGAATACGTCGCCGCCATCAAGCGCTTCAATCTCGAGGTCAACTCCCGCTCCAAGGACCGCGTCATCAGTTTCGGCGAGAAGCTGAGCTGTCGCTTCATGACCTACGCGCTGCGCGACCACCAGGTCGCCGCCGAGTACGTCGACCTGTCCGACGCCCTGCACTCCGGTATCGGAGGCGCAAACCATATCCACGACCGGCTCGACGCCGCCTTCTACCGTGAAGCGGCGAGCGTGTTCGCCAAGAAGATTGCCGCCTGCGGCGACAGCGTACCGGTCGTGACGGGTTTCTTTGGCAACGTGCCCGGCAGCTTGGTGGACGGCGACGTGGGACGTGGCTACACAGATCTGTGCGCAGCACTCATCGCCGTGGGGCTCAAGGCACAGGAGCTGCAGGTCTGGAAGGAGGTGGACGGCATCTTCACGGCCGACCCCAGCAAGGTCCCGACGGCACGACTCATCCCGTCCATCACGCCCTCCGAAGCAGCGGAGCTCACGTTCTACGGCTCCGAGGTCATCCACCACTTGACCATGGACCAGGTCGTAAAAGCGGTACCGCCCATCCCGGTGCGCATCAAGAACGTCAAAAACCCGCGCGGCAACGGCACCATTGTTCTTCCGGACCCAGTACGTGCGCCTGGCCAGCAGCTGCAGCGCATGGGCCGTGGCAGTTTTGCGGTGGGCAGCGCTGCGGCACCAGTCACCAACGGCAACGGACCGGCTGCAGCGGCGGCTGGTGTGCGGCTCACGCCGCGGCGACCAACGGCCGTAACCATCAAGGACCGCATCTCGGTGCTTAACATCCACTCCAACAAGCGGTCCCTGGCACACGGCTTTGTGGCCCGCGTGTTCTCGATCCTCGACCAGCACCAGATCTCGGTGGATCTCATCGCCACGAGCGAGGTGCACGTGTCCATGGCCATCCACGCGCCGGACGTGTCGTCGCCGTCCGAGGCTGGCGTCGCCGACAGCAATCTGGACCTGGCGCGGAAACAGCTTGGCGCCCTCGGCGACGTTAGCCTGCTGCACGGCATGGCCATTCTGAGCCTGGTGGGCGCGGACATGAAGAACATGATTGGCGTTTCCGGCAAGATGTTTTCGACGCTCGGCGAGCACAACATCAACATTGAGATGATTTCTCAGGGTACGTCGCTGTCACCCACTCCACCCGGCCTCGGCCAACATACATCCCTTGCCTTGCCTTGCTCAACTTAAACTAACAACATCGTCAGGCGCCAGCGAGATCAACATCTCGTGTGTGATTGATGCGGACGAGGCCACAAGAGCGATGAATGTGTTGCACACAAATCTATTTACATTTTTGGATTAGGCGACGATAGACCGTGTATTTTATGTTTTGAGCTGGGGCATTTCTCGTCTTTTCTGCCACTTTCTTCTCTTCTTCGCATCTGCCTTCATTTTCTGGGCGTTTTGCGTTTTACTCTTTTGTTTTTGTATCCCCTAACCGCCTCGGGATCGAATTAGGGCGAAGCCATTTTGCTTTTTTTTTGTTACGAAAAAGGGAAAAGAGATTTCCACGTTCCAATCTATCAAGTATCCTTTTCATTAACCTACCCACCTACTCGACTGAACCCAATACAGTGATTAAAACACATGGTCCTTGTGTCCTTTTTCATTTTCATATTTCCTTCATTTTTAGATTCGCCAGTGTCTAAAAGCAGTAAAAACAAATTGTCCCTGTACCTGTGATTCATGCTCCTGTCCAGAATACATGTAAGAAACCAGCACCCTTCACCATCATATCCCTCTCTTTCATCTTCCGCATTCACCATTTTACTCATTTCTTTCCCTTCTTTCGCTTCTTAGCGGCGACACTGCCACTCGGGCCTTGCGGGGCCTTCTCCACGCGCACCGACCCGGCACCGCCCGCCAGCGCAAGCGTCTCCTCCTCCTTCACCACGCCGCCTTGCATCGTGGCCGCATCGCCGCGCCGGCCACGGCCCTTCTTGCCCTTGGGCGGGCGGTACGAGCTGCGGTCGCGCACGGGCAGCCAGCGCTCCGGGTCCATCTTCTTGTTGGGGTCAAAGGCGCTGGTGCTGCCGTCCGCAGCGGCCTTGGCCTGCAGCTTGCGTGCCTGGCGCGACAGCGAGGGCGCGGCAGCAGCACCCGTCTTGGGCCTCTTGGCGGACGGCTGAGCCGCAGCGGCGTCTGTCGTGGTAGCATCCGTGGCAGCAGCAGAGCGCTTCTTGCTCTTGGCGGGTGCAGCGGGTGCGGGCAGCGTGGCCACGCCGTTCTGCAGCAGAGACGTGACGTCGATGCCCTTGACGAGCTGGTCGACCGGCGTCAGGGACGCAGCCAGTTTTTGCTGGCGCGCAGCCTGTGCGGGCGACACGGGTGTGGTGGCGGACTCTGTTGCGGACGCAGCAGCAAGCGAGGCAACAAGGCCGGCGGCGGCAATCTTGTCGGCCGGATCCGAGGCGTGCAGCGTCTCAAATGCCGAGGCCGCGGCGGCCTGGTCGGCGGGATCTTGCGAGTGCAAGAGCTCGACACCGGCAGCACGCAGCAGAGAGGCAGGCGGCGCAGGCAACGGGGTCTTGCGGGCCCGCTGCCAGTGGGCAGCGGCTTTGGCGAGTTCGGTGCGCACGGCCTGGTGGCGGCCCTGCAGCTTGTAGATGGCGACGGCCAGGGCGACCAGACCGGGGGCAAAGCGGGCGTCTCTGGCGGCCGTTGCAGTGGCGTCTTCTGCACGGCGGAAGTAGGCCTCTAGCAGAGAGAGGGCGGCCTCGGCGTTGTGCGCTTGTAGCTGCAGCTGCACGGCGGTCAGAAGCAGGCCAATGTCGTCAGGGCGATGTTCGAGGAGCGGCAGGATGCGCCGCAGGGCATCCTTGCCAGTCTGCAGCTCGGCCTTGGCGGCGGCACCAAAGACGCCGAGGTCCACGATGTCGGGGAACGTGGCCAAGCTGCTGTTCTCCTTGTCGCTGTCGCTGCCACCGGTGCTGGACTGGCGCTTGAGCAGCTTGGCGGTGCGGCCCAGCACGCCCTTGAACTTGTAGCACTGCAGCTCGATGGCAAACTGGTTGCGGCGCAGGATCCGTGCCTGGTGAGAGAAGAGGCGGTCGCTGCCCGACGGCGGAGCGGGGACGGCGTCGACTTGGCGCTGGGCGAGGTAGGGGTTGCTGCTGGTCGGAGACGAACTGCTGCTGTTCTTGAGGACGACCGAGTTGGTCGCCGCGACAACCTTGACGGAGCCGTCACACTCGCTGGCGTCAACGGCCTGCTGGAGCGCGGCTGCGTCGTCATGACGGCCCAGGCGGGTCAGCGTGTACACCTGCTGGATCAAGATGGGCAGCAGCTCGGCGCGCTTGTCCTCGTCGCTGAGCTCGTCGGACGCCTCGCACAGCTGCTGGGCGCGGCGCAGCAGAATCGAAGCCTTGGCCACGTCGCCGCGAGCCACGGCCACACAGCCAGCGTTGTAGGCCGCCTCAAAGGACTCGAGGTCTTCCCGGCGGCCGGCATCGAGTGCACTGTCCTGGCCCGCCGACACTGTCGTCGATCCGCGGCCCTGCCATGCGCGCTGGGCCGACACGGCCAGGGCGTTGATGCGCACGTCGGTCGACTCGCCGACACCGGCCTCGGGTGCGCTCTCGGCGTCCTCGCCCAGGGCAGCATAGAGGCCCGCGGCGAGGTCGAACTGCTCGGTCCGGTAGGCGACCTGGGCGGCCACGTGCTTCAGGCCGCGATGGGAGGCACCCTGGCTGGCCGCCAGCGCGGCAGCAGCGTCGAGATCGCCCGTCTTGTAGAGGGCATAGGCACGCTCCAAAACCGTGCGGGCGGCGAGCGCATCGCCACCGGCGGCCACGGTGCGCAGGGCATCGTCGAAGCGGTCGAGCTTGAGCAGGGCGACGACCTTGGCGTGCAGGGCGGTCAGCTGCTCAGGGCTGGCGGAGCCGGCCGTTCCGTTGCCGATGGCGGCATTGGCGAGCTTCAGGGCTTCTTCGTGATCGTCGATGCTGGCGCCGCGTAGCAGCGAGTTGAGGGCGTTGACGGCTGCCGCCATTGTGGTGCGTGTGTTGGGGGCGTAGAAGCGCCGAGGAGATCGGCGGGCGAGGTTGCGTCGTGTCGAAAGACGGGGGAAGGGGGTGGTTCGTCCTGGTGACTAGCAACGTCCCATGGCGTTTTTGTGTATGTGTATTTTGTAATGGCTGCAAATCGTGCGATGCCGTTTCGACCGTTGACCGTGTGCCTGCCTTTTGCGTCGGGTGTCGTTGTTCAGAGGGCAGTAGCTACCGACGTCCAAACAGAGCCTGCCGCACACTTCAAACTGGCAGGAGCGATTGAGCGAGAGGGGCAGCCACAGTGTGTGGGGCACTTTCTGTGTCCTTTTCTGTGTGTAATTTTTTTCTCGAATCGCTCTTACTAAATTTTGGGTTTATTGTGGGCCCGTCCCGAGGAAAGAACGACCAGCTAGCATTTACAACAGTATCAAAGCACAGCATAAAAAAAAGCAACAAAACTTTGGACGGCGACGCATTCTGTCAAAACCAGGCATTTGTCATGCTCTTCCATGTGCATCTCAGGTGTCATATACAGCATCCAGTTGTCCATCGTCACAAGCCACATCTAGCTGCGGCACGTGTACAGCTACCCTTTCTATGACCGGCGGAACATGCCCCAGAACCGCTTCTGCTTTTGGGCCTTGTCTTGCTGTGGCTCTGGGACATTGGGCTCCCACAATGGGCGCATCGGATAGGCCGGCCGAATGTCGTACTCGGGTGCTTCTCTTTGCCAGATGTTGTCGCTGGAATCGGCGGGCTTGGGCCGACGCCGCAGCTTGTGCTCAGGAATCTCGCCCAGCTTGGTGCTCGTGCTGGACCTCGATAGCATCGAGACGCGGCGGCCCACACGATGACCCGAGTCGTTCTGGTGAGCGCTAGGGCTCCGAACGATGGTACTTCCGCTGTCCCTCCGCCTGCCGCTCCTGCTGCTGCCGCTGCTAGTGCTGTGGGAGCTGTCATGGTGCCGATGGGGGCCGCGCTGCTGGGCCTGTGCAGTGCTTTCTCTTGCCGACGGGGTGGCCTTCTTCTTTGGCTTGGTCTGTGGCTCACCAGGGCGACGGCTTCTGCTCTTCGTGGCGTTGCCGTCTCTTGCTGAACTGCGACTCCCTTGACTGCCATGGCTGCTCCCGGCGCTTGAACCTGCTCGCCGATGCTTCTTATCTCCCTTGTGTTTCTGTTGCCTCGGCTCGCCATCAGGTAGCGGTCCTGAGCCGGTTGGATGCGCGGACGGGTGTGGCATTGGTGGAGAAATGCCTGAGGATGCCCGGCTCCCGCGCGATCGAACCGACACGCTGCTTCGGCTGCCCCGGTGTCGGTGGCCACTCATGCGCACAGAAGCTCCGTCAATAGCATGGATGGCGTCGATGCGGGAGGCATTTGACAGCGCTCGCAGGGCGTCATAGTTGAGCAACGGCCGACCGTCTGGCATGGTACTGTCTCTGTGACTGCTGCCGAACCCGAGGATGCTCGCCAAGGCATCTGTCAGTCGCCGGACAATACGCCGGAGCGCAGAGCGGGACTGGCCTGTGGGAACGACGTGTAAGCGACGGGTGGAAAATTGTAGGAAAACAAAATGTGAAGCAGGGACACCTACCATCGCCCTTTTGAAGTCGACTGCCCGTTTCGCTCAGACGTTTCGAGTACGCCCTCTGGATCTTGGCGCGGTCTGCTTGAAGGGAGCGACCGAGCTCGGACTGACGATCCCGCTCGGAGGAATAAGATGAGTAGCCGTCGCCTGAGCTACTGAAGATTCGAAGAAGGGACAGACATTTTGCATATGCCTCCAGGAGTGCATCGACGCCGTCGGCGAGGCCCATGGTAGATTGTAGAGGCGTTGGGAACGTACTGCATCCGGGTGCGGGCCGCGTGCAGGCGGCTAAGAGGGTTGCTGCAGGTTCCAGTGTTTACACTCGAATTTTGGGATGGAGATGGCAAAGTGGGATGGCCTCTGCCAGCTGTAGAATCCGCGATGTGCTGTGCCGCCGGAGGGCCTCCGTGTCGTAAAAGGCACAGGCCGGCGTATCTACGGGGCCGCGCTCGTTCACGCGGGGTTGCCTCACGCCTCTCCTCTTTTGGCGCCTCTCACCAGACCTTCGCCTCGTCAGTCTTCTTGACCAGGGGATCGAGTTTGGCCATACACTTTTGTCCTCCACGAGCTCGACCCACAAAAAGCCGCCCGCTAGCCGCCCGTGGTCGTGGATGGTCGCCAGTCGTTTACTCCATCTAGTGGCCACTAGCCACTAGAACAACTTGTCAGCCCCTGAACGCAGCATGTGGTCGACGACGTCCAATCCGGGGACTGAAGGCGTCTTTTCTTTTCATTTTCATTATCATTTTCATTTTCATGTTGTCTGTTCCATGCGCCCTCTGTTGAGTGCAAAAGGTTGCTCGACGCCGACAGAAGTGAGCCAATCAGAGCTCTGGGGCACTGTTACGACTTTCTGATTCTGGACTCATCGAGCTTTGAGACAAAAGATAAAGAAGGAACACGAACACTGAAAACAGAACGGGAAGCACAAAAAGATGGGAAATAGGTGCGAGCGTGGCACGGTGTAAGAGACAGATATGACATACGCGAAACGCCCACGTCGACCGGCGTTGGTTGGCAGTGTTATCAGTCTCGAAAAAAAAAGAAAAACAGCCTAAAGCAACGGCCCTGTCTTGGATGAGGACGAAGTTGGGGGCGCAATCCCACGACGATGATGTGCACAGGCAGGCATGCAAGAGCCCGTAAAATGGACGAGACGAATCGACGGATGCAGCGTGCGGATCTTCTGATACTTCGTCTATTCTATCTTTGCCCCGAGATAGCACACCGAGGACGAATGATGCATGCAGTGTCAGCCCTGAAAAGGAGAGCGTGGAAATTGAGCGTGGGAGGGAAGGACAAAAAAGAAAACACAAAAAACATGATTTCATGATCTCACATGATTGTGTGCTTTTGTCGCTTATGTTCTGCGTTGTCAGCAGCCATGGACCCTTATCTGGCGAATCTGAGTAGAACATAAAGCTGAAAAGTGCGCCACAAAGTGGCCCTTGCTTCGTCTAGCTTTTTTTTTTTTTTTTTGTTTTGCGTGGTTGGACCTGCCCTGTCCTAGGTTCTTTTTGTGCATCCGAAAACGAAGTACTTTTTTTTTTCTCATTCTATCTTTTGTTTCCTGTCCCATTCCATCCACCGTCCCGTTTCTCGGTAGACACTCCCGGCTCTCCGTATCATAAAATGCGCGATGCCAATTGGAGGGCCTGGACCAGGGTGGGCAAAGTGGTGCCTATGTGTTTTTTGGGTGTCGGGGGTGCCTGGGGCGTGGGATGTGACGGGTTCTACGGGATGCACACTCATAAGACGGGTAGAGGCAGAAAACAGAAAAAGGAAGAAAAAAGAAGAAAAAGAAAAAGAAAGGTAAAAGGAACGGAAAAGAGGAAGCTGAAGACAGAGAGAGGGAGAGACAAAAAAAAGCAACTACGAAATATGTCTGATATGCAACTCCGTTCCCTGGTGGCTACCGACTTGGTCTGTTGACTTGGTCTGTTGACTTGGTCGGTAGACTTGGTTTGTTAACATTGCAGCCCCCTTAACTATCGTATCGTTCCTTTTCTCATTCACTCTTCTGCCCGTGTTTACACACCACTCCACTGCTATCTTTCATCCAAGATAAGTGTGGGCTTTCTACACTTCGGGTAAAGTGGAAGGGCCTTCCGCGGAACGATCCTAGTTTGGAAATGGCCGACGCGGGATGAGAACAACACAGTCACAGATCGCGGATCCGTAGTTGCTATCACGACTGAGCCTTTCATTCATCCATCTATTCACTTTTTTTTTTCGTCTGCAAGAATTGGCAATGGCCGTCGCCTCCTGACGATATCGAAAACCTCGTCCCCTGCACCGTCGCACAGAGTTATGTTCTTCGTGTTCTGCTGCTGCTGTTGCCTCTATCGTTGGGCGTCTTTTTGGCCTGCCTTATCTGCCCACCTGTTCAGGGCGCCGTGCACTCTCCCATTTCGGCTCTTCTTCGTCGGATTGGAACGCTCTTCTTACTCTCACACACGCCCCCCCTGGTCCCGGATAATCCTGTATGTCGTACTTGCAGCATTCAACACGTTGGCCAATGAACGGTCGCGATCGCATCTACGTGCCTTTATCGCAGAAAGGCGTATGGACAGGGGTTGCAGTCGTGACAAGAGCAAAAGAAAGGGAAAATGACAAAGAGTTCGGTTGCTGCATGTCCGTGCCCCCTCACTCCCATCCCTCGGCAGGGTTTGCACGCACCTTGTCAGTACATGTACGCACGAATATGGAACAGGCGCAGTAAGAGAAAATTTTGGCGAGCGAGAACGGAGGAAAGACGAGGAAGAAATCGTGTCCACATCCAATCGCTGTGGAAATTCGAAATATCGACCGATGACAGTTTGCGGCCAAACCTGCATGTGCGACAAACGACATGAAGAGAGTACAAGCCCCCTGGGAGGACGGCATCATCGATAAGATGAAGGCCAGCAAAGCTGTCATATGTGCTCTGAGTTGTACGAAGCACAGTCGAGGAAACGCCAGTGTGGGTCCAGATAACGCAAAAAAGACGGTAAGGCGACACGGGACGACACGGGCGGGTGGCCTGCTCAAAAATAAATCAAAAAACAAATACAAAAAACAACAGTGCTCGACACAAAGGGACATACGAGGACAAGAGGGTCGAGAGCCAAAAGAGCCAAAAGGGCAAAAGGGCAAAAGGGCACTGCCATGTTTCTCCTGGCCTGAAACGCATTTTGCATTTGAGAACCTTTGGGGCCATCTTGCTGGCCTGGCCAGGCTCGTTGCATAATCTCACACTCTAACTCTACGCACGCACCGCGGAGGGCCTCGTTCTCGCCGCATACAGTGTGCTGCTCTGTACCCTGTGTCGTGTCCTTTTGGCTGGATGCAGTCATAGGATTGGTCTTCGAAATGTCGTGACCGCAGCGGATCGTCTGCGAACTGTGTTCGATGCGAAAGGGCAGGAGCGACCGAGGGGGCAAAAGACGGCGGAGATGAACGAAACAAGAACCCCCAAACCCCCAAAGCTGGAACACGCCGTTCACTGAATCGCCGTCTATGACTTGAGATATTGCGTGCTTTGCAGGATGCGATATTTATTTTTACGTGTCTCGCGTCCCTGGCACGGAGTCATCGTTACAAAGTACGAACGTACGGAATATGCCATTTGTGCTCCGCTGCCTGCCCCTTTGCACCTTCCCTGCGCTGGTTCTGAGCAAATAAACAAGAGGCGGCCAGGGGTGCAAGAGCAACCCGCGGCCAAGGCAAGTGCGATGGGCCAAATGCAGGCAAACCCGCGCGAACCCGTCGGACCCGTTGTGGTTTTCTGGGCGTGGTTGAGCCGTCATGACTCCGCAGTTGCCAGTTCACCACATGCGCTGCTGTTTTTTAACACTGCCACGGTTGCCGTTTGCGCCTTCCCCATCCCTCTGTCCACTCTTTCCACTCTTTCTCTTTTTATCGGCTCCCCCACCCTACTTTGCTCAGAAGGCCCCCCATGTTATTCCCGCCCACCTCCTCGTCCGCTTCTCGACTCCTCCTCGACTCCTCCCACGCATTTTCTTCTTTTTTCTCGTCCAACCCACTCGCACACCCTGGGCCTCCCACACGCCCCCTTTGTCCTGTGCCGCCCGTGTCGTGGGACTGTCCTGAAAAGACGCCGTTCTCTTGTTTCGTTATCAGCGAGCCCGTCACCACCCTGCAAATCAAATCGTCGTCGCCATCGCCTCTCGTCGTCCCATTTTCCCTGTCCTGTTTGCCTCTGATCTCGCCCCCCGTCTCTTGCGCAACCTCTCCCTGCGTCTCACGCTGGGCTTTTTATTTTACTGGATGTCTTCCGCAGGTACCTGCCCGTGATTCGGCGGGATCGAGCCTCTGCCGTGATGGGACCATAGCTTATGGGACCATAGCTTTGCCGTGCTTGTCTACCTTTTTTATTGCCCTTTTATCTTCTTCTGTAATTGATCCCCTCTGCCTCTTGGGCCGCTCTCGTGGCACGCCTTTCTCGCTTCTTCTGATCCACTATCTTACACCTAGCTGGCCGGCCCGCTTCCTGGTATCTCGCCAGATCCCGACGCCAGCGTGCTTTCTCGTCTTCAAACCCTCTTTTTCTTCTCTTTTCTCCAGCCAACTCCCTCACGATCAACGCCGGCCGCCTTGCTAGTCCATCACAACGGCTCCCTCATCCGCACGTCTTGGCTCTAGTTCTCGATCCAACGCAGGCCCAGCACCACATATCAACTAGCTGGTGCGCACCTGTCTGGCCGGTCCGGCACTACCCCGTACGTCGTACTCGTGGAAATATCCATTAGTTAATCCTGCCTGGCCGTGCTAGTGAGAAAGAGCTCGTGGTCTTCTTTTCTTCCTCTTTTCTTTCGCTCTTCACTTTTACCAGCATCCATCATCTCACGGGCCTCGAGCACCTTCTTGTGGTTTCTCTTCGACCCGCCTCGTCGACATCGACATAATCGTACGCCTCGTTCAGATACGCACGTCCATCTTTCTGTTTCCACGGAATAGGGTGCAACTACCATCCGCCTGCTGCTCCCTGCTCCCAGGTACTTAAGAGATACCGCCCCTCATCGTCTTCGCTGGCCGCCTTTTTTGCTCTTTTTTTAAGCCGTCTGCTCTCTGGCGTCACCCGTCGTCGACCTCACACAATCGGCGATATATGCCCAATACGCATTCTGCCCTGTGTACTGCCATCGGCGTCTTCTTTCGACATCTGTTGACTTTCGTTCTCGCTGACTGGCCCTCTCTCTCTCGCTGACCCTGGCCTCTTGCGACGTCCTCTTGTCTTATCTGACGCCATCGCAAATCAAACGCCCTGTCCTCAACTGGCCAACCACGGCATACCTCACCCCCCCTCATCCTTCCGCATCCAGAGCTGCTTGTTGCCCCTTTTCCCATTCTCTTGTGTTCACTTTGTCTCTTACACCCCGTCCCGCCAATCGACACTGCCGCAGACAGAACGAACCAAGCATCAGAGAGATACAGATACGCCATATGTTGTAGTTGCTTTCACAAACTGGCTTCAAATGAACGAAAACAGCAGGTCCCACTAATACCCACACCGACCTTTACCTTTTTGCCTTTTGTGTTGTTTTGTTGCTTTCTTTTTCTCTTTTGCCCGGCCTTGGGTCACACAGGGCCGAAAACCAAAGACGCCTTCCTGCACGCCAGCCCTGACGATTGCGGCGCTCCGTCGAGATCATTCCAGTTTTATCTCTCGCCCAGGCCCACGATACATCCACGATACATCTACTTATCTCATCGTGTCCCTGGATTAGCCATCCACCACCCCATTTATCCCACCCCCCTCCACTCCCTACCTCCCACCTTAACTCGTCCTTCACGAGATTCTCCATTCTCTATTTTCTCCCCTTCCTTTTTTTTCTTGCTTTCCACGTCCTGGTCTCTCATTTCCTCGCCGTACACCGTCACTCGATCGCCTATCGCCCACCACCTTCTTTTTATCCATTTGGAAACGACCCGCTTCCGAATCCCTCGACCGACACAGGGTAAAGATAACTGTGCACAACACAGCACGCGTTCACGTCAGCCCAGCGTTGTTGCTCTCACGCCTTTTGACCCATTTACGTCCTCATCGCTTCCGACCCAACGGAGAACGGATCACAGTGACCCACGTCACATCCCACGCCGCCTTTCTTTCATCTCTTTTGTCCCTCTCTCGTCCTCCCTCGTTTCGCTGCCGCCTGACCAGCCGCTTTTGCGAGAAACGACAGACAAGACAGGCGTTTACGGGCCACCCAAAGGCGGTATCAGATCCAGAGAAGGAGTGCACTGTCTGTGTTTCTCTCTTCCAACCAACAGCCGGCACTCATCGGTCCTCTCATACGTCCTCTCATAGGCCCTCTCTGTTTCGGAATATAACCCGACTGACTGCCTGCCTCTCGTCTTATGGTGTCACCCAACCCACTTGTTTTCACCTTCCCGTTCTCGTCATTTTGATTTTTATATTATCCTTCCAACCGCCTCCTTTCATCTTCGTCCTTTCCACACTTTTGTCTTCCTCCTCGCCATCACATTGTTTGCTTTGCCCACGGTCTCCACAACTGGTCACCGCAACGTACGCCACGAACAACACAGTCATCTTTGTTCCATGGACATCTTCTGCATCCGTACGTCGAAGCGTGGCCTCGTTCAGTTTTCTATTTTCTAGCATGCAATAGGGCATTTGCTTCGAGGAACCAGCAACAAAACACAGCACCTTTTGGACTGCTTCCTTCTTTGGATATCACAATTTTGTCTTTCGACCAAGGCTTCCGCCATCATGTCGAACAAATCGACGCCATCACCGCGGCAGCGGCCCGACAGCCAGATTGACGAGTCACAACTACCCGCTGGCCACTGCCGGTACATTTTGCTCGTGCCCGAGGTCAAGGGTCAGCGGTGTGGCTGCGCCCATTTCAATCTCAACCGGTCCACGCCGGGTGCCATCTGCGAATGCGGCCACCTCTCGTGCTACCACGTCAGCTACGGCGAGCCGCTGTCCACATCCGAAAACCAGGAACTGACGTTAGTGAAGCAGCGCCTTGAACTGTTGGAGCGTGAACATGTCGAGCTGCACCAACTCCGCCGCGACTTTATGATGATGCAGCAACGCATCGGCCAAAACCACGACCGGCACCACGAGGCCATTGTGCGCGTCAGCGAGCTTGAGGAACAGGTTGAGAAAGTCCGCAATGAAGTGAAGGAGGACGTACGAGAAGCCTACCGGAATTTGGGCCGTGCCTGGGACTCCATAACAGACTTGATGCACGGCAAGAAAATGGAAGAAAGCCACTTCCGGCACGTCACCGAACGCCTGCAAGATATCGACAGCAAAATCGCCCACATTGGTGAACGGCAACTCGAACTGGTCGACATGGACATCTCACTAGAAGGCCGCATCGAAGACTTGGAGGAGCTCGAAGACCGGATTGAAACCCTCGAGGAGAACGGACCTACCGAATCCAAGTCAATGAACAGCAGCACACGCTCAACACAAAACGGCTACAACAAGAACAGCACATCAACATCACGAAACCCCACACGAGCCAGTGCCTCACGACCAGTACATGATGTTGATCAAGACCAGCGGACACGAACACGACCGCAGGCGCGGTCTCCGTCGCCGGCCTTCACCCTGGACCCGTCAACACCAAAAGCGACAACATCTGATTCGCTACCTACGCATCAACGGGCAAACGCCATAACATTGCCCGATGCGTCTACACATACGGTTACTGCTGCAGCAGCTGATGCCTCTTCGTCAGCACCGGTATCCACAAATGGCTCCGACCAGCAAGCCAACAACACCGCGACAGCGACGCCACCATCAGCTTTGCTTCCGCCGGCCGTGATTGCCGTGCGAAATGCTGTACGTACCAACCAAGCGAGTTCCGCCAGACTGTGGACCGTCCATGTCTCACTGCTGCCCACGTCTACGCGGCCGTTTCCTTTTGAGCGTGACACGAATGCCTACAATCGCTGTCTCTCCCGAGGATTGCACCAGATGGTCGTCGTCTGCGGCACGAGTGCGGACGCCTTTGAAGAGGCCATCACCAACACCTTTGGCCGCATCCTCCGAGGACGCAAATGGGCGCCGCTGCAGGCGTTGCCATGTACAGCCGAAACACTGGCGGGCCTCCCTATGCTACGGCCGCTGGACCCGGCATTGCTGGATGAGCCTTTTGACATGGAATTTTTGCGGAACCACTGCGCGGTCTGCGACATCAACGGCAAGATCGATTCGCTTTACATTGCGATGCGCGAACGGACACTTTCATGGCACTCGATCCGGCGCCTGCCTGTGTTTTTGGGCGGCCTTGAGCCCTGCTGGGGCTTTGACTCGCTGCTCGACGCCAACGACCCATTTGTGGAGGACGAGTTTGAGAACGACGTCAACAGCAGCGAGGACGAGGTCATGGGCGGCATGCCGCGCCCGTCGGCGGGGGACATTGTAGCGACGATTCCTTCGCTGAAGCGGGCAGCGTCGGAGATGTCACGATCGTCGAGCTTTGGATCGGTCGCCGGTCCGTCGGCATCAGCATCGAGCAACGCCAAAGGCCCTGCGCCCACATCAACGGGCGCTGCAACAACGTCCTCGGCGACGGCAACATCCACGCCAAGTGCTGCAGAGGGTGAGGGATCCCGCCCCAAAGTACCACGGATCTATCCCTTGCCTAACATGGTGGAGGTCCGTAGAGGTGTCAAGACTTCTTGATTAGCGACAAGCGACCACGGCCATGTCGACATAGAGCGACAAACGATCACAACAAGCCACTGCGTCTCTTACAAATTTTCGATCTTGCTTTATGTATTTCATCACTCCGCTAGCTTTCCCCAACCTTACCTACCTATTACTCCATTTTTTTGCACGCTGAGAAAAATTAAAAGAGAAAACGGCAGCGGACGATTTTATGCCTGGACGGGTGTTTTTGGTTCATTACTTTTAGAATTGTGTTTTGTTTTGTCCGCGTTTCTCCCCGCTTCTCCTTGCCGATTTCTCTTTTTGTTTTTGTTACTTTCTTAGCCATCTATTTCTCTTTCCGTCATTTCCTATTTTTTGAGACGAACAGGCAAACATCATAGACTCGGAGTATGGAGATTTATATATTTTTCGATGGTGGTTGGAATACCTATTTCATTTTCATTTGGTTTTATTTGCCTATTTATCTATACTTTCCAATGTTTGCAGTCTCAATTTACAATACGAAGTACTTGTGCGGTGTAATCTCCTCTTTTTGTCTCACCTAGCGGCTCATCTAGCCATACCGCGTGAGGTTTGCCTTAATGTGGTGTGATAAGACGGCCATGACGAGATGCCCGTGCCACGACACAGCAAAGTGAGAACCCGCCACTTTCCGAACGCATTATCCAATGACGCTCCTTGCGCATGAAGTCATAGTGTTCGTTATTATCAAGTGATAACAAATGGGTGCGGTTGATGCTACCTGCAATTGCCAGCTTCTCACGTCCCTGACAGTCTCACAGCATTTGTGGCCATTCCTTTATCACGGGAGCCTATACTAGTCTTAATTTTATCTCATCTCGTCATTCATATGGTACACAAAAGTAAACACAGACGAAGGCTGTGCTTAGGCAATCTTGATCACGGACTTGCCGTGGACGGTGCCCTTTTCAATCTCCTCGAGAATGGCCTCGATCTCGCCCAGCTGGCGTTCGACAATCTGCGGCTTGACCTGCCCGCGTGCAACAAACTCCAGAGCCTCGGCCGTGTCGGTGCGGTCACCCGTCGAGGTGCCCTCGAGGCGCAGACCGCGCGCAACAAAGTCTTCGGGCAGCACAGGGATGGGTGTCGGACGCAGCGGCAGGCCGATGCAGACGAGGACGCCCGACTTGCGCAGGTACTTGACGGCGTCGGCATAGGCGACGCCCGACGAGGCGCAGATGAGGGCGCCGTGCGCACCGCCGCCGTCCGTGGCAGCGACGACGGCAGCGACGCAGCCGTCGTCGTGGCCGGGGGCCAGCACGTCGACGTAGGTGTCCGCACCGAGCGACAGACACAGGTCCTTTTTGTTGGCGTCGAGCGCGACAACCTTGAGGCCCAGGGCTTTGGCGTACTGCACAGCCAGGTGGCCCAGGCCGCCGCCCGCACCGGCGACGGCGACCCAGCTGCCCGTGCGCAGGCGGGCAATCTTGAGCGCCTTGTAGACGGTGACGCCGGCACACAGAATGGGTGCGGCCTCGGCGTCGCCCACGTTCTCGGGCAGGCGCACGGCGTACGCGCTGTCGGCAATGGCGTACTCGGCAAACGTGCCGTCGACGTCCTTGCCGGCCAGCTTGCGCCCGGCGCACAGGTTCTCGTGGCCCGTGGTGCACGATTCGCAGGTGCCGCAGACAATGTGGACCCAGCGAACGGCAACGCGGTCACCGACGGCCCACTGAGAGGCATCGACGTCCGGGCCGAGAGCGGCGATCACGCCGGTGCCCTCGTGGCCGCCGACAGCGACCTTGGGACGCAGGTAGGGGATGAGGCCGCGGGCGATGTGGACGTCAGTGGCGCACACGCCCGAGTAGTGAACCTTGACGAGGATCTGGGTGCGTTCGGGGACGGGCGTGGGCCGCCGCTGGACGGAGATTTTGCCCTGGTCGTCGCGGATGGCGGCGGTGGATGTCGTAGGGACGGCCATTGTGGGATAGAGATGGTATGAAGGGAGGGAATAGGAGGGTGTAGAGGAAGAAGAAAACGAAGGAGGAGGAAAAAGAAAGGGCCAAAAACATAAAAAAAATCAAGGACATGCGAAAGCCAGAAAGGTGGTCTCTTTGATGTCGGATCAGAAACGTAGTCTTCCTCACACAAATAACTGGCAACAGCATCCATCTACAGCTTCCCCCATCATGTCTCCAACTCTGGTCGTCCCGGATACTATATCCTCCAGCTCCAGCCGTGCTCCAACGTAGTCGAGTCGCTTCGCCCGTCGCGTCAAGCCAATAGGCAGGTACGCTAACTCGCCCTGGTAGCTCCTTCCTCGTCACGGCAACAAGGAGTCTCCATTTGCCTCTTGTCTTCGCCTTTACTTATTGCCAACTTCACACTTGGCGCGCGTGCAAGCATCCTTTCCCACATTCTTTTCGTGCTTTTCACTGTCTCTTGCCCCCGTCTCCGATCTCCCCGGCCTCTGAGAGGAGATGGAGCCTCGTCCCCACAAAGTACCACCGGCCAACTGCTAGGCCGAGATGGGGATCCACTCGCGCGTGCCTGCCCCGTATACGGACCCACTTTATTCCACTAACACTTATTCCCGGGCCGGAGCCAGACACCCGCCGCTAAGTGAATCGGGGGGAAGGTACGATGGAGGGCGCTGCTCGGGTGCTGCCAAGACAAAAGTGAGCCGGCAAAGGACTCCCATTTCTGCGCCATTCACGTCTTGTCTAGTCGTTTCCTTTCCTCGTCCGGTACCTGTCTGCCGCCCCCTGCCACCGCCACGTTTTGGAGAAGTATAAATTTTCTGGGGTTTCTCCTTCCGGAAGAAAACGCGCGCACCTTTTCTAATGTTGGGGTACAAGGAGGGAAAGAGTATGAGCATCTCCAGACTACAAGAAACGAAGTACGGAAGGACGAAAACGAGGAGAAAGAGCACAGAAGCTGTGATTTTGAATCTGGGGTGTCCATGGGGTGATCTCTACTCCAGATTTTTTTTCTATCTTCTCCAGATTCTGAGACACGTGGAGGACGAAAAAGAAAAAAGAAAACAAAAATACGAAAACAGAACGAAAGCGAACGTCTACATCATCAGCCTTCACCTCCGTCACGCCTGCCCTTCTCCTTCATCAGCACCCGACCTCACCTCGCTTCACCTCGTCTCGTCTCTTCCCCCGCCTTGGCCGTCGCCTCATGCACCTCTCTCCGCCTTGGCCTCTCCTCATTGTTGGCATTGCTCTTCGTCGAGAAACGACGGCGCCTCCAACAATCGTCGTCGTCCGCCCGTCCACGCGCCCTTTGTCCTTTGCTCCCCATCCTCCTGTAGACAATCGCTTCCTCGCTTCCGGCAACATGGGTTCCCGATAGACGAGCCATTAGACACCCCGCGCACTACGTCGTCTGTAGGGACGTTTCCCCATCTCCCCAGCGCATGGCCCGCGGGGATCCCCAGTTTCTGACGTTGTACATCGTACCTCAGCTCACCTGAGTATCCTTTCTCCTCCACAGTTTCTCAGACAGCCAACCGCCTTGGCCAGACTTGGGCTTTTGCTTCCTACCCTGGCCCTGCTATCCTTGCCTTGTCGGCGTTAGGCCTCTTTTTGTCTTATGCTTTTATTTCCTTTCTCCGTTTCTTCCCATCGCAGTCTTGTCTCCAAGAAGTCCCACTAGCTTGTCCCTTGTCAGTCAACCCACATTAGAGTCCATGCTTCCCATCACAGACGCCATCCTCTTCTGACATTTAAGGCACCTGTCTCGGTCACTCGTCTGTTTCCGGATCGCTCACTTTTGCTCTATGTCCTTAATATTGTCCTTATCTTCTTTTTTTTACTCTCTCTCACTCTCTCTCATTATTTTATTCCTTCCGTTTGTTCATCACATTCTAACTCACACGTCCAGTGTTGCGTCTCCCTTTTCTTCTCTTCGCCATTTCGCCTCTCTCCGCATCTTATCACCGCCACAATGAAATCTGACGAGATTCCTCGTATGTTATAGTCAAATCGTCTCTCTTTACCGCACTCTTCAACCACTCACACAAACAGGTCCCGAGGTCATTGAGGCGAATGAAAAGGTTTCTGACCAGGATGCCACCTCCATCGGCAACAACCTCAAGACCCGCGGCGGCGTCGTCCTCATGCCCCAGCCCTCGGACGACCCGGCCGACCCGCTGAACTGGTCCTGGTTCGAGAAGCACGCCGCCATGTTTACCATTTCCTACTTGGCCCTGATCTGCTACATGTCCGTCACCACGCTCGTGGCGGGCACGGTCAACGTCGCCGAGGGCCTGGGCGTGCCGAAAGCCACGGCCGTCTACCTGGGCAACACGCCCGTGGCGCTGTACGGCGTGGCGCCCTTTCTGTGGAGTCCGCTGAGCCACTTCATCGGCCGCCGCCCGGTCCTGCTGCTGAGCAACATCATGGCCATGGTGGGCGCGGGCATCGTGACGAGCGCCAAGAACTACGGCACGGCGATGGCAGGCCGCGTGATTCTGGGTGCCGGCGGCTCGGCCTTTTGGACGCTCGGCCCTGCATGCATTGGCGACATTGTAGGTTGTGCCCATGCTGTTGTCCACTTTGTAATTTGTCCTTCTCTGGCTTCGTCTGCCTTCTGCTAACCCCTGGCGTGCAGTTCTTCCGCCATGAAAAGGGCAAAAAGATTGGCATCTCGACGCTCGCGATTGTCGTCTCGCCGTTCCTCGGCACGCTTGTCGGCGGCGCCATTATCGAGAACCCGCACCTGGGCTGGCCCGCCTCGCAGTGGATCCCGCTCATCTTCATGGGCATCGGCCTGGTGATGCAAATCTTCTTCTTGCCCGAGACAATATACGTGCGCGAGGTGCAGGGCCAGCGCGCCGGTCTCGCGAGCAAGGCCAAGGCCACGTTCTGGGACCGCTACGGCGTCCGCATTCCGCAGCGGACGAACGACAAGAAGCACTCCTTCTTCTTCATCTTCTCGCGGCCGTTTGTCCTGCTGCGGTTCCCGGCCATCACCCTCGGCACCTTTTGGTTCGGCGTCGCCTACATGATGCATGTCGGCATCACGGCCGAGATTCCGCTCATTTTCGAGGCCAAGTTCCACTTCACCGTGCTCGACGTCGGCCTGTCGGGCCTGTCCGGCCTGATTGGCGCCCTCATCGGCGAGGCCTATGCCGGCCCGTCGATCGACTACCTGGCCCGCCGATCCCTCAAGCAGGGCAAGGAGTGGCGCCCCGAGTACCGCCTCAAGGTCATCTGGCCGGCCCTCGTGGCCATCCCCGGCGGCCTCGTCATGTTTGGCACGGCCATTGAGTTTGGCAACTCGTGGGTCACGCCGCTCGTGGGCCAGCTGATTTACATTTTCGGCATCGAGATTGCCACGACCATCATCCAGACGTACATTCTGGAGTCGTACCCGCGCCAGGGCGCCGAGGCCAACCTCATTTTTAACCTGGTCCGCAACATTTTTTCGTACATTTCGCCCTTTTTCCTGACGCCGTTCATCGCCAAGGTCGGCTATGCCGCGCCCTTTGGCCTGTTTGCGGCGCTGACCGTCGTTTTTTTTCCGTTTACCATTCTGGTGCTGATGCTGCGCGGCAAACAGCTGCGCGAGAAGGCCGGCGACCCGGGCTGGAGCAGAGACTAGGCGTGCATAAATGAGGCAGACTAGTTTAAGACACTGGTGCTTAACACGTATACGGTGTGTATCAAAAGAATATATTGCTTATGGAATCGTTGCTGAGTTTAGACTCGTGTAAATGTGAGATAATTATGAAGAATCAAGCATTGCATTATTATTTCCCCAAATACTGGCCTTCCAAGTGTAGTGTGGATGTATTCTAATTCAACCTTTGTACGGCATCCTACATATACACAGCCCACCCAGAATCCCCTTAAAAGGCATACTTCAGCCCCGGCCGCGTCAGACTCACAATCTGGCGCTCTGTAAACTCCTCAACACCAGCCATGCCGCCAAACCGGCCATAGCCACTTGCACCGCCAATGCCGCCGTTGGGCAGCGGCGCCTCGACGTAGACCGTGGGGCCGTTGATGTGGCAGCTGCCGACACGGACCTGCTTGGCCAGGTCGGCCGCCCGCAGCACGTCGCGCGAGAAGATGGACCCGCAGAGCGTAAAGTCTGTCTGGTTGGCGTGCGCGACGGCCTCGGCCTCGTCCGCAAACGTGTTGACAATGACGACGGGGCCGAATGTTTCCTGCCGGTACAGATCCATGTCGGCGGACACGCCCTCCATGACGTGCGGCGCGAGGATGGTGCCGTTGGGGCCGTGGACCTGCAGATCGCCCGTCAGGGCCGTGGCGCCGGCATCGACGGCCGCCTGCAAGAGGCCCAGAATGCGCTTGGCCGAGGCCGCGCAGAACAGGCCCGACAGCTGCACCGTGGGGTCGTCCAGGTGGTTGCCGACGTGCAGGGCCTCGACGCGCTGCACGAGCTTCTGCTTGAACGCGGCCGCGACGGACGCATGCACAATGACGCGCTCCGTCGACATGCAGATCTGGCCGCTGTTGCTCATGGCGCCAAACGCGACGGCGTCGGCGGCCGCGTCCAGGTCGGCGTCGTGCAGGACGAGCACGGCCGCCTTGCCGCCGAGCTCCAGCAGGCACTTCTTGATGTGCTTGGCCGACAGCGACGCGATGATGCCGCCGACGCGGTGGCCGCCCGTGAAGTTGGTGCGGCTCACCTTGGGGTGCGCAATGGCAAACGCGGTCGCGCGCGGCGCGTCGGCGGCGCTGGTGGGCAGGAACTGCAGCACGCCCGGGGGCAGGCCGGCCTCGACGAGGGCGCGCACGACCAGGAACTGCGCCTTGGGGCTGTACTCGCTCGGCTTGAGCAGGACGGCGTTGCCGCAGATCAGCGGGCAGCAGACGGCGCGCGCCGTCAGGGTGACGGGCATGTTCCAGGGGCTGATGGCCAGGACGACGCCGACGGCCTCGCGGTTGACCAAGATGGTGGTGCCGGGGCGGTCGGCGGGCACGATCTCGCCCTTGATGTGCGTGGCCAGCGCGGCGTTCTCGCGGAACACGCCGGCCGCGCTCAGCATGTTGGCCTTGACCCAGCTGCGCGTGGCCGAGACCTCGGCGCTCAAAATGGCGACGGCGTCCTGGTCGAGGTAGGACTCGATAATGTCGGCGGCCTTGAGCAGCACGCTGCGGCGTGCCGACGGCCCCAGATGCGACCATGCCTGGTACGCCGTGTAGGCCGCGTCGATGGCGGTGGCGTAGTCGGCCGGCGACGCGGAGGCGCACTGGTAGATGGCCTCGCCGGTCATGGGGTTCATGACGGGGAAGGTGGTGCTGCTTTCGGAGGCGACATGCTGGCCGGAAATGTACAGCTGCAGCGGTTCTGAGACGGGAGGATACGACATTGTGGCTGACGTGAAAACAACAGTGTTGAGGTGGGATGAAGCAGAATCGAAGATATGACGATGGTCGTTTTCCTTTGTTTTTCTTTTTGTTGCCTTAATTTATTTTAGACAACTTTGATTGTCTCCCAGCGCGCTGAACACAAGAAAGAGTCGCCTGTCGTCTTCGCTCCGTTTTCGTGCCAAGGATCGGAGTGCTGTCAATGTCTCGTAAGTTTGACTTCGTCGTTGTTCGGCAGACGTGATGGCCGAAGTCCGCTCGGAATTGAGATGTTAGTTGACCGCGCTGTCTCTTCCACACTAAAGTTGAAGGCGGCGTCGCAGACGAGGATCGACAACTCCGACGGCAACCTGCCCCGACTGCAACCTGCCCCGGTATTTGACTGTCCACTTTAATTTCGACCTTTTCAGTTTCGGGATTCTGCGTCCACCAAAGAATGTCTTTGCCGACTTTTGTCTTGGCCCTTATTATTCCCAGAGAAGCTAACATGGGATGAATAAAAATATGGAGAAGCATCCTTGAAAACCGGAATGCAATGCTAAGCATTCGTCACCGCCGGGTTTTGCACGGATGGCTGGCTCCGATACCTCAGACACCTTACATTACCACTAGTAGTTGTTACGAGTGTATGCTTTGTCATGACGACTGACTCCAACTAGAATGAAATTGACTCGATATTTGGTGACGGTGACATGTTGTCGATGAGCTCTCGATTGTACGACGCATAACCCGAGTAAAGCTTCCGCAAGACACAAATGTAACCTACTCAAGTCGCCCATATGTACCGAGGAAGCCAGTGATTGGTAAATGATTGTATCGGCTTCTTCTCTCATATTAGCCGTCACTCTTGGTTTTCAACCTAGACCAAGAGAGCGAGCATCGACCACCGTCATATCCAATGCATTGTTGAACTGCAATTTTTGTTGGTGTTGTTCTGGGAGCCGCCGATTTGGTCCGCCGATTTGGTCCGCCGATTGCCATGATCAAGTTGTAGTCAACACAGCCATCGGTCGGCGAAGACATAAAAGTATGCCATTTTCGCTTATGACATCCCGCTCATCGATCTGACAGTCTGCGTCAGAATGCCGTACATGTTGTTGACTGTTGCTGATATTGACGTCGACGTTGGGACTTTCTTTAGTTGCTGCATTTTCATTTGTTTTTACGGACGCCGAGACCTCGATGCTGAAAGTTTGTACCGATATTGAAAAGGGACGGCATCTGGAATTGCATTCGAACTCAACACTGTGACACTTTGACGGCTTTTGTCATTGACCTGAAGGGAAAGAAAGATGAAAAGAAGAAGAGAAAGACGAGTAGCATTTGGCATTATATTTGTTGCAATTTCATTTAACAAGAAACGAAGTGTTATTATGACGGTACGGCAGGAGCGACTGACAGAGCATCCACCCAATGATGACAGTCGCGCTTTCCTATTCACTTGTCCAGAGAGGTGCTCCAGCGAGGTGCTCCTGCCTTCACGGCCATGGCTAGGACGTGGATCGCAACTGCCATTTTCGGAGGAAGCCATACAACTTGGACATTTCCCCTTTTTGTCACCGTTGGAGTCTCGCTCGTCACCCTTTGGACATTGCCATACTTTGGTGACTACCTCACGACTTGCGTTCATTTCCGTACACTGACATGTTAAACAAGACGTCATCAACTACCCTCACCTAACCATTCCGCATAATCGCGTCCAGGTCTGGCCAGTCCAGCAGTCCCGCCGAAAACACGCCGTCAATGTCTCCGTCGACACTCCCACCGCTTCCAGGATGCATCCCCATCCCCATTCCCATGCCCAAGAACGTGTCCATGACCCACTGGTTCTCCTCGGGCTCGCCATCAAACAAGTACGTGAGGCCCGGCTGGGGGCCCATGGGCTGGCCCGGCCAGGGTGGGACGCTGCTGTGGGGGTGGAGATGCGACTGGGCGTGCCCATACTGGTCATAGCCGTTGCTGTACAGGGCACCAACACCCGTGCTGGCAAAGTGTGCCTGGTTTTGTGGCGGCAGCGTCGTTTGCGACGCTTGCGACGGCGAGATGTGGAAGCGCTGGCTCTCGTCGACGTGCAGCGCCGACGACTGCGACGACAAGGACGCCAGCCGCAGTGTGGCCGAGGGAGGAGCCTGCGAGGGCGTGTGCACAGCAGCGTGACCATGGGCAGGCGTCTGCCTATGACGTGGCGCTGGGTGCGCGTAGGGAGACGGCGGGGGGTGGCCTGTGCTGTGCGCGCGTGGAGCGGCTGCGGCGTCGCGGCGACAGTGGCTGGGATGAGACGGCGTGCTGGAGGGATGCGCTGGCACGGTGCCGTTGCCTGCTGTGTTGGCTGTGTTGCTGTTCTGGTGTACATCGTCACTTCCCGCCTTCCGTGATCCCTCTTCAAAAGTCGCCACGACCCGCGAAAAGCGCTTCATGGTGCTGCATTTGTCGACGCGCATCAGCACCTGCCGCGTGCGGGCAATTAGGCGCCGCAGCTCTGCGCAATACGCCGCATCGGCACCAGACGCAGACACAGCGCCCTGGTCTTGCTCGCTCCCGCTGTTGAGCGATCGCAGAATCAAGACCATGGCCGCGCAGTAGGCATAGAAGACGTCCATGGCCGAGACGCCGTTGACCAGCCCGAACGAGTCGGCAAGAAGAACAAGGCGGCAGAGCTGCACAGCGTTCTGGACGCAAAGATCGGCCAGGGTGGGCGGTGCCGCGGATGTCGACGTCGACGGCGACGGCGATGGCCCGCCCTCCTGTACGACGGGCGCTGTCCGCGCTGCACGTGCCGCCATCGAGCAGAGCAGGGCCGACCGCGTCGACAGCACGGCCACATAGCGGTACTGCATATGCAAGACGAGGGCCGCCCGCAAGCGCGGGCGACTCTGCCAGGCGAGCATGTTCTTGAGGCTGTCGAGGTCCATGGAGGGCGTCGACGGCTGTGCCTCCGCCACGAAAACGTCGCGCCCGCTGCCCGTGGTCTCGGTGATTTGCGGAATGTCGAGGAAGCGACAGCCGGCCACCGCCGTCCGCCATTCGTCGAGGCGCTGGAGGATCTCGCGGGCGCTCTGTTCCTGGCGCAGGCGGCGGCTCCCGAGACCGACCGTCTTGACGGCCGCCGAGACGCGGGCACCGGCGAGGATCGTCTGCAGGCGAAGCAGCAGAGTCGCCATGGCCCCGTCGTCGTCGTCGTCGTCGGCACCGCCGCCGCCGTCGAGAATCTCGGCCCGCGGCGGCACAATCTCGACTTCATTCGCGTCGCTGGTCGACGAGAACGCCGACGAGAACGCCGACAGGCTCGACAGGCCCGAGGGGCGTCCGAGCGACGACGCCAGAAACTGCTCCAGGCCAAACAGCGTGCAGAACACGCGCCGCCGCACTTCGCGCTCGACCGGCCGCAGGTGCTCCGCGCCCACGGTGCAGCGGTGCAGCCCCACGGCGAAGGCGGCGCGGGTGGCCGTGCCGACGAGGTTCCACGCCGCGTTGCGCTCGTTGTGGTTGTGGAGGTACAGGGCCAGCAGCAGCAGGGCGCGGATGTTGGCGAGCGTGCATCGCGAGATGAAGCGGGGCAGCAGGCGGAAGCGGGTCAGAGAGACGCAGTGCTTGCGCAGGGAGGCCAGGTCGACGTCGTCGTGCGTCCGGCGCGACGAGGCCGCCGTCGACGGTGTCGTGGTGGATGGGAGACGATGGTGGCTTGCCGACGAAGAGACGGCCGGCGTCACGAGCGACGCAAACGCAAGGATCATGTGCAGACAGCCCAGCCAGCCCGGATCGGCCGTTGGCGTCTCGGTGCGACGCCGCGGGTGGTAGAACGACTCACGATCGGGAATGTACCGCTCGTACTCCTCCTCAAAGGTGCCGCGGTGGAAGAGCGGGAAGTCGGGGTGGACGCTCTTGAAGTAGACGCGAATCAGGGCGTCCAGCACATGCCGGGGCGGCAGTTGGGCCACGATGCTGTCGACGTCTTCCGGGTGGATCGTGGCGCATTCACGCGCCAATGCCGAGCTGCTGGACATGGGCGATGGGCGATCGTCCATGAGCGGCGTGTGGTGATGTGGTGCCGGCGGCGCATCACCGCCGTCGTGCGAGTTGTCTGCCTCGAGCGCCTGGGCGGCATCTTCTTCGGTGAACGTGGTGGACAGGCGCTGTGACGCTCGTCCAGGGCCGCTGTAGCCGCTGCTGGGGTAGCCAACGCCGTGGTAGCTGCTGTTTCTCGACATGCTGTCGTGCTGCGACAGCAACAACAGCCTGCGCAGCTGGCCCAAGAATTGCAGACTCCCCGACGATCCAATGAAATGCTCTTGGCCGGCGGTGTCTCGAACAAGACCAATTGCCTCGGTCGACTCATCCTGCGGGTTCGAGGACGCTGTGCCATCCGTGGTGGTATGGTGTGTGTTGCCTGTGTTGCCACTGTTTCCTGTGGAGGCTGTGTTGTGCGTGTTGTGCGTGTTGTGCGTGTCCGCTGACTCGGGCTCCGTGGCAAGTGATCGTGTGTTAACACTGCCCGCGTCCGACTTCGGGACATTAGTCATGGACGGCCTGCGGTCACTACCACCTCCACCGCCTCCACCACCTCCACCACCTTCCACAGCACTCTCCACTGCCGTCGTCTGGTCTGACGTCACCGACTTGGACGGGGTGTTGACCAAGTCGTCCAGCGACAGCTTTGCCCGTGCGTCGTCGGCCAAGTCCGGCATCGTGACGCCCAGCCGGCGGCCCAGCCGGAGCAGCTCCGGCACTGTGGCAACGGGATCATTGGGAAAGACGCCGCGGACAATGGCTTCGAGACACTTGAAGCGGTCGCTCAAGTCTTCGACGGAGCCATAGAAGCGGGCCTTGCGCGGCAGGGTGTAGGAGCAGGCGACGCCCTGGGTGTGGCACATGAGACAGCCATCGCCGGCGGGCTGGGGGACGCACTTACAACGGCGCTGAGACGTTAGCAGAGAGCACCGCGTGGGTGGACGATGAGATGCGACGATATCCGTCCGGTGACCTTACCTTTCGACAAAAGTCACCTACAAGATCGGGTGTCAGCAAGCCGTCACCAAGTCAACGTATCAAACCACCATATCGAGTCAACATGATGACATAAGCACTGGGTGGCTGACGTACAGCTCTGGACGGACCGTTTCCGGGAGGTGTCCGCGACGCGTCGCATCCGCCGCGTGGACGTGACCGAGGCAGTAGCAGGGACTGCGTGCCCTGCAGGATGTGACATCATCATGCGGGAGGGGAGTGAAGGGCGAAACGATAGACGGAAGAGTGTCAACGAAGGAAGATTGAGATTCGGTGCCAACGATGCTGGGCCTGGGGCTGTTTTCTTTTTCTGTTTCCCAATCAGTCTGCATCTGGAGTGAGGGTTGGTCCTTCCGGGATGGCCCGACAGACTGGAGAAGAAGTGACTGAAGCAAATACCGGCGAACAAAGACCGGTCAAGGCACACGACTCCCCAAGTTCGGAGGGAGTGTGTTCGTTTGCTTGTCTGTTTGTCAAGATCCACGGCGGAGTTGTAAGACCGGGGAAACGATGGAAGCAAGGATCAACTGTGCCAAAGAGGGACACTCGTGTTAGTCGGAAGACGGCATTCAGAGAGTCGTCTGCCGTCTGCCATTCGTCAGCCGATGTCCGTTCTATGAATTCTGTCTCCAAGCAAGTGACGGAGTGTTGAGAGCGAAAGAGAAGACGGCGAGAGAAGACTATCAAATACGGAGCCAGACAGCCGATGTGGAGAGTGCCAAACCCCTTCTTGCTAGTCTCCCCAGCTGTTCACGTCGGCCTTTGATTGCGTTTGTCGCCCGTTAGCCGTTTTGCCGTTTGCCACCATATTGAGCAGCATGACTCTCCGCATCGACTAGCGTCAGGGCGGCTGTTTCCTCAGACTCGGGAATAACAAGATACTGATAAACAACACCATGTTCGAAGGGAACCATTTACACTAGGAAGTTAGATGGAGGAACCATGACTCTGGTGCCTAGATAACATCATCTCGACGTCGACGTCGACACGACCTCGACCTCCGTGATCGCAATCGCAGTCAACAAGAGTAACACCAGCTTACCTGTTCATCACGCCTCACCACAACGACCACCACAATGTCTTCATTCGCCCTCCCGTGCGGCCGTCGCATGGCCTACGCTCTGTCGCAGCCGACAACGTCCAAGCCGGTGGTGCTGCTGTCCAACTCGCTCTGCGAGGACTACACGTCATGGGATCGCGTGGTGCCCGTGCTCGAGACGCTCGGTCTCCGCACGCTGCGCTACGACCAGCCGGGCCACGGCCGCTCGCCGGCACCGGCGGCCGACCAGATTGCCGCCACGACATTCGAGACCCTGGCCGACGACGTGGCCCAGCTGCTGAAGCATCTGCACATCGGCCGCCTGCATGCCTGGGTCGGCGTGTCCATGGGCGGCATCAAGGGCGTCTACTTTGCGGCGCGCCACCCGGGCGTCGTGCAGAAGCTTGTCGTCGCCGACGCCATTGCGGCCTCGCCGACGGTGGCGGGCGCCCCCGTGGACGTGTTTGCCGACCGCGTGGCCGCGGCCAAGACGGCCGGCAGCATGGCGACGGACCTCGACAACGTCGGCAGGCGCTGGTTTGGCGACGCGTGGCTGGCGGCCCACCCCGCGGAGGCCCGGCGGATGCGCGCGTCCATGGACACGACCACCCTCGAGGGTCTGGAGGCATGCTGTGCCGCGCTGAGCAGCCCGTCGTTTGACCTGCGGCCTCTGTATCCGTCCGTCGGGAAAGGCGCCGACGCGGCACTGATTGTTGTCTGCGAAAAGGACGCCGACCTGCCGGTCAAGATGCAAGACATGCGGGCGGCCATCGAGACGAGCCTTGCGGCCAGCGGAAAGACGACACCCGTGGCACTGGAGATTGTTGCCGATGCAGGACATGTGCCGTATGTGGACGGCTTTGACCAGTTTTGCGAGATTCTCAAGACGTTTTTGTGAGGGCGTGAGTGTCCAAGCATATAGACCAGATGGAGCACAAACCACCACATAGACGAATAGATGAATGGCGTCACGATAGCAGCGCACGTCACAGTTCACTGCACTTTGTCCACCACCGTCAACTCGAATGCTCTGTTGAATCTCGATACGATGCACTTGTTAAAACCCACTGTACGCTAGCACTGGAATGCCACAACACTGCCCAAGGCCCCTGTAGCGACTTACACGCACCAACCACGAGCTGCACCACACACCGTCAACGAATGCCATCCACTCACTCGACGTAGGAAGAAGCCATCCGATTTATTGTCTGTGCCTTGCTCGACGAGGTTTTCTGCACAATGTATTTGTGCCGCGTCCCTGGCTGCCATGTGGAGGACGAATGGCGAGTGTAGGCTGATGCTGGTTTCCGACGGGACAGCACCCCGGAGACAGGCATCCGCCCGCTAAGTCCACTGTAGCCACAGGCTGCTGCCAGCAATTTCGGGGCACGACCAGCATGTGGCTCCCACAAGCGAAGAGCGAGGAGGGAGGCGTCGTTGACTATGTGTGTACAGTCTGTTGAGGAGCCTTGTTGTTCGTCTTGTTTCATTTTGTCTCATCTAGATCGTCGTATATATCTCAGCTCCGGCATCGTTGTATTCGCATCATCTCATCGATCCCGTCACTCCCAACACAAACCTTCAACGCAACCCTCTTCCTTTACTGAACACTCCTCCTAGACCTCCCGCAACATGCCTCAAGCAGCTCGCTCTCTGAACGTGGTCGTCGTCGGCGCGGGCCTCGGCGGTCTGGCCGCCGGCTTGGCCCTGCAGACCGACGGCCACAAGGTCACGATCCTCGACGCCGCGCCCGAGTTCGCCGAGGCCGGCGCCGGCATCCGCATCCCGCCCAACTCGTCGCGCCTGCTGATGCGCTGGGGCGTGGACCTGCAGCGCATGAAGAAGTCGACGTCCAACCGCTACCACTTCATCCGCTGGAAGGACGGCGCGACCATCTTTGACCTGCCGTTCGACAACAACGTCGCCACGCACGGCTCGCCGTACTGGCTCGTGCACCGCGCGGACCTGCACGCGGCGCTGCTGGACGCCGCGCACAAGGCTGGCGTGCAGATCCTGACCAACAAGCGCGTCACCGCGTACGACATGGACGCGCCCTCGGCGACGACGGCCGACGGCGCCGTGTACACGGGCGACCTGGTCGTGGCCGCCGACGGCATCAAGTCCCTCTGCCGCCCGCTGCTGACGGGCCAGGCGGACGCGCCGCGCGACACGGGCGACGTGGCCTACCGCATCCTCATCCCCGCCGAGAAGCTGCTGGCCGACCCGGAGCTGGCGCCGCTCATCCAGGCGCCGTGCACGACGTCGTGGTGCGGGCCCGACGCGCACCTCGTCGGCTACCCGATCCGCAACGAGGACACGTACAACATTGTCATGTGCGTGACGTCGTACGACGAGACGACCGACGCGGCCTGGGTCGTGCGCGGCGACAACGCGGAGCTCTGCCAGCGCTTCGCCCGCTGGGAGCCCAAGGTCCGGAAGCTGTGCGCGCTGACGGGCGACTTTATGAAGTGGCGCCTCTGCGACCTGCCCAACCTGTCCCGCTGGGTGCACCCGGCCGGCAAGGTCGTGCTGCTCGGCGATTCGTGCCACCCGATGCTGCCGTACCTCGCGCAGGGCGCGGCGCAGGCGTTTGAGGACGCCGCCGTGCTGCGCCAGGTGCTGGCGCTCGTCGGCGGCGTCGACGGCGGCGTCGACCTCAAGACAGCGCTGCAGCGCTACGAGGCCATCCGCATGCCGCGGGCCACGCTGGTGCAGGCCAAGACGCGCGAGCACCAGCACATCCTGCACGTCGACGACGGCCAGGAGCAGGCCACGCGCGACCAGGGGCTGGCGCTGGACGCCGCCGAGAACCCCGTCTTCTGGGGCCACACGGACCGCCGCAACTGGCTGTTTGGCCACGACGCCGAGATCATCAGCACGCCGGGCGACAACTGGCGGCAGGGCCAGACCAGCGGCGTGGCGGCCCACTGACGTGGATCTGTAAGCTGTGTGCTGTGTGCTGTGAGCTGTGAGCTGTGAGCTGTGAGCTGTTGTCATGTTGTCCTGTTGTCCTGTTGTACTCTTTGTCCTGTCTTATAGAAAGGCGTTGCTAGATTGGTTACTATCAGCCCAATATACAACCCGAAAAACCTCATTGGGAAGTTTCTTCTTTGGGCGCGCACCTGTGCCGTCCCTGGCATGTGCTCCCCTGTGCTCACTGTGCTCACTGTGCCCGCTGTGCCTGCTGTGCCTGCTGTGCCTCTATGGCTGTTCCATCGCAAGCCGGCAGTCACAGAGCCTTGCTCTCGACCACCATCTTGCAGTTTGAGAAGCACGGTTAAGTGCATCTCGAAAAGCCGGAGCTGTATGACTCCCAACTTTATCGAGGTGGTATTAGGTTGTGGCTCATATCCCCTTGTATAAAGAGGCAGCCTATTCCTCTCATCTCGTTTGCTACGTCGGCCACCTGCCACTCCTTTTCGCCGCTCTTACTTTCCTTTTATTATATTATTATTTGTTATAAAGACGTACTTATCCCGGAGGGTAAGAGGTCTCTGCGAAGCAATTAGGTTAGGGGAAGGCTTGCTTTAGTAGAACAGTGATAAGGTGTAACAGTTAAGTAATATCAATAGTACAAGGGGAGTGGTGATTGTATGTCCCGCGACTCTACTGCGAGCCGCATTTCCCGTACAAGTCGACCGTGCAAGCCTAGTGGCCGAAAAAGTAGTTGTCCCTGGCCTCCTTGTCGCCGATGCGCTCCCGAAACAAACGCAAGGCATAGAGGTCGTTCTCGAAGCTTGAGACGGGGTCACACAAGTCCTCCTTCCAGTCTCGCGTCCCGCACGTGTACATTTGGGTACCCGGTGGGCCGCATGACTCGAAATCGATGAGCACGGGCTGGCCGTCGGCGCGGACCATGACGTTGCCGGGCTTGAGGTCGTTGTGGGCGAGACCGACCGAATGCAGGTAGAGCACAGCGGCCTCGAGCCGCTTCAGGAAGATGGCCGGTTCGAGAATGCGGGACCAGTTGGCGTCGTCTGGGTCGTAGTCGCTCATGCAGTGTTGGAGCTTTTCCAGTACGATGCCCGTGATGCGCTTCTGCACACGTTTGCGTGTCTGGCCGGCGTGCTCAAGGACGTCTTCTGCGGCGGTATTGTCCCCCGGCACCTCGATCACACGGCAGCCGAGGTAGCGCACAAAGTTGGGGTGCGGGTGCTTCCGGGCCAGCAACTCCAACATGCGCACCTCGTGGAGCCAGCGCTCACTGCAAGCTTCGGTATAGGTCGAGCCCACACACTTGTCGAAAAACTCCTTGATGAAGACGGCGTCGTTGCGCAGCAAGCTCTGGGGCAGCGCCATCGTCAGCTCCAGCGCAGCGTCCTCGGCATTGGTCTCGGGGTCGTAGGGCAGCCCGAGCGTGGCTGGGTCGACCTTGACCGCTGGCCAGCGCCAGGGCTGGCCGTTGTCGCGGATGAGGAAGAACTCGCCGTTGCACGAGTAGTAGAAGATGACGCTGCCGTCAGACAGAAACGCCCCATTGCTATTTATAAACAAGGTGTTTGGGTCATCGGTGGTCGCAAGGAAGGTCTCCCGGATCTCCGACTCCCAGCAAGACCATTCGTGTTGTTGAGGAATGTACCTTGAGCCGAAGCCCGGGTTCTCTGTTACGGCAGCCGTAGGCCCGCGCTTGGGATGCTCACCGGCGGAGATATGATCGGTTGACGACAGGACGGCCGTGTTCAGGTCCGCCTCGCCCATGTTCGGGCCGGTGACACCGTTCGTTTCGGTGACGCATTTGTCGGTGATGTTGACTCCAACCTCGACAGCTTGGCCAGACTTGTCCGTGTCGGTTAGAGCTTTTGTGGAAGACAAAACGAGTTAGCAGCTGGCGGTTTTGTGAGCGGTGTTATTTTCGGTTACTTACTGCTCTCTTCGCGTGACAGACCTTGCTTCTTGGACTGGGAGCGCGTGATGGGGGCCATTTTGAAGATGTAAAGCAGTGGTTTCTAGGGGCGTGCGAAATAAGAATGTCTAGATGTGTAAAAAGGAAATCGGGATGGGAGAACAACTCGGGTATAAATGGTATTTACTCACAAGAGAGTTGTGTCTGAAGCGGAAGGGAAAAGCACTGGGCACGACGAGAAACAGGACGAGAAGAAAGAGAAACTCTGCCTTGATGGGATGGATGGTGGCCGGAACCGTCCAGGACCTAGAGAGCAGCCAGCAGTTGCTTTTACAACCCTGCGCCACTTAATCCCAAAATAAACATGAAAAAGACGTCTTTCACACATCCCCTTTTACTTTGTTCACAAACAGGGTCGTCAAAAACAGACAGTCGTCAAAAACAGACAATAAAGGAAACACGGCTGGGTATAGGGACAAAGAAATGAGGGCTAGAGGGAGACATGAAAGGAACGGCCAGCACATGGTCTAGAAAGAAAGGGGCTTGGAAACAAACATCTAACATGCGGGTCGCTTTCCCCAACAAGACGTGCCGCATTTAGTTAATACCAAGCGGTGGAATACCAGGGTGTTCTCAAATGGCCGTCACATTGAAAAGACGCCGAGAGCGGTGATTGGCCGAAACTTCACCTACACCCGCGCACTGCACCATGACGTGGAACTGCACAGCAATGCCCACATCGTGAAGCGTTCATCTGCACGAGAAGTGTAGACGACACCCTTGCGCAATCTGCAGAGGAAGGAAATACGAAGTGAGCAAGCGACGCTAAGGTAATAATAGTTTGATTCGTGGCGTAGTGTGGAGCGAAAACCGGCAACAGGAAGGCAGAGAATATGAGCTCTCACAACGGCGGCGCCTGGAACGGAAAAGTGACAGAGAACATCAAAGGAAGCCCGAAAGGACGCTGGCCAGGCCACGGCCACGTCAAAAGCAGTATTTTCTCCTCTTGGACGAGTGGATCAAAACGCAAAACACGAATTGCAGACGATCCGCCAACGTTTGCACAACGGCCCGTCACTAACGCGCCGTGATCCGTGAGGCCCAGCAACAGAAAAGAGGGCGTCAAGATTTGAGTGAGCCGCCCCTCCTGGGCCCGGGTGGCCCCGTTCTCTGTTCCCGTGTGCTCTCTGTCGCGTGCCTGTTGGCATGGATAAACTGCTGGGTGTTCAGCCCCGAGCACGGTGCCATCGGCGACGCCGTCTACTGGCGCTACTGTTTTTGTCGTTTGTCATATTGAGGCCGGACGCACTGAGGCTCTTCCTTTATCGCCACTTCGCCATGGCTACTCCGCGTGGCTCAAAATATGTTAGCCAAAACAGTCGGTGTGAAAGAGCATAACGAGGGAAGAGTAGAAAAGATACAGGGAGGAAAAGAAAAAGGGTACTCCATACCGGCCTCGCAGTAGACTTTGCTGACCAGACAGATGCTTCGCCTGCTTGTCCAAACATAAGTACGACCAGCGTTCCCAGCCTCTCTCTTTCTCTCTCAACTTTGGCTCAACACATCCTCCGAGCTAAACAGCAGTTCTTCCCACGATTCTCACTTCCTTCTCTTCCTTCTCACACAGTTTCTTGCATCTGCTTCTCTCCGTGACGGGCGTGGCCACATCTCTTGTCCGCTACAAAATCTACAGAACATTGCACGACACCAGCCTCTCCGTCATAGCTGCGATTGCATTCTTCGACAGTGCCAACATGTAAGATGCCTTCCCAAATCAAATTAACAGCGCACTGGTAACTAATAACAAAGGTGCAAGCAATCAATGGAACTCACGGCCGGCTATAAGAATGGCGTTGCTGCAATGAACTTCAAGAAGACTCAGAAGCTATGCTACGACCTAACTTGCCCGATGTATCAGCAGTACCTCCAGAACGCCTCGCGTATCCAAGACATGAACAAGACTGCCCATGGCACCGGCTTTGTGATGGGCGAGCTGGGCGAGGTGACCTCCGCCAAGGCCATTGAGGCCGTCAAGACCACCGAGGTCGTCAAGACCCTTGAGGTCATCAAGGGCCAGCACAACAACGGCGAGAAGTAGGGCGGTAGGGAGATGTGTGCAGTCGCAGATTGAGACGGGGAGACAAGAGACATAAGACAAGAGATTAGAGATACGGGACAGGAGGGGGGGCCAGGAAACGCGAGATGGCGGCCGCCCGTGGACCAAACACTTTGCATTCACCATCTTCAGTAGGTTGCGTCATCGCTTACCGTTCACGCCACCTTCTGAATTTTCACATTTTATTTAAAAATAGACTGCCTTTGCACCAGCGTACTTCTTTTCCGGCCCTGTAAGGATTATTTGCCCTGGCCACCATTGGCGACAGGAGTAGCTTCAGTAGAAGGAGCACGCTGAACATTGCCGCTAAAAGCATGGCGCCAACTTTATTTAGTGGAGTGACCGCTACAGCCCGACATTGCATATGCGGATCCCAAGCCCCAGAGACATGGTGGAGGGAGATGTTTCGTACAGGCAATTGACAGCATATTAATTAGGTGGCGATCACCCGACGTGAGGAGCCAAGTACAGCTGGTGAAGGTGCTGCTTTTTTCCCAGAAAGAGCTCCTTTGCTCTGAAAACTATGTTAAAAAAAATACCACGTATGAGCTGCAGCACGTGATCTACTCTCGTTGAGCTGTTGCACGTGATCTGATCAGGAGAAAAGAATCTCGCCTTACCGATTTTCCGACTGTTTGGTGACGTTTTGAATATTATCGACTCGGACCAGCCCATTACGAGATCAACAAACCGTAAAGCATCGGAAAACACCGACAGGCACTGCTTATAATGCCGTGTGGTGAATCCTGCCCCCCGCCCCCCTCTCCCTCTAAAGCGAGGGTGCCGGCAGACGGACTCCAAAGCAAGAGACACATGCGACGGATAGGGGCCAGGACAACGTGGCCCGCGTGTTGTTGATCCCTGTTTGATAAATGAAGCGTGTACACCTGTGCAGGCATGCTATCGCCAGGGCTGGGCTGTGGAGCGCTTTTGCTTGGCCCCCAAAGACAGGCCGCGATTTGCAGGGAAGTCCATGAGGGCCTTCGGCGGGTATAGCAGCCCATATACGACACGAAAATCTCAATCTCGACTGTAACGTCCTAGCCGTCGCTTTGGTAGACGTGGGTTATAATATACGGCTAGACGCTGGTTGGATCAGAACAGCCTCAAAAGTTAGGAGTTACAATATCGTCCACTGCCATTGGCCATAATCAGTGTTTTTCTGACGGTACCGCCTTTTCTGCCCCTCTGTTTCTTCCACTGGCGACTTCGTCCCGCTACTTCGAATGACTATATCTTCCATTGAATTCTATGACCATTGAGAACTTAGCCCCCATACGCTATTTAAAGTCGCTTGACAACCTTAGCACGGAGCTCCTATAAATGGCAAAACACCGATGCCTAGCCAAGGTGGTGTATGAGGCGCCTGGCGCCGGCGACGGCGAGGGCGATATGTACCAGACCACCATCCGCTGCAACGGCCGCCTGTTCAACATCAATATGGCGACGACCTTTATCCACGACTCGCCGGCCATCTTGGCACGCCTTCAGCGCTTCCTGCTGACCCAGGGGGAGTTTGTGTACGGGGAAGAACCGGCGACCGAGGACGGACCCAGCGCAGAAGAGGAGAGGAACGCATTCCATCAATGGCTGATTACCACCTTTCGGCCCGTCTTCCGCGCTTACGCACCGGACGTGCTACCCTCATTCGATCCAGACGCGATCCGGTCCGGCACGGCTCGCCCTGTGTTGACAGAGTACATGTTTCCACAAGTCTTTGAATGCCGGCTGGAAGCACAGCGCGGCAAGGCCAGACCACGTTGCATCGGCAAACAGGCAGATTGGATCCCATCGGTGAATCGAATTCCCGCCGATCTTCTTGCGGACCTCGACCGCCTGCGTGTACCGCGGTATGCGCCGTCGGAGATCGCCGTGGCCTTTGAAAACCCCGACGATGCGATGCGCGAAATGCCGAACCGCGTGCTCGTCGACCTAAACCACAGCGGGCATCCAGATACGGCTTGTCACCTCAAGCTCTTCTTAGGCGGCTGTGAGGGTGAGTTGGTCGCCGAAGTACGCAGCCATGTACGGGTTCTCGAGGCTCAACTGGGTGCGCACGTCCGTGTGATCCGGCTGGTTGGCATCGTCTGGCTGGACGAGTATGCCGACGCCGCGGACTTTGACAAAGACGGCAACGCGGTCCCATATCCCGAATGCCTTCTCGGTCCCGTGGGCGGCTTGCTTCTCACCTACGTCAGCGACGGCTGGGAGGGGCTTTTGACGTCACGCGTCTGGAGCGGCACGCCGGCCATGCGCCGGCAGTGGGCGGACCAGGTGCGCGAGACTGTGACGAGTCTTCACAAGGCAGGCGTCGTATGGGGCGATGCGAAGCCAGACAACGTCATGGTGGACGGCAGCGACAACGCCTGGCTCATCGATCTCGGCGGCGGCTTCACAGAAGGGTGGGTCGACAAGGAAAAGGCTGGGACCAAGGAAGGCGACCTGCAGGGCGTGGCCAAGATTGAGGAGTATCTGATGGACGATGCTCGATTTGAGATGAGTAGCGAGGACGAGCAGGAAGACGAGCATGAGGGTAAACGCGAGGAAAGTGAGGACGAGGGCGAGAGCGGGTAAAGACAGTCATTCGTCTCCTAGAACGGATCCATAAAGCCAGACGCCTTTGTGGCGTCTGTCATCCATGTGTTGAGGTCGAGATCCTCGTTGAGCGGGTCGTGGCAGTTGTTGTCGAGGAAAGTCTGTTGGAGTATGAGTGACGTGTGAACACAAAAATAAATAAAAAATTAAAAAGTAAAACATTAACGAGCCATGAAAACAACATACCCAGTTGATAAAATCGAGCCCGTCCACGTTGTCGGTGGTCAAGGCGTCGACAGACACGAACTGGCTGTCAGCGGCTGGGACGTCCATCTGCGGGACCTGTCGGGCCTCCACACGCGCGAGAGTCGCACCCAGCGCGTCGGCAGCAATGCGCGCCTCCGGAAACTGTGCACTGGGGGCGACCCAGATGGCATGTGCTGTCCGGAGAGCGGCAAGCCGACGGTTGTGGCCGTCATCTGTACGTTGTGTGTGCTTGCTCGCCAGCGTCATGTCCAGGCACAAGACAATGGCGGCGAGGATAAAGTCGTTGACGGTCAGCGCCGAGATCATCCAACGGGCGTCGTGGAGGATGCCGCCGTGTTGGGTGGCGGCCGTCAGTTCGGCTTGGCAGTCGAGAACCGTGCAAGCGGCATCAAGGCAGGCCTGGCGGGAGGTGGAGACGAATGATGTTGTCGACATTGTCGTTGACGACGACGACGACTGCTTGTAGTACTGTGGAATGTAGTTTCTGTGCAGCACAATCAGGCTCTTCAGGTACAGCATCTCAATCGTCATCCGGCTCATAATGATGGGCGGGCTGTCGATGAGCGACGCCGCCAGCGGCCGGTACTGGAAGTGCGCGGGCAGTTCAGCGTACGCCCTTCGCAGCCGGGCATCCAGCGCACGCGTGTCTTCGTGCGGCCGCGGCGCCAGCGACCGCGTGTGCGCCACAACCGCCTGGAAGCACGCCATGACGCTCGACTTGACGATCGTGTACAGGATCGTCGTGTTGTCGGACACGGGCCGCGAGGGTGGCAGCTCCGTCATGTCGGGCCGCAAGTCGGTGAACTCGAGGTTCCGCGGCAGCGCCGTGTCGCAGTCGGCCATGGGGATCATGCTCGGCAGGCCGACCTGGAAGGACGTGAGCGCATCCACCTGCACAATGGCCACCCAGATACGGCGGCGCATCTCGCCGGCAAAGGGCGACAGCCGGGCGGCCTGCAGCTTGGACGGGTCACGGTGGTAGCCGCGGCGCACGGCCAGCCGGATCACCATGCCAATCAGGTACCAGACGTTGGACGCCGTGGCGGCACCGCGCGGCCGGTAGTCGGCGACGTAAAAGTAGTGGCTTTGGAGCAGCAGGATCATGGCCTCGAGGCTGTGGGCGTCGACGTCGGCGTAGTGGCCCAGCACGAGATTCTGGCGCGCCTTGTCGGCCATGGCATCGGGAGAGGGCGTGTCGGTGTCGACATCGTTGCTGCCTGTGTGGGCCATGAGATGTAGGCCAGCCGATACGGCCAAGACGGAAAAGAGCAAGGCGATCCAGAGGGGTGGTGCTTGAATCGGAGCCTCCCAGAAGGTGGCATACTTTGCGGTGGTCAATGTAGAGGTTAGAGTATATTGTGTTGTGGAGAAGACTCGTTGTGGACATACCTCTTTCTGAAATTCGATAGGATGCAGGATGGCTGGTTTACACTATCAGCATAAAGTCAATAAAATCAACGACGTTTACAAATCAACACCCCCACTCACGCAAAACAGAATGGCCGACGCGGAAATAATGCGAGATGAGACGGTCACAGACAGCTCGAGGCGGCAGCGACTTTAGCAGCTCCTCGGGACCAACAGACGGCTGCGCAAACACGAGGTCCGCATAGCTGTCGTCGGGTGTTTCCAAGGTCGGTTGAGCTGTGTCTGTGTGCATCGAAGGGGACGAGTTGGTCAGAGACAAGGAAGCCAACGACTCCGGCTGCTGGTCTCTTTCGACGGGCGATGACAGCTGCTCGCGTAGTTCCTTGATCTCTTCCAGGAGAGACGACCAGTGGCTGGCATCGATGTACGTGGTGTGGCCGATGTCGAGCTGTCCACCGCCCAGCGACGGGCGCTCTGAAGACTCTGTGATGGATGTTTCGGCAGTGACAGGATTGCCGCTGTCGACTGGAACCTGAAGTTCGTCCGAGAGCGGCGTATTGACCGAATTGTCGACCGAGTCACCACCAGACATGGATACGTCGACGGCACCGTCGTCCAAGTAACGTGGCATGTCGTGAGGCGACCTCTGCCATGGAGTCTGGACATCAAACGCCTTCCCGGAAGAGCCTCCGGCCATTTGCAAAATCATATCCTCGAGCCGCCGTAGACGGCCCGTCACCGAATGGGAACTGCTTCCACCGCCACCACCGCTCCTCACGACCGCATCCCGCCTCTCACTCCGGTCTGCATTCGCCGCATACTGGCAGAATGCGGCCTTGTCGCGGCGCGTGCACGCATCACACGGCTGTTCGCGGTTGCATTTGAGTCTGTTGGTCAGCAGCGGCCGTCGAAAGAAAGTATATTCGGTCGAGCAGGAGAGAGGAGGCTCACTTTCGTAGACGACACGGCTCGCACGACTTGGGCGGCCGATTCCGCTTTTCGACCTTGGACTCGGCCATTCTCGCAGATGGCACTCTGGGAGTGCACAATATAACTTTGCTGGCGTCAACGTTGTTGTTTGTCCCTTTGTTATCCCCAGGCGTGGGATGGAGTTAATAACTCCGCGCGGTCCACGCTGCACGTGACGCGACAAACGCTGCCAAACGACAATTGTGGGTCCCAAACTCCGGGATCCACTCTGCGGCGATACCATCTCCGCTCACTTACACCACTGTCCGAGAGGGCAATCCGCCTTTGAACGACCCCCGATCGAGTATTTAAGAGCTGCGACAGCAAGAAGACAGTCAACATGTGCTAGCTCGACATCTGTATCATTATTCCTTTTTTGTTCACATTCACACCCGTCCCTTATTCTCTCCATTCCATCCCGTCTATACTAAACATTTTGTCAAAACCATCTCCATTAAATACACCTCCCCGCAACCACACCATGTCCACTCTCTCGGCGACGCACGGCATTATGCAGGCCATCTTCTCGAATCTGTTCGTGACACTCCCCGTACCGGAAAAGACCCCCGGTCTGTCTGAAAAGACATTCATCGTCACGGGCGCCAACCAGGGCCTCGGCCTCGAGGCCTGCAAGCACCTCCTGCGCATCGGTGTCGGCAGGCTGATTATGGGCGTGCGGAGTCTCGACAAGGGCGAAGCTGCGCGGAAGGAGCTGCTGGCCGAGTCGGGGCGCGCGCCCGAGACGATCGAGGTGTGGCAGGTGGACATGGCGTCGTATGCGTCGGTCGAGGCCTTTGCCACGCGCGCCAACGGCCTCGCTCGCCTCGACGGCGTCTTGGCCAACGCCGGCATGATGACCACCACGTTCCGGCGCGCCGAGGACGGCGAGGCGACCATTGTCGTCAACGTCGTGGCGACCTACCTGTTGCTGGTCCTCCTGCTCCCCAAGCTGCGCGCATCGCCGGCCGGCCGAGCCACGTTTACCGTCCCCAACTCGTCGCTGCACTACATGGCCTCGACCAGGGAGATTGTCCCGCTCTCCGTAAAAAATGACGGCAAGACCATCTTTGAGCGGCTCGCCGACAAGTCCACGTCGGACATGAAGGACCGCTACAACGTCAGCAAGCTCTTGGTCGTGTTTGCCACCCGCGCATTCGATGCCCACCTCCAACAGCGGTCGGGCCTCCAGGGCGGCGGCCGCGTCATCGTCAACACGCCCAACCCGAGCTACTGCAAGTCCCAGCTGCTGCGCGACACCGACCAGACCCCGCCGCCCGACTGGATGGCCCGCACGCCCGAGATGGGCAGCCGCGCCCTCGTGCACGGCCTGCTCGCCGGGCCCGAGACCAGCGGCCAGTTTCTCAACAACTGCCACGTGCTGGCACCGGCCTCGTTCGTGACCAACAAGACGGGCGCCAAGATCGTGGCCGCCTTTTACGAGGAGCTCATCCAGAAGCTGGACAGTATTGTGCCGGGCGTCTCCAAGAATATTTAGCTGGTGTGATGGGGGGACGTGGTGTGTTTTGTTTATTTAAAGGTGATTTATTGTGGTGTCGTCGATTTACGTTGGATTTCTGGATTTACTCATGTTTAATTATGCCATTCGTACCTGGTCTGTCTCGTCTAGGTGACGTCCTTTTTTAATATAGATTTATTAAGAATTGTTTTTTAAGAAAAAGAATTTAAAAGAATTTCATTAAATTCACCCATAACGCGACAGAGCAGAATAAATTAAACAAAAATCTCTGTAAACATTTAGTCACGTCGAGATGGATAACTTTCCTTTCCCTCTTCCTTGGGTGTTGGTCGTCCAACGGCTTCGCTTGGCATTGCAGCGTTGATCGTACTTCGTTAGAGGAATATGCCCATATCGATACATTATTCAATTACCCACTGAATAAACTCGGTTTAGTGGGAGTTTTGCCGCTGCTAACTACGCAAGTAGCTTAGCGTCCTTTTTGGCAGACCCCTACGTCGTCCCCTTTTCTTAGGCGTTCCGAACTCACTTTGATTTTCCTAGTTCCTTTCCGGGATCGCGAGAATACAAAATGGCCGATGACAACTATCACATTGGACTTTCTTCCCAATGTGGTGTATGTGCTGATTTGATATTGCGGCACGAAAGGGTAGTAGCACGTACGAGAATTCCCTTTGCGAAAGCCTCCCCCCCCAACCTGGCCTTTGGCTTCGGTTTTCCTCATGTTTAAACGGAGGGCAGCCTCGCCGCTGCTCTCGTCCTCTTCCGGTTTCGATATGTTTTCATTGCTGACCACGTGATAGTCTTTGGCAACCACGACTCGACGGCCTACCGCGGCTGTACCCGTCCATTTGCCTTTCCGCAGCCGGGCCACATTATCACAAAAGTGGACGGCCTTCGGCTGTGCCGCTTCGCGGATTGCAAGACGTGTTCTCTGTCGCCAGAATACGCCCCTATCCACTATGACTGCTACGAGATATTTCGCGCGAGCTGCGCTGTCAAAGGCACCGATGCGCTTCACCGGTTATGGGTCGTAGCGGCATGGAAACGGCCGTGGCGGACCGCGCAGCCCATCCGCCTGCGCGGCACAGTCGATCTCGGTGTGCTACCAATGGCTGCCCAACGCACCAGGCTGCCATTGTTGGCGAAACTACCAGCTGAGTTAATTGATGTGATCCACGGCCACTCTCCACATGCCCTGCTCTGGCGGTGTGTTTCGGCAATGTCGCTAGCCATGCAGGTGGCGGCTACGGAGCCACAACTGCTGTCGATGATCCCCTTGGGCGATGTACTATCGTGGGAGCGCCACGGACAATTGAAACATGCAGGGCACACATTGACAATGCGGCATGCGTCTCTGCTTCTGCGGCTGACCATCTGCTCCGACGGCATAAGCAAGGTGGAACGGCTCTCGTCCCCGCCACAGCCAGAGGCTCGGAGCTCTACTACCTCCGCCTTTGTCATTGTACGCGTACAGTTTATAGACGGAGTTGTATTACAACTCAAGGTACGTTATGACGATGCCGGTTATCTTTGGATATATTAATTTTAACGTGCCTTGTAGGATAGTCTTGTCCGTCTACAATTCCCTCTCGGGCAACGGACGTTCCCTGTTTGGAATACGCCGTCTCCGCCAGACCTCTCCTCTTGCTGCATCCATTCTGCTAAATTGTCGTATTCCTGGCAGCGTTTCTACGCTATCGAGATGGACCGCATCAGAGGCGTCACGTTTTTTTTCTCGGGTGCTCGACTTTTCGGCATTCACAGCCACGTCTCCGAAGACGCATCTGCACTGTCCACCTACGAAGGCTTCCCCACCCGCTGTCGACGCGGAATGGTTTGGATTTATCTGCCGATGCCCAGAAGCGACCAGCTGCTGGTTCTTGGCGTCCGGGCACAATCGGCTTCGTGCGTAAATATTCTTATTCGGACTCGCCTCGCTGGCGACGTCGTCATCGGACAGCATATCACGGGTGGCGCAACGGACCGGTGTCTGGGCCGATCGGCGCCCATTACTCTTATTTACGGCGAGCCAAAAGAGGGATTCCCGGTGCCGCACTTTGGCGCGTATTGCCCATTCTCTGCCGACGCGCGTCTTCCTAAGCCGTTCCCCTTGGAAACGTCCTACCGTTCCCCGATTGGCAGCGATGCGTACTTCTCCTGGGCCTCTCTTAGTGGTATAACGTCGGCCTTGACATACTACGACTCCAAAACAGGCTTTTGCAGGGGTATTTTGCTGCAGTACGGCAATGGAGGGGCCAGAACACTCGGTCAATGTCGCCGGCAGGTAGATCCAGCCGAGGAGGTGTACAAACCGCGAATGCTCTGCTGGCGAACGGAGATGTACCGCTCGCAACGGCAGCGAATGGTACACCGCACGCAGGTCCGCTTCCAGCACGGCCCGCAGCACGAACACGACAATGAATGGAAATGCCATGCGCTGGAAGGCGTTATTCATTTCTGGTTTACAGACGACGCGACGTTTCTAGTGGTAATCAACTGACAACTAACCAGCCGAAAGAGAACATGGCAGTCACTGAACGTCTTCTCAGCGTCCAATGTTGCAGTCTTTCAGCAACCGGAATCAGCCAAGCCTTTGTTCAGTACTACTGTGACGTACTGTGGCGATACACCCAACTGCGTAGCTGGTTGCAACCAATCAAACCATGTGAGTCTCCCGGATCGAAACATGCTGAGCGTTCTTCCCCCGATGCTAGACGCAATCCAAACCTTTTGCCGTACGATCAGCATAAGTGTAGACGCGTAGATTCGTGGCGGCAATGTACCGATGGACTTACAAAAACGGCCAGCCATGTCTGGTCGCATCGTATACGAGGCATACGTTTAAATTGATATATGATTAATTGCCTACCACTACCACGCCCTCTGCTACGCACCCTCGCCTACTGCGATGCCGCCCACTCCTTCTCCAGTGCCTCGCGGCGGCTGGTGCTCTGCGGGTCAACGTAGGGCTTCTCGCCGAGGCTGACGGCGCGGCTGCCGGAGCGCTCGCCGAGGCCGTGCTCGTAGAGGTAGTCGGGGGTGGCGGCGTGGTAGACGCTGCGGTTGTCCCAGATGGCGAGGTCGTTGACGTCCTGCCAGCGCAGGCGCACCTGGAGGTCGTGGTTGTCGACGATGAGCTGGTTGAACCAGCCGAGGAACTGCTGGCTCTCGGCGTCCGACAGGCCGTGGATGCGCTGGACGTGGTGGCCGACGGCAAAGACGGACTTCCAGCCGGTGACGGGGTTGGTGCGCACGATGGGGTGGACGGCCTCGAGGACGCTGCCGACGTTTTCGGGGGCGCCGCGCGGCGCCGCGTAGAGCTCGAAGCCGTTGCGGGCGGCCGACGCCTCGAAGCCGGGCTGCGCGTAGTAGGCGGTCAGGGTGTCCAAGAAGGCGCGCAGCGTCGGCGAGATGCGGTCGTAGAGCTCGTAGCCCGAGGCCCAGAGCGTGTCGCCGCCGGTCGCGGGCAGCTTGGTCAGGCGCAGCAGCGCGTAGTCGCTGGGGATGGGCTCAAAGGTAATGTCCGAGTGCCACTGGTCGCGGCCGCTCTGGCGCTTGGAGCTGAAGGCGCCGACGGGCTGCTGGAAGCGGTCCTGGAACAGCTTCTTGGCCTGCACCGACGAGATGACGGAGATCTCGTCGTCGTGGTCGCCCTTGTCGGCGACGTCCCGGGCCGCGTCCTGGCGCACGCCGGCGTTGTTGATCGGGTGGATGTGCAGCTTGGACGTCGCCGGCTTGCCCGACAGCTCGCCCAGCCGCTGCACCAGCTCCTTCTGGACCGCGTCCGTCACGTTGTCCTGCTTGCGGAAGAAGACGACGCCGCGCTGCGAGATGGTAATGGCCAGGTCGCGCAGCAGCTCGTCCGCGTTGGGCGCGCGCAGCCACGCGGCCAGGTCGACGTCGGGGCCGGCAAACTCGCGGCCAATCACGGGCGTCACGTCAAACGACTTGAACTGGTCGAGCGCGCCGCTGAGCTTGAGGGCCTCCTTGTGGCCGGTGAAGAGGGCCGGCCGCTCCGTGTTGGGGTCGCTGCCGTTGTCGAGTTTCGGCTGGCTGGGAGCCTCGGTCTTGGCAGGGACGGCCTTGGTCGCAGCCGGGACCTCGGCAGGGGCGGGTGGGACGTCGACGGCAGAGGGAGACATTGTGGGTGATGTGGTGATGCGATGTGGGTGTAGGGTGTGGACTTTGCGTTTCGTTACTCGGCAGCATCATGGAGGGACAGACACCCGAATATATAGAGACTTGCGGCATCGACTGCATTGCAACATCGCCACAGGAGCTGACAGCATGGTGACTCGCGGACGCTCGCGGAGGATGTCACGCAATGGCACAAACGGGCACCATTGGTTACGACAGGTGGGTGTGGCAGCATGACAGATGTAATACGTTGCAAGATTGGAACAACCGCGAGAACAAGCGCCCGACGATTCGGTGCCGACGCGGGTCGCGTGTCGCAGGCCATAACGTGTCATGAAGCGTCGCAATAGTCGCAAGTCCAGTATGGTGACAGAACTGCGTGGATTGACGTGCAGATGGTATGTGTTTACAGCTAGTGCGTCAAGTGTCTGGATCACGCCCGCCGTCCATCGTTTGCAGCCCACACTAGCTGTGCATGATGTGATTTTAGCGGCGATTAAGACACAAACGAGACCACCTCCAGTCTCACTCGATCAAGCCAATGGCACAAACTGTTGTCGACAAAGTTCCTCACTGGACTGTGCGAGTCATGATAATTGTTGAAACGACGAACAATAGAGTGCGCTTTATATGTCCACCAAGATAATGAGATAGCATCTAAATCAAAACATCCTGACGGCTATACCTTCTTATCCACCGAATCGGGAATCGCCGACTTGTCAGACACCTCCTGGCTGGCCGTCTCGCCCTCAATGATGTCGACAACGGAAACACGCATCTCGCTCTCGCTCGCCTCCTTTGCCAGCGCCTCAAACGCCATGTTGCGCTCCCGCGGCGCGTACTCGCCGACAAACGACAGCGCAAAGTACATGACGCTCGCAATGGTCACGGCATAGAACCAGCTGAACTGGTACAGGTGGTGCCAGCCGGCCGCGCCCGCCAGCGTGTGGCCAAACTGCGCCGCGAAGCCGGGCACTACAAAGGCCACGGCCACCACCCAGGCTGCCAGGGCGCGCCAGTGGATGCCGCCGGTGTACCAATAGGCGCCGCCGGGGGCGTAGAGGGACGCCACGTCGATGTTGCCGCGGCGGAGGACAAAGTAGTCGGTGACAAAGATGCCCAAAAAGGGGCCCAGGAAAATGGAGTAGCCGCCGAGAAACGTCAGGAAGCCCGAGGCCGAGGCCAGGATGTACCAGGGATTGATGGCGACGCTCAGCACGTAGGCGATCCACATGCCGCGGTTGATGTTGAGCCAGCGCGGGAACAGCGTCATAAAGTCGGCGCCAAAGGGCGCGATGTTGGCGCCGATGTCGGTGACGGCGTTGGAGTACATGAAGAAGCCGTTGGCAAAGAACAGCGCGGCCCGGGCGCCGGGGCCCCAGCGGTGGTCGAGGATGTCGTGCGAGAGCGTCCAGGGGTTCCAGTCGAGGTGGCCCCAGCGGTTGTGGATGGCGTTGGTGGCAAAGATGCCGAGCGTCGCGCCCACGGTGTTGCACACGGGCAGGCTCACGAGCTGCGACAGCACGGCGGACCGGCGCCGCGCGTAGCGCGCAATGTCCGGCTGGTTGACGACGAGCGTCGACGTCTTGCCCATGATGGCGTTGATGCCGGCGACCATGGCCCAGCCCAAGTCGGGCCCGTAGATGCCGCCGACCGTCGACAGGCTCGTCTGCGGCGCGCCGCGGCCCTCGACCATGCAGTAGATGAACAGGCCACCGATGGCAAAGGGCATGAGGAGGGAGTTGATCTCGACGTGGCGGCGAAACCTGGGCAGCGGCACCATGAGGAGCGGGAAGGTGAGGATCCAGTAGACGAGCAGGCCGATGAACAGCGGCAGGGTAATGCCGGCGCTGGCCGGGATGGTGTTGTGCATGTTCCAGTAGCTGTCGCCGAAGATGCACCGCAAGACGACGGCCGTGTGGTAGCCGCCCTGGACGATGGACACGCTGGTCCAGATGAGGGCGGTGAGGACGCGGAGGACGACGGGGAAATAGGCGCCGCGGAGGCCGAAGGTGACGCGGGCTTCGACGGGGAAGCCGATGTGGTAGACGGCGGCGACGCGGGAGTGGAGGACGACGCCGATGCCGCCGAACAAATAGCTGTTGTGAGCGGTCAGGGAGCGAAGCGAGGAAAATGAGGAAAGTGAACGAAGCGGGGAGGGGGGGAAAGCGAGCGTAGCGAGGACTAGAAAGAGAATGCGAGCGTAGCGAGGAAAGAAAGAAAGCGAGCGCAGCGAGGTCCAGAAAGAGAAAGCGAGCGCAGCGAGGTCCAGAAAAAGACAGCGACGAAGCAAGGACCAGAAAAGACGACTTACCCTACGAAAAGACAGACGACGGCCTGCCACGGCTTGAGGCCGACACTGATGAGCGCACTGCCGACGCTCCAGGTGCCCGGCGAGATGCCATACGACGCCCAGAAGCCGGCATAGTCGAAGACGGTCCACGTTCGGTGCGCGGGCGGGCTGACGTCCAGGTCTTCATTCTTCCACCGGCTGCGCTCCGTCTCGCCGTCTGCGCTGTCCGTGCGCGTCTCGAGGGCCTTGACAAACGCATGGCGGGATGAGAAGGCATGCACAAGAGCCTTTTTCTTTTCTGCGAAGGCCATGATGAAGCCATGGGTGGACGAGGTCGGGTATTGCGAGAGCTGGGCAGGGCTACGTGTGGATCGTGGATGTTATATGTAACACGAATGTGATGGCCGAGTCTGTCTACAGGTGGCCCACGACTCCTCATCATCTAAATCATACTACGAAACGATACGCGCGGATGCGACGACGTAAATACTAAACTCGATATCATCCAGGGCCGATAAGTGATGCCCTCCCATATATCGGCCGAGATGCGCTGTGCAGACACTCCGGTTCTCGAAATGGATAGGAAGCTGGATAGCCGGGACCGGCACTGTGCCCGCCGTGAGAGATAACGATCTGCCTGTCGTCCGACACAAGGCGCATATCGACTGCCAACGGCCATCCAAAGACGAGGCCCAGAGCATGAGTCCGTGTAAGTGAAAAGTGGGGCAGTGGAGACGCGGAGGTACCCGCAAGAGACGTACAGATAAGACCGGCAGTGTCCAGCCGTGCCTGTGAGTCTTTACCGCGTAATCTGTATCGCATACGAAGTACGAAAGTACTTACTTTTATATCCGCTGCCCGGCCGAGCTGTGCACACGCTGACGCGACTACTCACCATAGGCCATCCTGCATCGTCTTCAACCACTGCCACGCAAATGTCGGCCGCCAGCAGCCGGACGCGGACGGCCTGCGCGTCTTGCACGCGGCGCAAGGTGCGTTGTTCCAAGACGATTCCATGCGAGACATGCATTCGGAGGTGAGACCTGTGAGATGTGATGTGCAAGGGCAGCGACAGCTACCAATCACTGGTTGCTGACGGCCATCTTCCCGACAGAGGCGAACAAGACTCGTGCGGACCAGATGAGCTGGTGCCGTCTCCGGTGCTCGCAACGCCGACCACGATGCAGCGTGACACCATACCGAGTGAGCTTGCATTTCTGCGGCGACGCATCCGCGAACTTGAACGTCAATCATGTCGACTGCCGGCGGAGGGAGACGGATTGGACAAGCATCCTCGACAACAGACGCAGGACCGTTATTTGTCACCCCTGCTTGACAATGCCGTCGTGGACGATACAGAAGACGTGGACAACGAAGAAGGCAGCCAATACAGTGCGGCCGATCAGGACAGGGAGAATGACGGCTCCTTCGTGGACAGACCCCATCATCCGGGCAAGCGACGGGACACGAGCGACACCGTCATCAAGGACGCCGCGTCCATCCTGGAGTTTCTCGCGTGGGGCCGCCGCAAAGACCCAGGACACCATCCTGCAAGCACGGGTCGCCACAGCAGCGTTGGTGATGGAAGCACGACAGTCGCCGATATGGCCACGATTACGGTGCTAGACGAGGCCGACGCGCTCCACACGCCATTTGGAGAATTCGGCGGCCGACCCGACCATCTGCAACAACTAAACATGGACGACAACGACAGCGCCGACGGCGATAACCCGTTCAGTGGCAGCCATCCGCACAGCGCGCACAATCCCTTGGCCGTCATGCAGCTGCTTCTCCCGAGTCGTCGCCAAGTCGAGCAGCTGGTCGACTACCACGTCGAGTGCCTGCTGTGGTACCACGCCTCGTTTCTGGCGCCGCGCTTCCGTGCTGACCTGGCGTCCTTTTACGACCGGTTCGGGGGGCATGTCGATGCCGTCGAGGCGCACCGTGGCGTCGCCGGCCTCGACCTGCAATGGGTGGCGCTTCTCTTTGCCGTTCTGTCCGGCAGCCTGACCTGCGCGCCAACTGCCCGAGCTGCGGCCTGGGGCTTTCTGGGAACCGAACGCCCCGCGCTCTGCAAACACTGGTTCCAGGCCGCGCTGGCCTGCCTCGCCCGCGCCCCGTACATGGCCCATCACAGCGTCCGCTCCTGCCAGGCCATTGCCACCATGACCATCTCGGCGCACATTCTCGGCTTCTCCAACACGCAGAGCATCCAGCTGGCGGCCGCCGTGCGCATTGACCAGTCCCTGGGGCTGCATCGGTTGGGCTCGCGCTCGCACGACGGCAGCCCCGGCACGGCCGACGTCGAAGAGGGCCGTCGCGTGTGGAGTCAGCTGTGCAGCCAGGACTGGTTCGGCATCCCCTTCTCGGAAAGCTACCTCGTCAACCCGCTGCACGCGCAGACCGCCAGGCCCGCCAACGTGCACGACGAAGACCTGGCCGCCGCCGCGGCCCCGTCGGACGCAGGCAGCAGCAGCATCCCGGTCCAGCCCGAGGCCGAGCCCACCGTCTCCGGCTACTGCCGCTTCCTCAACACCATCGCCTCCATCATGCCGCGCCTGCAGGACGGCCTGCTGTCCTGCAACACCGCCTATACCCGCTACCAGCAGGTCCTGTCGTGGGACGCCCACATGCGCGCACTGGCCACGGCCGGCCGCCCGCGCTTCCTGGGCCCCCAGGTGCCCCTGCAAGACCACTGGCCCTGCTGGGTTCCCTGGGCCCGCCGCGCCCTGGCCATCAGCTCCGGCCACAAGATTATCATGATCCACCGCTCGTTCTTGTCCGAGAGCTTCACCAATCCGGCCTTTGCCTTTACCCGCCACACGTGCATCGCCGCCTCCAAGACCATCATCAAGGAGTACAAGGCCGTTGTGCGGGAAGAGGGGCCTGTGCTGTGGGTCCACCAGGCGTTCTCGGTGGCCGCGTCCATCATTTTGACTCTGGACGTGCTGCACCGCGGTCCGGGCGACGATGCCAGCGTGGTCCGCGAGCATGCAGAACACGCTCGTTTGGTCGAAGACGTCGTCGATTTGCTGCGGCAGTTCCCGCAGAGCATGATTGCCGTGCGCGGGATGCGGCTGCTGCGCGCCCTGCTCGACGAAGTCGGCCGCCGGGACGCCGCTCCTGCGCCAGACGAACGATTTGCCATCGGCGAAGCCCGCTCCCGAAAACGGAAACGACCATGGACGCACGACCACCGATCGTCGCTGTCGGTTACGAGCAACAACGGATTCAATGTGCCTGCTTTCATTCGCAGTTACTGCCGAGGCGAGACGACGGACGAACAGCGGCAGCCCAGCAGTAGACCCCACTACAAACGGCGACGGCAGATGCCCTCGAAGCCGCTTGCGAATGGACACAGTGTTGATACGGAAGCCGTGACATCACAACCACTCACCGGGACTCTTCCTTTGGGAAAAGATCACCTTCTTGACAGTGCCATAGCCGACACAGTGGACACTGCGGATCGCTTCCCGGTAGCATCCGTGGGAGAGGAAGCGACAATGCTCAGCGACGAGTTTGTTGACACTGGCACCCTGGGTCTTCCCACACTACTTCCGCCGGGTTGGGAGAGGACTAGCAACGGTTTTGAGAATCTGCTCTACCTGGCGAGCCATGATATGTCCCTACCGTAGTATGACGTGTACAGAAATAGATTGCGTGCTCTGACTACAACTCGTAACGCCCAAAGTAACCTCCCGTCGACAACCATCTAAGCCTCCGCCTCTACCTTCTCCACGTGGCTCAGGAAAATGGACAGCGCCAGCTTCACGCCCTCCGAGTCCTCCAGAATCAGCTGGTGCCCGCTGCGCACAACCTGCACCTCGACCGGCCCGCCCACCAGCTTGGCCAGGTCTTCCGACCGCGTCACGGGGCTGATTCTGTCCTTGTCGCCCGCCACAAACACCACAGGACACGTTATGGCGCCGTACGCAGGGTCGACGTGGTCATCCGCCACCATGGCCTCACACGTCTGGGCGTATGCCTCCGGGTCGGATGCGGCGACGGCGTCGTACACGCTCCGTCGGAGCAGAGCGGGAACCGTCCGCTCGGGCGTGTCCGCATAGAAATTGGTCACCTCGGCGGCCTTGGTGGCGGCGGCGGCGATGCCCTGGGCGCGCACCAGCGCGGCCAGGTCCACCATGGCGGCGCGCGCGGCCGGGTCCCAGAAGCAAGAGGCCGCCAACGGGAGATGAGGTGGCAGCGGCAGCAGCAGCGTGTAGATTGACAACGGCGCCCAGCGAGTGTCCCACGAGGAGCACGGGCTTGCGGGCGCCGGCGCTGCCCGCTGGCGCAGCGGCTTGCAGAGATGCGACGAGATGGTGTAGGTTGGCGACATGGTCGGCGATTGAAATGCGTCGCACGTCTGCTGCCGAGGGCCGCGGCGACTTGCCAAAGCCGGGGAAGTCGACGCTGACGGCGTGGAAGCGCTCCGGAAGCAGCGGCACGAAATTGTCAAACGTGGCGGTTGAGCCGCAAAGGCCGTGGGTCAGGATGACGAGCTGGCCAGACGGGTCGCCTGACAGTTTGTAGTGTATCTTGTAACCCAGAGGCGTGTCGATGAAGGAGGACATGGTGGATGTGGAGATGTTGTGTTGTCGGAAGTGGCCCAGTATCACGCTGTCAGGAACAAGAAATTCGTTTTTAAACAAGCACTCGTTAAGCGACAATGACCGAGAAGCTTCGTTAGAGGAATTCCTGGTGATCCGATGGGCTCTTGTGGTGATGAAGCTCGGCCGAGGTGGCAAAAAGTGGGTCTTCCGTGTTGCTCGGGCTCGGCCGACACCCGACTGTGCGGGTCTTCTTACTACGGAAGGAGCGATCCTGGTGGCAGGAGCGACGTTCGTTGTACCATTCCACAGGACAGGATCAAACAACCTTCAAAGCATCAATATTGCGGGTTGATATAAGTTCCAAGTTCATCAACACTTATCAGACAAATCGACACCTGCACCAGCCTCATCAATCACATATTTCGTAAATTGCCAACACAACCTCACACGACAACACAAAATGGTCATCGCCGCTGTCATTAGAGAAACTGAGAAAGCGGGCGCCCCTGGGCTGCACTTGCTGCCGCCCAAGGAGACCTTTGAACTGCCTCATGCCGAGACTACCACGGGTCGCATCCAGCCCATTGCGCACGCCGCCGACAGCAAGGTCGACTTTGGCGCACTGGTCTACGGGATTGACCTCAACAAGTTTACCGATGCCGACTTTGCCTTCATCTCGGACGCACTGCACAATCACAAGCTGCTCGTCTTCAAGGAGCAGCCGAGCATGCTGCGCCCGCAGCAGCAGTACCGCCTGACGGCGAGCTTTGACCCGGACGAGACGACGGGCGGCTTTGCGCACGGCAAAGATCCCTTCTTGCTGCACCATGACGGCGTCGACATCTACGGCATCCCCAAACGGCCCGCCATCCCCGAGCAGCCGCAGGTGCACATCCTGGGCCGCGGCCCCTTGGGCCCCGACCACTACGGCTTCCCGCCCGGCTTCGAGGTCCAAGGCATTGACCACCACGAGTTCCACCTGCCGCCGCACATCAGCGACGAGCACCGCGAGGCCGGCGCGTCGCGCTTCTACCAGTGGCACTTTGACGGCTCGCTGTACAACATCCCGCCGCCGCGCGTCGGCTGCCTGCTGGCCGTCCAGACGCCCAAGGGCCCCGACGTCACCGTGCGGTGGGACGACGGCTCGGGCACGGAGATGCGCATGCCGCCCGGCGCCACGGCCATGGTCGCCGGCAGCCGCGCGCTCGCGCTGCTCGACGAGGCGACGCGCCAGACGGCGCTGCACAGCCGCATCGAGTACGCGCCGCATGCGTTTGCGTGGATGGCGCCCGCACGCAGCACGCGGCTCGGCCACTTATCTTGGGAGCTTTAGTTGTTCCAGCGCTGTAAGTGCTCATTTCTTCTCATGCTTCGCTCCTGCCCTTAACAAACCCCGGAAAGAAGTTCAAGGAAAAGACACGGAAAAAGTAACGTAAACGACCGAAAACACATACCATGATGTTGGCACCGGCTGACGCGGTGGCCGCGAATACAGGCGCTGCAGGCCCGTTTCTCACCGTCAATAAGCATTTCGGCAGGACAATAGGCGCTAGGGTGTGGAAATTGGCTGACAGGGTGTTAAAAAGAGAACAGAGGGGAGAAGAAAAAAGGACGAGACGAACGAGGTGACGAACGCAATAAAAGAAAAGATTCCGTCGCAGATGGACGCAGCTCGAGACAACTCAAAAAGACGGCAGGACAAGAAAGCATTGGTGCGCGATGGGCGGGAGATAAAAAAGGGGAGACGGAAGGAGGGATAAGGAAAGCAAAGGGAGCTGGGGAGCAGTCGACGGATACCAGGGCTGCGCAGAAACTAATTGGGGGTACTTCCGCCCCTTTGGTCTTACGTTGCAGAGTACCTGTACAGGTACTTCAGATCAATACCGAGCCAAGAGAGGGGCAGCTTTCCCCCCGTCTGTCGGGCAGCCTCGCGAGCCTTGTTGTAATCAAGTACACATCGACGAAAGAACGGTGTGTAACTTATTTTCAGTGGTTTGAGTGCCCGAAATTACGACTTTCCTGTTTTGACGTAGATACAAGGGGGCTGGGAAGGGCTCTTAATAAAAGGATATGCAGGCGAGGCTGTAAAAAGATCCAGCCTGTCCTTCTTCTATTCCTACAAATGAAAAAAAGTCGCCAACTTATCTATGTTACGGGCACAAAATTGATTCAGGCGCTCAGGAGGAATACGGCAAAGCCTGAAGAAGCTTACGGAGAGCATCTATCTCCTCTTATCAAGAGCCCTTCCAAGCCCCCTTTGTATCTACGCGAAGACAACAAAAGTCGTGATTTTCTGGCACTTTAAGCAGGAATGAGTAATTCTGCCACGATTGCTGATACTGTCTGCATTGGTTTGGCATCGCACTTTTGGTCTCCATCTTCTGTCTTGTCTTTTTTGCGCCGGTGTGTGGTTTAGCTGGCCGATCTGTAATTATTGCGTAGACAGGTTTCATGGATCCCGTCTTTGTATAATGTATTTTGTGTTCTACTTTCTTTTTTTTGTTTTGGTACCCCTAAAACAAAAACGGACGTGTTTTCGCCCGAGATGGTAAGGGGAGGGTGAAAGGGAGTGGTATCGGGTGACCGAGACCCGGTCGGCATCTCGGGCAGAACTGAGATCGACTACGCGTACGAATACTGTAATAATGGTAGGAGTTAAACGCCTGTATTAATCTGGCTACTGTGTGCTATCTGCTGTTGTGCAAGTATTATCTAACTATGGAAAGAAAAAGAAAAAGAAAAAGAAAGCCAAACTAAGAAACGAAATGCACCGGGAAACCAGTTTGGGTGGGCACTGGCGAGACTGCTAAGCAATCTGTGGCCCTGGCTAAGTAATGGAAATAAAACAAATTGATAGAAAAAAAAACCACACCGCCTTACTGCTTCTTGACATCCACTTATCACTCGCGCCTCTGGGTTAATTGCTTCGGTGTTATTGTTGATTCTTCCCCTTATCAACTTCGTCGCTGTCCTCTTCGTCCTCGTCGTCCTCGTCGTCCTTAGATGATAGTCCCGAAGCATCCTGTCTGTCTTCAGACTTTGTTGACAGTGATGGAGCACCGACTGTGTAGTTGGGGCCACTCGCCGAACTCCCCACTAGCTCGTAAATAGTCCTGGCGCGCTTCGTGGCATGCTGGGCTTCCTTATCCACCCTCTCTCTGTGCCGTTTCGTACCATTTTGATGGCTATTGGAGGCTACAGAGGCCGGGATTGATGGATGGCCTTGTTGACCATTCCGTGTCATCTCGTATTGGGGTACGCAAATCGGTGTGGAGGTTGTTGAAGCAGTGGGAGCGGGGGAGGGAACGCTGAAGGCAGTCGGTGGTGTTGGGGGTGGCGTTGGCGGTGCTTGGGACGCCTTGTCACCCACACTGTCTTTAGATAAAGATGTAGAAGGCTTGCCAACACCGAATCCATTGGATGGACTTGCCACGGGCTCCGGTTGGTTGCGGCCGTTAGTTGACGCCACCGCGATGGGCTTTCTTCCGTAGGCCAAGTTGCTGCGAAATGTCAATACCTTCTAAAAGATTTGTAAAGCACAGAATCAACAAGAAGTGGTGGAACATACAACTTCCAGTAGGCATGTATGTTGGTGTCGCGTAGATTGAGCCGAGCCTGAGCACACAGTGCAGTGGCCGCCTCGGGCGCCATATCACCATAGCGACATAGAAGTGCCACGAAGAGTCCCTCGAGATCGTAATCGAAGAGTTTCAGGACCAAGTTACCTAGATGTTGTTCCCATTGCCTCTCGTCGCTGGGGTCGCTGGGTCGCTCCTGGGCGGGCCAGCCATTGATGGGCCACTTGATCTCCTCGTGAATGATGTCAATAAAACCAGCTTCTTTCATCAGTTGAGGATAGCCTGACGAACGGTCGATCGGATGGCCCTGGTGATGCGATGCATTTGTGGCTCGAGAAACTAGTTCCTGTAGAGCACAGTCAACTGAGTTAGTGCCGTCTTCCCACTCAAGTGACAGGCCGTCGAACATCTCGAGATAGCCGTCCTCGTTGAGATTGCTTTTCACAGTTAGCTCGTTCCACGCAAACGATAACGAGATAAGAAAGAAACACACGAAAAGCATTGTTGAATGACCGCCGGCGCGTTAGCAAAAGAATTATGCAGAAAACGCCAATGGATGAGATCAAAATTCTTCGGCCAAGTCCAGATTTGCTCCACATCGTCAATTTCAAAGGAACAGTTTATCGGCACTCTGAAAAACGTTTATTAGATGTGCACCTGTAGGGAGGGACTGAATGTAGCGTACCCTTCCGGTTGAATTGGGCTGATATCGACTCCGACAACGACAGCATCCGGATGTGCATCGGCTGTGTTAACCAAAAGGATGTTAGTTGTTTGTCCAATTTGCACTGTATTAAATGGCGATAGGCGGAGAAGAGCGCAACTTACCGTAATGAAGAGCCCAGCAGCCCGTGCCTGTGCCTAGGTCCAGGACGCGGTGGGGGCCAGTTTTTTCCGGGCATTGGTGAAGTCGATAGTCAGAAGCAAAAAGGTAGATGCCTGACAGTCAGCTTCATTCATCTTTTGCACATGAAAATAAAGGCGACAACATACTGTGTAGAAGTCGTAAATACTGTTGGTGTTCCTAGTCATGGAGTCAGCTCGGGACTAGTAGAACAACGAGCGGGTTTTCAGAATCCAGCAGCGCACCTCATCCTGTGGACAGCAGTAGTCTGCCAACTGTCAGCATGGCGAAGCTCGACCTATACCATAGGCTCATGGAGACTCAGAAGAAGACATACTTGTTGTGTACCAGCCCGAATGATACACCCGGCCGTCGACATCGGGTTCGGGATGCAGAATGCTGTCCGGCAGTGTCACGAGTGATACAAATGATTTGTCGTCGTCATCTAAACGGGGGTCCCCGCTCAGCAGAGACAAACCACCAGTATCAGAGAGGCCGCTCTCCGAGACGCCACTATGGGCTACCTCTGGCTGCGGTTCTTGCGGCGGTGCCATTTGTCTTAATCCATGGTGTTGACAAAGCGAGAGTCGGCAGGATATACGAGAGACAACGGGGCGTAAGAAGACAAATGTAAGAAGAGAAAGGTTAAGAGACAAAAGGTAGAAGAGAGAAAGTGAGAAAGTAATAATAAAAGAGGGAAAAAGAGAAGGAAGGTAAGAGGAGGGAAAGGAAAAGGGGACAGGAACGGCGGAGGGAAACGTACATATACAAGAGGATGGAAGGAGAAGAACAACAGTGGTGGCCAGACACGAGCCCCTATTGAGTCGCATCTACGCCCCAAACAAAGCTCGACGGAGCTGATCCTTTCCGGGTTAAACGTAACGGCACACTAATGAGTATTACCCCTTACGCCACCTCATCCCTGTTAAGCCTACCATGGTCGTCTCCATTAAGCAACCTGTCATAATAACGCCCCCGGAAAGGTGTGCCTTCCGTGTCTTTCGAGTCAACACCTGAAGACCGGGACAGAGGATATCTGCTGTTGCTGGTGCTCCACCGTGTGCTGGAACCGGCCAATGTCTTTAGTATTTTCTTTGCCCGTCTAGACGAGGAAGATGGTGATTATTATTAAATAAGTATTGCTTCAAGTATCTGGAACGCTAGTTGATATCTTAAGTAACGGATCTTCTTTCTTCTAGTGAAGCTTCTTCTTTTGTGACGTCTTCTCTATCTCATGGCACCAGGTCCAGCCACGTACGGATACTCGCGTTCTTCTGCCCTCCGGAGCCGGCGGACAATGCCCGTAAAATTCCATCGAAGTCCGTTGTAGCCTGTGGCGTTGCCGTCGAGAATTGTTGCCGACGGACGCTCGTAGCCGACGGGCACTCGTAATTGTCAATGTCCTCGAAATCTGTTTTGGTCGGGCTGGGCGCGTCTTGAGTTGTTGCCGACAGACACTCGTAATTGTCAATGTCCTCGAAATCTGTTTTGGTCGGGCTGGGCGCGTCTTGAGTTGTTGCCGACGGACACTCGTAATTGTCATTGAAATTTGTTTTGGTCGGGCTAGACGCGCCGCCGTCGTCGTCAAAATTTTCGGCATCGTCGTAGGCCTTGCCGTCCTCGTCGTCCTCGTCGTCGGCCATGTCACTCAAGCTGTCTTGCCAGGCGTGAGGTATTGGAGTATGCTCTGACTTTGGCTCCATCAACGCGGGAGGTGGTGGGTCGTCGGGACTTCTTTTTTGAAGAAGAGAAACTTCGAAACGAGCAGTCGTCGCCATATCACGAACAGAGTGAATAAAAGAACAATGAGCGGCCACAAATTATTTGTAGAGGGGGACAAAAGAGACCGACGGGGGGGAAGATATAGGGACGGAAGAGGAAAAGAAGAGGAAAAGAAGAGGAAGAGGACCGAGAGTGGCGAAAGGAAAGTAAAAAAAGAAGACGGGGAGAAAACAGGAGAATCAAGCTGATAGCAGACTTTTTTCAACTATGGTGTAATTGTGGGAACAAAAGAAGGACAGGCTGGGTCCTTATACAGCCTCGCCTACGTCTCCTGTCATGAAGAACCCTACCCACCCCCGTTGTGTCTGCCTAACATAACAAAGAAGTGGTAATTTCGGGCACCCCAAGCCACTCAAAATAGCTAACGCATCGTCCTTTTAACACTGTGTACCTAATACAACAAGGTTCGCGAGGAACCTACTGCCCGACAGACGGGGAGAGATGACCCGACGCTCTGGGGGCCCTAATGTCGGCATCACCCCCTTTCCTCTTCTTCTTCCGTACTCCTCCCCTCCTGTCTTTGTCTGGCCTTCTTCTCGTCCGACAAGCCGTGCATTTATACGTTCCATAGCCAAAATCGAGATAAATGACGTCCATGACATGGTATGCCAAGTTATTTATGTAAACGTGGGCATATCAGGGTATGCGTGGAAATAAATCAAGCAAACTCTATTGAAACGAGTAGTAGCCTAACCCACAGCAAGACCGTAGGATACGTACTACCATTAAGACGAAGACGAAGTCACAGGCTAAAGTTGTTCAAGCAACAGTACGCACCGCCTTGCACATGTGTGTTAGTCTAGTTCAAACGTCAAAAGGACAACGTTTTCAAACAGCCATCGGATCACATACCCGCGGCGGCCGCACGGCACAGGTGTTAGTAAAAGACCTGGTAGCCGGCGGGAGCACTGGCCCAGTAGTCATAATCGTCCTCGCCGCTCATGGGATACACGCTAGCACCGCCCGCGACACCTTGCTGAGCGGCAGCGGCAGCGGCAGCAGTAATGCTGGCCGACGCCGCGCTGCCACCACCGGCGCCGCCGCTGGGGTCGGAGCCGCCTCGCTTGGAGTGGCTTGTCGCTTCTTCACGAGGGACGGTATCGATGAGAAAGTCGAACATGTCGCAATCGGCGTAGACCGAGGCGATGTCCGAACGCCGGAGGGTGCGGCGCTTGTTATCCCCGGTAGTATAGTCCTAGGCGCGCCGCGTCAGGTCGGTGATGAAGATATCACAACCCTTGGCGAACAGAATAAGCACCTCTTTCGATATTGTTTAAACATCGCCATAGAGCTTTATAATCGTCTTAATACGTTTAAGGGGAAACGTATCCGTGGTCTATTGGCCGGTAAAAAGACACGTTAGTTGAGAAAGCCGATACTAAGGTAAATAACACCAAAGACCGTAAGGTAAGTACAAAAAGACATACTTGACTGTTCTTAAGAGCCTTAACGTAGTTCTCCAAACCTAAGGACTCTATAATAAAGAGGATGTCCTCGCTATTGATTTTTTTCCACAGTTCTTTGCAGCATTTCTCCGCAACTGTGGTGGTTAGCACGGCGACTGACATGACCGAAGAAAACGAACATAGAGAACTCCGCCTTACCTTCACTTGTGATAAAAGAGATGAATTCGCTGACACACTCCTGTATACACTACTTTGCCTCTTCCGTAATCCGGGCTTTCTTTGGGAGCGCACATCTTATAACACAAATAACTGGAGTAAAGTTTCAGATGTTAGCGTTGTTAGGTACGTTTGTCAGCCCTTGAGAACGACGCGCGCCTATGGGAAGGTAAAATAAAATAGAGTAAGGGAAGGGAAAGAGGATAAAAAGACACCACATAGGTAGAATAAACTTGCCTTGAGCTAGAGGTAACCACCGGTCTTGTTCCTTAACTTCGAACTCGTAGCCGAGCGCGCTCGAGTGTGGGTCTTGAGGATCATTCATTATATCGTCTTCGTTGGGAGAATGTACGTCTTGTTCGACATCTTTTGGCGTAGACTTCGGGGAGTAGGACACATCTGGCTACCTACGGTGGATGCGAGCTGTATCTTATACTTGTTTAGACTACTCACACCACATACAGGCGGGTAACAATGGGTGGCTTACTTCGACCCAGGGCTGCCACTCTACGTTAATGTCTATAAAGAACATCGTCTCTGTCGAGGCCTACAGTAAGGGCCTGTAGGTAGCGGTAAAGGCCCTTTTATAATTTGAACATACCCCTTCGCCTCAAAACCCCTGTCCGACTCTTTATCGGAACACCTTGGCTTCCTCTTTCCGCGGTGCCTTACTCGGTACTCCGTAGTTTGTTCGACTAACACCAGATGGGTGCCAAGGCGCACCGGCGGCCTAAACGAGGCGCGCCTGAGCGGCTCTGCGTTAAATTGCGATTGGACGACCGCTATTTTATCCCTGTCCTTAGTGGTATTAGCGACACTGGGAGGTCGGGCAACTGTCTCTTGTCACATTCCCTGCCTCTGGAGACAAGGCTGAAGAAAAAGGTGGCCAGGGGATGACGAGACCCGCACAGAGGAGAAAACCGCCAACAATCCACGGCGAGGGTGATTAGGTTCCAGGGACGGGGTGACTGGGGTGTAAAGTCACCAAGTCGATGGCTTTGTAACGTACATGTACATGTACGCTCCCAAGCCCACGACTTTGGGCAGGGGTGGCCCAAAAAGACACCATCCCTGCACTCCTCTCGCCGCCGTGACTTGTCGAGTGGCAGGCGGGTCCGCTCCACCCAGTGCACCTGGTGTCTCCTAGCTGAAGAAAGAACAGCGTCGAAAAAGAGAAGACAACCTAGGCGGGAAAGGTGGACCGGAACGACGGGGACTAGAACGCTGGGCTGGGCCATCATAAGCCAAGAATGTCGAATCAACAGTAGGGCCATCCCAGGGGACGAAACGGCTTTATTCTGTGGAAAAGTTGACAGGATAGGGAAGCGGAAAACCAGTTGACAAGGAGGCAGGGGAAAGGAGGACAGAGGGAATGGCTGTGCGCGCCTTTGTCTGCCAGGCTGCATCCGGAGAAGTCTTTTTTTTTTCCTCTCACCCAACATTTATAAGTGGATAGTTTCTCCCCCCCTTACCCCCACCCGTTTATTACAAGTTCTAATACAGGTCGCAGCCTAGAGCGCCTAACTAGTTAACAACGAATAGGATGGCATTAGCTGTTCGTCTACGCGGAATATTATATCGCCGCCGATAAGGGAGGTTACTGTGGTTCTCTCGACGAAGTAGTCTCTTATCCTAAGCCTCTCCCGGCCCCCGTTCTCGCCAGTCCGATATGGTGACGCGCCTGAAGACACTCGGCAATACGATCCCGCTTTTACTGTAGCAGCTCGATAAAATTCGCCAGCAGGAAAAAATCGACAGACTGGGTGCCGACATAATATATCATGAGAACACCCAAAATCTTCTCACTCAGCTCGACAATGGTCTGCAAGACGCATGTTACGAGTACGAGACTATAAGCACCACTCTGGGAAGATCATAACCATTAGAGAGACAAAGCCGCCTCGACCTCCACGGCCCCGACCTTCAGACAGACAACGCCGCCAACAATGGGGCTTCGTCGGCTCTCGTGTCCCACTTGAAACAAATCGTGTAGTAATTCGAATCTGCGCGACGAGTGTTGGGAAAAGTGTCACGGGATGTACTTGGTGGGAGAGATTGTGATAAAAAGGTAGAATAGATCAAGGATGCTTTAATAACGGCGGAGTCGTTGGTTGAAAAAACGTTGACGATGGCTTGATAATAAATGACGATTTAGGCTTTTATTTTTTCTTTACTACTTTGTTTCAATTGAGTTTCTTTCGAGGTCCACAAGACGACACTCTCGAACTCCTAGTAAGATGCCTCCCCTTGAACCACTGTGCTAGAATGTCGGCGAAATACATAAAAGTATAAAAATCCACGTCTTTTGTATTTCTCATCTACTCTTTTATAAAATCAAACCCCGTATATATCAACTAACACATAGGCTCGACTAAAGATTCCAGTTCGAGGTTAGGCCCTGTCTCTCTTTTCGTCCGCCTCCCTTCCTTTCACATCGCGCCAAAAAGCTTTGCCCGACACGCTTCCACGCAGGCCTTGTCTAGCCTAAAGAACTCGTAGATGGATTGAAATATTTAGATGAGTATAATCGTATTGTAATAAAGGAAGCTATCCACACATCTAGTTGAAAAGACCTTGTAACACGGGAAGGAGAAAAACTCGAAAGTTGATGGGTTTGTTTGCCATGTTCGGTACGCCGTGTTGACAGGCTCTTACGGCCATACTACGGCGAGTTTCACAGTTCGGGACAAGGCAGCAGCCTGGCACAATACCACAACGGTCGTGCTTCCTGTTCACGATGGCCGCCGCCGTGACTGCTGCAATCTCGCCGACGATGACGTCGTAGATTCCCTCAGCTCTATAGGGTTTCTTCACAAGATCGACGTATGTCGGCTTCTTACCAGAAAACAAAATCCGGCAGCGGATCGCAATCGTTCTAAGTCTCTCGAACTCATCTACGAAACCAACGATGTCGCGAAGCGGTGTGACCAGCCGGTCTTGGTCCTTGTCCCAGACAGCCGCGAACTGTAAACGAGTAATACGTGAAGTAATCCTCGGGCCAAGATCGTACCAAATGCCTTGGAGGACAGTACCGATACGGATCCACGACTTTGGGTCTTCGATACGCGAAGTTTTCCCTGTATTGCCCAGCGTCGAACTCGTAAACGTAACCCGAGCCCGTCCTATCCGATCCTTTAAGGTCTTCCGGTTTTTCGCGACAAGGAGGGACACGGTGTTTCGTAAGTGTTTAGAGACGAGGGCGAGCGGTATGTTGTTTTTGTACCGGCCCTGTAACCATTCATCATAGTCCTTTGTTGTATACTCGTGCCGTCTATCGTATGTACCCCTGATCTTTCCTGATCTTTCCCAGGCCGTCTCCTCCGGGCGCGTGTCCGTCCGGATATAAAGATCGAGAGGCGCTTCCAAGGTATAGCTGACGATCATGTTAAGGATCTCGGGTGGTATTTTGGGTAGGTTGAGTGTGTTGGTGGGGGCTGTGTCCAGATGTTTGTTGCTTCCCGTGTTTCTTATACCCTGGGAGGCGTGTAATACCTTCTTGCGCCGTCGGAATGTTTGGCGAATGGATTCTTCAGGCGTCTCATCTTGGCAACCGTGTTCCGAAGATACAACCCGGAAAATGTGAGGCTCGTCGTCGTTGCGTCTTTTCTCGATCTCGCGGCGGTCCTTCGTGTCAATTACGCGACCTAAGACAAAGAGGTCGTGCCTCGCCCAGGCTGTAGCGGGATCTTTTGGGATCGGCCCGACAGCGCGTAAAGTGGTGTCGTCGAGTCCGACGCATCGGCTTGTCGATGGATATTCGTCTTTGGCACTGGCCATTGGGGTGGCTCGCTGAGAGGGGGGGGTGGGCGAAGGCGGCGTCTCGGAGCAGAGAGCAGAGAGCGCGACAAGGGAAAAGCGCAGATAAGCTGCAGACGAGATTTCAAGGTCCAGAGGTGGGAGCCTCTTACATAAAGGATACTTTCTTCCTCTTTCCACTGGGCTGAGCCTGCGTTCGTCCACTGTACTAAGCTACTCCCCGTCGTCTACGCGCCTCCTCTTTCTCTGCGTCAACGGCCCTGCCGGCTGTTTAGTCATAACAAGATCCGTAGTTGCAGCCCCCAAATCCAAGACCAAAAAGCCCATCTACATTGCCAAAGTATGTATCGGTTCCCGTAAAAGAGACCATTATCGGCTCCCAGGTACATACAGCCATGCAACCACTTGCAGTGCCCAATGTAGATGTAGCTGCGGACTGTCCGAGAGGTGTGCGGGGGCATTTACGGGCGGATTTTGTGGTTGGTGTGAAGTAAGCTAATAATTAGACATCACGAACATGGGTAAGGGCCTCTTCCGCCGCTGTGTAAAGGGTTAAGATAAAGACAGGTCTCGGGCATTCACCTTTTCCAGCACAGGCCTGCCGGGCGCTTCCCGGTCTTCCGGGCTGACTTCGTCCCGATGTGGAAACGCAGCCGATACGTCTTAGAGGTCGAGTTTTTTCTTTTAACAAGTGTCGCGCACGGCCACCCACCCTACCAAGGCGGCTGGCAACGTGAGCCGTTAGTCTTTAAATAGGGGGTGAAGATAGAGGTATCTATTGTCCCCACAGTCCCGTAAAACGGGTTTAGGCGGAGGGCAGACCGGGGGCCTAGGGGTAGCGTTGGGACCAGCCCAGCGCCTGACACATTACGTGGGGTGCGTAAGCTCTGGCCGAAGGGAGTGGAAGTAACGCCGGGGATTGGGACAAGGTGAGCAGCCACCAACAGTTCCATGCATCGCACTCCAAGCGTTTCATTGGTTTCGCTGTCTGGCAGCGGTGTGCGATGGGGGTGCAGGACCTGGCAAATGTGTCATGCCCGGATGCGGTAAAGCTTTGTCCGTGCATAACAGGGCGGCAGTTGCCAGATTCGCGCCTTGCATACGCGACCACTGTTTCTGCAGATTTATTCGTGTAACAGAGCAGCCTTGTTTGGCAACTGGAAGAGCCTCGTCGTTGTTTCTAAAACGACTGTCAACAAAACATCGTCAACAGTTCGCCGAACTTCAATCAAAACGTAGCAAAAAGTGATTGCTTTTTAAGGTTATCTTCATTTTACCCCGCAGTACCCCGCTCTAAGTAAAAATTATGGCCGAAGTTAGGCAGCACGGATAAAACCGCGGCCTAATGGGGCCATTTGAAAATACCACCGCCAGCATAAAATAAATATTTCAAGACAAAACAAACAGTATTATTTGAAGTCACCTCAACTATTCTTCGCGACGCATTTTTAACGGCATACTCGTTTCTTGTCGCGAAAAATCGGCACACCAGCGTTCCTCTGCCGGGAGGCATCGCCGCTTCCTTAGAAACAATATGAAAAGGTTGCATCAGGCTGAGGCATCAACGAGAAAAGAAAACGACAAATACAGACGTTGTATGATATAGCATTGCTCCTCAGTCGTCGCCTCATTATGTCTTATGTTAACGTACCCTTTTTTCTTTAGTAACGATCTGCGATGCCTAGAAACACGAGGAACTGGATTCCGCCGTTAACGGCGACAGATTTTACATCGGTTGATGGCGGCGTGCCTATGGTTTTTGTTGTTCCAGAAAATGCGACGATCACCTGGTATAGTTCATTGGGTATTTACCTATGGGACAGTGCGGAGGCCTTTTATGCGCAAATAGCTGCTCATACAGTCTGGCTATGCCCAGAAGACGAGGACTTAAACGATGCATTACCACACAGCTGTGAATTTAGTGCTGGTCAAGTAATTTATGTACAGGGAGGTTATGTTAAAAAAACTATTAGTATACATTGTTAGTTAGAGTCTCTGCAAACTCCGCGAAGTTGTAGGCAAAAAATCCAACAGCAAGACATAGGAACATAGACCCGTCTCTGTTCGAGACGATGCAACTGTAGTATCCATAGCCTTGGAATAAAGTGCTACTTTTCCATTGATCGGAGCCACTTTCCTCTTCCAACTTCCCGAGCAGCGTATCTGCGTTCTCTTCATGGTCAATTGTCACCACGAAATAAACATCCTTTTTAGGGTTGTCACGGCTTCGAACTGAGGGCCCAACATGACCAGTGATGATGCGACGGAACACACACCAAGGCCATCCTCTGTCGGGCGTCTGAGGTAGGTAATCGTATAAAGAATTGGCGTTGTTTCCGCACTTTTGTAAAGCTTCGATAGCAGGCCGGAAATTTGAAGGAACTAAATTGATGGCGAAGTTTATGTGAGTTCGTATAGAGATGTTAGAAGTGGCGTTGGTATTCGGCCTGACCGGCGAAGTCGGCAAGTAGGCCACGGCACCAGTGGGCCCATCAACTGCGGTAGAACAAAGATAGTCGGGCCGGAGCGCGCCGGAAAGGGCGGAAAAAGCGTTTTTCCGGGTTGGTGCCGGAGCGCCTACTGTGCCGGTGAACAGTTCCACGGCTTCACCATTCCGCGTGCAGACGCTTCCAGGGCTAAGCTGCGACAACTCCGCTCCATACAGGGAGACAGAAGGCGTTGGAAAATATTGTCTTGTGGAGGGCGATGGTGTCCTTGGGGCGGTTGTGTCAAGAGAAGTTGGAGTTCCGTAAAGGCCCGATGCCGGACCATCGGCGAGGCTTGAGATCCAAGACTTGAAAAGCTCAGGCGGCATGTGCTTTCTTAGCTCGCAGGCTATCTGTTCTACACACCTGTCAGCATTCAAAGCAGGAGATGGAAGAAAGCAATTGTGATAGCATACCGATTATCTTCTTCTGGTTCTGGACGTTGCTGTTCGTAGGCAGAGCGAACTCGTGCGTCTCGTCAGGCAGTTCAACAGTGGGCTGGATCGCCGGGATTCTTTCCAGCAGTGGGCCGGAAGATGTTGCTGAGTCCGGCGGACCGTAGTCGGACGTCCGTTGCGAACAAGTGCCGGGTGAGCCCAGCTGAACCGCACTGTCATACCTGATAGGCACTAAGCGTAATGTGTTAGTTGGCCGGGTAAAGGGCAGGAAACAAAAGAAATTCGTCTTCATACAGAAAGGCGCAGCGGGGGGCGTGCCGCATGTAGCCGGGAATTGTTCGAGTAGTTCATCCGAAGGGAGCAGAGGCGCCATAGGAGCACCGGCCATCACCACATCGTTCGTGGGCACTCTTTCTTTCGTGACGGCCACCAATTCCGAAGCAGCAAGTGATTTGTCTAGTACTGCCTGCTTTTGCGACTGATGCGTGGTTGGGCCAAAGGCCACGGACGCCGACCGTTTCCCACTTCGAGTCGATGCTACGTCCCCGGATAGGCTCGGCTCGGGGGATGTGAGGCGCGTGTCGTCGTCCGTCGGGCTAAAGCGGCTCGCGAAGTCCGTATTGTTGATTGAGCCTGGCGTGCTTGGTATGTCGATATCTTGCCCGACTGAAAAAGTGGCGCCGACCGGCGTGTGGGGTGCTGTGGTGCTGTCTCCCGTTTCCGTGCTCTTGTCAGTGGGGGCATCGGCGGGAGTAGCTCCGTCGCCAACCACAGACAAGGACTGTGGGCTCATCTGAGAAGTCGCGTCGACGAGATCCAACGGTGTTCCGGCCCCGTTAACGACAACAACACAATCCTCCGTGGTCTCCTCCGTGGTCTCCTCCGTGGTCTCCTCCGTGGTCTCCTCCGTTGACTCGGCTGCCGCCTCGCTTGCCTTTCTTTCTTTCTCCGCCGCTATTCGGAGGGCGCCGCGCGGACTTTCTTCGTCCAATCTCCAGTCCAAGCTGGTTCCCTCGACCACGGCGTTTTTAAACTCGTCCGGATCACGTAGAAATTTTCCAACATTGCCGAGAAGATGGTCGCCGCAACTCCAGCCGTTGTTTTGCCGCGGCACGCAAGCAGGAGGTTGGTCGACAATGCTGGTTGGGGAGAAATACGTCTTCAAGACCGTACGGTACGAATCGTGCCCGCTCGAACCTAGCGGATCAAGAATAGTGAGCTCGAAACTGTTGGCATCGACGGAGCTGCGCCATAGTATCGCGACGAGCCAGTGTATACGGAGGGTGTCGTGGATCGGCACGACAATGTAGTCGTACTCGGTAGGGCTCGCGCGCTTTGTCCACTCGGCGCAAGACTTCTCGTGCCGTAACGCCTCGATAAGGAACGTGTTGTAGAAGAACACTCTTTTAGAGTGCCGTTTACCGAGGACGTGAAGGCCGAAATTGACCATGACGTCGTTCAACCATTGGCCGTCGTCGAGCGTGTTGATGTCATGCGTGGTCGGCACTCCTTTGACGAGCTCGAGGTAGTTGTCTCGGCTTGCCGCGCCGCGAGTCTCGTCGGCCCGGGCGTTGTCGGGGCCGGATACATTCTGCTTCGAAGATGGGTGACTCGAACTGCCGGAAGCTGAAAGATAGATAACGTTAGACTGGGAGCGAAAAGAGAGACAGGCGTGTTAACATACCTTGCTCTGCGAGTGTTTCTGCCGCTTCCTCTGTCTCCTCTGCGGCCGCGTCGTGTTCCACGCCGGCTTTCTCCCCGCGCGATCTTAAAACAGCGGCTTCCACTATCTCCTTGACCTCTGCGACTACTGTCGGCACATTTGTATTGCAACAGACCTGGTGCTGACGTATCGCGACGCTGAATTGGGGCAGACCGGCTAGAATTGCTCGTAGACAAGGGAACATAAGGAAGCTGCTCTCAAGCTTGTCGTGTGTAGAGTCGGGGAGTCCGAGCACTTCCGTCTCCGTGGGCCACATCGGCGGGCTAGGCGCCTTCTTGGAAAGAACGAGGATAGTCCATTGTTCGCGCCGGACGTCACGCCTGACAGCCACGTACCACCAGCCCTTGTGCCGGAAGGGCACAGCGATGGAGTCAAAGAAACTCAATTCCTCGTCGCTGACGGTATAGATTTCTGCAAGACCTTTTTTTGTCGTCGTTGCCTTTCGAAACAGGACCTTTGCCTTGGATTGTTCCACGAGGTGCTGTAGAAAAAGGTTAATGTGTACCTTGGCCAACTTATGGTCGGAGACCTGGGCAATGGGGCTTTCGTCAAGTCGCGCTCTGAAACTCAGCGCCTTGTTTTGTAGCCATTTGCGTTTTCCGACCAACGATCTTTGCAAGAAACCGTGCTTGTCCTCCTCGTAGTCTTCTCGTTTTTCTGACGGCAAATCGGCAATACTTGCCAGCGGCGAAATGTTCGCTTGGCTATCTCCAATTGTCACCAAATGGCAATATTGTAGCGGCAGATGAAGCTCGGACCCGCATTCGACATCACGGTCGTATACAACTCGCCTTGCCAGCGGAGCCACTACCGCCAACTTGAACCGTTTTGACAAAGCGCGCAGTTCGTCGCAGAACCTGGTACCATGGCGGTGCCAGCCGTAGAGCCCAATGCTCTCTATGTCCCATTCTTGCTGAACCCGTCGAAGAGCTGTGCACTTGTATAAAAGAGCCTTGCCTTCTCTTGTGAGTCCGCCTGTTCCGGAAAATAAGAACTCTGTAACGAAAGGCGCGATGTCTGGCGGCAGTACCGAGGAAAGGATTATGTTGCAAACCTCTCGCCCCGTTTGTATAATTTTTTGTTGTCTTACAACTTCCGCAAATGCTTTGGGCCCGAAGATTTTTATGTCGTCGATGCAAAATGGTTCGTTGTTGCAGGAAGAACTATTTTGAACCAAGATGATTTTCCGATTCGCCATATCTACATAGGGGTCAGGAAGGCATTCAGGCTCGGGTTGTGTACAACTTTGTAGAATATATGTACTTACTCGGAAAGTTTCCTGGCAAACAGAAAGGAAAGACAAAGCAAAGAAAAAGAAAGTGTCTGAAATTAAAAAGATGGAGAGGGCGCTGCGAGAGCCATAAGCGTAGAAGTCCAGAAGTGCAAAACTTCGAATGTCGAACAATAGTAAAATAAAAAAAAAGTAGGGAATGGAAGGAACAACGGGGGCTGCCTCAAAACTAATCCGGACACGCCCGAAAACCATGATTTTGCGACTTTCGAAAGTCGCAAAATCATGGTTTTCGGGAACCCACGGATACTATCCACGGACACGAGGACAATGTGACGAGCCGGGGGGGCTGTCTCGGGCTTATCGTACCCAGCCTTAATCGTATCGTGTTTATGATACGGGAAAGTGATTCCCCTCACCCACACCGCCTTGGCCTGCAGCTCCCTGGCGTCTAGAGGATTCACCTCATTGGTGAACTGTTGTGATTGAGACAAGCGAGGTCCGCGCTAGGCTTCTTTCGTCGTCATTGGTATGGTCAATGCCTTCTTTGCCTCGATCAAACAAACAGGTAAACAGGACACACATCTCGGAGCTGAGTGCCTCTTACCACGATATTATCAAGTAATGAGAAAACATACCGATGTAGAAACCGGCTACACAATGAACCTGTTCTGTGGAATGGACACGTCTGGCCTCGGCTTTGAGTGAAAATAGAGGGTGGGATGAGAAACCAAAAAGGCATCGGGTGTTTTGGATATGGTTCTCGTCTCGCGTAATGGTCTCCGTGGTCCTTCGTTTCACTTCTTGTTTATCTCTTCAGAGAGAGTCACGTATCAGCCTTCCCCCTTCCATAATTCGGTGTGCACGCACTTCTTGCAAAATCCGCCCTTTGTACGTCTGTACTTACCGAGGATTTGTCGTAGCCGTACTCACACGCCGGTCGAGAGAGAATTGGTGTGTGTGGGCTGCTGGTCGGTTTCCCAGCGAATCAACCCCAAGAGCGGAGCGACGAAGGCATGAGGAGGATGGAACTGGAGCCGCTCGGCTGCTCTGTACAACCATCCTTGCACATCACTCATTTTATTCTCTCCCACACCCAACACTAATTTAGTGCACAGCCTGTCATGACGGAGACTGGTGATTGGCGGAAACAGTGGGTCTATCCCGGGCAAAGCTTTCATTGGTCTCTTCTCGCTGGGGTCAAACAAATAGCAGCGTCTTTAGAATGCCTAGTATTTTTCGAACCTGTACTTATCCGCACCAAAAGATATGCTACTGTCACTGGATGCGCTCTGGGCCGTCTTGGTCGAGCATGTACGGCATTTTCGGGGTCTCTGGCCCTTCCCATTTTCCTCCAAGCATCATCCAAGCATACAGCCCGACTTCTGTTGGATCCTCGTCGCAACTGACTTATTATTTTCAGCCACCAACTCCAAAACATAAACGAGACCACTCCTCACAAAGTGCGGAACTTTTATTATGCTGCTCTTGTACTTCTGTCTGTTGGAAAGCAGTTTTTTATTGGTTTCTAACAGACGGATAAAGCAACGCCGTGTGTGTCAGCAGTAGGCACGATTGAGGGGGGAGGGACACTCGTGGCCTTAGTCTATTTTCGGTTTAAAAAAAATACAATAGCAGCAGGAAAATACATTTGTACCTACGGACGGACCTGTGCATACAGTACTCGTATGACTGAGTAGTATTTAAACCTGTACTCGACTGTACTGCAAGAAGGTCACGGACGCTAGGCCGTGAGGGACGGTCCGTTAGCATGTTTGCAGGGGCCAGGGAAGAGGACAGTCCGTGTCTGTTTAGATCGTCGTCGAGCCGGCTAACTAGCTTTTCAGCCAACAAAATTCGGAGATGTAGAACTATTCGCTTGCTGATTTATCCGTTCACTATCTTATCGGGCATGACAACGGAGTCCTCGGACGTCTTGTTAGATGGCTGAAAAATTCCCAGGAGTACATAGTTGTGTTTAGGACCCAAGCCAACGCGGGCCGTGCGGCAGCTAGTACTTGGTCTACAGGGGTAATAAATGTTAGTGCGAGTATCTCCTTAGGGCCGAGAATAGGACTTTTTTAGCGGCTTTTTGTCGACTTTCGTTTACATCGCGCTCCCAGAGCACGGACCACGTGACAGGTATCGTGAGCGCGACGCGACAAATAATAGGTACTTGCTACCCCACACTATTTGTATGTAGATACATGTACTAGTGGGGCGAAGACCGTGGTCTAGACCAATAAAATCGCATACACTAAAAAAGTCCTATTCTCGGCCCCAAGGAGATACGTGACAGGGGAGGGGCAAGGGTACTGAAGTTCAGGCCTTTCAGGGCGTTTCTTTTCAAGAGTAAGCAAACACGTCAACAATCAGGTATCTTTTTAACGTTTATTACCCCTGTAGTATGTAGATCGAGCGATACTCGACAGTTCAGCGGCGGACCTATGGACAAGGTGAGGGCCGGCGAGAACGTGGCGGGATGCAAGACAAAAAAGAGAGTACTCGTGCCACGCCCCACCTCTTTTCGGGTTTTGAAAGAGGTGGGGCGTGGCACGAGTATGAGGTCGACATTGGTACCCCGACAGTCCCACCGCCCGCAAAATAGTACTACTCCGTATGTGGCAGGGCGCGTCGCTTTTTAGCGTGTTTCTAGCGATCCACTCCCACAATTACGGTGGAAAATCCGTCACTGTTTTCTTTTCTCCTTCTTCTTCGCGTTTTCGTTTTTTATTCCTGGTTTTGATACATTTTATAAAAATCAAGTATTATACGGTTTCGGGATCTTTGAATTTTTCTCGATTTATTAGTATAAAGGTATAACTTTCTTTTGATATAATTATTTGTAATTATTCGAAAGAAAAATAATTCTCAGAGTACCTCTCGAATAAAAATAAGAAGACCCGCAAATGCCTGCCCCACGCACCAGAACTTCGGTCGGTAACTGTCGTACTGTGGTGCGCGGATCACGCGGCTTTTCTGGTGCGTGGGAGACGTCTCACGAAGGTTAACAAAACCTCACTTTCTCCTTAAAGCATGCTCATTAGTCGTCAGGTTGTATTACGGGCACACGCCGAGGATTATTATGACGCCCTCTTTATCGCCGGCCAAGTGACCGATTTCAACATCACCCGCCATCTTCCAATGGGGGGAGAAGGAAGTCGCAAAAAAAAGAAATGAAATTCGAAGAAAGCTATTAACGGACAACAAGCGAAGAATTAGGTAGGGTAAAAGAAAAAAAATCATCAAAGACAGAACCGTCCTATCGCTTCTCAGCCCCGGCGCTTATCCCCGCCTAAACAAATTTCCCACCGTCTATAGTACAAGACGAGGCAAAAGCGTGTTCGTCTTACTGTATCCATATACTCTCGTTCGCGCACCAGAAAAGCAGACCATTGACTCCAGACGGCCTTTACATCTAGCTGCGATCGAGTCTGGCGCTTCCGTCCCAGCCACTTCGCGATCTTGGGCCAGCACGTGACAAGACAGCTCACGCGGCCCAGTTGATTTTTTTTCTTTGTCGAAGTCTCCGTCATTAAATCTGTTCTTTTTTTTGTTCCCCCCCCCTCTTTCTATCTTCCCCATTCAAAACACTATAAGAAGAGTGGCCTGTCGCCTCAACAAAGTCCTTCGATGGACCGAGTAAGCCGGTCTCGTCCACCGGCGGCATCGTCATCCGCTCTTGGAAAACGATCCCGGGACACCACAGACCACCAGGTATTGAAGCCGCCGAAACATCCGAGGCTCGTTGGCCCTTCCAGCGAATCGAAAGCTGCGGCTCCATCGACGCAGCATACGGGTGCCTCTGCCACCGTGAGCATTGGGGCGACTCTGGGCCGATGTCTGTGGCCCTTCGCCATTTTGTATTCAGGCATACATTTTGTTAACATCTTAGATACAGTTACGCGGCAACTAGGGCAGGGAGCATCTGGCATCGTCGTGGAGGCCAAGAGAAAGAGGCGCGTTGTCGCGATCAAACTCTTTGCGAAGGGCGACGAGGCGGCCAAAAACGAGCGGAAGATGCTGCAAAGGTTACGAGAGAACGACGGAGAGAAGCAGGGCAAGTGTATCCGCTTGCTTGACTACTTTCGACATGACGGTGTTGACTGCATCGTCATGCCTTGCTGCCCCATAAGCCTCTCTCGATTTCTCACAGAGAACGGCGGGATGCCTTTTCCAATGAGCCACATCCAGAGTGTTGCTCGCCAGCTGCTGGCGGCCACCTCCTGTAAGTCCACTGCGACCACACAGCCCCGGAGCAGGAAAGTCCTCTGACCCGACAGTCCTACAAACATTGACGATGATCCACACCAACATAAAACCGGACAACATACTCTTATGCAACGACGCATACCAGACATTCGTGTACAAGCGGCAACACCAACGGCGTGTGCTGTACAGCACTGAGATTCGCTTGGCTGATTTCGGCTCGTCGGCTGTCGAAAAAGACACACGTACGAAGCTCGTGACGACGTGCTACTATCGAGCTCCCGAAGTTATCTTAGGTCGGCGCTGGTCGTATGCAATCGACGTGTGGAGTGTAGGTTGTGTTCTTGCCGAACTTTTCAAGGGAACTTTGCTCTTTCAAAGAAGCGATGGCGGGAAAGGAGACTGGGAGCATCTGGCCATGATACGGAGATTCACAGGTTGTGGCATTGCGGTGCCGTCAAAGAGCCCATTCTCTAGAGATATAAAGCGCGTAGAAGTAAGTTTTTAAGGCCACCTGCCGCGGCCTTTCTACTTGACTGACACCTACAGGATATGATCCCCAATACGGGGTTTTCCGACCTTCTATGCAGGATGTTTATTTACGACCCTGAGCAGCGTATCACCGCCAAAGACGCTTTAGAACACGAATGGTTTAGGACCGCTCTTCCTCCCGATGATGGCGCGCATCTGTAATGTCCCTTGGACCTCCTCGAGTTCCGCCGTCAAGGACAGTAATACTCTCCTGCGGTCGACGATGTTTCGGTCAGACCGGGTCGCGTAGGGTCTACGAAAATGGAGGCAGGAGTTGCACGATAGGGGCCGCAGGAAAGAACAGATGATCGAACTGGAAAGAAAGCAGGAAAGGACCTTAAGCAGTGTATCCCGGCTTGGCCGTACGAGTGAAGTTGTGATGCTAGTTGCCCGTTTCTCCCAGAAATCGACAGTGCCCGGCAAATAGCGCGGTGGGGAGAAGGCGTTTACCTGCACTTGCACATAGCTGTATTCGACTGAGCATTTTTTTTGAATCTGTACGCGCTCGCACTGGGGCCAGATGCCACAGTTGCTAGGTCCGCTTTGGGCCGTCTCCCAACGACGCATTGACACGTTCACGGGGTACAGCCGAAGCTTAGAGGGCACTAACACAGAAAGCGCCAAACGCCAGAGCTCGGGTACATGCATGCTATAATTCGGCTAATGTTATATTCTTGAAGGTAGCTACAGTAGGCTGGTTTTAAAAGTTGTTTTAGACCGAGGAATATGAACTGTCTGTTTTCTTCTTCTTTATTTTTTACTCCGTCTTTCATATCGGTTATCGCCCTATTTCCCACGCGACACATCTAGACAAAGTCCAGCCTCATCTAAAATGGCGTTGCCCATTGTCGATTTCGTTGTTTGTCCCGTTGGTTCACAGTCGATTTATTCCTCGGTTGATGGCGGACAGGGTCCAGCGAGTTTCAATATCCTCCCACCCACGATCCAAACAATCGTCGAAGAAGAGTCGATAAATATGGCTGCTGCATTCGTGGTCTTCGGTCAACACTCAAGGACTACCGTCAAAGGGGAGGGTAACAACGCCTTCCATCTGTAAGTAGTTTATCATCACGGGATGTATTTCTGACGGCATCACTGACAGAACAACGTATAGCTTCCTCTCTTGCTGGGCCAGCCCCAGGCATCGGGCTATTTTTTTTCAGCAAAGTGCAAAGCAACTACATCCTTTCTTCGCGTCCCTCATGACCCAAAGTCTCGTCTCGATAACTCCCTCGCCCGGCCAGTTTCAAATACAGCATGATCCAGCCTATCTCACATCGATTTATGAATTGGTTATGTCTGAAAAAGTCAATGGAGGATTGACTTTTCGTGAACATCTATCTGGCAACCAGCGTGATGGGTTTGCCGGCTAGGATGGGAAAAAAGGAGCAGAGGTCGCATCAAGACACCGACACCGACCTGCCCCTTCCAGAACGCGCCAGGCTTAGGCTTAGAGATGTCGTGCAGCAGGATATTTGACAAGATGTACTTAAGACAGGCCTGGGTAATGTGTCTAGCTCGTCCGTGTTGAATCCAAGTTTATTTCTTTCGCCTCTTTCAGCACAACGATAAATATACGCGCGTGTATCCAGTATAACACAAAAGCTCACGGGTGACACTGCCGAGCCACCATTCATCGATCGTGGCAGGATTGTGAATCCGTCAAGGCAAGCGCCCAAAGTACGTCTACACAATCGCTTTCCAAGGCTTCTCCACCAGCTATTTAGTCACGGAAGAAATTAATAAAGAGCAGGTTGCCTTTATATTTTGCTGGGAAACAGGGCAGAGTACATAAAATACAATACATATTACTCCTTTCCGTCTTTCTTGCCATAGTTCCCGCGTGCGACGAAACCATGCTGATAACAGCGACTGAACCAGCGGCGACTGGACAGTCAAGGAACCGAGACGTTCAGAAGAAGCCGACCACGGAAAGCTATATTATGCCCGAGCAATTGATAGAAGGTCTGGCATTTCTTTTGGCCGTGTTAGCTTCCGTCCGCGTGTTGTGTCGTAACAGCCACGGCCTTGGTTTGCGCCAACAACAACATCGGGGGCCATGGTCATTGCCGTGTGCATGTTGTAACACAGCTGAATGTGCATACTATGACACAGCTGAAAGTGCAAAATTAGTAAAGTACACCACGAAAAGACGCAGAAGGGAGCACTAGGAGGCAGGCAAAGTGCATTAGGGCAGTGTTTCTGGGGAGCCACTGCTTTAGCGGTTGTATGCAGCTTTTTTTTATTCTTACTTACTGCCTTGTGTAAACGCTGTCAATTATTGTAAAGGAGGAACGGGTGGAAAGTGTAAGAAGGAAAGGAGGGGAAGAGATGAATTGGGGCGGTGGTAAGACAAATAATAAAAAAAGAATAGAAAGAAAAAAGAATAGAAAAAAAAGAATAAGAAAAGAAAACTAGAAAAAGAAAACGAAAAGAATTAGAGGGCATCTTATTCTCTTTTCTCCTTATTCTCCTTCCCCTTTTCCCCCTCTTTTTTATTATTTTCTCATATTCTTTCTATTTTCCTATCTTAATTTATTTTTTCGTTTCTTCTTCTATGTTATATCTCGCTCGCCTACGTTATCTTCGTTGTCGCACCTTTTTATTTTTTTCTTTTCTTTTCATGTCCCACTTTCCTCGACTTCCCCTCCTCCTTCCTCTTCCCTTCCATCTCTCCCACATCCCACTTCGCCTCTACGCACGCTTAAAGTGTTATCTTTAAGAACCTTTTTTCTTTTATCTCGTTTCGAGGTCTTATATTTTGTAAGAATCTCCCTTCCGTCCTGCCATCCCACTTCTCTGGACCTTTACATCTCGTCTCCAGCGTCTCTGCGCTGTTGCTGATCGCTCCCCGTCGCGCCCTCTACTCTGCTCTGGCCCCAGCTTCTTTCAGGGCCTGTCAACACCCGCCCAACATCATGGCTCCGCCGGTGAGCCGATCCTGGCCGGAGGCCATCGTCTACGGCCTCGAGTTTTAGTATAGCGTTGTGTTGCTCGCAGTCTTCGTGGTAACCATTGTAGTCAACAGTATCTTTGACCTTCGCCGCTCAACTCAATTCATTCAACCAACGACAGCCGGCCCTAACGGCCGCCCACTTCCCTTAACGCGTCGAAAATCGTAGGATTCCGGCCCCTTCACTTTCCCGCCCACTCCCGAAATCAGCAAAGCCACCAGTCGTATCTATGGGGTCCTTTATACCCTACTCGTCTCGTCGTTTACCACCGACTGTATCAGCGTGATTTCGTATACCGTCTACGACACGAAAAATCCAAAGACCCAGTTCGGGTGGTGGTGTAGTAAAGAGACGTTTATATATTACTAACCCGCCCCTTTCCTCCGTCCGTTATAACCTATTTGTTTCTAACTAGGCAATTTGCCGCCTCCTCGCGGCTACGAGAAACGGTGGGGCCTACCTTGTGTTTTTATATTCATAAAGGCTCACAGTTTTCCACCTCTAGGTCTACTACGTCTCCGGCCTCTTCATACACCTCTACGTCACAATATACCTCCTCGAAGGTGACCCGACTCCGAATCGACCTGTCGTTGTGATCTGGGCCGTTACGCTGGTTTTGGAAATCTCGATTTTTACCGTCAATGTCATTCGCCTGACTGACCGCCACCAAGTTCTACGCAACATTGTCCCAGGCGTATGGACGATCGCTTACGGACCTGATACGTGGGACTATGTCGACATTTCGATTAACGCGTTCCGACTTATCGTTCTCCTGTTCCTCCTTGGCGTTCATACCTTGATTGCATATTCACGAAGCAACGTCCGCGAAAAGTCAAACGACGACGATTCAGAAACAGCCCAGTCGGACGAGACAATGCCACTTTTAGGAGCGACCGACGGGCCGGCCAACGGGTCTGCCAACGGAACGACCAAGAGACCGTCTAGGGATTCTACAGAAAGCTCCGCCAACGGTTCTAGCAGCTCCTCCGAGACCCTAGTAGACGGTACCACGCCCGGCGCTTCACCAGCCGAAGAGACCGCCTTTTATCGGCCACGAAAGCTTCCCCACAAGACTTGGTGGGAATACTTGACCAGTTACTCATTATTCTTCCCTTATCTCTGGCCAAGGGACTCAGCAAGGTTGAAACGCGTCGTTGTCGTATGTTTCCTGATCCTCATTGTTCAGCGTATTGTGAACTTCTTGGTTCCTAACCAAATTGGCCACATCACCGATGCCTTTGAAGCTGGGACGGGAATGCCGTGGGTTGAGATCTTGATCTTTATCTTTTACAAGGTCTTGTAGGGACAATCTGGCGTGTTGGGATCGACGCGTGCTTTGCTTTGGATCCCGGTATCCTAGTATTCGTACTTGGCTCTCACCACAGCGGCCTTTAAACACGTTCACTCGTTGTCTCTGGACTTTCACCTCGGTAAGCGAACTGACGAGGTCCTGTCTGCCCTTAATAAGGGCGCCGTTATCAACTCTTTTTTAGAGCAGGTCACCTTTTAGGTGTTTCTTATGCTTATTGATCTTTTAGTCGCCGTTATCTACTTCTTACTTCGATTCGGCCTTATTTACGCGACGATTACGGTAGTTATCACCGTTTTCTACCTTTATATGACTGTAAAGATGGCCGCCACTCACGTCGACCTCCGGCGTGACATGGTTAACGTAAATAAAGAAGAGGAAGCGGTGAAAAACGACTCTATTATAAGTTACGAAACGGTTAAATATTTTAACGTAGAAGCCTTCGAGTTTAACCGACACCGAAAGTTAGTCCGTAGTTTTTAGGTTACCGAGGCGAAGGTGACTTAGGGTATAAATAATATAAATATTTATTAAGTACTCGTTTTTATGTGTGGTATTTTGGTCGTGCTTTTAGTTGTAGCTATCGAGGTTACTTAAGGTATAAGGTTTATCGACGACTTTGTCGTTTTAATTATATACTTAAGGTAACTTTAAGGGCCGTTTTAGTTCTTTAGTTCTTTCTACCGGACTATTTAGTAGGCCTTGATTTTAAACGAGCGTTTTTTAAAGTTGTTTAAGATTTAACCTACGGTTATTAACCGACTGGACACGAAAGAGTTACTTAAATACGACGGTTATATTCGTTAAACGAATATAAAGTTCTTTTATAAAGAACGTATTACTTTATATAATCTTTTCTTCGAATACTTACCGGGTACTACGACTATTTTTATTAACGAGTCTAGTAACGGAAAGTCAACAATCTTCCGTTTTATATTCCGTTACTACAACTATAAGGGCGGTACAGTCGAGATTAACGACCAAAATGTCTAAGACTTAACTATAGACTCCGTCCGACGCCATATTAAGGTTGTTCCCTAGGACCCCATTTTGTTTAACGAAACGATCATATACAACCTCAAGTACGCGAACCCCGGCGTCTCTAACGAAGAGGTGTATAAGGTATGCCGGGCTACAAGCATCCACGACCGTATTCTCTCCTTTGTTAAAGGTTACGAAACCAAGGTCGGTGACCGTGGTACGTGTTTGAGCGGCGGTGAGAAGTAGCGCGTGGCGATTGCTCGTGCCATCCTGAAGAACCCGAAGGTTATCATGCTCGACGAGGCTACGTCGGCTCTGGACAGCGAGACCGAGTAGCAGATTCAGGCAAAGCTTATCCGTGGCGGAAGCCTCGGCCAAGACCGCACGCTCCTTATTATTGCGTATGTTTGTAATCCTTCCATTTCCCGCTTTTTAATTCTTTACTTATACTAACATTGGTTTTACTCTAGACACCGTCTGTCAACTATCACACATGCCGATCAAATTATCGTTCTCCAGTCTGGCACAATTATCGAAAGGGGAACACACACTGAACTTCTTGCGATGAAGGGCCGGTACGCCTCCATGTGGGAGAGCCAGTCCCAACAAGCAACGGTCGCGGCCCGTGCCGAGTTTTCGAATGGCGACCATCAACAGTAACAACAGTTGCCTCCCGATCCTCCTTAAGGACGGTATCACGAACCTGCTTAATTTATACGTTTTTTTATTTAGTTCCTTGGTTCCTTTAAGAGAAGAGTCGTTTTAGCATTGTTTTCTGTTATGTCCATAATCTCACCAGATTGGCATTACTTTTTTTGTCTAATCTTTTTAGCTCGCCTCTTTTGTAGGAGTTTCTCGCCGTTGCCTACGGACGCTCTTTCTTATTTGTATTTCGCGCCTGCTTTAATTAAACATTGAGAAAACTATGTTAGTACGTAAAAGTTACAGATCGTGTTGTATTTGTGAGAAATTAGAAGAAGGAGAGAAAAAGAAGAAAAAGAGACATTGTTATTATTATATATTATTAAAAACAGATAAAAGAAAGGAAAATAAAATGAACGAGAAAAAATAAAAGGAAATAACATCGCCGTCACTAGGTCTAGACCCAGCGTTATGTATATTCTATTGCGTAGACCTTGCTAATAGTGCGAGTCAGATCCTTAATGTGTGTCGGCTCAAACTATCCCAGATTGTTTTCCATATAATCGGACAGGACGAAAGCAGCGCGTTCTGTGTCCTCCCCGGTAGGCGTGGGAACACCCTGACTTGTCATGACGGTATCGTACAATTTGTTGCTACGGTTGACTAGTGGTGACGGCAAGCCGGTGCACTCCGGAAAGACGGGTGATGGCGAATTGTAAGCCTCGCATCGCTCTGGAAAGGTGCTGGATAGGTATTCTTCCGACAAGGATGGCACGGTATGTGAAGTCACATACTGGTTGTTGTTGCTACCCACCACCGAGCCTAACTCAGAGGTGGGCAGGATGATAACGTCGGGCTGGCCAAGCGACGGGTTTGTAGAAGGCAGTAAATAGGTTTGAAGCCTAGCCGCTCTCTCAGTGGTGCCGCGTCTCACATCTCTTGCTGTCGTGGTTTCACATACTCGGTCCAACACGGCGTCCGCTGTACGGCCGTTAAGGTGGGACCCGGCGGGCGGCAACTGAGCACCACCAGAAAAACTCTGGTTTTGTGTGCACGAGACGAAGGAGCGGCGAGAGTGGCGCATCTTATGGCGTAATAGAAGGTCGGCGCGGACAAAGATGCAGCTGCAGCCGACGACATCGCACACGAAGATATCTTTCGGGTTGTCTGCTGTGTGTGCTGTGTGAGTATAGAAGGCCAGTGTAATGGCAGGTGAGAAACAGAGTCCGGAGCCTACGGTTTAGCTGGTGGCGCTGGAGATGCTCATTGCGCGTGTAGGCCTTGCCACAGGAGGGAAAGCGGCAGTAAAAACGCTGGGGTGCGCCCTTGCGGCTGGCGCGCTTGTAGGCGGCGGCGCCCGAGCCGGAGCGTGGCATCTGCCGATGGCCGTGAAAGCCGAACATTTGAACAGATGGCGGTCCAAGGTGTAGCGTATGTTCGAGGGGTTATTCGACGGCAGTGTTTGGAGCCGGAGGATTCATAAGGAACAGAAGCTGCGAAAGTAAGGAGAGTAAGAGAGTCCAGTAACAGAGGCCAATAAGGGAGCTCATTAACAGGCACAGTAATATAGAAGAAAAGAAACAAAAAGGAGAAAAGGAGAAAAGGAGAAAAGGAGAAACGTCGCCTTTGTTTGAGAAAGAATACGACAAGAGCAGAAGGGGAAAGGCGACAGGGAGAAATGGGGGCTGGAAAGAGAGGGAAACATTTGTTCCGGGCTAACCTCGCCTGTGTGTCGACTTTCCTATGTGCACGCGTCCTCTCGCTCTTTACATATCCCTCGTTCTATTCTCGCCCTCGCCCACACTCCCAGGCACTGATAAGTGAGGCTGCTTTGCTCTTTCTTCTGGAGAAGGCCGGCCCTCCCACTTTCTGCGTTTCTCGCTGGGTTCTGTTCTCTCGTCCATAACCTCTTCCTCTGTGTGTGGACGCCGTCTACAGCTTCATTCCATATCCCCCAGGGCTGTGTGCACTGGACGAGCTAAATCAACTCGTCGACAACAGACTAGTCTAGACCCGCATAGGCCATACTCACCCGACGCACCTGCGCGGGAATGGCAGGTACTGGTACCGCTGCGGCTGATTGTGGTTGTTGGGCAACACGCTGGCAGGAGCAGGGGCTGGGCCAAGGGCTGTTCACGCCTTCACACATACACTCCATCACATCTTCTTCCCCATCTTTTTATTATTTTGAAAGACGCCCTGACTCCCTTTATACACGAACCATACAACAATACTACGACTGGGACAACAGCAGGTGCACCAGGCCTAATTCTTGCTCTCCTCAATCCCATGACTCGGCGCCATCGTCAAAACCACCCAGACCACCTCCTCTGTACCGCAGCCATGTCGAACGGGCGTCCGAGCAACCCAGAGCCGCGCTTGCTGCTACAACATCATTCTGAGCAACGGCAAAGGCAGTCGCCGACAACGGACACCTACCATCAGTACCAGCGTCCCCCCCCACCGCCTCCCCAGTGCAACACGGACTACGGAAACAGCGACCACGAATCAGCAGCGTCAACCCGCGGTGCTCACGGTCAACAGCAGCAACCGCCATCTACCCCGTCGCAGCACATGGACGATAGCCAGCAACATAGAGGGTTTGGAGCCGTAGCCCACCCTGTGCAGGCGCACTACCACCCACAGGCGCCGCAGCCACCTCCTCACAGGCGGCAGGACGTACCGCCACCGCTGCCGCAGCAGCTACACCCTCACGGGCAGCTACATCCTCACGGGCAGCCGTACTACCCCCAGCAGCCACCGCAGCCACCTCCTCACGGGCAGCAGGACGTGCCACCGCTGCCGCAGCAGCTACATCCTCACGGGCAGCAGCACTACCCCCAACAGCCGCCGCAGCCTCAGGATGTACCGCCGCCGCCGCCGCAGCCTCACGGGTATTCGCACACCGACACGTATAGCATGCCCCCGGTTATCTACCCGAACAAAAAAAAGACGCCACGGGCGTCTCTGGCCTGCGATAGTTGCCGGGAGCTGAAGGCCAGGTGCGACGAGGGGAAGCCGTGTAAGAGCTGCCGGGATAGGGAAATAGAGTGCACATACCGGAAACCGGTACCGTAAGTGAAAGACAACGGATGACAAAATCGAGTCAGATCGTCCTTGTCCGAGCTAACGAATTTCTTGTTTAGACCATCTGCCACTATCGAACAATTATGCACAAAGACGACAATATTGCAGGAGACGGTGCAAAACCTCACGCAGAAATCACACACAGATAATGAAAAATTGCAGGGGGTGGTGCAGCAACTCGCGCGGCAGCAGACGCGCGCCGACATTCTAATATTATCCATGATTGCCGGGTCGCCAGGCGGCACAGTCTGTCTGGGCACCCCGTCATTAGCCGTGTTGTTATCGTGGCCAACAATCTCCGAAAGCGTGCAGTGCCTGCTCGCAGCCGAGGGCATCCGCTTCCCGCTCGAGTACCCGAAACTACAAGAGCGGCAGCGCCGCAACATCTGCTGGCACGGTCGCTGCGAGAACATCATAGGACCCAGTCCGTTCACCGACGTCGAGCTTATCAAGGACACACCCTTCCAGCCCAACGGCGACCTCGACCTCCACGCGGACACGGTGTGGAAATACGTCAACAGCTACGAGGACAACATACAAAACATGTACCCTTTAATCATCCCCAACAAGCTGCGCGTTATGGTTGCGATGGTCCTCGAAACCGCGTCGAAGGCGTCCACCACTAAGACCGGCCGGGCCCGGGGTCAAGCAGCCTCGCTCGAGCGGCCACAGTCCCAAACAGCCGAGAATACATTGAAGCGGAAGCGTGAGTCGGAACAAGGCAGCGGCGACGGCACCCTCGCCGCACCGTCGGGGCCTCGTCTCGGCCAGACGTCCTGCAGCATTGAGAGTGCGCTCGTCCTCATGGTCCTAGCGCTCGGCAAGATTTGTCTGCACAAGCGCGGGTACACCCCGGCGGTTCCCAGCACCTCGGCTACAGAGACGCGCGACATCGACAAGGACATTGGCCGGGACTACTTTACAGCAGCGATTAATATCTTCGGCGCTCTCCCAGACACCAAGCTCGAGCACGTGTGGGTTTGCATCCTTGGCAGTCTCTATTACGACCAGCTAGGGCGGCCGATCCAGAGCCTGGAGCTGGTAACCGGCGCGGGCCGCTATCTGCAGGACATCATCCGACCTGACCTGGAGCGCTACAAAGAAATGCGCGCCGACGTGGAGCAACAACACGACAACAGAGACACTGCGACGCGCGTGGCCGACAACCAAAACTTGGTTGCAGCTTGGACGTGCATGATGCAAGAGAGTGGCATCTTGGCCGAGTTGCAACAGACGCCGTCCAACATGCTCTCCTTCGAGCAGCAGCTGCCGTACGCGTGGGTGGCTCAAGGCTTCGACTATTACGTACTTGAGGCGTTCGCCTCACAGATACACCTATACGTCCTCGCCAAGCTGATCCACAGCAGCGTGTCTGACGACCGCCAGGGCCAGGCCAAACACCGTATCATCATTGCTTGCATTGCTGTGTTACGGAGACACGCATCGCCCAACCCCGCGTTCCAAAACGGCCCACTCTTTAACCACAACCTGCCGGCGACTGATATCTTGGCTGCGCGCCTGCGCGCCACATACTGGCGCGCGCAGGTCACTGTGCACCGCAGTTTTATTCAGCACATCCTCGCGTTTAACCACAAAAAGCAAGTGCGCAAGGAGATGTCGGAGGAAGCCTTAAAGGACGACATGGAGCGGCTTGATGAACTCGCCGAAGAAGCCGAAGCTGTCAATGGGCTCACCTTGGAGCTGGCGAAGCGCGGCATCGAGGCGCTCGTTCAAAGTACACGCGCCTTCCATAACCTGCCGGACCAGCGATTCGTCATCACCAACGTGTTCGGCACCGCGCACGCACAGTGGGGTAACCTTCTCATACTGGACTCCGTCCAGCGCGACCCCGATCTTGGTCGCTTCATCGACAATGCCACGGTCAACGACCTCTTCCTTAAAACCATTGCTTTTTTAGAACGCGTCGCAGAGCCCGCCAGCTCCCTCAGCTGTGACCTGCACATCCTGAGAGGCTTGTTGAAAAAGAAAGACGGCAATAGAAGGGGCGAGGTCGAGGCCGACCCCCTGATGCCAAAATGGTAGATGCTGGTGGCATTCTTTAGCGGGGAGACAGAAACGACGATAACAGCGACACGATTGGCTTTGAAGAGGAAGATGGCATGGTTGTCGAAGTGAATCTCCTAACAGGGACGGGGACCGTCTCTCGCGTCGCCCAAGAAGAGGAACAGCAGCCTCCCTAAAACACAGTATTGGAGAGTGCGCGGAGCATCTTAGTCTAGTTTTTTCGTCGTTGGGGTTAAAGGGCTACCTTTAATTTTATTATTTTATCATACACCATGCGTACCACCTTTTAAAAAGCCTGAAAATTACAGCTTTAAAATTGAAAGTCCATAAAATTCCATCGCCCTCCCTCACCCGACCTCGTTTTACGGCGTCTCGATCAGGGCACTGCCTTACTTTCCGCCCCACCGATGTACTTCCACTAGAAGCCTGAATAAACGCTACTCAGTGCCAAGAGTTCGTCGTGCGAGTCCGTTTCGGCAATTTCAGCACCGTTGCCTGTCTGTCTTTCAAATAGCGACGATCTTGTGGGCATCGCGGACGGAAGCTAGCTGGTGCCTCGCAAGGGGACGTTCGTGTAATAGCCTTGCAAATTGCCGGGTTCCGTTGGACGCAGGATACTCGTGGATAGAAACCGATCGTGTTGTCGAGTAGGCGATGGAGTGTCAAAACCCGTCTAGGAAAACATTAGAATGGAAGATAAGCTGACGATACGGAGGTATACATACAGTTTCCAAAAACGGCTTGGAAGGAAGGTAAGGTCTGTCCACCCTTGGACTTAAGGCTTGGGGCAGTCGCGGAGACAGCGGATGTGTTTGTGGCTGGGGTGGCTGGGGTGTACAGAGGTCTTTGTGTCCCAAAAAAATTGAATGGATCTATCCAGCGTTCTGTCGACAGCGAGCTGGCCATGATGTAATGTGTCCGGATTAATAAATGGATGGCGACGGGAGAATGCAGTAGCGGGCGACATCACATCCCTCTTTGCTGGCCAGGAGGTTGAAGGAAAAGAGCAATGCTATATGCAACATGAGGCCGACAAGGCGGAAGGGTTTGTTGATAAAATAGAAGAAAAAAGGGAGTAACAAGATGTACACCGCTCCCTCTGGTGCCTTCTCCGGACTACGTTTCTTTGACGCCTTTATTGACGCCTTTCCGGGCGTAGAAAGGTAGAAATAAAATGAAATACGATGAAAAGACATAGCATTGATGCCTAGCTTTGGTCGCCTTACTTTCTGCGAACCGCCAGCGGCAGATTTAGACGAAGCTGCCTGTTCGTCTCCCGCCGCTCAGAACCGCTACGCCCAGGAAGGGTCACATTCGACATATCCCCCCTTGTCTGTACCTGTGGTCGCCTGTCCTTTTGGTTGGGTGTCACTGTGACACGAGTGGAATTTTTCAGGGACCGCTATTCATGGACAGCTTTTCATCGTCAACGCGTCCGTATCGCACGATGTGCGCCTTGGCCGCGTGCACCCACCGCCGTGTGTTGTCAGCCGAAAGGCTAGTCAGTTGCCTCGTGTGTGACGTAGTCATTGGTGGTGGGTTTGACCCAACCAGGCTGGGTGGGATACGTCTTGACTCGTTGAGAATAAAAGGAGGGCTGGGTATGTGTCACAGTTCTCTCCTGTAATTGTCGCCGGAAAGAAGAGGGAAATATGCGCCGTGACGCCGAAAAGAGAAATGCACTTCATGTCCGTTGGCGTCGGGCACGCAGCTAAAACCCAACCAATACTACGCATTTCCGCGAACACCAGCTGTGACCGAGTCTAGCAAACAAAATTCAGCATGAAAGACAAACAAGTAGTAGTCACAGGGGAAGGGGCGACGCGCTGCTCATATCGTAATTTGACGGCGTGCTTTAAGCCTCAAGTCCGCAAAAATGCGAACTGTAGGTGCGTGCAGATGCGAGCAGGTGGAAACACACCCCACCAAGGCGTCCACAAACTTCTACGGGATCCTGTCCGTACAAGAGATGATGTCGAGCTATGACCAGTCCCGAAGGGGTTTGAGGCCCTTTCTTCCATCAGCATCATAACAATGTGCAAGACAAACAAAGAGAGGAGCGTAGAACAATAAGGGTGGCATAGAGAGAAAGCGGAGAGGATGCATGACTCGTTCGGCGAGAAAGAGGCGAACAAGAAGGGCGAAAGTGTCAATATCGAGTAGCCGGCTCCGCGAGGTACTTCACTGTCGACGAAAACGATCTTATGGTGTTGGACCCGAGATCGCCTTGAAAGCCGAAGCGGCGAAACGAGGGGGCTGTGTCGAACAAAGGGCAGAACAAAAGGACGGAGAGGATCGAATGCCCCTCAAAATACAGGGCAAAGACAGAGGTCTTTGAAAACACTGTGCAGCGAAACAGTCGTCTGGACGGTTCAGGACCCTGTCACTTCGTATTTCTTTGGCTGGACCGCGCAGTGTGCCCGCCTTGTTTCTTCCTTCCCGTATGGGAAAGGGCTGCCCATGCTCTGCCTTGTCGCCTTTTCTGGCGCCTGGCCGGCACTCGACCATATTAGGGAAGGCACCCGCGGCTGTACGTGTCTTGGCATCGTGCAGCAATAAAGGCGACCAACATACACAACGCAAGGCGCGATACGTGGGCCTCTATGGTTGTAACTGGGTTCGCATGTATTTAGCTACGGCTTCCGTTGTGCTCTTTCCGTTGTGTTTTATGTAGTTTCGCTAACAAATGTGGCATGGCGTATCCTTTTATTCCACCATTCGACCTCGCACCAGCGCAGTAGGCCCCAATGCGAGGGATGGTCCCTGGCTGCGGACAAGTGGGCGAACCTGCGTCTCAAGTTCGCAAAGCTGTGCGAACCACCACCTACGTGACGAACAACAAACCTACGGCATATAATAGGTCTGCTTCGGCACCGCCAGTCTTGTTGTTTCTTGAAACTGTCTCGTTACATCAATCTCCTCTTCTGCGTTGCCTCGTCTGATAGGGGACGTCCCGTTTTCTCTCCAACGAAACCTGCCTCATCTGTCGAATCCATGCCAGAGGTTGGGATTCGCCATCTTGTTGTCACGGCCCAATTTTCTCATCAGACACGACAGCCTCGTTAAAAGTATTCCCTTGGGCTATTCATTATTGCCGTCCTGCTTATCGCTTGTCCTTTATTTTATCCTTTATCCTTTCGACCTATTTTATCGACTAACCGGTTGGCTTTTCCCGGCACCCATTACACCACCCAGCGCAAAAGTCCACCACGGTAAAACCGGAGAAGATGGGGGAAATGGGGTGCTGCCAGTCGTCTACGAAAGGCAGCTCCTCGCCTCTTGACGCCCGGGATCCGGCACAGAGTCCGCTACCGACGGAGTCCGGGACACGCGAAGCGCGGCAGCAACAGCAGCAACAGCAACAAGGGCCACTCTCAGGGGATCCAGCTCGTTCACCTGGCAGGTAAACTCTATCTTTTCTTCCTCCCCCCCTCGCCCCGGCGGAGGACGCAGCCTTATCGCTTTCTATTCCCGTGTATGGCCCATCGTGTATTGAAGATATTCTCTCCATATCCTCCTCTTCCTCCTCTTTCTCCCCTACTATCATCTAGTATTAACGCATTTTCTCCCGTCTCTACGGGAAGAGGGCGTCAAGTACCGCCTCGCAGTCATCGAAGAAGCCGAAACTATCGCCACCGTCGTCAATTACATCTGCAGCGCGAGAAACAGGCGTTTGTCCCGCTGTTGACCCTCAGGCTGCCTCTTTATGCAGGGGGTTATGAGTCACAGCCTAATAACACCTCAATAAAGTTGTTGTGAGTCATTTAGTTACGGCTTTCTGACATGCAGTTAAGCGTGCCACGCAAACTGGTTGAAGCCTGGGTGGTGTGGCTGTGCCAGCTAAGATGGGAAAGTCATAGGGGCACAGTGGGCACAGGGAGCACAGGAGAGCACAGGGGAGCACAGGGGAGCACATCCGCTAAGCAGGTTGGAGCAGGCACGGCACAGGCGCACGTCCAAAGAAGGAAATTCCCAATGAGGTTTTTCGGGTGGTATATTGGGCTGTTATCAAACATCCAAACATTTAAACTACAATACAGTAAGCTGCGTGAACTTGAGCAAAACTTTACGGCGAAAACGCTTCATGCGGAGCTCGCCGTTTTCATTCCACATTGACATATGTCGACCAACGGCAGTGAATCCTGGGGCATTGGGGGTGGAGGATCCTATCATAGGTCGAGATAAGGTTTGTGATAGGAATTATCTGGGACCAGGGCGCTCGGCCGAGGCGTGCGGGGGTTCACGCTACATGTTGATGCCCGGAATGAACGAGTACCACTGTGACATGGAAGTCGGGACTGGGTATCGCCGTCCGGGTATTGGTCGAAAGGCAAGGGGAGGGAGACAAGTCTCGTTTCTTTACGTGATAAATATAAACAGAGATGGGAAACACTTGGGCGACGGCAACAAACAATAATTTACCTGTAATTTGCCCAAATATACTATAGACCAACAGCGCTATTTCAATCACGATACCACTGGTTACTATCCACAATGTCGCCGAGTGCTCTCAGACCCGAGCCGGGGTTCACGGTGGTGCCGATGAAGAAAACGGGCGACGACAAGACCAACTTTGGCGCCGTGGTTGACGGCCTGGACTTGAACGACATCAGCGGTGCGTCTGTCCCTGTTGTTGCTTTTCTTTTATGCCGCGGGTGTATGACTGCACGTGCCTTGCCTCCTTTACTAACCTCCCCTGCGGTCAAGATGACGACGTCCAGGCGCTGTCGGACGCCATTTGGACGCACAAGGTGGTGGTCGTCAGGGGCCAGCAGGACCTCCATCCGCAGAAGCAGTGGGATCTGGTGACGCGCTTCGACCCGGACGCGCCGCCGGTGCACTCGCACGGCGACATGAAGACATTCGAGGCCAACGGCGGCCTGCTGGTGCGCGGGCGGTACGTGGCGGCGCTGCCGGGCGTCGAGAACATCCGGATTGTCGGCAAGGGCTACCAGGGCGCGGACCACTACGGCCTCAAGGACCTGACAATCACCAAGGACCGGCTGCACGCGTGGCACAGCGTCAAGCTGGCCGACGAGGCGTTTGCGGCCGGCCACACGCGGTTCCAGCGGTGGCACATTGACGCGCCGCTGTACGACCGCGACCCGGCGTGGTTCACGACGCTGCGGTGCGTCAAGCGGCCAACGGTGACGGCAACGGCGCCGGCCCTGACGGTGCACTGGGACGACGGCAGCGGGCAGACCAAGGCCGTGCAGCCGGGCCTGACGGCCTTCTTCAGCAACGTGCAGACGTACGCGATGCTCACGCCCGAGGAAAAGGCGCTGGCCGACCACTCGTGGGTCGAGTACGCGCCGCACCCCTACACGTGGCTGGGCGACGCCGAGTCCAACCCGACAGGGCTCGGCATTGCGGGGTCGGGCAAGGAGCTGCCGCTGGACCAGCTGCCGGCGTACGAGGACAGCAAGGTCAAGCGCTACCCCATGGTGTGGGTGAATCCCGTGACGGGCGAGCGGGCGTTTATGGTGCACAGCATCTGCGTGCGGCGGCTCTTTCTGCGCAAGTCGCAGGACGAGGCGGCCGTGTGCGTCGAGGACCTCGGCACGGTGCGCGCGTGGCTGCGGGCGATCCAGGAGCGCGTGCTCCAGCCCGCGTACGTCATGGTGCCCGAGCTCGAGGAGGGCGACATTGTCATGTGGGCCAACTACCAGATGTTCCACTCCGCCATCGACTACCCGGACGAGATGGGCCCGCGCACAATGCACCAGGCCAACATTGGCGCCAGCATTGGCCCGACGGGGCCGTTCCCTTTGCCCGCGGCAGCATGAGTGTAGATGATTGGGATGGTGGATGTTGGTGGACGGTTAGTGGACGGTTAGTGGACAACGTGTATTTAAAGAGGATATTTCAGATTTATACTGCTGTTGTTTTGACCAAGAATCACAATGTGAGGACGACAGGTATATTCGCAGCCACTCGCACGTCATGTTTCCGCAGCCAGGTCACGAGTTTTATTTCCACGCGTCCTATTCAGACGGACTCAGATACAGAATGGAGAACCTCGCGGTTCCACGCATTGGACGGCGCAAACAGCGACGCAAAGTGCGCGGCAATGTCGTTGTGCTTGGCAATCCAGACACCCTCCTTTTGGCCCACATACGCAAGAAACCGGACAATCGACGCCACGCGGCCGGGCCGCATGATGCGCGCATGCAGGCCCACCAGCATGAGGGTCGCGCTCTCGTCGGACTCGACGTACAGTACGTCGAACGCGTCGCGCAGATAGTCGAAAAAGTCCGTCGAGCCCGTGTAGCCGGGGCCCGACTGCCCGCGCCAGAAGCGCGCGTCGTTGGTGTCCACGGCGTACGGCAGCACCAGCATGGGCCGCTCGGCGACGTCGGCATAGTACGGCCGGTCGTCGTTGGTCGTGGCCGAGCCGTAGGCCAGCCCTTCTTCGGTCATCACGCGCCGGGTGTTTTCGGTGATGCGCTGGCCCGTCAGCGCCAGCGTCTGGTCGACGGACGCGCGCAGGTCGGCGCGCTCCATGGCCTCCGTCAAGCCCAGGCGGCTGATGGACCGCGTGCCGCGCGAGACAACGTCGCAGTCGGCGTGCCCGGCGCGAAGGTGCGCCGCCAGCGCCGGGCTCGCCAGCAGCGCCTCGGACGACAGAAAAATACTGAACGGCGCGTTGTGCTGCGCGAAGATGCGCAGCAGCCGCCAGACGCCCACGCGCGTGCCGTACTCGTACTCGCCCTCCTGCATCAGGTCGCGCTCGCTGTCCGGCAGGACACTGCGCACCCACGTGCGCGAGTCCCGCGTGGCGTCGCTCAGCAGCAGACTGCGCTCCGTGCCCTCCTCGTAGTTGATGGCAAAGTTGATGGCCACCTTTTTCCCGCCGGGCCACGAAAAGGCGGGTGGATGGGGGCCGTAGCCAGCAAAGTCGCGAGGGCGAGCGGTCATCGTCAGTGGGAGGAGGGGGGTGGGCCTTTGCATGAGACTGTGCGTCGCTGCTGTTGTTTTACTCTACTTATAGTTAGACCACTGTTTCGGTCTCTTCTGGCTTCTGGCTTCTGGACTACCCTGCATATGGTGAGGTCCTCGTCCACCAACACTGTCTCGATGAATATCGACACTAAGACGAATGAGGAAGGGCAGTCGTGGCTGTGGACGCTTAACAGTCGTGGCTGTGGACGCTTAACAGTCGTGGCTGTGGACGCTTATACGGAATGAGGAGTACGTACTTGGAGCCGTTATTGTTCTTATCACAACGGCGCCAGGCATTTTGTCGAGTTTAGCCGACTACTTGTCGATGTCAGTCAAAACCCGGCATCTCTCATCTTTCACCGATCGGTTGCGTCCACATCTGACGGCCTCTTGTTGCCAATGAGTTGCCAATGAGTCGCCAATGAGTTGCCGACAAACAACGATATGCCCCCTCGAAAACGGCCACGCGAGTATCGGGGCCACTCGTGCCTTTGCTGCCACAAGCAGAAAGTCAAGTACACTCGAGGTGCGCCATAGGCTCTCCACCATTGTGCATTGTCCTGCGGGGGGAGGGCAGAGTAAACTGGGCTAGACTGACAATAGCGATGCCGTGTCCTCAGGCCATCCATGCCGAGGCTGCGCAGCGGCCAAGAAGCCATGCGTGTATGTCGTTCGAGACAAGACGGTGACGGTTGCCGAGAGCTATCTGAGGCGACTCGAAGCGGCGGTCACGGCCAGAAGCTCAACTGCTTCAGCACCTGCTGCAGCCCCAGCTCCTGCTCCTGCTCTGACCCATCCGGTGGTTGAAAACTCGACGGCGGCGCGTTTCGTGTCCAGGTTGAAGGAGATCCAGATCCAGCAACCCAAACCGGGCGTGGACCTGGCGCCGGCCTACGATGGACCGTCCCCTCCCGTCTACGAGTACTTTACCCTCAACTCGGATACATCTCGTAGGTGACGTTCTTTGTGTCCCTCCTCGTGGCCATGACCGTTGCTGGACGGCAGCACTGATTGTTCACGCGACAGACGCAAAATGCACATTCAAGTTGCCTCCCTACCCCTACGCCGTCTTCCTCGCCCGCCAGTTTATGATCTACGTCGCCCACGACTGGCACTGGTTCCGTCTCCGCCGCTTCCACGAGCGTCTTGTCCGAGTCTACACGACGCCGGATGCACCCGACTCCAAAGACCGCCTCTGGCTGTGCCAGTTGCTCGTGGCCTTTGTCCTCGGCGCGTCCATCGGTGGCCACGATCCCACGTCGCACGTTCGTCGTCCAGGCTCGGCGTCAGAGACACCAGTCCAAGTGTCGGCTGTGTCAAGTGTGGCAAGCCCCATGCCCCCCCCGTAGGCCCGCAACCCCATGGAATTCCCCAGGCTTACCTAGTCAGTGCGTGATCCTTCTCCTCCGACCACGTCTTCTTCGGCAAATCGCCTCGACTGTCGCCAGCGATGCGCCCAACGAGGACCCGCCCGTGCGCGAAAAGACGCTCCGGCAAAACCTCAACCACATCTGCCTCGATGCCGCATGCCCCGCTCGAGCGCCGTGCAGAACCGCGTCTGCGCGTCCACGACCGCCTCGTCGCCCAGCGTCTCCGTCTCGCAGTAGTACACGCTCCAGGGGATCGCGTCGCCGTCCGCGGCCATCTCCAGGACCACGTGCACGTCCGCGTTGGTCTGCGCCAGGATGCGCGCCGACACAATGTCGAGCACGAAATAGTCGCCCAGGCCGCCCTCAAAGAGCGCGTGCAGCATCGGGCCGGCCAGGTCCTGCACAAAGTGCAAAGTGCACCGCAGCCGGGTCGAGGCCGTGCTCGCGCAGCAGCATCTTGAAGAAGAGCCCGACGCTGGCGCCGTTGCCCGACTTTAAAAGCACCGTCTTGTCGACGACTGCGCGAGATGGAACGATTTGGCGTCGTGGGCGTGGGCAGCACCGCCATTACCACCGCCTCGCGCTACCAGCGCCAGCGGACACCGGTTGGACAGCTGCGCAAAGGCCGTGTACTGCTTGCCCGCGCTGCGGTACATGGACGGCACCCAGATGCCGCCTAGGGCGGCCGCGGCCGTGCCGTCGCCAAGTTCCTCGAGCATATTGTCCCAGGGCGACGGGACCGACACCGAGATCGCGAGGCCCTCGTCCCGGAAATAGCCGTGGCGCTCGGCAATATACTGCGGCAGGTAATTGAGGCTGTGGCCCGTCGCGGCAATATGGAAGCGAGTCGGGGCAGCAGTGGCGGCCATTCTGTGGGTGGAGTGTTAGAAGACGTCGACAGCAGAGTCGTTATTGTAGAGCAGTGGGTCCGTACATTCTTTGCAAGTCGCCGTGGTTGTTAGGGAAGGTGGACCGATGTCGTTCACTACACAATCACCAGAGGAGTACAATGTTCACAAGATTGTCAATGAAGAAAAGTAAACCGGCAATAACAGAAATACCAACAACGCGAACAAAACCAACAGGACCATGGTCTGGAATAATATGGCATTTTCCGAGATGAATACAACTGATATAGCAATACACCAACGCAAGGGTGTCATCATTTCACCTCCCATGCCGATCTGCAAAAGGAGCAAGCCACCGGCAAAAGAAACAAACCACCGAGACCCTTGTCAAGACGAAAAGCCGTTGCTGCGTCGATGTAGACGAACACGGCACTTGGTTATCGTTCGCTGCACGACGTCCGTGCACGGCTCGCCGATCGATATCGATAGATAGGCATTTCTAGCCAATTCGCCTAGCGCGGTCTGGTCTCATGATCGGAGACAACTGTGAATGGCCGGTCCTCTTTGCGGGGAATATATGGAACGTTGTGTAGCCCGCAGCGTGACAGATAGGGACGACAGGGGTGCTGGGGTTGCACACAACCTGGTAGGAAAGGATATCGCCGCTCTGGAGCCAGGACCGCCAGTCCTCTCCCCAGTGGCTTATCAAAATGGAAAAGCACAAGTCATTTAGCAGAGAAGGAGACGTCGCTGCAGATGCTCTTATATTCAGTGCAGATGTCAACGGCCAGACCAAGACCGAGGGGAGAAAGTGATACAAACGGTTAGGATATAAGAACAGCCAAGACGGACGTCAGACACACTCTCCACGACACATTGGCACCGTTCATTGATTCGAACTGGGACTGTTCTCGATGTCGCCTCAGGCATATTATTTTCAGTTCTATTTTTTTAGCCACGACATCCTTCATCATGACAGCGGACGCGACCGAAAAAGACGTGAAAACGGCCGCCGCGCCAGTGACCGACGCCCAGGACGTCGCCTCCGAGCTGACGGCCATCTACATAGATCCCGAGCGCGAGGCGGCCGCCCTCCGCAAGTTTGACCGCTGGCTCGTCCCGGTTGCCTTTTCCTTTCTCGTCCTCTCGTCGCTCGCCCACGCGGGCTACGCCGGCATGTTCGTCCACGTGCTCGGCGTCTACCCCATCTCCACCCTAGTCGTCGCCTGGATGGGCACCAACCTCTCGCCCGACAACAAGCGCGCCTTTGGCCTGCCCTTCTTCTACTCCATCGGCAACCTCTCGCTGCTCGTCTCCTCCCAGCTCTACCCCAGCACCCAGGGCCCCCGCTACGTCCAGGGCAATGCCGTCTCCGCCGGCCTCGAAGTCGTCGCCGCCGCGCTCTACTTGTGCAGCTGGCTCATCCTGCGCCGGCGCAGCGCCCAGAAGAAGAAGCTCATCAGCGAGGGCGCCACCGACAATGGCATGGAGGGCGACCGTGCACTCGACTTCACCTATGGCCTGTGATGCGTTGGGTGATGCTTTGGCTTGTCCGCAACGAATCTGCGCATGGGGCATCCATTTGATTCCTGGTGCATGAGTTGGCTCGCGTCAAGAAATATTATGTTATGTGTTATGCAGGGAGTACGCTATTAGTAGGTAGACATTTAAGTATTAATATATCGTTTATCCATTTAATTGGGAAAATGTGGCATCCAACATGTTTTCATCGCAGATATGTGGAAAGTGCTGACTTGTGTTAAAAAATAGAAGGAGACACACTATGTATTCGATGTTATTATCCGCAGTATGTTGTCTTGCAATGAGGTATTCTACATTCATAGGCTTTGAAAAAAGGAATTTTTGGCCAACTAGTAAGGGACAACTGATGTGCACTCCAAGGTACATTCGACAGGAATTCATAGGAAAGAAATACCGTCTAGCTCAGAAACCAACTCTGTTTACTGTCCTACTTTCTTGACTGCCGTACCCTGTAAACGGCATGTCAATTGTCAAAATCGTCCCCGTTGCACTGTCTAACGTCCACAAACAGCTGCTCATGTGGTTTTGGAAAGCGGTGTTGGATATGGACGACCCGGCCGGCAAACAAACAAAGTGTGTTAAGAGACCCGCGCAGTCGAATCGCAGCACGCCCAGGCCTGGTTGAGCAACAATGAGGCCGCCCTGGGCATCCATGGCCAGACCATCGGACACGATGGCGTTTGCGCGCGTGACTGCAACCAGGAGCCGGGGACGTGAAGCAACCTGCGCGATGTTGTCCGTCACCATGACCAGTCCATTTGGACTCGGGATATTGGAGAGAACTCGCTCCACTTGCCCGGACACCGCATGCCAGCGGTACACGCATCCATTCGGCTTCTGCAGACCCGACTGGCCCTGGCCGGTCGCGTAGACCCAGCCGTCGTGACCCAGAGTCAGGTCGGTCAGGCCCCGGAAGCGCTCGCCGCGGTAGCCGCTGACGAGGATAGTGACCTCGCCCGTGTGTCCGGGACGACTTCGACCACGCCGAGGCGGTGGTCGGCCACCAGGATGCGGCCCCCAGGCGTGCACGTGAGCCCATTGGGCCAGCCGTCGTACTCGGCCACCAATGTCCACGCTCTGCTCTGCGGATCGATCCGGAAGATGCGCCAAAAAGAAATGTCGACCACGTAGAGGTGGCCTTTCCGATCAGAGCACGGCCCTTCGAAGATGGTGCCGATCGACTTGCCGGCACCCAAATTGTGGTCAGCCCATTCGCTGGTGCGGGCGGTCGAGAAAGATTCCGGGACCGTTGTGTAAATTTCCGCTGCGAGGCGCACGGGGGTTTCCAGCAGAACATTGTCGAGGTTGTCAGTCTCTGGCAAGTCAGTGTCTGTTCCACATCATGGTATGGATGAGTAGCTTTATGCCTTGGCATATGTCACAGCTTTTTCTTTTCGCTTTACGTGTTCCGTAATTGTTTTTCTCTTTCTAACAGAGGTCTTACCAAGGCGGTTATAAAGTGGACGAGGAAGCAGTAGGTCACGCCACGTTACAGCAATGCCTCAGACGAATAGCCGCTAACCTGCGACTGTCTTCGCACCACAGAGATCATCTTTGTGGTTAGGAAGACAGGAACGGGAAGTCGACCTTTCTCAGGGAGTTGACTGGGCACAATATCGATATTGGCTGCCGCATGCAATCTGGTGGGTGGAAGCGCGCATACAGTTGAAGATCCCTTTCAGATTCGATTGTGTGACCCGGCTTGTCATGTTATAGGAACCGTCCAGTACACCGTCTGCCCAGCCGTCATTGGCGGGAACAGTATCTCTTTATTGACACTGTTGGCCTGGCTGCCACGGACATCGCCAGTGAGGCGGCCTTCCCAGACCTGCTTGCTTGCATCTCCACTCTCGGCACCTTCATGCCAGTTACAGGTGTACTTCTCAAGCTTGATTGCCGAGCGGAGCGCGTGACCAACGACAACCTCAAGATCTTCAACTGGCTCAAGTGCTTTTGCGGCCCCTTGTTCTACAAGAACATCACCATTGTGTTTAGCCAGTGGGACCGAGTGCCCGAACGTGAAGTCAGCAAGGAAAAAGACAATGTGAGTTAGCAGATGCTGCTACTATCATAAACAACCAGGACCATGTTGCGGAACGCAGCCGGGAGGCGAAAAACACGATCCTGCGTCGTTATTCAGACGCGCCCAATGGGCAGCTCCAAGTCGGGATGGACATGGTCGACAACCATGACAACTGGAGGCTGACCGAGGTTGCCAAGGCGCTGTTTGCTTCCAATCCGTCTCACACCAGACTGGTCATTGACCAGGACCGTGGTCTTGTCGTCAGCATCGATGGCCAGCCTCAGCGCCTGTCGCTCACGCACACGTCCTCGTCGGGTTCTCAAACCGTGGATCCTCAGCCCGTTGGCCCTCCGCCCGCCCCAGCCAGCGAGTCGAGCAGACAGCCTATGAGCTGGGCTGAGTCAATGCGCAAGTGGCCTGAAGTTGCCAAAGCGGTGGCCGACTTCTTCAAAGAAGCCCGCTCGACGGACGGCGCACCGTTTAGGTGGCGCATCGCGGATGCCTGGGGCAAGCTGCGCGCGTGGTGGCGGGGCGGCTCGTCGTGAACTAGACAAAGCCAAACTGCTGAAATCGCTAGGGACGATTGGTCTTGGTCGGAACGTTTGATAACCGGCATCAGATTGTACCTGGGAGGAATTTGGTCTCTTGTTTGCTGATGGGAAGTTTGCTAGCGATGGTCAGAGAGCTGGCGGAAGAGGAACACGATGCCGTCCCGTTTCGTAAAGCGCTCTGTCGCTGGCACTGTAAGAGGAATGATAGTATTAACTAGCATAAAGGATAAATACATCGGTTTCTCGGTTACTTACGGCGTGATGCACGTTGCCAGATTTCCAGTGCAAAATCCGTGACGCATGGCCGACCACCTCCCAAAACGGTTCCAAGACAGTACAGTGCCAAATGGTTCTAAAAGGTTGCTGTACGGTAAGAATGTTGCCGCCCGAGCCGCCCCACACTGCACTAAGCTGCATCGAGAATCTTGTGCTGAGAATCACACCCTCAACCACTGTGCTCGTGACGATGGGGAAGCCCCCTGCCATTCTCAATTATTAATCATTGATTTAATTGATTCAATAACGATAGTTGCGTTTTTCTCGTTAACACTGTTACAGGAGCGGGGACTCGAAAGTGGTCAGGAGAAAACAGGCGCGCGACGTTTAACGCAATGAAGACAGTTGTGGGCGTGGTACATACACAACACTTGTTGCTAATTAAGTATCTTAACATGCTTGCTGGATATGCTACAGGATGTTTATGGCATGGCCGTGGATACTTTTCTGGTCCTCAGCTCTGAAAGAGCGCCTTTTGTGTGTCGAGAGCGAGGCGGACAGACTCCTCGACTCAACCTAACCACAAAGCGATCACAACCCCAGAAACAAAAGGGTTTATGACAACAGCCAGCGCGGCATCAATAATGGCTGCCCCGACCTTTTACCTCCTTCTTGTGGTGAAGCGCGGGGGCTTGTGACCGGGCTGGCGTAAGACTTGCGTCGTACGCATACGTAATATCTCGACGTTCTGAACCAGATTGAAAAGTTGGCTTCCTTCTTGATTTCAGAAGCTCGCTGCGGCGTTCCCGGCGTCGCCGACGACTTGCGCTCCCTGGGCATCAGCCAAGTTGTGGTGGCATTTCGGTTCTGCATAACAGGGGCGACAGGTTTGTTATTTTCGGCCAGTCGCTCGGTGGCATTGAATATGCAACGCAGTGAACGGTACCTGTCTGCAAATCGCACGTGAGATTCCCAGGTTTCTGTACAGGACATCAGCCAGGTAGAAGTTCGCATGCTCACATCACATCACGCCCATGTAACCATACTACTTGGTCTTGTGGGCGAAAAACCACTGCCTCTCGTGCCTGTCAGGCCAGTCGCGCTAAATTAGTGAGACCGGGGGCATTGCATGGGTATTACCAGGGGGCGTCGTCGAGAAGTCACAATCGCCATAAAAACAGAGACGAAAAGTGGGCGAAAGAAAACAAACAGACGCCCTAGAAAAAGCTAGTGGTGCAAGGGGTTAGGCCAGGCTCCCAAGCCCCATATATATTACCTCGGAGCTCCGTAAAGGGCAGGTGGTTTTGCTGGGGAAGATAAGGACCACCAATGATATCTGCGGGGTCCAGTGTGGATCCGGATACCACCTAGATGTCAAGCACACTTTTCTAGATCTGGCGGGAAAGCCGGCTAGACCATAGGTCCAGCCAACCTTTGAGACACAGCAGCTGATCCGGGGTCGACACTCTGCTTATCTAGTGTCTTACCACCCTACACATAAACGAAATGCGTAATTACCGCTTTATGAGGATGGCCTGTAAAATGGCCGTGTGTTTTTTGATGCTTTTGCTTTCGGAGCTTTAAAACTGGGGTAGCCCTCCATCTGTCTCTTGTTTTTCTCTCTCTCACTTTTTCCCTACTCATTTTCCTCTCTTTCCCCATTGCCGTCAAGATGAGTACCATGAACGATAACAAAGCTGCGCTCGCCGACAGCGATGGGCCTACCAACGATGACCCGGTCAATAAAACGGGTACATTTGTTGGTGACCATCAAGCCACCGGCCAGCAATTTGGCGTCGACGAAGAGGTTGGGCAGCTGCAGCTTCACCGCAATCTAAAGGGCAGGCACATGCAGATGATCGCCATGTAAGGGTTTGATGCCAACATCCTCAATTCCTCAATAGCATGCATACTAATCGATGCGTTTTCAAGTGGCGGTGCCATTGGTGCTGGTCTGTTCGTCGGCTCTGGCGGTGCTTTTCAGAATGGCGGCCCTGCTTCCGTGTTTCTGGGTTTCCTGATCGTTGGTGAGTGGTGAACTCGTGCAACAACAACAATACTGCTGCGATGGCATAGCTAACATGTTTATTTCAGGTGTCATGGTGTATGTTTTTCTCCATGCGGCCATCGGCCGATTTTTGTCTTCAGCCGACTGACATTTACATGCATTTCTTAGATACCTTATGATGCAGGCCGTCGCGGAATTGACCGTCATGTATCCGATCAACGGCGCCTTCACCATGTACATCTGTCGCTTCGTTGATCCCTCCTTCGGGTGGGCGTGCGGCATAGAGTACGCCATCAGCTGGCTGACTGTCCTTCCCTTTGAAGTCTCAGCTGCTTGCAATATTATCCACTACTGGCCGGGGTCGGAGGGCATCAATAACTCGGCTTGGATTGTTCCACTGCTTCTCGCCTTGGTGGTCATTCAAATCTTTGGTGTGAGGGGGTACGGCGAGGCAAGTTCAACCCACCGAGAACGTCCTCAAGTCTTTAGCTATATGATTGATGCGCTAACGGATTGTCGAACAGGTCGAATTCGTCCTCAGCGCTATGAAGGTCACCGCCTGCACCGGTTTCATCATCCTGGGCATAATAATCAACTGCGGCGGCGTGCCAACCGACGACAGAGGCTACATTGGCGGAAGATACTGGTAATGCTATACATCTTTTTGCATGGCTATGGGCTAGGCTGATGAATGTTTGAAAATAGGCACGACCCGAATCCCGCATTCCTCAATGGCTTTCAAGGCTTCTGTAGCGTCTTCGTCACTGCGGCGTTCGCCTACACCGGCACCGAGCTGACTGGGCTGGCTGCTGCGGAAACGATCGATCCAAAGAAGGAGATCCCGAGGGCTTCGAAGCAGGTCGCGTGGCGTATCGGCATCTTCTACGTCGTCAATCTTCTCCTTGTTGGTCTCATCGTACCGGCAGACAGTCCCTTGTATAGTGGCGAGGGTTCCGAATCGCGTCGCTCGCCTTTTGTCATTGCAATTCAGCTTGCTGGCATCAAGGTACTGCCGTCGATTTTCAATGCCGTCATCTTGATCGCCGTCATGAGCGTTGCCAACTCCTGCACGTTTGGCTCGACTCGAACACTTCAGGCTCTCGCTGCGAACGGTGCGTGCTCACGAGTCCATGTACATCATTTTCTCGCGACGCTAATAATCTCATAATACAGGAATGTTTCCCAAGGTCATGGCCTATATTGATAAAAAGGGACGTCCTATACCTGTGGTCATACTGCAGCTTCTCTTCGGGCTGCTGGCCTTTATTAACCTGGCAGAGAATGGCGGGACGGTCTTTGACTGGCTCCTGTCGTTGTCGGGCCTTACCATCCTCTTTGTCTACGGCGGTATCGCTCTGGCTCATATCCGCTTCCGCAAGGCCTGGTAAGCAAACAGCCACCTGCCATGTCCCGCTTCGCTTCTCCCTCGGTGACTAACTACAAACAGGGCCGCGCACGGCCATACATTGGACGAGCTTCCCTACAAAGCCTCGTTCGGCGTCTGGGGCTCATGGGTGTGCTTCATCATCTGCGCTCTTGCTCTGATTGCCCAGTTCTACGTCGCACTGTATCCCGTCGGCGGCCCCAACCTGGATGCCAGCACCTTCTTCCAGCTCTACCTCGCTGGTCCACTGCTCATATTCCTATACGCGATTTGGAAAGTCTATAGCTGGTTCTTTGAGCATGAACACAGCCCGCTGTTTATCAGATCAAAGGACATTGATATCTACACGGGCATGAGAGAGCAGCAGCAACACATCAGTGGCCCAGGCGTCTCGGCCGAGCAGAGACGCGCTGCCATCGCCGAGATTCAAGAGGAAACGGAGAAGAAAAGTGTTGGGACTTATATCAAGGATGCTATTAGAAGCATCATTTAAACCAGGCATAAGTGTACGGTATGAGAGGGAACGAGGAGTGACGGGGTAGGAAAGGCTTGGTAGACGAAGTGAATATGTTGGGAGAAATATCGAAAACATCAATAATTTTATTATAACATAATAAGAGATTTAATAAATTTTATTTATGTTTTACGAGGTAATAATAAAAAGGTTATCCGCGCCTCACTTCTAGAAAAGAGGGGCAAGGATTAGAGTTTACTCCTCCTACCACCTATGTTCGGAATCTCTTGCTTGTGATCCTCTCAGAGTTATGACTATTATCCCCAGACCCCTTATACTACGTTAATGTACTCCCCTTAAGTCTATTACTTTCTCCGTACGAGGAAAACTCGTTTCCCAACTTTAAACGCCGCCCAGCACTTACTTGTTTTTATGTATTTACACTTAAATTAACGTTCCCGTACAAAGAAGTTCCTTCCCGTACTACGTACACGTGTCGTTGGTGGATATCTCGATGGTCTCTGTAAACTGTCTGGGAATCATAGTCGTCAATCATGTGACGGGCCACGGGCCACGGGCCGTGGGGCTGGCTGGCATGGCCCTGCCATAGATGCGACTTTGATTAGAAGCTCACCTATGGTGAACGATATGGGACATCTGATCGGAAGGCTGCCGACGGTTGTTGCGCAACGGTCGATAAACGATAGTGGGCCGAGCCAGGGTCTGGCCACTATTTCTATTGGAGAGTTTGCCGGTCCAGGAAGTCGTCATAGTATCGACAAGTCAGCTCCTGCATCATAAAGGTAGGAGCGGCATACATGACCGCGCCGTTTGTGGCTGCACAAAAGGACAACACATTAACAGGCTTGTCCCATGTTAAAATAGGCGCATCACTAGAACAAAGTGCACTCACTCCCAGATCACGCATGTTGCACGCCAGGATAGACAAGTCCGTCGTCAGCCACAATGACTCCTACGTCGTACAAACCATCTGGGCGGTTTTCGTTCTCCTTGTGGTCAAAAAGGCTGGATCAACATCTCGGGCGATAGTATGCTAGAGAAGCGGGGAATGATGAATAACAGTGAAAGGACGATAGCGCACCGCCCGAAAAATACCCGGTGATGGGATACGTCGTCGGCAAGCACTAAGACTCATGTCGAGTATTATGTTAAAGTGTGTATGGTTTGGCTAAGTTCGCTCATTTTCAGCGAAGATCGGAAATATTTACCAAAGAATTTCAAGGCCAACACGTGCAGGCTTATGATATTCGTCTCTACAGAATAGCTTTTCAGGTATCAATTCGACCGCACTTCGCATTGTATTAACCACTGTGTGCAGCATCTCATGAACCCACTGTAAGGTTGCCCACGTCCAGTCTTCACATTACATTTTCTCTTCGAGCTGTTAGGCTTCTTCTCCCAAAACACAGCATCTTGAAAATCGGGCACCGTTCATACCAGTCCAGACCAAGGCGCAGTCTGCTCTTGCCATTACCGTGCGTCACCAGTCGGGCCTCAGCCGTTGTGGAGCTGCCTCGGTCAGCGCGATAGAGTAACACAGTGACAGCGGAGCAAGGTCGTTGTACGACTTTATGTTACAGGTAACTACGCTGCCGGATAAAGTCCGGCCCTGTTTCGGTATTGACCTGTTTGTACGCGCCGAGGCAACCCCAGTACCTCAGTTCAGTGCTTTGCAAACTGGACATACCATGCCCCGGTACCTGGTCCAAACCAGGGTTTCAGCTTGTCAATCTCCTCGGCAAAAAGGGGCGTCGCACTGTATGCGTCGTGTGCAGCGTGGCTGGTCCATCCGAGAAAGTAGACAGCTAGACGACGGTCGAGGGGCGGAATCTGCTTGGACGGCTCCGACGCGGCCTCTGTGCAAAGCGGCTGCCCGTTTGTGCGGTTGGCGTTGCTCGCGTAGGCCCAATCCCCGCCAACAAAGCCGTCGTCGGCAAGAAAACAGTCTGTATAGGTCTTGTGCATGGATGCCTGGAAGTCGGGGTTGCCGGTCGGTGCATGGGCGACGACGTTGATTGTGGCCTGCAGCAGTGTCAGTGACGGTATCGGCCGTTCCTGGCTCGCAATGCTTACAAATTGACACAGAGGCGCGTCCAGGGCTCTGGCTAGGGCTGCCTCTTGGCTGCTCTTGAACTCAAAACGCAAGGACGTCGCGCCAGGATCGCCGAGGGCGGCGAGTTGTGTCGCAAGATTGGTCGGTCGCGAGCGCCAGTCTGGAAGAATTCGAGGTGAGCAGAGAGGAAGGCAGAGAACGGCAAAGGGACGAACGCACTTATCACCCAACACATCTCGTCCACGCGGACGGCCAGCGAGCTGCGGGCTGGCATGGTCGGTCCGTAGTACTGCGACAGGACAGCGCCGTGGCTGGCGATTTGGGCGCGAAGACGCGCAAAGTCGGCGACGCGCCGAGCTGGCAGCACGAAGCGCACGATTTCAGATACAAAGGACTGTGGGGTCGGTGCCATGGTGTTGGGTCGGCTTATTGATGATTACGCACGAAATGAAAGGCAATGTCGGCCTCAATTGGAGACAGGAGTTGTAGGTAGATCGAACACGTTGCAAAGACCAAAATAGTGCTCTGTTCACAGCTGCAGCAAAATCAAGTGACCGTTTTCACGGGCGATGAACACAGCAAGCACGGCATTGAACAACTTGATGATTTGTCATCCATCTTGGTCTGCAGGACAACAAGTCACAAAATAAATAATTGAAAATTAAAAAACCAAACGCAAGCATCTACTTTGCGATCTTCGACGCAAGACAGCTCCTTTTCATGTCTTTTGAAACAGGCAAATGTCCAGCAAATGGGTATATGCCAACTCTTGGTCGTACATCTCCACGCCCCATCTCCTGCCTCGTCCCTCCACCCCTCGCACGTCTCACGACAGACACTCCCTGTCATTGTGCCATGGGTCGTGGTACGGAACCAGAGTCCCGTCGCGAATCTGTTGTCGAACTTTGCGTTCGTGCGCAAAAAAGCGGAGAGAATACTCGGTGATGGCTTCGGTGTCGTAGTGGAACTGGCGGTGATCGTAGGCCAACTGTTCTGCAAAGGACGGCTTCTTCATCTCCTTGACGTAACCGTAGAGATACGCCAGCATGACAATGAGACGGTCGACCGTCTTGTTGCTCTCCTTGCTGTCCAGAATGCTGTCGATCAGCGCGTCGACCAAGTGGGGAAGCGATGGGAAGAAAGGAGGGCCATTAACCTCGAGCCTCGCCCCTTCCATCTCGTCAACTTTTCCCAGCCGTTCCACTGGAAATGCCCAGTCGGCGGCATTGAGCAAAAACGTGTGCTTTCCTGGTAACCCTGGTCGTTCCATGCGGCGGTAGGGCTTGCAGTTCTCATCGCCGTAAAACGCGTACTTGTCATTCGGTCGAGTGGCAGCCGATGCCCAGCCATCATGGAGTAACACCTGCGCGGCGGTATCCATATCCTCGACCAACAGGAACAGGTCGAACCTCGCCGTCGGCACTCCATGGTGGGCGACCGCATCTTCGAACCAGCAGGTTGCAGGAATACCTTTTTGGTACAGAACATGGCATGCTGCATAGCGATCCATCGTCATTGTCGGCTTCTGGTTGAGGGGGAAAATGGCTGTGTGTTGCAAATGTCGTCCTGGGCCTCTGGGGATTTGTTTCAGTTGCGACCAGCGAATCTTATTTGGGCCAGGAAGTCACGTGAGAGCCTTAGGCAACCTTGTCTGGGGCAAAATCGCGTATCTATGGACCAGCACGTGACCTACTTGGCTCTGGGTGCTACACCTAATTCCTCGTCCGGCCCACTTAAGACATGTCCTGAAATACAGCAATATGATTGGCTGTACACCGTCCCTCAGTTACACAATGCACGTCGTGAATAAAAGGCTATCACCACAGTCCTTGTCGTTTATTGTACATAGGTATCAGTGCCTCCAATGTCCAGATATACATTGGGAGACTATTCAGGTTATGAATAAGAATGGTGCTCTGCCACAGCACGAATTCGAATCATAGCAAAAGTCCCAACGCATTCCACAAGATGGAAAGTCGGATAGAAGTGCAAGCATCTCCTTCCAGACGATACATGTTAAATTCTCTCGTTATTTCCTTGCATTTCTCGTAGATGAATTACAGAGCCTCTGTCATTATCGACGACGTAGAGTTGCATGTGTGTTGGTTTTTCTATGGTGCTGCATTTCTTTAGCGGCCCAGGCAAGGACTGCCACGTGAAGCTACATCGTCTAATGTACGACCACTTCTGTAACCAGTACGGCTACAACTACTGCACTCGTACCACAAGTACTGTGCGTGGTAATTGTACTCCGTATGGTATCTTTTATGGCGTATGTACTCCCTACTAGGGACTAGGCAACCATTACCTCCTCCGTGTATCTGAACTCTAAGAAGGGAAGGAACGACCGGTTTTTTGTGATTCGGTTCAGGAAGGTGCCAGAGTATCTGTGTATTCGGGGCTTTTGGGATCCCCCACCATCCAAGTTTCAGATTTTTCATCCCAGATTCCCAAGCCCGAATCCATCAAGAATTCGCAGCAATACAGCAAGCGTCAATCACACAATGTCTGCTACTAGTCACAATAATGAGGTCATTCTCTACGCCACGGCTGAAGTCGGAAAGGCCATGTATGGCATGAAATATGCCATTGTCGGAGGAGCAGCATGCGCTGCTCTTGGCTCTGAGCGTTTCACCGAGGATATTGACCTCGTTGTCCCTCGAGGCGAGACAATAGCTGCACGGCGCCGACTACAGCCAAATCCGCGCATCACCATAGACCCGCGCACGCGTCGCACGTTTTTCGATAGCAGCGTTCCAATTGAAATCCTCGTCCCGCCCGCGATGTTCAAGGGCGAGTTTACCGATGAGACGCCGGTCATCGAGATTGGCGGAGCGAGCATACTCAAACCGACATTGTTGCTCAATTCCAAATGCGGAAGCATTTGGCAGCGGGCCGAGGAGAATAAGAAAGCTACCGACGCGTACGATATCAAATTCCTGCTGGGCTGGCTGGCAGATGCGGACTGCCTGCTCTTGGCCGGATCCCAGGCTCGAGCGGAGGTACCGAATGCCACCCGAGACTTTGTTGCCGCATTCACGAGCAAATTCGGCGACGCGGAGATTTGGGTCAGAGCAGGACTCGTATTCGACGAAGAAGAGGCCACACAGTAAACAGGAAGTGGATACAGGGCAGACTTATAAAGACGAAGAGGTTACGTACTGAGCAGGAAATGGACAGTGATCGTCGGATGGAATGGAGGATCTCAAGTTACACCCCAAATTGCGTCTAGTAAAGATTACACGTAACCGAATACTCATCACTTTTATCTTACATTTATCTCCCTTATGCGTCAATCCTAGCTCGTCTTATTCTCTTTTGCTGTTAGCACTCTTTGCTAATTGTGCCTTGCTCTGTGTATTTGCAACCTACAAAGTTTGCCCACTTAAATCTATGGTATTTTATTCCATTATTCCCCAGGGTTCTGCCCAGCTAGACGCCAATAGCCTCCAGTGCCTTAGACAGGCAGAAAATCATAATCATAAAAAACGGAGAGAAAATCATTTGAACGTCCTACTCCGAACATGCTACACAAACAACGGCGGCGCGGCATTCGCACTGATAATCGTGTTGTACACCCTCAACATACTGCCTGCCGCGCCCGGGCTCCCCGGGCTACCCGGGCTGGCCTCGGCGGCGTGCAGGTCCTGGTGCGTCCAAGCGGCCTGCACAAGCCGGCGGACATGCACCAGGTTCTGCGGCGGTGGGAGGCCCCCCAAGTGGGCGCTGGCTGCTTCGATGCTGGCGAGGATGGCGCGGCGCTCGTCCTCGTCGCGGGCCTCGACGCCCAAGACGAAGAGGAGCCAGGGGCGCTTGCAGTGGCCGAGTTGTGCGAGGAGCGCATAGCCTTCCGCGAGCAAATCCTGGACGACGTCGGCGCGCTTGTCGACGCCGCGGCCGAGACGCTGCAGGTACAGTTTGACGCAGACGGCGTAGAGGCGGGACTCGGTCTCTTGGTACTGGGGGGGCTCGCGCAGAAACGGGGGCGTGATGTCGGCGTCGAGGGGGTCGATCAGGGACACGGTGGACACGTGCTGGACGACGCTGTCGAGTCGAATCTCGGCCTGGCGGAGGGCGCGCAGGTGCTCGGGGCTGTGGTAGCCGGGGGTGGCGGGGTCGAGGACGGCGTCGACAATCTGGCACAGGATCTCGAGCAGCTCGAGCGAGCAGCCGAGCGACGGGTTGACGACGTGGCGCAGGGGCGAGAAGACGGGCTTGGACAGGATCCGGGGCCCGTCCTTGATCATGACCTGCGCGGCCGTGCGCTTCTCCCAGTGGTGGATGCTGAACTTGTACATGGCGTCGTGGTAAAAGACCCAGTCGAGGATCAAGGCCAGGTCGCCCTGGTAGGTGCTGTGCTCGCGGTGCATCGTCATCGCCAGCCGCTTGCACCCGCAAAAGTACACCGACGACGTGGCCGCGGCGTTCGACGTGTCGTCCAAGATCTCGTAGTAGTTGAGCAGCATGCTGGCGGCCATGGCCTGGAAGTACTGCGAAGGCTGCATGGGGCTGTTTGTGTGGCCGCCGATGCTGCCGCTGCTGCTGCTGCCGTCCACGGTGTCGGTGCCTGGCACGGCCCCGTCGATGGCGACCTGCAGCGCGCGGATGGCCGTGGCCTGATGTGCGTAGGCGTACTCCTTCTGGCCGAGCGTTTGGTATGAGAGCGCCGAGAGCGCGTGCCGTGTGGCCAAAGCAGGCGGCCCGTCATCTGTCAGGGACATGCGCACCAGCAAGCTGTACAGGTCGTCGAACTGGTCGGCCGCGCCCGAGAACACGCCCGGCAGCAGACTGTGGCCTATGGTAGCCAGCGACGGGTCCAGGAAGCCCATGGAGGCGGGGGCGAGTGGTGTCGGCGTCAGCGTCGTCATGTGTGGTCGTGCGAGGTGCATGGCATAGTAGCTGGCCGGAAACGGGTCTCGGCTGTCGAGACGCGTCGTCAAATCTCCCAGATACAGGTCGATGTCTTGTTTGGAGGCATCGACAAACTCGTAGCCAGTCGTTCTGGGCCGCTGGATGTAGTGTGCATTGCCGCTGATGGATCGCCGTGGATCGTTGTCTTTGGGCCACGACAGCCGCAGGCCGTAGCCTTCGCAAGACTTGCCGCGTTGTTTGCACTTGGCACAGCCGGGCAGGGCGCGGTCACATGCAATTTTGCGGTCTGGCGATAATTCGTAAGTAAACAGTGAAGTAGCGATACAGGGGGGAAGATAAGAGGAAGATGGGCATACCACGGCAGTTCCAGCACCGTTTCGCCGATCGTACTTCGCCGACTTGAGTCTTTGGCGTGGAATTTGCCACCATGGCGAAGATGACGTCCGGTGGTGTGTCGCGGTATGCGTTGTGTTTGGATGTTGGATTTTGCGTTTTTGCGTGATCTGTGTGCGGCAATGGCGGCGCCAAAAGTTGCCTTGGATTACCAATGCGGGGAGAAGAGGGCGAGAGCGTGCTGCGGGCTGGATACAGTGCATTGGATTCGGGCGCCGGCTGCCTGGGACGCACTGACATCGAAATGCCAGAAAGTAGATGCGAATGCGACATGGTGCGTATAAATATGCGCGTTGTTCTCGCGAAGACGTCCGGTGTATGTTGTTGATCAAGATCGAAGTCAGCCAATCCAACAGTTGGATCCAAAAGTTGGATGGGCCTTTTGACTGGACCCGGAGAAAATCCCGAGAAATCTCAGCTGCTAACGAGCGGCTCAGGGGCCGCTGGCGAGCTGGCGTCATTGCTACACAAAGCGCTAAAGCCGGGTTAGCTAAGGTAAAATGCCGAGACAAGTCCAGCGTACCACCTTGGTGAACAGATCCACTGCACTGCCCCCGCCTGGTGGTTGCTACAAGCTTCTGTTGTATTCTGCTTGGCGGCCTGTAACACGACACATGTCCAATTAATGTCATCCCGCAGAACATATTTTCGAGCTTGAGCTTCACCCCAGAATCTCCAACGTTGCACCTTCACAACATGATCACCGACAGATGGCCGTTCCTGGGCTGCCCGGCCACAAGAGTAAAAATAAAAATTGGAAGTGGAATGTAAGCATTGGAATTGCTGTAGTTGGGCGCAGTACTAGGTACAAAGTAAGCTTACATGCAGAGCAGCACGACAAACACAATTCTGTTTCGCGTTTCCCCCCCCCCCCCCCTTGCATATCGGTTCCTGGCGTAGGGCTGAATGACGGACAAAGTGAGAGCTAGCTACGACGTCGATGCATCCAGAACAACAAGCTTTTGTTGGTTTCTTTTGGCGTGTATGTTGCGGTGCGTCGGCCATATCTCGCCAAGTGCCGCTAAACAGACTCTAAATAGGCGAGCGTAACGGTTGCTGACAGCTGTCAGACTGTAACTAAAAAGTACGTAACAACGCATCTCGGTCAATCTCGGAATCAGGGAGATGCATCCTATTGGCTTCCATGCCACGTGCGTGGGGCTGCATCGGAGGTCAGTTGGAATGTTGCATGGACAAACTACGCCATATTCCTCTGTCTCAGTGATGATGTTTGACGCCTGCAATCTTCTACGGTTGTTTGTTTTACATGCAATCCAACGTATCTCGATATGTACGACCTTTAAAGACAAATAAAATAACACCCATGTTTACTGTTATGTCTTTTTGATGCACTTGATGTTTGATTTTATTTATTTATTTTTAAAAATTTGTTCTTTTTTTTAATTAAAATTACATTTCGTTTATTTCAAGTAATGCTATCGCACGAAAGAAAACGAAACAAAAAGACTTAAAAGACATCAACATTACCCAACTGCACTACAGCACTCACAATATCATCCAGGCCTTCACGCTTTCACCACACCCTCTAGACATACGTCAGGCCGCCGTCAACGTTCAGCACCTGGCCCGTGACAAAAGAGCTGCCCGGGCTGGCCAGGAACAGAATGGCGTCGGCGCACTCCTGGGTGGTGCCGTTGCGCTTGATGTGCTGGTCGTGGCGGAAGCGCTGCGTGTACGGGTTGTCTTCGGGAAAGACCAGGTCGGTCTCAATGGGGCCCAGCAGCGCCACGTTGGCCGTGATGCCCCGGGGCGCAAAGTACTCGGACCAGCCGCGCGTCAAGGCGTGCAGCGCAGCCTTGGAGCCGGCGTAGAAGTTGCCGGGCGCGATGCCGAAGCGGGCCGCGACGCTGGAGATGTTGACGATGCGGGCGCCGGGCGCGGTCAGGTGGGGCTCGGCGGCCTGGATGAGCAAGAAGATGCTGCGGACGTTGATGTGGAACGTGGTGTCAAAGTCCTCGAGGGTAAACGAGGCGAGGTCCGGTTTGGCCGCCAGCATCGCGGCGTTGTTGACGAGAATGTCAATCGTGCGGCCCGGGAAGCTGGCCGTGGTCGCGGCGACAATGTCCGTGCCAAACGTCGTGCTGGCGGCGTCGGCCTGGACGGCAATGGCCTTGACACCAACGGCCTCGAGCGCCTTGACGTTTTGGAGGGCGGCGTCCTTGCTGGTGTTGTAGTGGAGGACAATGTCGGCGCCCTGTTTGGCCAGGGTCAGGGCCGTGGCAAAGCCGACGCCGTTGGACTTGCCGGCGCCGGTGACAATGGCAAGCTTTCCTTGGAGCGAGGCAGACATTGTGGAGGTGGTGGGAGGGATAAAGTGGTTGAATGAGAAGTGGTGAATGTTTTCAGGCGAGTAATTGCTGTTGAGGTGAAGATGTAAAGACGTGAAGATGTAAAGATGTGAAGACGTAAAGATGTGATGGAGAGATGTCGAGAAAACGAGTGGTTGACTCAAGGAAGACTCATGGTTGTTATATACTTCACAATCCCGCCATTTTCCATTTCTACTTTTCTAAAATTTAGGACCATCTTTGACATTCTTTCCTCGTCGGTTGGCGTTGCCAATTACCAATTGTCGAGATCTTCCGGTTCCCGATGCAATGGGCGTCTCCGTATGTGTTTTCAATTAGGATGCATAAGTCGATTCTCGTGTTATTTAACGCGCTATGCCGAAATGCCTGGGGAAAAGGATCAGCTAATCATACTTGACTAATACAGGGCGATGTAGAACAACGGGGGGACCTCGAAAAAGGTTGATCCGGATTGTGAAGCATTTCGTGTGGCGCTGAAAGACGCGCTGAAGAATCCGTTTCGAAGCCCTGCACAGAAAGCTGAGCAAAGTGGGAGGACGAAGAGCAACTTTTTGCGCTCGATGTCCCAATTGGGAAGGCGCCCAAGCCCGTATGCTGGCTTGGCATTGGCTGGAGCATGGGCGGACCCATTTTAAAGCTGCCTAATTAGTGGGCCCAAAGAAGCTTTTCTCTTGCGCTGAAGCTTAATTTCGAGGGAGAAGAAGAAGTTATTCAGTGCTGAGTAACAGATGTGGGTCGCGCGAGTGCCTTTCAAATCTCTCGTGGCGGGAGCAACTTTGTGCGCTTTGCAACACCTCCCTTTGAATCGACCGTCTGGCAAGGAGTTGTTCCGCAAGACTGTATTTCGTAAAGACTTGCCTATTCCGCGGTGGCTGGATTATCTCTGAATCCTGCACGCTAATATCCACAGCAAAACCGCTGTATTTACACACTGAACGCTGGATGACACAGACGACTCCACTGTAATTTAGGCACCATATCCATAGCAATGCTGACAACCACAGCACGTGGTTATGTGATGCTTTGGCTGTTGATTAGACAGTGTGTGCAGACAGGCTACCTGCTTTCTAGTCTGTCGTCCATCTTAAGAGCGAATAGGACGTATGAAGCACGTCGTAAGCTGTAACTGTGGATCAACAGCGGAGACGATACATATCGAGAGCAAAAATGTGTGGAATACAGCAACACGAGAGCCAGAGTACGGCGTACTTGGCTTTTGTACTTAATAAACAGAGACTGTCGTTCTCAAGCACCCAAAGACTCAATTCAAACATCATCAGCTGAAAAGAAATCACACCAATCACTTTGTGACCCGACGTCCATAACACAACATCTGAACACAGACATCGCACACCGAATTCCGGGTCACCTGACCAGCCACATTCCTGCCGCTCCCTGCACTCGGTTCCCACTCCCCGAACACCGAACCACGTGACTTGACTGCCGTCAGCATGACCTCGCTTGCGTCCCCGTCGTCTAACGACATTGAGAAACACGCCGACACACCCCGAGGCAGTTCCGAGTCTGACCTGCGCCCGCAACAACACCACGACCACCGACAACGAGAAGGCCATCCCGAAATCCAAGGCGTCCGATGGATTCTGGTCTGTCTGGCACTCTACCTGTCGGTGTTCATGTACGGCCTGGACACGACGATTGCAGCAGACGTGCAGAGCGCCGTGGTGGAGACGTTTGGGTCCGTGCCGCAGCTGACATGGCTCGGGGCCGGGTTTCCGCTGGGGTCGGTGGCGGTAATTCTGCCGTACGGCCGACTGTTTACCACGTTCAACATGAAGTGGCTGTACATTGGCGGCATCGTCCTGTTCCAGGCCGGGTCGGCGCTGTGCGGCGGCGCGCCGAGCATGGGAGCCCTCATTGTCGGCCGCGTGCTGGCGGGCGCGGGCGGGACGGGCATGTACCTGGGCGGGCTGACGCACTTTACGGCGCTGACGTCGGCGCAAACGCGGGGCACGTACATCACGGGCATCACGTTTGTGTGGGGCATCGGCAGCATCCTGGGCCCTGTCGTGGGCGGCGCGCTGAGCACGAGCGGCGCGACCTGGCGATGGGCCTTTTATCTGAATCTCATCATCGGCGCCGTCACGGCCCCCATTTACGTCGTCTATCTGCCCGCCATCCACCCGGTCACCGGCAAAACGGTCCGTGAGCGGCTGGCGACGCTGGACTACGTGGGCTTCGTGCTGAGCGCGGCGGTGTGGGTGACGTTTGGCCTCGCGCTCGTGTCGGCCGGCGGGCTGTGGGCCTGGCGCGACGGCCGCACCATTGCGACTCTGGTGGTGTGCGGCGCGCTGCTGGCGCTGTACGCAGCGCAGCAGTACTTTTGCTGGTGGACGACGCCCACGACGCGCTCGTTTCCCGCACATTTGCTTTCCTTTGACGCGCGCCGCCGCCGCGTCAGCGTCACCACGCTCCTGTTGTACGTCGCCGCCTCAGCCTGCATCGCCACGCTCTACGTGCCGGCGTACTACATCCCCGTCTACTTCCAGTTTGTGAACAACGACACGGCCCTGCTGGCGGCCGTGCGCCTGCTGCCGTTCATTCTCGTCACCGTCTTTGTCAACCTCGCCAGCGGCTACCTGCTGGCCAAGATCCAGTACTACAAGCTCTTCTACCTCCTCTCTGGCCTGACGCTGACTGTGTCGGGCGCGCTCTTCTTTGTCTACCTGCAGCCCGCGACGCCCGTCCGCATCATTTACGGCTTGTCGGTCCTCGGCGGCTTTGGCACCGGCCTGTCGCTGCAGATCGGCTACGCCGTCGCCACGCTCATCGTCGACCCGGCCGACATGGGCAACGCCATCAGCCTGCAGAACGTCAGCCAGGTCGGCAGCACAATGATCTCGCTCGTGGTCGCGGGCCAGGTCTTCCAGGGGACGGCCGTGCGGAACCTGCAGGGCGTCTTGGCCGGCCTTGGCTACACGGCCGGCGACGTCCAGAGCGTCGTGGCCGGGGCCCAGAGCACGCTGTTTGCCACGCTGGACGACGCTGTGCGAGAGCAGGCCATTGGCGCCATCGTGTCGGCGATCCAGTCGGCGTTTTCGCTGGTGATTGTGTCGGGGGGGATTCTGGTGGTCGTCGGTGCGCTGATGCGGTGGGAGCCGTTGTTTGCCAAAACGGGCGACGAACAGACGAATGAGAATAGCGAATGAGTGAAGAATGACGGGGCGAGAGGGGCGAGCAGGTAGCAGAGGGAGTCATTTGGTTGACGTTGCTTTTTGTTGAAAACGCATTGCATTCATTGACATAGACTAATACCACATTATGCCAACATCCATCCACCTCAATGCTGTTATCAAGCCGGCACGCTCCCCTGGTCTACGCTGTCTCAATCTTGAACCCCGAAAAGGTCACCTGCAGCGACTCTCCCTTGGACACGTCGTATGGGTCGGGCTGCGCCGCGTAGGCGCCCACGAGCACGTCGTCGCCGAGCGTGTCGTGCGCCAGAAACACCCACGGCACCTTGCGGATAAACAGCCGCTTGTCGCCGCGCAGCAGCCAGACCAGCAGCGCATGCTTCTCGCGCGTAAACTGCAGCGAGACCGGCAGCTCGCCGCCGAGGCTCTCGCCCGCCAGCGACAGCGGGATCAGGCTCCAGTCGCTCCAGCCGCCCGTGCCGCCGGGGCCGCGCGCCACAATGCTGACGCACGGGCAGCCGTCGTTGACCTCGATGCCCGCCTTGACCCAGGCCGGGTGGTCGGCCGCGACGCCGGCGTTCTGGGCGTCCGGGTTGGGGTTCGACTTGGTCGGGAGCGTCAAGAGGAGGCCGGCCTGGTCGTACTGGGTGCGCCAGGCGGCGGAGGCGGTGACCTGCAGCGTCTGGAAGCTGTCGCGGGGGATGCGCTTGCAGACGACCGGCGCGGTGTAGTCGTGCAAGACCTTGGGGACACGCGGGGACGCGTAGATGTCCGACTTGGGCGGCGCGCCAAACGAGAAGCTGGGGCCGGTGCCGTTGGTCGCCAAGGGGCCGGCGGGGGCTGGGTCCTTGTCGGTAAAGTTGACAAACAGCAGGTCAGACATGGTGGGGAAGGGTAAGGTGTGACGGAATGCGATGGATGTCGTGAAAATTGTTGACTTGACTTCGGAAGTGAATTGACTGGAACAGAATTGAGTTGCGTTGAGTTGCGGCGTCGAGTGCCGACGACGTCTTATAATGCATGGAATTGAACGCACGATGAGCAATGCATGTCCTCAATCGACCACCATGTACGAAGTACTCCGTAGACCAACACTTGTCCTTCGGTAGATCCTCGGTGCCAAGCGGCGGTTTTGCCCTTTTCTGTTTCTCCCTATTTGGAGATGTGGACAGGCGCCGAGCCAAAACGACACGCGCCCTAGCTACGCGGTCTGAGCCCCGCCGTCTCAGGCACCTTTGTCAGCCTTAACCGCTAAATCGCCGCTATTCTCCCGCCTGAGCAGCTGCGTTATCTGGGACTTGCGGTGGGACTCGGAGCTCGGCGTCAGGGCAAATAGCGGGGTGTTGACGCTGAAGGGCCAGGCTTGGCCAGGCCCTTAACGGTAATGGGTGTTAGCGGTGGCCTGGAACATCAAAACCAAAAAGCAGTCCCGACGACCAGACTGTGGATAGTGAACTTTACGGTCGGAACTCGATTCGGTGACGAGGTGTCGACATGGCTGTTCCGAGACGAAGATGACGGAGAGTCGTAGTGCCGATGATGCGAGTATGACCGAATTAAATAATGTAATAAACAGCAGAGTCACAAAAGCAGCAATAAATGTAGCAGACAACGATCGCGACAATCCACTCGAACGACAAGAAGTCGGTGCTTCCACGAAGCAATCCACAAGGCACAAGGCGCCTTCACGTTCATGACCCACCATGGTATATTCCATCGTCGAACAGCCCATGGGCACAGCGCGACCGCTGCGCGTCGTCGTCGTCGGCGCGGGTGCGAGCGGCTTGAACGTGGTGCGCAGCATCAAGGAGCACATGAAGCATATCGAGGTGGTTGTCTACGAGAAGAACGGCGGCGTGGCGGGCACATGGCTCGAGAACCGGTACCCGGGGTGCGCGTGCGACATTCCGAGCCACAACTACCAGTACTCCTGGGCGCCGAATCCAGAGTGGTCGGAGTACTATGCGTCGCAGCAGGAGATTCGGGCCTATCTCGAAACGACGGCCGAAGCGCACGGGCTGCTGCCGTACGTGCAGTTTGAACAGAAGGTGGTGGAGGCGAAATGGGACGAGGAAGCCGGCCAGTGGCGTTTCACGATCGAGAGCGTGGCGACCGGAACGAGGTCCACCGACAGCGGCCATTTCTTTATCAACGCCAGCGGCTACCTCAACAACTGGAAGTGGCCGACCATTGATGGCCTGCACTCGTTCAAAGGCCCCCTTCTGCACAGCGCCGCCTGGGACGACAGCATCGACCTCGCGGGCAAACACGTCGCTGTCATTGGCTATGGCTCGAGCGGCATCCAGCTCGTGACGGCGATCCAGCCAATCGTGAAGCAGCTGACGACGTTTGTGCGCGGGCCAACATGGATCACAGCGGGCTTTGGTAGCAAGTATGCAGCGCCGGGCGGCCTGAATTTCAAGTTCACGGACGCGCAGAAGTCGACCTTCAAAAACGACCCCGAGGCTTACCTGGCCTACCGCAAGGGCGTCGAGCACGAACTCGCCAGCCGCTTCAAGATGCTGCACAAGGACACGCCTGAACAGCAGGCGGCCGTCGATTTTTCGCGCAACGACATGCTGCGGCGACTCGGCGGCGACCCGGACAGCCGCCTGGCCAAGACGCTGATCCCGTCCTTTCCCGTCGGCTGCCGTCGTCCATCACCGGGCAACGGCTATCTGGAAGCCTTATCGGCACCCAACGTGAACGTGGTGACGGGCAATGAAATTGTGCGGATTGAAGCAGACGGCCTTGTCGTCCAGGACGGAGCGACGGGCGCAGAAACCAAGATTGCGGTCGACGTGATTGTCTGTGCCACCGGCTTCGACCTGTCCTTCCGCCCACGATTTCCCATTGTTGGGCGACGCGGCGTCGACCTTCGCGATGCCTGGAACACTGACACCGACGGCCGCGCCACGGCGTATTTGTCCATGGCCCCGGCCGACATGCCCAACTATTTTGTGTATCTCGGCCCGCAGGCCCCCGTCGGCCACGGCTCCGCGATGCCCATCATCGAGCACCTCACAAAGTACATTTTGAAGATGGTGTACAAGATGCAGACCGAAGACTACAAAGCCGTCGTCCCCAAGCCTGCCGCCATTGCCGAGTTCGTCCAGCACGCCGACACGTTTCTGCCACGCACTGCCTGGGCCGGCCGCTGCCGCAGCTGGTTCAAGAACGGCCGCGAAACGGGGCCCGTCACCGGCCTGCACCCGGGCAGCCGGCTGCACTGGTTCCATCTGCTGCGCGAACCGCGCTACGAGGACTGGGAGTGGATGAGTCGGAGCGACAACCGTTGGGCGTACCTGGGCAACGGCTTCAGCACCATGGAGGGCGAAGGCCGCGACGTGACCTGGTACTTTGACAAGCCTGAAAAGGAGTATGACTTTTTTGTTTACTAGACAACCGAACACAGTGATAAAATACTGTGCAATAGCCTATATACACTGTATATGCACTGTATCTGTATCACCCAGCGTATGTCGTACAGAAAAACAAAAACAAAAACAACAAAACAAAATTTGCCCAGAAGACATACGTTTCTCGCCCAACTTGCGGCTTGCTATCCGTGGTCTGTTTGCCCTTGTTTCATGCCTGCGACCTTTGTTGCCAAACCACTTTTCAGTTTCTTTTCAGTTCATGTCCTCTCGCCAACTCAAGTTCCCCTTACTCATGCGCCATTTTACAAGAATGGCATCGCATGTTGCCACTCGTGCAGCTTTTCGAGCGTGTCTCGGATTGCTTTGCTGGACGCGACCGATGTCTCAAGTGCTGCCAGCAAAACTACACCTTCTGCATCAAAAACCGCTACAACGCCACCTGAAGCATCACCAGATGACGCGACAATGACGACAGGCCCCAAGATGCCTGCACCAAATGATAACGAGTCTTCTCTCACACCAGACCTGGCATTTACAGACGCAGCAGCCATTTTTGATCGCGCCGATAAGGTAGATCGCCTCGTCGACTGTCTTATTGTGGGCAACGTATCTACAACCGACTTTCACCAAATCGAGGCGGAACGGGACCGCCGCGGACGACGAATCCGCCTCTTCTTCCTGCCAGACCAGGCCTGCGCCATTGTCACCATCCCCACCGGGCCGCATGAACAAGCACATGTCGAGCTGTACTACGTTGTGCGAGATTCGCTGAAAGAAATGGGACTGGCGAACGAGTGGCAGACGGTCGCTGCGGAGACGTTTGCCGCAGCCAGCCGCGGCTCCGGCGAGGGCGATTCTGGTGGTGGGCCACTCTGGCGGGACGATGGGGGCGGCATTGTCTGGCCCACCATCGTCATACAAGCGGGCGTCAGCCAATCCATGGCATCGCTGCGCGCGAAAGCGAACTGGTGGTTTGCGGCCTCAGACAATCGTATGAAGATTGTGGTCCTTATAAAAGTGACACTCACCGCTACTGAATCCAGCATCGCTGTGGAGACGTGGACAGCAACCGCGACCGCACGCCACACGGGTCGCCCCGGCGCAACGACGACGCGCTCGTTCGTGCGCTCTATGCCGGCTGTCATGGAGCCCAGTTGCCAGCAGAGAGTCGACATTTCGTGGCCACTGCTCTCTCCCATTCGAAACCCCCCACGCCGCGACCGTGTGCGGGTACTCTTTTCTGTTGTGGGCGCTCCCATGGTCTTTGGATTTGAGGAGTTGATGTTGCGTCCTCCTGTCCCTGCGCATGGCGAGCACGACATTCTAATTACCGAGGCAGACTTTCAAGACATTGCCTCCCGAGTCTGGGGATGCTTATGAGGGGGAGGGAAATTAAAAAAAGGTCTATTAGCAATGGCGTTTCTCAACTTTCGCCTTCAATCTCGGTATAGATACGAGACAGCGCAACAATCTCGGCTCTGTTTCCGCTTCTCCCGACTCCGTTTATACCTCCGCGCTCCTGACACCAGTGTCCTTCCTTTCCGTGTCGACATGCGTGGCCGTCGGTCTGTCCTCGAAGACTGGGTGGTGTTAGTATTGTTCATAGCATTCATATAGCAGAATTCACATTGTCACACTCGGCCTTCCCCTCTACTTACTGGCATCCATCTCTTCGAGCGATCGGCCCTTGGTCTCCTTGATGAAAAAGAAGGCAAAGACCACAAGCGCCCAATTGAAGATGAAGAACATCAGGAAGGTGCGCCAGCCCAAGTTTTTGACCGCGTGCGGTGTAATCTGCGAAAAGGCAAAGTTGAACAGCCACTGCGTCGCGGTGCCAATGGCGACGGCGCCCTCTCGAATCCGCGACGGCATGATCTCGGCCATGTACAGCCACGGCACGGGGCCCCACGACATGTTGTAGGCCATGGCCTCGACATAGATGAAGGCGACGGCGGCGGCGGACGTCGGCTGCAGCGCGCCCGAGGCCGACGGCGGATGCGTCTTGACGAGGAGCGCGACGATGAGCATGCAGGCGCCCATGACAAAGGCGCCGCCCAGCAGCGAGAGCCGGCGACCGAAGCGCTCAATCATGAAGAGCACAAAGATGCCGCAGGCGACGACCTTGGCGACGCCGAAAAAGCCCGTGAAGAACAGGTTGTTGCTGCCGGCGCCGATGGCCGTAAACACCTGCGGGGCATAGTAGGCGAGCGACGTGTTGCCGGTCAGCTGCACGCCGATCTGGATGGCCACAATGAGGGCCACGCGATAGCGGTTGATGGGCAGCCACAGCTCCTTGATCGAGTAGCCCTCGGTGCGCCGCTCCTCGTCGCGGATGCTCTCGACGATCTCGCGGTACTCGTCGCGCACGGCCGGCGCGTCTTCGCCGCGGACCCAGATGAGCGACCGCAGCGCCTCGTCGTCGCGCTTCTGGATCGCCAGCCAGCGCACGCTCTCCCTGGTGACGAGCATGCCGAGGCCCAAGATGCCGCCGGGCACGAGCTGCAGGCCGACGGGGATCTGCCACTGCGCGCTCTTCGTGCCGGCCACGTGCTTGCTGACGCCGTAGTCCACCCAGTAGCTCGTCATGACGCCCAGCGTGAAGAAGAACTGAAACAGCGAGCCCAGCTTGCCGCGGATCTCGCGCGGCGCCATCTCGACGGTGTACATGGGCACGACGACGGTGGCGATGCCGACGCCGACGCCGGACACGACGCGGGCGACGTAAAAGGCGGCGAGCGAGCGCGTCGGCGCGACCTGGATGACGGCGCCGACGCAGAAGATGAGCGACGCCAGCATAATCGTGCGGCGCCGGCCGATGCGCGCGGTCACGGGCCACGCGAAGAAGCAGGCAAAGAAGGCACCGGCCTGCAGCAGGCTGGTCGAGTTGGACGAGACGTCGGTGTTGTTCTTGGTGCGGAAGTCGGCGACAAACGACGGCAGCGTCAGGACGCCGCCGATGATGCCCGTGTCGTAGGCAAACAAAAAGGAACCGATGCAGGCGAGCGCCGAGAGGTACGACGCCCGAAAGGTGCCGATGCGGGTCATGGTGGCGGCGTGCGTGAGGTGAAGCAGCGGCGAAGAGGGATGGGAAATAGGCCAGAGGCAGAAAACAGGACGATGCAAGACGAGACAACCGACGGGCTCGAAGAAACGAACGCGGTGATGTTTGAATCCACGCGCAGAGGCAAAACGGGCTGTGAGCACACCGTCTTTATTTACGGGCAGGAGCGACCAGCCGCAGCGACGGACAGCAGCGCCTTCCCATCATCACGCAATCGCATGTCTTCTTCGCTCCTTCCCTCTTTTGGCCGTCCCCTTGCCAGTCGGTGAGCATGCTTTGCAACGTACCAGGATGCTATGGCCTGCGAAAAGTATGGACGTCTTTGTGGACGACGCGAGCACACACGTCTACTACGCCCGCAAAGGACGAGCTGGGTCCACACAAGCTGGATGCTATCGAGCACGCCATGGCACACTGTCGCCCAAAAGAGCAGTCCGACCGACTTCCGGGTGGACCCGCTTTTCCGCTCTCGTCAAGCCGTGGGTGTGGCAGTTGCGAGATCCACTCTCGAGATCCATTTTCCCAAAGCGGAAACTACGAACGCAAGTCACAGTCCCTGAGTCCACCACAACGACCGTCGTCGGGTGAAAGGGGGGGACCGAATGAATGTGGGACGCCCCCTCTTTTCGGCTGTACGAGACATCAACGACGTGCCCCTTTTTGTCGGCGCCGTCGCCTGTGTTGTTGGATCACGGCATCATACACGAAAGACGCAACATCGCCGCACTACAACGCCATCGTCCACAGTCTCCAATCTGCTCCGCATTCTCACAACCCGCGACGTCACCTCGATACCACCATGGCACGACCAAACATTGTCTTCATTCTGGCCGACGACCATGCTGCCAAGGCCATCAGCTGCTACGGCGCGGGCATCAACCGGACGCCCAACATGGACCGGCTGGCGGCGGAGGGCATGAAGTTCAACCACTGCTATGTGACCAACTCGATCTGCACGCCGTCGCGGGCCGCGATTCTGTGCGGCACGCACAACCACGTCAACGGCGTCATGACGCTCGACAGCAAGATCAACAAGCACCTGCCCAACGTGGCCAAAGCGCTGCGGAGCGAGGCCGGGTACGCGACGGCCATGGTGGGCAAGTGGCACCTCGGCGAGGGCCAGGAGCACGAGCCGACGGGGTTTGACCACTGGTCGGTTCTGCCCGGGCAGGGCGAGTACTGGGACCCCGCGTTCATCGGGCCGGACGGCGCGGCCGTGGAGCCCGGGTATGCCACGGACATTATCACGAAAAAGTCGCTGGACTGGATCGACGCGGTGCGCGCCGAGGATCCGGCGCGGCCGTTTTTCCTCATGTGCCACCACAAGGCGCCGCACCGGTCGTGGGAGGCGCACCCGCGGCACAAGGACCTGTACACGGACCCGGTGCGCGTGCCCGAGACCTTCGACGACGACTACAAGAACCGGGCCAAAGCGGCAAGTCTGGCCAAGATGCGCGTGGCCGAGGACCTGACGTACTACGACCTGGGGCTCGTGCAGCCCGAGGGCAGCGGCGACGCGGTCGGCGAGCGCCTGGCGTCCGAAGGGTTCAGCACCCATCGCAAGATTCCGGCGCCGACCACAGAAGCGGGTGTGCGCGCTCTGCGGCTGATTGACAAGGCGGACGGCCGCGTGTTCACCTTTGCGACGCCCGACGCGCTCGCGCAGTTCAAGTACAAGCGCTACATGCAGCGGTACCTGCGGACGATCCAGGCGATTGACGACAGCGTGGGCGCGGTGCTCGACTACCTGGACCGCGAGGGCCTCGCGGACAACACCATGGTCTTGTATAGCTCCGACCAGGGCTTCTTTCTGGGCGAGCACGGCTGGTTCGACAAGCGCTTCATGTACGAGGAGAGCTTCCAGATGCCGCTGCTCGTCAGGTACCCGCCCACCGTCGCGCCCGGCAGCGTCTGCGACGCCATTGTCAGCAACGTCGACTTTGCGCCGACGTGGCTCGACGTGGCCGGCGTGCGCATCCCGAGCTACATGCAGGGCGTCTCGTTCCGCCCTCTGCTGGAAAACGAGGGGAACGCCCCGCCTGCCTGGCAGCAGGTTGCCTACCACCGCTACTGGATGAACAACGACGAGGGCCACAACGTGCTGGCGCACTACGGCGTGCGCAACCACCGGTACAAGCTGATTTACTGGTACAACGAGGACCTCGGCGTGGCGGGCGCGCGGCCCTGCACTGACTATACGGAGAAGGAGTGGGAGCTGTTTGACTGCGACAAGGACCCGCTGGAGCTGTTCAACGTGTACCATGACCCGGCCTATGCGGACACGGTCGTGGAGCTGACACGGATGCTGGAGGAGAAGATGGCCGAGATTGGCGACGAGCCGGTGCATAAGACGGCAGCACAGAAGACGATGGTCCGGACGTAGATGGGGTGGGGCGAGAGGCAGGAATCGAGTATATAGTGGTGTAGTTAGTCGATGCTGGAACAGAAGATGAGATTGTCGCTCAACCGTAAAGAATTTTGAACACATTATACTAGACTCGCCGCGGTCCACCTGGAGCATACATCAAGTGTAGTGTCGCAGAACGTGTTAAAAATGGGGGAAAGCTCGACAAGGAATCCATTTCCCCAATGCAACATCCAGATTCTTGCAGTGCCACGCCCCGGCGTTTCCTCTCCCGAGAGTTGCAAAAATTGCAATTGGCCTCCAATTGGCCGCTCAGGAGTCAAAAAATGGAAGAACGGCATTTTTAAAGCCATTGCCTGTACGAATCGCAACGGACCATATCCTCCCATTTTCCCCCGTTAACCAACCCTTGCTGATGTTCAACCGTTGGACATTCCCTGCGGCGATTGCTCCGAAAACAACATTCACATCATTGTTCACCTTATTACGGCGCACAACTCTCAAGATGTCTGCGGCAAACTCACTACAACCAACACTGTCGAGAAATCCAATGGATCGCGACGAGGCTGACCCAGACGGCAACACGATTTTTCACCGTGCTGTTCTTGGAAACGAGAACCTCGACGACGTTGTCGCCCGGGCAGCCGAGCTCCATGTCAGCGCAGACCAGCCAAACAAGGCGGGCCGCACGCCGCTTCATGTCCTTGCCAGCCATGGCTGGTACGATGACGTATTTTCACTTGGGAGTGGCTATGTCGCAGAAAGGGTCCGTGACGTCCTTCGGCATGCCCATTTCCGCAATGTTGACGCTGCCGATGCACGGGGCCTCTACACTTGGCCGCCATGCTTTCCGAGATTTGTGTGCGCGAGCTCCTCGCCATCGGAGCCGATACCACGGTAACAACGCGGCATGGCCTGATGCCCCTGCATCTAGCGGCCCGCGCACGCCGGAGCAATGTTGTGGGTTGTTTGCTCGACACCATCCGTGAGCGGGGTGGCACGACAGCCATTGCTGCAGCCCTCTCTGCGGTCGACGAGGTCGGTTGGCAGCCACTGCATTATGCATGTCGCTCAGGGCGACCAGAAACAGTTGCTCTTTTGTTGCAAGACGGTCCTAGTAGCAGTGTTTCTGACTCCACCTTGCCGTCTCTGCTTGCAGCCTGTGCTGCGTTTGCACAAGAGCAGCCTCTTTGGGAGTCATATCACAGGCCAACGCCTCTTGATCTTGAATCGAGAACATTGATGGGGTTACCAAACGGTTGGAAAAACGATGTGGTGGCAGGCATTGATCGACTCGACCTATTGAGACCGTGGGCAACGGCAGGCCAACTGGTACGCAACGCTACGGTGGCAGAAATTGCGTCTGCATATGAGAGAGACGAGGGGGACGAGGGGGACGAAGATGCGGATATCGCCGGTGACGTGGAGGGCATCGTCAACAACAACGGCCAAGTCCGTACTGATCAGGACACGACACAGCTGCGGCCAATCCTGCAACAGATTTACGAAGCACATGAAAGAGATTACGCAGCGGGTCCACAGTCGTTCTCAGAGCATCTTCGCGCGGTATCTCGGAAGCTAGCTGCATCACCCTCTTCTGAACCGGACGCATTTCTAAAATACACGTCACAGTGTCTTTGTGACTTTGAACGGGAGCTGGAACGGGAAGCGGATGGCCAACAGCATGGTGACGACATGGGCAACGACAATGATCTTTCCGCAGTCGAAGAAAGAGAATGTGGCCCCGACTTCAAAAACCTCGGTCCGGTGTTTGGTGGCGGCGACCGGATTGTTGGCCGGCTGATTCGAAAGCGCCAGTTCGACCAGATCCCAAGACTGCTGCTGCGCTGGGCCACGCCAGGGTTGTTTCTGCAAGAGAACAATCTGCGGGACATCAAGCGTGGCAATTGTACCGTTCCCAGGGATGGCTCTCGGATGGTCTTCGGGTGGCCGTCGAGCTGGGCCAGGTGGACATCTTGGCTACTGCCCTTGCAAAGGCGTCCGCCAGACAGCCCCCGCTCGCTCTCCTCCGAGAAACCGAGACCACCGGCACATCCTGGTCCGACCCCCTCCTCTACGTTGCGTGTTGCGAGAGCTGCCCAATATGGACGTTGTTCGCCTGCTTGTCGAGACGTGCCATGTCGACGTCAACGGTCGTACGATGACCATGGATGAGCGAGCCAAATCGTGCACCAGAATGTGGCCGCAGGGGACTGATGACGGAGACAACCGTGTGCCCGGACATGAGACAGCTCTACTAGGAAGACCTGCTACCAAAGCTACAGCTGTGATGTCGCCACCTTTGGTTTTATTTAGAATCAACAATCATCCATCACATATTTATCTTGTTATTATTCAGGACCCTACACTATGGTACGGCTTTCTGAAACGTGATACTTGTCTTCACTCCTTGTTCCGTTACCTGGCATCTCAAAGTCAGGGACGTTTACGCCCGTGCGTAATAAGTAAGATGAGATTATGGCTCAACCGTAAAAAATTTTAAACACTTACGAAGTACGTCGACGTCCTAGATCGTACTGGACTCGGCGGTCCAACTGGACCATGCGTCAGTGTAGTGTCGTATGGCGTGCTAAAAAGAGGGGAAAGCTGGGCAGGGGTCCCCAGTGTCTAACTGTGGTTTATCGCATGTAACCAGCTCATGCAGCACAGGTCACCTAAAGTACTTGGTACTGCTTGTTGTGTTTTGGTTTCTGCGAGTCTCTACACGAGTGGATGTCGCTTTACTTTATTGTCAAACCCCCCCCCCCCACACCCAACCGGAATATGCATCAAAACCAGTGTCGACACCGACAATGGACCAGCTGACAGGCAGTTTTCCCGTGGCAGGCAGGGCCAGACTCACTTGCCAGCAGTGTCGAGCGAGGAAAGTGCGCTGTGACGGAGAGGCAGAGGGCTGCGGCGGCTGCAGGCGGCTGCACTTTGCCTGTTCGCTCCCGGCCACATCGACCACATCGACCACATCGACCACATCGACCACATCGACCACATCGTCGTCACTGCCGGCACCACCCCGACAACGAGTGAGCCGCGCGTGCAACAGCTGCCAGCAGCAAAAGGTGCGCTGTTCCGGCACACGGCCGCGCTGTCTGCACTGCGCGCGTCGTGGCGTGGCCTGTGTCTACCAAGTACCGCCGGCGCGATGGCGCCACCGTCGGACATTGTCGGCCGCCGACGATGCGGCCATGGATGCCCCCGTACCACGCCAGCGATCACCGGCCGCGACAGCACCAGCAGCAAACGACAAGGAAACGTGCATCTCCTGCCGCGACCTCGTGCGTGTCGCTCACGGCGGTCTTCTTGGCAGCCACAACCGGGACGCCCTCCTCGCGCGCGTCGACCACTTCTTGCGGCACGCCTACCCGCTGCCGTCCTACTCCCTCCTGCACCCGGCGACGACGCGCGCCAAAGCGGCCGCCGGCCAGCTGGACCGGGCACTCGCGCTGGTCCTCTGCGCGCTGACGCAGCTGCATCCGCACATACGGCAGGCCGACTGGCATGCCAGCAGCTGCCAGGGGACGTGTCTTGTCCGCGAGGCCGAGACGCTCGTCTGGCAGCAGCTGGAGCGGCCGACGACGGCGCGGCTGCAGGCGCTGCTGCTGTGCATCAGCCACCGCATGGAGACGGGCCACTTCCAGCGGGCGTTTATGCTGGTGTCGCTGGCGGCGCGGTCGGTGGCCGCCATGGGCCTGCACCAGGAGCCTCTGCGCCCGGACGGCGCGCCGTCGGTGCACGTACACCAGCACCACTACCGCCACCACGAGGAAGTGCGCCGCCGCATCGTGTGGAGCCTCAAGCTGACCGAGCGGTACTTTTCGCACGGCCTCGCGGCGTTTGAGCTGTGTCCCTTTGAGTCGATTGATCTGCAGCTGCCGTGCCGGGAGGAGGCGTTTTCGTTTACGTCCTTGGGGCGGGCGAGTGCCGACGATGACAGGGACGACGACGGCGGCGCGCTGGGCGTGTGCGTCCGCCTCGAAAAGATGCGCCGCGACATTATGAAGATGATCCGCGCCGTGTGCAAGGCCGACGGCAGCGACCGGCCCGTGCCGGACCTTGTGCCGGACCTGGTGGCGCAGATCCGCGACAACGAGCAGCGCCTGCACGCCATCGGCACGCATTTCCCGCACGGCACGGCCGTCGGCCACGCCGACCTGCAGCGCCTGGTCGCCCAGGCGCCGCAGTGGATCGCGCGCCACGTGCAGATGCACCTGTCGTGGCACCAGTGCTTCTGCGACATGTACCGCCTGCTGCTGCCCGGGTTCTACGAGGCGGCGCCGGCGGCCGTCCTCGCGACCGTCGACGCGGCCGCGCTGGCGTGGGCCGAGCGCGCGTGCGTGCGCCACGCCTGTGCCATCCTCGACCTGCTGTCGGGCCTCAACCAGATCAGCGCCGTGCCGCTGCTGCTCGAGTTTGACACGGCCATCTGCGCCTACCAGGCGGCGCTGGTCGTGCTGTTCATTGCGCGCTTCGGCCGCACGCCGCAGCGGCCGACGCACGAGTTTGCCGCGAGCCGTGCTGCGCTGTGCCTGGCGGCCATCAACCGCTTCTTCCCGTCGTCGGCGCTGATCCAGCCGATCCGCGAGGAGCTGCTGCGGGCCATGGACGCGTATGCGACCGGCACACAGGTCCAGAGTGTTCAGAGTGTCCACCAGCAGCAGCAGCAGAGCCAGCACCATCGGGCGGCAGACTCGACCGACGCGTCGCCCGCGTCCAGTGGCACGCCGACGACGGTTGCCACCATTGCCACCCCCCAGCAGGAGCCGTCGCCCGGGGCGCGGTACATCCGCGACAAACTGGCGATCCACAGTCTGCTGCGGCGTGCCGACTTTTCCGACGGCGACGACACGTCGACCGACGGCATGGACACGGTCGTCGCCGAGGCGGGCCCCGTGACGGTGAGCGTCTACCCAGCTGGCCTTCCCTTGCAGCCGCCACAGCCGCAGCCGTCGTCCTTCTTGTCCGACAGCACGAGCCCCGGCTTTGTCCCCGCCGACGGTCTGTTCCAGCAGCCGCTCGTCGAGACAGCCGCGTTCGACTTTGCCGCGTCGTTTCCCGTGGCCGAGAACCGCACCGACGGCGACGCGCAGACGCTCGACTTTCCCCTGTTTCCATGGTACGGGCTGATGGAGCAGGGGCTGTTGGACGGCGGGGTGTCGTGAGGCAGACGTGAAGGAAGACGTTGTGATGATACTGTCGTGTATTCTACGATATTTAATGATTATGATATGACGTCGTCCCATGAATAATATGATTTATTATGGCGCTCCTTCCTGCCCACAAGGCTGCATGGCAAGAACCACGGTCATTGACGAATGGATGTGAATGAGGCGGTGAATGGGGCGGCGTTTGCTCCGATATCCCCGTTGTGTTGGAACCGTTTTCGAACAGGGATATTTCCAGGACTTGCCAGAGTAACTGCATTTGGACAACAGCCGACATCCGATGCACGGTCCGACGCAGTCGCGAGTGGAGCTCGTCTTACACGGTAGAGCGTTACATGAGCTTGTCGGAAAGAGAAGAGAGACCGGCATCCGAGATTGGATTGCCCTGTGTAGCTTTTTTTTCTTGTTGTTATTAATATCTGGATTGACCCTCGTTCTTGCATTTTGCACTGTTTTGCGTGAACGCCAATCACGTCGAACAACACCAAGATGACGATTGCTGGCCCCGGCGTCATCGTCTCGCTGCATCCAATCTGGGACCACGAGTCTGCAGTCTGCGCATAGGATAGAAAGTACATCAAAGGATACCACCGCTATTTAATATTGTGCTTGCCGCAGCCCCCGGCCCCCCTCTCCCCCTAATTCACCGTCCAGTACGTCGCATTGGATATGCCCGTCTTGGTGCCGCTCTGCGTCTTGATGCGGATCTTGATCTGCGGCACCGTGACGCCGGCCAGGTCGAGCGTGGCCGCAAAGGTGTAGTTGGTGCTGGCGGGCAGCGGGGTCCAGACGCCACTGCCGGGCACGGCCCACTCGGCCCAGCTCTCGACGGCGGTCCAGTACGACCAGGCGACGGTGGGCGCGGTGGCGGCGCCGGAGACGTTGTAGGTGCGGAAGGCCGGGCCGAGCGGGTCGCTGGTGTAGGTGGTGGCGAGGGCGAGGACGGTCAGGCCCTGGGCGGCGACGTCGACGGACCAGGCGGCGGGGCCGCTGGCCACGGGGTTCGTGCTGCCGGCGAGAACCCGGGGGGCGCCAAAGCGGGCGACGGCAAAGGGCTGGAGCTGGCGGGCGTCGAGGCTGAGGGACACGCGGACGTCGGCGGCCACCTGGCTGAGCAAAATGACAAACAGCGTGGCGCCATCGGCCGACAGCGCCGTCAGCCAGTCGACGTTGGTGCTGTCGTCGTCACCGGCGACGGCCACCAGACTGCGCGGCTGCCAGAGGTTGGCGGCGGTGCCGTAGACGGTGCCGGTGGCAAAGCCGTAGGGCACGTGGCTGCCGACCTTGCTGGTCAGGAAGCCCTCGGGGAAGCGGATCTGGCCGCCGCTCAGCAGCGCCGCGCTCGACACCAGGTAGTCGGTCAGCCAGCCAATGTGCCACCAGCCGTGCCACGGGTAGCTGCTGCCGCCCGTGTTGCCCTGGTACCAGTAGTAGCTGGGGATGCCGCTGACGGGCGTCACAAAGGCGTCGCGGCCGCGGGCGGCGATGCGCGCCAGCTGCAGGAAGTGGGCGTCGCCCGTGGCCGCGTAGATCTTGACAAACAGCCCCGCGTGGCTGCTGATGGTGATGGGGCCGTGCGAGCCGACCGAGCCGCCGTAGCCCGCGTGCTCGTAGCTGAGGCCCACCTGCGAGACCTGCCAGTCGGCCAGCACGGCGCCGGCCCAGTTCTTCTCTGACGCGTCCACCTGCGGGTGGTTGAAGATGTGCAGCGTGTAGAACTTGGCCGTCTGCACGGCCGCGTCGAGGTACGCGCTGTCGTTGGTGGCGTCGTAGAGCTGCAGCAGCGCGCCGGCGGCGTGGCCCGTCTGGAAGTCCGGGTACAGGTACGTGTCGTCGCAGACGCCGAGCCAGCGGCCCGTGCGGACGGCGTGCGCAATGAGCCACTGCGCGCCCGCCTCGGCGCCCGCCAGGTACTTGGCGTCGCCCAGCACGCGGTAGGCCGCCAGCAGGCCGTACCACGTGGCGCGCAGGTCCTGCAGCTCCGGGTACATGAGCGTCGCCGGGCTGGCCTTGCGGTAGCCAACGTCAAAGTCGCCGGCGCTCTTCTGCCAGGCGAGCAGCTTGTCGGCGGCGGCCGTGAAGCGGGCGAGCAGCAGCGCGTCGGTGCGGTTGAACAGCAAAATGTTGCCGACGTCGCTGAGGATGTAGAACGTCGTGAAGATGGGCGACACGTAGTCGACGGTGCTGAGGCTCGTCCACAGCAGCTCGCACACGAACGCGCCGTCGAGGTAGTACTCGCCGAGGGCGGCGCCGTCAAAGACGCCGCCCGACGTGTCCTGCTGGCCCAGCTTGAAGTTGCGCGCGTACGGCAGCCGCTCGTGCAGGATCAGCGGGTCGCCCGTCAGCCGCTGCACCATCCACATCGACGCCACGTCCGACAGCTTGCCCGACTCGGCGCCCATCTCGAGGCCGTCAAACGTCCAGCGGTGCCACTTGGAGGCCGCCGACGTCACAAAGTCGTGGATGCGGTGCAGGCGGTCGCTCAGCGCGTCCGTGTCGACGGCGGGCGCGTCGTAGCGGTCGAGCGGGTAGACCTCCTGCGACACGAAGCGGTTGACCTCGTACCACTGCGTCGTCGCGTGGCCCGCCGTCACGCTGTACAGGAACCGCCCCGTGACGCGCGCGCCCTTGGCCAGCTGCGAGTGCGCCTGGCCCAGCACCGGGTAGTACGCCGTCGGCGACAGCGTGCCCGTCGGCCCGCGCAGGCTCATGCCGACGTTCCACTGCTGCTGCGTGGCCGTGCTGTTGTCGGCAAAGGGGTCGCGCGCCAGCGACGGGTGGGCGATGGCGGCGAACGTGGTGCCGCTGGCGGCGGAGCCCAGGATGGCCACGAGGCTCGTCGTCGACGCCTCGACCGACACCCAGTTGCTCGCCGGCACGCCCTGCACGTACTTGTAGAACAGCTCCTTGGACGTCTCGATGCTGTTGGCCGACCAGTAGCCCGGCACCACGCCCCAGTCGAGGTCGCTGTCGGCGAGCTCGACCAGTCGCGGGCTCGCCAGCGACACCCAGCCCGCCGCCGGTGCCGTCCACGTCGCGTTCACCGCCAGCAGGTCCCAGCTGCGCGTCGTGTCCACCGCCCAGGCCGCCGTGTACGTGCCGTTGCCGCCGTCCGTCGCCACGGTCGTCGTCGTCGTCAGCGTCGCGCCGTCTGCACTCAGGTCGACAGAGTCCGCCCCGAACTGGTGCAGCGTCCCCAGCGCGCCCGCCTGCACGAGCGACGTCGACTGCGCCGCCGTCGTGTAGTTGGTCAGCACGCTGTACTGCCCGAGGACGGACGACTGCGTCGTCCACGTGCTGCTGCCCGACAGCGTCGCCACCGATGCCGTCCACGACCCGTCCGACGACGCCTCGTCGGTCCACGTCATGCGCAGCGTCCGGCCCGTCAGCGTATGGCTGATGCCGAACACCGCCGACGCCTGGGCCAAGCCGGCCAAGGCATAGAAAAGCGTGGACATGGGGGAGGAGTAGCAATATCAGGCAATAAGGAGAGGGGCAGAAAGGAAGACGGGATGCGGTGTCGTCTTTGAGAGAAGAGGGATGATTCCTCGTTACTGGTACTTTGATGACGACGACATTCAGGGACGCCACGAGACTACTTATAGAGACCAGGCACAATCACATCTGCCCGGATAGAGAAAAAAGGAAATGAGGAGGCGCTCCGATCTGCAGTCTGCATCTTGGAGTAGAGTGGGAGAAGGAAGGACAGAGTCGGGGTCCATTGCTGACGACACGATGTGTCTTGCGGGGAGCTAACATGCAGCTAATGTGTGCCATTTTATGTTGTCTCTCGCAGCTATCCTTTCGATCGTCTTGTCGTGAGCCTTCCAACTCCATTTTCACCGTCCTCCCACAGTGCCATCGGCTCCAAACGAAGTAAACCAACATATGCCATGTGTCGTCGCGAACTGAATGCAGGCAAACTGCAACCCCAACGAGTCAACGGGTCGCTTCCACGAACTCCTAGCGGACAGGGATCAGCGTCCTGCTGCATAAAACGTGAGCCGGTGTCGATTGCGGGGATTGCGGGGAGATGATGAAAATATGAGGAGAAGCAAACGAATGACAAGTGGTGTACGACATAGAACGTCGGAAAAGTGGCCGCCGAGGATATTTCAGTGACAGTCCAGGGACGTTCATGAACACGGCGGTTCCGTTGACAAGGGTGACAGACGTGGCACTTGCCGGCATCCGCTTGTCGTCCATATGCCATCGACACCTTGATCCCTGTCGCGGTGGCACCGTCCACTCCAGACATTTCTTGTTCTCCACGTTGATCTCCACGTTGTTCTCCACGATATCTGTAAGCACATTCGTAGATTCAATCCCACGTTCATATGATTGTTTGATTGTATTTTACTTGATTTCACCTATTTCGATGGATTTATTCAGTTCTTTGAATGTTTAAATTATTTACATTATTGTCGTAAATTCGGCTCGCCATAATTCAAACAGCCATACTATTCTTACATTGTCATGCCATCATAATACACGTACGTAAACCTCAAAGGAACGCTGCACTCGTGCTCCGCACTCGTACAATGCCCGCCGCGTCCGTCAAATCATCTTGGCTACCAAGTCCTGCAGCTCTTCACTGTGGGCCGCTCCTAGTCCGCCGTGCCCATGCGTCGCCCCCGCGGCCCAGATGCTCACGAGGCTGGCATACCGGCTGAGCGTCACCACTTCGGGCGGCATTCGCTTCGCCAGGTCCATGTCCATGTCCTCCGTCCCCGCGCCGCCGTCCAGCAATTCAATGACCCGCGCACTGACCGTATCAAACCGCGCCGCCAGGATCTTGCCGTCCTCCCAGCGCTCGCCCAGCGTCTGCAGGATCAGCGCAATGTCCTTGGTGGTCTTCCAGAGGTGCAGAGCGTGGACGTCGTCTCTCTCGCCGCGCGTCGCCGTCGGCGTCAGCGTGCACGTCAGCTTCCAGTAGGCGTACAGCAGCACCAGCCCCGTCCAGTAGACCTTCTCGCAGGCCACCTGCACGTAAAAGATGCCGTTCGTCTCGACCAGCTGGCGGTACAGCGCGGTGAACCCGCGGGCCGAGACCCAGAGCTCGCGCAGGGCGTCGACGCTGCGCTCCGGCAGCAGGCGGCAGGGGCGGAACAGGAGCATCTTGCCGACGAGCCACTCGCTGTCGGCCAGCGTCTCGCGGTTGCGCTCGGGGCGGTTGGAGAGCTGCCACGCGTCGAGTTTGCGCGCGAGGGCGTCGACGACGGCCGCCGCGTTTTGGCTGGCGACGCCATCGTCGTCGCCATCGTCGCCCGTCGGCGGCTGGCTCAAGGCGTCGTAGATTTCCGACTGCAGCTGCAGCGCCCGGTACCGCTGCACGTAGCCCTCGACCTCCACGGCCGTCGCCGTGCTCTCGATGCGAAACGACGGCAGCGGCACGTGGATCAGGGCGTCGGCAATTTCCGTAGGCCGCCCACAGCCGATGCTCAGCGACCGGTCAAACGAATACATGCTCCACCAGAGCCGCCGCCGCGTCTCCAGCAGGCTGGGCGGCGTCGTGGCGGCGACGGCCGGGTCCGGGTCCTGGTGCAGCCCCAGGTCCACGCAGTTGCGCATGCCGACGCCAATCAGGTACCACGCGTCGAGGACGGACGGGTTGAGCGTGGCAAACTGGATGAGGAACAGGAGCGACTGCACGCCGACAATCGTGTTGGGCAGAATGGCCGACTCGCGGAACTGCAGGCCGGCCTGGAACAGCCGGCGCGCCTGGTTGGAGATCATGCTGTCGGCGCTGCGCGAGAGGCTCGACGTGGCAATGGCCAGCACCAGCAGCACGGTAAAGTACGAGTAGCCCGCGTCGAGCGTCGGCCCACTACTGTTGGTGCTGTTGGTGCTGTTGGTGCTGTTGGTCGTTGGGTCGGCCGCGCTGCCACTCACACTGCCGCCTGTACTGCTGCCCGCACGCGCATGGCCGCCGTACACCTGCTGGAACTGCGCCCAGAAGCCCTGCAGCGAGAAAAAGGGCAGCCGCGGGTAGACCTGCTGGATGTAATGCTGGATCAGCTTGCGTGCCGCCGATTCGTCGGGCAGGCAGCTGGCGACGCTGGCCTGGGCGGCGGCCGCGCCTCCGCTCGCACGGCCCGTCTCTGGGTCGACGATAGACAGCAGCGGCAGCTTGCTGGCGGCCGCCAAGAGCACCGTCGACAGGGTCGGTCCTCGGCCCTCTGCGGAGGCTGCGCTCGCGTGGGCGTGCGACGAGGTGGAGATGGGCAGGGCGCCTATGTCGGCAATCAACGTGTCGATGGCGGCTGCCCCCGACGACCCGGCAGAGCCAGAGAGCGGCGGCGGCGGCGGTCGTGGCCGTGGCCGTGGCCGCCGTCGTGGAGCGTCCATCGACGGAAATCCGGCGGTTGGCAGATCTGCCGAGGACGCATTGAAGTCAAACGGCGTCTGTGACGGTGCGTGGGACGCCTCCATCCGGGCCCCTGGCAGCACCGGCCCCGTTGGCCCGCTCGGCCCGTCCGTTCGCAGCCCCGCGAGCCGCGTCTTCACCTCGGCAATCCGGCCCTGCAGAAACATCACGTAGTCGTGCGCCGGCCGTGCTGATCCGTCGGCCAGCGAACAGGTGCCAGCGCGTCCAAATTTGATGCAGCAGCCGCACGCGGGCACGCCGCCGTCGCACTTGATCTTGCGCGACTTGCAAAACGAGCAGGCCGAGACGACCTGGCTGATGCGGAGGGCGACGTCACGGGGACGGCCAGGTGGAGGCGGCGGCACGTCAGCAACGGCAACTGGATCGACCTGCATCGTGTCGTGAGAACGACGTCGTTTGACGTTGCGTTGCTTTGCGGAACGCCAATTGGGAAGGCGCCGTCGGTCCCGCGAGGCTGCACTTATGGGCGTTCCGTTGGAGAAGGTGCGTCTCAGAGTGCGGGGAAGGTGCGATTGTTGGGCAGTCGGGACAGTGGAGGCGTAGTGGAGTCGTTGACGCTAAGAATGTCTTCAGGGAACGGGCGTGGCGTTTGCGCACTGCAACCAACCACTACAGACGCTATCCGAACCAAGAATAGCGTCACGTCCACTAACCGACCGCTACTGCACAGCGTAACTGCCCCATTGTTTGGTTGTGGGCGGAGGCGACGGAACCGCCGTTCACGAGGAGGCAGAGACGCTTTTGATTTTCTTTTGTCCGTTTCTTGCAGGTAAATTCTGATATTAATTTCGGTTGCTTGTTTCGTACATGTGCTCGTCTTCGGATGTCCCGTTCCCCATAGACGCTCCCATAGACGCCAGTGTCGCGTCCTCCGCTCGCATGCCCAGACGGCGTTTCGCAGATGAGGACAGAAAGGAATGGGCAAACTGGACAAAGGGTACGCTTATGAGACGTGGGTGGTGGGTGCTTTGGAAGGCTGCTGCGAAGGGGAGGCAGATGTACGACATACTTGCCAAGGTATCTCAAGCGAGTGCAGTTGAAATCCCGCCGAGGACGCACATCGTGTGGCGACGTCAGACCGTCCGTGATAGTGTTCTTTGATTTGATATTTATTTTGATTTAAACATTCGACATTCACATAAGACCGACAAGACGGACGCGACAACATAACTCACTCTTGATTGCTGTCTGCCCTCATTCTCCTGACGACAACCCCCTCCCCCCTCTCTCCACACCACACACCACAATATGGCCCCTGCTCGCATCGACGAAGCCAACCTCCAGCGCGAGCCGGCTGTGGCGTCGCGCAGCTTCCGCAGCGACGAGCTGCATGCGGACGTGTGCGTCTGCGGCGGTGGCCTGTCTGGCACGATCGCGGCGGTGGCGGCGGCGCGCCACGGCGTGTCTGTGGTCCTGATCCAGGACCGGCCGGTGCTGGGCGGCAACGCGTCGAGCGAGGTGCGGCTCTGGATCCTGGGCGCGACGTCGCACATGTTCAACAACAACCGGTACGCGCGCGAGGGCGGCCTGGTGGACGAGATCCTGCTGGAGAACCTGTACCGCAACCCCGAGGGCAACCCGCTGATCCTCGACACGATCCTGCTCGAGAAGGTGCGCGACGAGCCCAACATCCGCCTGTTTCTGAACACGGCCGTCCTGGGCTGCACCAAGGGCGACGGCCCGGACGAGCACCGGATCGCGCGCGTGCAGGCCTTCAACGCGCAGACGGCCACGATGACGCACGTGGCGGCGGCGCAGTTCATCGACTGCACGGGCGACGGCACGCTGGCGTTTCTGGCGGGCGCGCCGTTCCGGGTGGGCGCGGAGGCGCGCGGCGAGTTTGGCGAGCGGTTTGCGCCGGACGCGGCATACGGGCACCTGCTGGGGCACTCCATCTACTTTTACAGCAAGGACGCGGGGCGGCCGGTGCGCTTTGTGGCGCCGTCGTACGCGCTCAAGGACGTCGAGGCGGCGATCCCGCGCTTCCGCAGCTTCTCGACGGCGGAGATGGGCTGCAGCCTGTGGTGGATCGAGCACGGCGGGCGCATGGACACGGTGCACGACACGGAAGACATCAAGTGGGAGCTGTGGCGCGTGGTGTACGGCGTGTGGGACTACTTGAAGAACAGCGGGCGCTTCCCCGAGGCCGCGAACCTGACGCTCGAGTGGGTCGGCACGGTGCCGGGCAAGCGCGAGAGCCGGCGGTTCATGGCGCCGACCATCCTGACGCAGCAGGACATTGTCGAGCAGCGCTTCCACAGCGACGCCGTGTCGCACGGCGGCTGGTCGCTGGACCTGCACCCGGCCGACGGCGTGTACTCTGAGATTGACGGCTGCACGCAGTGGCATGCAAAGGGTGGGCCACCCATTGTCTTGTTTCTTGTTTCTTGTTTCTTGTTTCTTGCTCTGCAGCGTGACGTCGCTAACATCACAGGCATCTATCAGATCCCCTTCTCGACCATGGTCTGCGCAGAGGTGCCCAACCTGCTCTACGGCGGCCGCATCATCTCGGCGACCCACGTGGCCTTTGCGTCGTCGCGCGTCATGGCGACCTCTGGCTGCAATGCCAACGCGCTGGGCGTCGCCGTCGCTCTCTGCAAGCGGCTCGGGCAGCCCGGCCAGCCCGGCCAGCCCGGCCAGCCCGGTCGGCCGCTCGACCCCATCCAGCTGCTCGCCAAGGACAACATGGCGACGCTGCAGCGCGACCTGATGCGGTTCGGCCAGTACCTCCCGGGCTACAAGCTGGAGGACGACGACGACCTGGTGCGGCGCGCGGCCTCCGTGGAGGGCGCCTCCTTTGCGCTGTCGTCGCTGCCCGCCGACGGCCCGCCCAAGGTGCTCGTCCGCAGCCTGGCCCAGATGCTGCCGCTGGCCGCGGGCGCCGTGCCCGTCTTGACCGTGACCGTCATGGCCGTCGCGCCGACGTCGCTGACGGTGCAGCTGCGCGGCTCGCAAAAGGCGCACAACTACACGCCCGAGGTGGTGCTGGCCGAGCAGGCGTTTCCGCTCGCGGCCGGCGCCAACACGCTGCGCATCGACTTTGCGTCGACGGCGTCCAACCCGCAGACGCAGTACGTCTTCCTCTGCCTGCTGAAAAACGACAGCGTCGCCGTCGCCACGACCAAGACGCGCGTCTCGGCCCTCATGACCGTCGAGCACGAGTGCGACCAGGCGCCGCCGCCGGACGTCGGCGTCGACGCCTTTGAGCGCTGGACGCCCGTGCGCCGGCCCATGGGCCACAACCTGGCCCTGACCGTCGCGCCGCCGCTGGCCGCCTGGGACGTCGCCAACGTCCGCAACGGCGTGCCGCGCCCGACCAAGCGCACCAACTGCTGGGTGCCGCCGCGACCGGAGGCGGGGACTGGGACACGTCGACTTGTGGTGGCGCGCTGGGCCGCGCCCGTCGCCGTCCGCCGCGTCGTCGTGCATTTCGACACCGACTACGACCACGCCCTCGAGTCGGTCCTGCGCGGCCACCCGGAGCGCGCCATGCCCTTTTGTGCCAAGGCGTGGCGGCTGCTCGACCTGTCGGTCCCCGACGACGAGAAGGAGCTGTTTGTCGAGGACGATAACCACCTGTCGCGCCGGGAGGTCGTGCTGGACGCGACCGTGTCGACGATGGCGCTGGGCGTGGAGATCCTGGCGCTCAACGGCGACGACAACGTCCTCGGCGGCCTTTTCGAAGTGAGAGCATATGCGTAGTCAGGGATGTGCCAGGGTAGTGTTGTCATTGATTGTTTGCTCATGTTCCAGAGACCATTCTCCATTTAGAAGTCTACATTTATCAAATTGCAATACATTTTATCATGTAACGACACCTCTACTTTTGCCTCCCGCCACAATGTCCCCGTCCCTTTACACCTCTGTCACGTAGACGGTCGCCTGGCCCATGGTCCACATGCGGACCTGCCACTCGAGCGACTTGCTGCCGCAAAAGAGAATGGTCCGGTTGCCCGTCGTCTCATCGCTTGCCACGTCCTCGCCGGCCATCCGTCTCTTTGCAAAATGCAGGTTGCCTGGACACGCCTCTCGCAGCGTCGCAAACGTCGCCGCCCACCATGCCGCCGGCTTCTCGACCGCGAGGCCGCCTGCGTCTTCGCCCGACGTGACAAACACAGACACAGACGACCACTCGTCGGGCCGCAGCAGCGCTTCCCGGAGCACAAACGCCACGGCCCCAAAGTCGTCGCTCCGCAGGCTCCAGCACAGCGACTTGGTCCCGGTGTGCGGCATGGTGAGGAACGGCGCCACGCCCGTGCCGCCGGCCACGCAGAGGCAGCGCGAGGTGTCCGCCAAGACGCCCGCCGCAAACCCGCCGCCCACGCCGACCACGTCCGCCGCCAGCGTCTGGTACGGCCGCGGCAGACCCAGCAGGCCCGTGATGCGCCCGTTGCGTGTTAGGATGGACACGTCGTCGCGTGTGGCCGCACAGGGTGTCAGCGTGCACCGTCGGTCGGCGTCGCTGAGACCGTGCGTGCCGGCAGTCGGGTCGAGGTCCGCGGGGAACTGCAGCGTCACATTTTGGGTTGGGCGGAGCCACCGTTCGGGGGGCGATGGGGGGAGAGGCGAGGACAAAGACAAGGACAAAGACGAGAACGACCCGTGGCCAGGCGGCGGTGGCTGTCTCGCAAACGAGTGGAAGCCAATGGCAGCCGTCACCCGCCGCGAGGACGTGTGAACGAGGGTGACTGGCTGGGGGGTCTGTGTCTGTGTTTGTGTCTGCGTCAGGGGTGCCTCTGCCATGTTGCCAGTGGAATTTGGAGGACGGAGTTGGGGCGACGGAAGTACCATGTCGACGGTAATTTCGGTTGTCTTTGGACTTCCTTCCCACCTCGTCTGGAACTGCCGTCGGCTCGACATATACTCGCATACTGCCAACGATGTGCAGGTGCCGTCCGTTCTCCCTGTGCTCTCGTCTGTCTCCTCTTGTGGTGCACGAACAAAAAACGACCTCCCCCCTGTCCCTCCACTAACACGATCACCAGAAGACGGAACCTCCGCTGTCATCTCACTAGTGCCATCTGTTTGCAACGGTCTTAGCCCCTCTTTCTTTTCAAAGAGAGCGGCGGTTCCGTCTTTTAACGCCATTTGCCATTTCAAGCTTGTTTTGTACTGTCTGTCGTCTTATGTCCCGTGAGTCGTCGGTACTAGCGACTAGCTACGCCTGTCTAGGAACCAGGCAAACCAGCCCATACCAAACCAGCAAGCTGATCCACACCTCGCCGACGCAGTCTTTTTCACGAGCAGAAGCAGAAACGTGGTCTGCAGCCTTTCACTTCACCTGACCTCTTCTCCACCTCGTCTTCCCTTTGCCAGTCGTCGTCTGTTCCTTTGTGTTCCTTTGCGGGTTCCTGGCGTTTTCATATTCCTCATTTGATTTCTGTTCTCTTTTCCTCCTCTTCCTTTCCCTCATTTCCTCCCTGTCGTCCCCTCTTATCCCCAACTGCCACCTCTCTTCTGCACCTCCACTTCCCCACAACACGCGTGCTCAAGGGTGCTCCGTATGGAGTCGAGTCCGGGGTCAGGTCTGTCTGGTTGAGTTCCCTGGTCTGAGTCCAAATTGTTTATTTTATTTTTTCCTTTTATTTTCCTTTTATTTTTCTTTCTTCCTTACTTTCCGTCACTAGCTGCTCATTCCGCGTGGTCAACTCTCCCATGTGTCCATCGTGCCAGTTGTTTCCCTGTCTTGTTTCCTCCTCCTCGCCCACCCTCGTCACTCCTCCCCGCTCCTATAATACAGGCGTCGATCCCCTTCCGTCTCTGTTGTCCGTCTCTGTCGTCCCCTTCTCTCTCTTCATGCACTTCACCGTCCTTCATTCAACTTGCTGCTCCTACACATCTGCACAATGGCCGGCACACAGTACAACAACGGCAGGATCAACCTGTGGCTGATCTTTTCCTGTGCCGTCTTCTCCATGGGCTCCATTGGTTGGGGGTACGTCCACACATCCACATCCACACATACTCCCTGGCGTCTTGGCTTGGCCTCTACTAACACCGCCACAGCTATGACATTGGCATTCTCAGCACCATCTATGTCGCCCCCGGCTTCAAACAGACGCTCAACAACCCCTCGTCGTCCGAGACGGGCGCCATCACCAGTGTCTTTTATGCCGGCCAGTTCTTTGGCTTTGCCTTCCTCGCCGGCCGCGTCAACAACAAGGTGGGCCGCCGCTATGCCGGCTGCATCGGCGTCCTCGGCATGTGCCTCGGCGCCGCGCTCCAGACGGGCGCCCACAACCTGGCCATGATGATTGTGGGCCGCATCATTGCCGGCGTCGGCTGCGGCATCGTGTCGACGTCCGTCCCGCTGTACCTGTCCGAGATCTCGCCCGCCAAGCACCGCGGCTTCTACGGCGCCTTCAACCAGGCGGGCATCGTCTTTGGCATCTCGCTGGCCTTCTGGGTCGGCTACGGCTACTCCTTCTGGAACACGGGCAAGGGCGTCAACCTCGAGTGGCGCCTGTCGAGCGCCATGCAGTTTGTGCCTGCCGTCCTCTTCCTCGCCGGCGCCCCGCTGCTGCCCGAGTCCCCGCGCTGGCTCGTGGAGCACGACCGCGCCGACGCGGCCGCCCGCGCGCTGACGCGCCTCCGCGGCACCGCCGACGTGGCCGACGTCCAGGCCGAGCTCGACGAGATCCACGCCAACATCCTGTGGCACAAGGAGCACTCCATCACGTCCGCGCGCGTCTTCTGGACCGACCCGAACCTGCGCGCGCGCCTGTGGCGCGCCTGGGCCGTGTCCTTTCTGCAGCAGCTCTCGGGCGCCTCGGGCATCCGCTATTACCTGCCCACCAACTTTGTCGCCGCCGGCACGTCCAAGTCGCTCTCGCTGCTCGCCTCCGGCATCGACGGCACCGTCCAGGTCGCCTGCACGGTGGCCGCCATGTTCTTCATCGACCGCATCGGCCGCCGCCACTCGCTCGGCGTCGGCGCCATCATCATGGCCTTTTGTCTGCTCATCAACGGCGCCCTCCAGACGGCCTATCCCGGCCAGCAGAACGCCTCCGCCAACTACTGCAACATCTTCTTCATCTACTTCTTCACCGTCGGCTACTCCATGGGCTTCGGCCCCTGCGCCTGGATCTATGCCTCCGAGATCTTCCCGGCCAACTGCCGCTCCAAGGGCCTCGGCATTGCCGCGTCCGGCGCCTCGCTCGGCTCCATCATTGTCGGCCAGGTCTGGCCCGTCATGGTCGCGCACATTGGCGCCCGCACCTTTTTTGTCTTCATGTCCTTCAACGTCTTCTCGGCCGTCCTCGTCTACGCCACGTTCCCCGAGACCAAGGGCAAGACGCTCGAGGAGCTCGACTCGCACTTTGGCACGCTCAACGTCCACAGCGAGGCCGAGGCCACGCCCAAGCAGATGCTCGACAACGAGGGCACCCACGAGGAGCACGAGGAGCACGAGCGTGTGGAGAAGGTCTGAGTGGGGTGTGCAGTGTGTATACGTGCGTGTTTATAGCTGCGTTTGTCTGTAGTCCTTCTGCCTGTAGTTGTCGTTTTCATTTTGTCTCCACGAGGAAGAGGAGCGCGCCAGTAGCATCTACACGACAAGCCTCAAGACAGCTTCTTAAAATCATAATCTTGTACAGTAATACCAGCATTAAATGCAAACAGCGAGTTTACTACAGCCGAAATACTTTGAATTTAAACTCTTCTTCCTTGGATTTCATGTCTCCTTTTCTTGTACCCATCGTTCTTGCCGCCGCTGCTCGTACAGACACTCAGCGCTCTTGCCACTGCACGTCGCCTGCCACCAGCACGTTCTCTCCGCCCCGCACCACCAACGACCGCTACGTCCCAGTGAGTTTAGCGCATCCACAGGCGCTAGTGCGCTGGCCAGCCAGTCGACCGTCGCTGGTCGCGCTTTCCAGTCAACTGCTCCTTCCATACCCATGGAGCACACTGTTCCTTCCCAAACTCACACTCACTCTGGTAAACGCCCAAAACTCACTCGCAAACAAAACAATCTCCAGAACATCGCCAACATCGCCAGCCTCACCAGCCTCATCAACCCCAATTGCACAACAGCCATGCCGGGCCGCCCTCAGTACCCGCCACCATGAGTGCCAGTGCGACCGTGGGCCCAAGCTCTGCCGCTGCCTCTGCCGCTGCCAAGGGCTGCGAGCCGCCGTGCTTCACCATCAATGCCTGCAACCGATGCCGCCGCCGCAAAGCAAAATGCGATCCCGGCCTGCCCTCGTGCGGCCCCTGCCGCCGCACTGGCGCCGTCTGTGAATACACCGACCCGCGGTCCAAGACGGCCACGCCGCGCGCCGTTATTCTCCAGCTCGAGGACGAGCTGGCCCGCCTGGAGGCCGACCTGCGCGCCCAGTCCTTGTCGGAAGGGCGTCCGTCGCCACATGGCCCGGTGCCTCCGCCCGGCGGTAGTAGCAGCGGCAGCAGCAATGGTCCCGACTTGATCCGACTCGAACCCGGTGAGGATGCACATTTCCTGGGCGTGTCGAGTGGCATGCACCTGGCACGGTCGGTCCTGGAGTCGGCGCAGCGAAACGAGGCGAGCTTCCAGCCGGGACGGCGCAGTGGGAGTGGGAGTGGGAGTGGCAGGAACAAGGATGGCAGCAGTGGCACCAACACGACTGCCAACAGCGGCCAGTCCAGCGGCCAGTCCAGCGGCCAGTCCAACTCGGCCGCGTCCACACAGCCAGGGTCGCCGAGGGACGAGCCCGCCGAAGTAACTGCACAATCAACAGAACCAGCAGAATCAACAGCATCAACAGCAACAGAACCCCCGGAACCTTCGCACCCGACTAGGCCCGTCTTACCTTCCCGCGAGACGGCCGTCAGCCTCGTCGACATCTTCCTGAGCCAATACGAGGTCCAGTACCCCATCGTCACGGGCGACGACATGGCCCAGATCGTCATGGACTACTACGGCGGCGACTGCGCTTCCCTGGCCGAGGACGTGCCGGACCACACGCCCATTGACCGCGAAACGAACGCCTGGAACCAGTTCATCCTCAACATGGTCTTTGCCATTGCCCTCGTCGTCCTCTCGCGCGAGAGTCCCGAGTCGCTCGCCCTTGCCAAGAGCTTCAGCAACGCCGCCATGGCCGACTTTAGCACCATCATGCAGCGCAAAAGCGTCTGCACCCTGCAGTGCCTCCTGTTTTTGCTTCTGTGGTCCGTCCTGGACTCGTCGTCGGCGCCCATCTGGTACATTTCCGGCCTGTGCATGCGCATGTGCGTCGACCTGGGCTTCCACTCCGAGACCACCATCGGCGTCGGGCCGACTGCCACTCCATCTCTCTCATCCCCCCCATTTCCGTCCGAAATGGACGTCAAGCGCCGCCTGTTCTGGGTCACCTACACCTTTGACCGCACCCTCGGCACGCTGCTCGGCCGCCCATTCACGCTGACCGACAGCATGATTGACGTGAAGCTTCCCCAAGATGCCCCGTCTGGCCCCAAACGCGACAAACGCGACCAGGTCCTGCACTGGTTCCGCCTCCAGCGGCTCCAGAGCCAGATTGTCTGCCGCCTCTACAGTCTGCGTAGCGGCGACAGCAAGACGGACAAAGACGACGGCCTCTCTGACGACACGGCCCGCTGGAAGACCGATATGGCCGCGCAGCTGCGCCAGTGGGGCAGCCAGGCCACCAGCCTCGCCGACCCCCAGGGCCACACTCTCGACTGGTGGGAGTACTGGCACCAGAACGCCCTCCTGCTGCTGCACCGCCCGTCGCCCCTCAAGCCGCAGCTTGACGCCGCGGAGGCCGACACCTGCTGTACCGCCGCCCAGCACATGATCCAGCTCTCTTTTACGCGCCTCCAGCGCGGCAGTGCCGACTTCGCCTGGGTCGACCTGCACTACCAGCTCATGAGCGGCATCACTCTCCTGTTTCTGGTCTGGAAGCACGCCGCCACGCGCGCCAAGGCCAAGACCGGCTGGACCTCGTTCAAAAACTGCCTGATGCAATGGACCTACGTGCTCGACCAGCTCGCCCGCCAGTGGGACCGCATCTCGCGCGCCCGCGACGTCCTCACCCGCCTCGTCGACACCACCATCGACATTGTCGAGAAGGAGCTGTGCAACAAGCTGTCGGCCAGTGACGTTCGCGTCCTGCGGCGCCATGCCCACGCCTCACGCATGAGCCGCAACAAGACCATTATCCGCCAGCTCGGGTCGCCCGGAACGGTCCCGACAGGCACGTCGTCGTCGTCCAAATCACCAGCGGAACCTGAACACAGTGCACAACAACAGCAACGGCATCGTACACGGTCCACGAGGCGGCAGTCCTCACAGCGTGCCCAAGAGCACTGTCAACAACCGGATGTCCAGCCGGCAGACATGCGACATCTACAGCCGCAACAGACGCGACAGTCTGAGCAGTATCAGCCCCTCCAACATCCACATCACCAACACGCACAGCAACAGCAACAACCTCCGCATCACGTACCATTGCAGATCCAACCTCCCCAACCGCAATCCCACGCTCAACATCCCATCCATACCGGCGGTCCATCGCCACCCCAGCAGGAGTTGTCCTACGAGCGCTCCACTTCTTACGGAACCCCATCCAGCGACACGGCCGTCAACACATCCCAGTCCGTCGGCAGCGCCTTTCTCAACCATGCCGACAGCAACAACAATGGCAACAACATGTACGCCATGCAAGTCTCCCCCTCCCACAGCGGCCAGCCCATCTCGCCCCAATGGATCACACCAGCGGCCGATCCTGCTGCCAATCATACTCTTCCCCATTCGCATGGCCACCACCCACTGCCTCTTGTCGCGCCCTTTCATCACACCGGCGACCTTGTTCCAGCACACAGCCAGTCGCATACCGATCCCGTCGTCCAGCTCCTCGACCAACAGGCGTGGCACGGCCTCGAGCTCTACGAAAGCTTTGGCGCCCTCCCGGACAACAGCATAACAATGCTCGACTACTTTTCCGCGACGCCCCTAGGCATGGAGGATGGTTCACTCGGGGGTGTCCCGCTCGGCCGAATGGACATGGAGAGCACACTACAACATGCACACGTGCCGGACGGCTCCCACCATCCACCCGCGAGCCACGACATGGTCGGCGTCTGGCCGAACTCGCTGACCAACAGCATCCTCAACTTCCAGCCCACCTTTCACGATCTAGGCGATTTCGGGAGTTGAGGTGTGACGTTTGGCAGCAAAAGGAGGAGAAGGAGGAGAAGGAGGAGAAGGAGGAGAAATAAACAATGAACAAATGCCGTTTACAGAATCCTGTCGGGTCTGTATTTCCTGTACATCTTACCTGTTCGATTTTGGCGTGTATTTGGGGCAACTAATTACCAAAAAGTATGATGTTTTCATTGTTGAAAACAACATATTGGTTGTATTTTACTTTTGTTTCCTAAAACTTTCGTACAAAAAATATCGTAGATAAATAAAAGCAAAACAATGCATGAAAAATGTACATATTTTTGTACTTATATTTATCAGTATTACTGTTATCCCAACTATTTTTTAAAAAATAAATAAACATGAGGTAATGTATTTTTTTGTCCAGGAGACCCTGCGGCAGCTTTCTTTTGCACTTTCACTAGGTGTCCTTTTCTTTGCTGCACATAGCTTCTCCTCCACAGGGAACTGATAAACCAACGAGGCGGACCAACATGATACCTGAATGAATAAGCGGTAACAAGACGTATGGAGGACAATACGCACGGCAACCCCAAGGACCGTTATCAATGTTATTGAAAAGACAGAAAAACACAAGACATTTGCACGCCAGTGTGGAGCCCATCCAGCACTAACACCCTGGAGATGGGTCGAAACGGGGGAAAACAGCCGGCCATTGGAGAAGACAGCAGCCAGCCAATGGATACCCCGGCGCTCAAGGAAAGCAAATGCCGTCCGCTGTTGGAGTAGTGGTGGACTCTGCCCACTCAGGATCGCAGGGTCATGTTTCTTCCCGTAGTGAAGCGATGACGCTGGCTTTGGTCCCTGGCGGTATCGGAACAATGACCGTGTGGTGAATTTCATTCGAAATACAAAAATAGAAAGAAAAGAACGAAAGTAGAAAGTAAAAGAGTGAATCAAAGTCGACACGATCAACGATCGACACATCAACAAGTACTACTTTCTCAAGACGACACACGACAACAACAATTAGCATCGGCAGCACGAGCCGCCTTCTCTCCATTGACCTCCTCATCACTCCCACCCACTCACCCCACCATGTCGACCGCTCCCTCTGGCCAGCCGTACCGTCTGCTCACCGTCAACAACGCACCCGCGCGCGCCAAGTTGTTGATTGGACGGGTGACGACGGCCCTTGCCGACCAGTACCAGATTGTGCATGTCGGCAATTGTCTGTCCAAGGACGAGGTCAAGGAGAAGGTGACAGAGTTGAGGCCAGACATTCTTGTGAGTCGTTCAGCCGTGCGCCGGGAAGTCGTTTGTCGTTTGTCTTCCGTCTTTCTGTTGATACGTCGGCAACAACCGCGCGGTCGCTCCACCGACGCCATCGATGACTTGCTGACCTCGTGGCAACAGTGCTGTGCCTCCATGTGGACCCCCGAAGAGAGCGCCGAGATGCACAGCATGGCCCGCTCTGTCCGCCCCGACATCCACGTGCACGCCATCCCGCAGGGCCTGCAGGTCCGCGAAGGCCCGGACGCAATCGTTGCGCACCTGACGGAGGCCCTGCCCAAACTACTGGCATAAATTATCGGAGGACGACGCGTTAGATCTCTTGTTTTTAGAGGTACGACCACGATAGAATAACAACATATATGGTTAGACAAGTCTTCTTGTCCCTGAACAGCTCTATGTGTCCATTCCGGTGATGTTTGTTGATTTCGTTGCAGACGGTGGCCACGTCGTTTGTGTCCATCTGCCCGCATGCCGGCCCGAGGAGTGTTTTCATAACCATCGTCAGACAGAAACGGCGCACAAGAGGCGCCAGCAACACGGAGGATGCCTCATTCTCCGTCTCCGTTGCCAGCACAGCCGTGGCGCTGGAAACCGACTGCGGCCATGTCTGCGGCCGGTTCATCGTGCGGACGTACGCTGTGGCCGTCTTCATATATGCCCTGTGTACGCCGAGGTCCGCCGTCGTCAGGGAGTTGTCAATCCCCAAGGCCACTGCGAGGCGACGATTGGCCTTGGCCCGGAGTGCGAGGCGGTCTTGAAGGCCATCACGCGTACTCTTCCCGTGGAACGAAAAGTCCACAATGATACTGCACTGGCGGATTCTTTTCCCGACGTCAGGCGCTGTTCGTCCGCGAATCCAATCTCGCCAAGCACCAAGAACGTCTCGCACGAGGGCAAAAAGTCTCGGGAATGTCATATTGACGATGCTGGGGAACCATAAACAGGTCGAATCTATATAACTGGCAGAAACTGCGAAACAGTCTCCTATAAGAGTAGAAAAGGAGCAAGGAGGCACACTGGCAGACGCTTTGAACTCTTAAATATAGCGTCGTCATTCTTTCATTCAAGACGTATTCACTGCCACGAGCTCCTCTATTTACTTGTGCCACAAAGTCAATTCACTTGTCGAAGCAAACGAGTTGTGTTTGCTATTCACGACCTTACATGATGCAAACGAGAATATAAAGAAAGCACGGATACGAAAAGCAACTGTCGCATATATTGGTCCGACACTGTCTTACAACAGATGCAAAGACTGTCCTTTAGAAATAAAACGAGAGAAGCAATTGTCTCGCTGAGTAATGAACAATAAACAATAAATATATTATAATACTTCTACAACAAAGTATCGAAAACGTATAGCAACAATGTCGACTCCAGCTCAAAAACGGTAGAATCTGCCGGGAAAACGGTCCACCCTAGCGTCGCAACGGTGAATTGCTCTGCCGACTGGAACGTCGCCCGCACTAGAGGCGGGAGAATGCAGGACGGGAGCTCGTCCATTGTCGTCTGCCACTCTAGTTGGAGGGGCCTCGTTGTCATTCATGATGTTCACTCTCTACCTTGTGGCAGTTGAACAAGACAACAAGCCTTGACACTCCGACGACGTTCTTCTTTCCACCACTCGCCCAACTTCATCCTCCACCATGGCAGACAGCCCGTTTCGGCAGTATCTGCCGGACCTGGCGCAGCCGCGGTTCACGACCATGAAGACGCAGGACGCGCACGAGTATGCGGCGGCGTTTATGGAGGGCGGCCAGCCGCCATGGCTCCACGGGCTGTGGCGGCACTGGCTGCGTCTGTTCCGCGAGCCGTTCAAGGGCGTGACGAGCGACGGCCGCGTGCGCGACGGGCTGTTTGCGCTCCAAGACGAGGGCGTGCCGATCGGTGACATTGTCGCGGCGGCCCAAGCTGTGCTTGGCCTCCTCGACGACGACCAGAAGAGGGCCACGCTGTTCCACCTGGACGCGCCCGAGTGGCGCACGTGGTCGAACCCCGAGTTTCTGCTGAGCGACAAGGGCGTGCGCTTGGACGCGATTTCCGAGGCACAGCGGGCGGCCGTCCTGAAGGTCCTGCAAGCGTCCCTCTCGCCCGACGGCTACGCCAAGGCCGTGACGGCGATGCGCATCAACGGCTTCCTGGGCGAGCTGGTCGAGGCGCCCCGGATCATGAACGAGTTCTCGTACAACTTTGCCCTGTTTGGCACCCCCTCGGCGACGGAGCCGTGGGGCTACACCTTTTACGGCCACCACTTGTGCCTCAACGCCTTTTTCTACAAATCACAGATGGTGCTGAGCCCCTGGTTCACGGGCGCCGAGCCGAACCTGATCGACGCCGGGCCGTACGAGGGCAGCCGCATCTTGACGGTCGAGGAGGCGGTCGGGCTGGAGCTGATGCAGAACCTGCCCCGAGACGCGCAGCAGCAGGCCCAGGTCTACAAGGACATGCACGACCGGGCGATGCCCCACGGCCGCTGGAACCACGACGACCAGCGCCACCTCTGCGGCGCCTACCGCGACAACCGCGTCGTGCCCTACGAGGGCGTCGTCGTGGCCGATCTGCCCGCGGCCGCGCAAGCGCGCGTCACCCGCCTCGTCGACGCCTTCCTCAGCTATCTGCCCGCGGCCGCCCGCGCCGCGCGGCTGGCGCACGTCCAGCAGTGGTACCACGAGACGTACTTTTGCTGGATCGGCGGCTTTGGCGACGCCGACCCGTTTTACTACCGGCTGCAGAGCCCCGTGCTGATTGTCGAGTTTGACCACCACTCGGGCGTGTTCTTGAACAATGCCGAGCCGGCCAAGTTTCACATCCACACGCTGCTGCGGACGCCCAACGGGGGCGACTATGGCATGGCGCTGCGGCCGTTGATTCCGGGGCGGGAGCAGGGGTTTTTGTGGGAGGGGATGCGGGCGTGAAGTCGAGGGGCGAGGAGGCGAGGACAGAGAAGTATGAGTGCAAGGTGCGTCTGAGCGAGATGTTATGACCTGGTGGACGTATAGACAGGCTTGTACATGAGATGACTGAATATATTAAGCTACATCGAAATTGTGTCTTTTGTTTCTGTCATCGTTGTTTTGCTCGTGGTTATTCGACTCTTTTCATCATTCAGCTCGACAATACTACGGAATACGAATACTGCACGTACGTCCAACATGAGCAAGGACGTCCTTGGGCCAACGAGCGAGTCAAGATGCCGTTTAGTCATGTGACCTTATGTTGACAACAAAGTTCACCGCATGTTCGTGCGAATGAAATGAAACGTATTTGAGCCCAATCTCCCAAGTTCGGCATCACTTGTCGGACGTGAGGCAGTGACAGGTGGAACAACGGGCGAGGAAGAGCACGACCTCCTTGCTTTATTTTGTCGCGGGAGTTGTTTGTTGGTCGTTTCGAGCAAAGATTATTCAGACACCATTGTTCTCTCCGGGCCTTCGGGTGTGGGCAAGAGCACTCTCTGCAAGCGCTTGCTGGCCGCCTATACAGGTGTCTTCACAATGGCGGTCTCCCACACCACGCGTGAGCCACGGCCCGGCGAAGTCCACGGCGCGTCCTACTATTACATCTCGCGGGACGAGTTTGCCCGTCTCATTGGCGCCGAGGCGTTTATTGAACACGCGGAATTCAATGGCAACCTGTACGGGACCAGCAAACAGACCGTCGAGGACCAGGCGGCCAAGGGGTCGATTGTGGTCCTGGGCATTGAGATGGAGGGCGTGAAGCAGCCGAAACGCATACCATCTGCTGCACAAGGGGATGTGGACTACCGCTTCATTTTTGTCCGGCCGCCCGACTTCGCCACGCTCGAGTCTCGCCTGCGCGGGCGAGGCACCGAAGACGAGGCGAGTGTGCAGCGGCGGCTAGCACGGCCACGCGACAAGATGGCCTATGCAGAGACGCCCGGCATGCATGACAAAGGTTGTTGTGAACAACGACCTGGACGCGGCCTACAAGGAGTTACACGACTTTGTGTTCCGGAAGGCAGACCATGGCGGAAAGGACGCGTGACGATGGGACGACAACGTTTCCTATTGGGCTTGATTTGATTATTAAGTGATCGTCAAGTAAAGCACATCTGCCAAGATGCACGATCATTTGTCGTTCTCCAAGTCTACTTACTGGCTTCTAACTCATGGTGCCGTTTTGATCGTTCCCTCGCCTCTCCAATCTCCGTCCCACATTGGTGTACCTGCAGGATCGATTTCAGCTTCTTCCAGGGTCACTGATGATTCAAAGGCAGTGGACACATCCGCAAAGACTGTGTTCACAATCAACAAGATCGATATGGTCTGCGAAGGTTATGAAAGGAGTTGTGTGGACGGATCAGTACTATCGTTGTTTGTGAAGTGCGTTGCAGGCCCAGCGCCGTCATGGTATGCTGCCCTGTATAGGAATAATATATATTAGATAGAAATAGAGAGGAACCATCTTACCTGGTAAGATGCTATATACACTGCTTTTCTTTAAACATTTCCGTCACAATTAGCTGTTCAATTAGCGCACCTTTAATCCGGTCTTCACCAAAATAAGTGGGTCCCTACAATTTTCAAGCTCCAACGCGCATCACGACCGAAGCTTCAACTGCATCAACACCACTCTCATTTACGATTGGCGACGCACCACGGCATCACACTCCGCATGCGGCGCAACACATACCTATGAGATCACTACACTGCATCTGACCACGCCCGCACTCGTCGCCATGGCTAATCCGACAGGGGCAGCGCCGCAAGCTGCCTCGTCGTCAATGTCCTCTTCGGCCGCATCGCCGCCGTCTCTCCCGCCTCTGCCGCCGGGCTGGACGGAGAACAAGGCACCCACCGGCCATACATACTACTACAATGCACAGACACGCGAGTCGACCTACCGCCGGCCCATGCCGCCGCCGCCCGCACCGCCACCACCGCCACTGGGAGGACCAGCACGAGCACCGCCCGTTCCTCTGCCCTTTGCGCACAACCAACCCGTTCCCTCACATCCTTTCCCAGGCCAGCCTCCACCTGGCTCACACGGCCCGCAGGCGCCGTTGCTCCGCCTGTCCGACCCTCGTGTCGCCAATGCCTTTATGGCCCAGCACAATGCAGCCAACCATCCACAACAAGAGGGGGGACGAGGCGGACGGGGTGGCAGAGGAGGTTTTGGTGGACGCGGCGGCCGCAGCGGTGGCAACGACCGTCCCCGGCCGCAGCCGGTCGACAAACCCCGGTCACGCATTGCCATTCCCGGCCACGAGCCGTGGGTCCTGGTCTACACAAAGTATGGACGGCGGTTTGTCTTCAACACGGCCAAGAACGCGAGCTACTGGCGCATCCCCGAAAAGCTGATGCCCGCCATCCTCGAGCTGGACAAGGCGGGCATCCAGAAGAAGGTGGATGCGGCCATGGGGGGCAAACGAGAACCAGCCGAGCCAGGCGCGGCGACCCGCACGGCAGAGAACACAGACAAGCCAAAGGCGCCTCTCGTGGACGACGACCTTGGCTCGGACTACGAAGAGGTCGAAGTGACGGACGACGAAGACGAAGAAGAGGCGAGGCGTGGCGATAGTGACAGCGGCGACGGACCGCGCAAGAGACAACGGACAGACGACCCAGAAGGCGAACCGTATGGCGAAGAAGGCTACGCCGACAACGCCAACAAGGCCAACACTGCCGACCGCGGCGGCCCCATCGAGTTTAGCGAGGCCGACATTGCCTACCAACTGGCCGCCGCTGCTGCCGAGTACGACGACCATGGCGAGGAGGAGTACGGCGAAGGCGAATACGACGCGCAAGAAGAAGAGGGAGACGGCGACGGCGGCGATGATAAAGACGACGGCCCCTTGCAGTTCCGCGCGCTGCTCGACGACTTCCACATCAACCCCTTCAGCCCCTGGGAGAAGCTTATTGAAGAGGGCAAGGTCTTTGACGACCCGCGCTACACGGCGCTGCCCAACATGAAGACGCGCCGGGCCGTCTGGGAGGCCTGGTCGCGCGACGCTATTGCCCTGCGCAAGGCCGAGAAGGAACGGCAGGCGGCAGAGGACAGGGCGCGCGCCGCCCAACGGGACCCCCGCGCGCCGTACCTGCAGCTGCTGCAGGACCGCGCGACGCCCAAGCTCTACTGGGCCGAGTTCAAGCGCAAATACCGCAAGGAGCCCGGCCTCAAGGACACGGTCGCCCCCCACAAGGAAAAAGACAAGGAGAAGCTGTACCGCGAGTACGTGGCGCGGCTGAAGCTGCCGGCGGCGGCGCGCAAAGCCGACCTGACGGCACTGCTCGAGTCGCTGCCGCGGTCCGTGCTGCACAACCAGACCGACACCGCCGCCGGCCTGCCGCGCGAGCTGACGGGCGACCTGCGGTACGTGGCGCTCGAGCCTGCCGTGCGGGATGCGCTGGTGGAGGCGTTTGTCCGGACAGCAGGGCCGCCGCCCGAGGAGGGACCGAGATAAACAAGAAAACGAATGACATGTTTCTCTTTCATACCATCCTACGTTGTGAAGTGCTGTTGCTGTTGTTGTATAATGATTATCTACTGTATGGACGTCTGTTCGCGTCTCTTTCCCGACGCTCTCCCCCTACCATATCCGCTTGGCCACCATCTCGTACCGTGTAATCTTGTTGAGGTCCATCTCCTTGTCCTTCTTGCCCTTGCCCGTCTCGCGCCGCTCGCGGTCCCGCACCTTCTTGAGGCCCTCCGCGTCGTCCTGGAAGATCCACCGCCGCCGGTCCTCGCCCACCTCGACCTTGCCGTAGCCGCCCGTGCGCTTGCCCGTCGCGTCAAACGACGCCGGCTCCGCCTGGCCCAGCGCCTCGGCGTGCTCCTGCCGCTTCATGTTGGCGTAGCGGTTGCGCGCGTACCGCAGCAGGGCCATGCCCAGCAGCAGCTTGGCAATGAGCAGGATCAAGAACATGAGGAAGAAGACAACGACCATGGTGACGCCCGCAATGAGGTCGTCGCTCGACCACCGCCACGACGACAACGATGCGCCCGCCGCCGCATCGCCGCCCACGGCGGCGTACGGGTTGCCATGGACCGCGCGGCCGAGGGCGTTGCGAATCAGCAGGTCGAGGCGCTCGAGCGAGGCGGCCATGGCCGGGCTCGACGGCGCGGCCGCCTCGGCCACCAGCGACGTGTGCGTGGACGGCGGCAGCGGCGACGGCAGGTGGGTGGCCAGGAACATGTGGTACGTCTGGACCGACGAGCGGAGGAAGAGCGTGCACAGCGGGATGAGCGGCAGGCCGAGGCGGCGAATCAGCGCGGGCGCGAGGAAGGCGTTGGTGTAGTAGTCCTTGCACAGGATGTCGAGGACGCGGCTGTAAAAGGTGGGCTTGATGTTGTTGAACTTGTTGATGTAGCCGTGCTTGATCCAGTCGACGACCATCTCGCTGCCAATGACAATGAGAAAGGGCGACAGCACCTCGACGGACGTCAGCCACGACGGCAGGATCGTGAAGCTGGCCGGCAGGATCGACGCGTTGTGCAGCGGCACCTTGGCGGCCATGTCCTCGAGCATGCCGCTGGCGCTGGCCCCCAGGTCGAGGCCGGCGCCCGGCACCGACAGCCCGCCAATCTCGACGACGTTGCGCAGGGCAATGATGAACAGCACGATCCACAGCTGGAACCGCTCGACAATGTCGGCGCACGCCAGCTGGAACGTGTTCTCCTTTTCCGTGCGCTTGAACACGCTGCTCTTGACCTCGACAAACTGGTTCGACATGAGCAGCGACAGCAGCGCGTTCGAGTACGAGTTGACGGCCACGTTGAGCGTAATCACCTGGTAGAAGAGCACCGTCGTGTGCGCAATGTTGTACGCGAGCGCCAGGCAGAACATGCCAAACGGCAGCAGGATCTTGGACCGCCCCGACGCCGTGCGCGACAGCGTCTCTGCGCTGAACAGGCACTCAAAGATGTCCTGCCCGAGCGCCGACAGCAGCCGGTCGCCGACCTCGACCAGGTTGTAGATGACGTACAGCTTGACCGCCGACTGCGCCCGCACAAAGTGGTACATGCGGCTGGCGTCCAGGTTCATGAGCGCGAGCGAGCTGCACACAATCACGGCGCCCTGCAGCAGGTCGGCCTTGTGGAACGACGTCAGGTTCGACGGCATCGACTTGGTGCGCCGGTGGCCCCAGAGCCGCTGGCTCGGCCGCGCGGGCGCCTCTGCACCGTGTGCCTGCTGTGCTTGTGCCTGCACATGGCGTCGGCCCCGCGGACCGTCCGTGTCGCTCACCGAGCTGCCGTTGCTGCGGCCGCGTGGCCGTCCGCCCGTCGCCGTCGCCGGCTTTGGCTTTGGCTGCCGCCCTCGCCGCCACATCCGCCCCAGACCCCGCCATACATACGCCGTCATCCACCGCACCTCCTTCCACACGATGTAGCCCCACCACCGCACCAGCACGCTCGCCGCAATGCAGAACCGCAGCGGGAGGATCGTCAGCGTCCACAGCCACGCGTCCAGGCACGCCAGCGCGCCAAAGTACATGGTCCGCTCCAGGTACGTCGGCAGCAGCAAGAAATTCTTGAGCCGCTCAAACTTGACGGCGTGCGACTCGTACGGAATGTCCGACGCGTACGAGCGGTGGATGTAGAGCGGGCTCGGTCGCTGACCGGCCAGCTCAAGCTGCAGCAGCGTGGGCAGCGACATGGGCGGCAGCGGGATCGAGGGCGGGATGGGCGAGGGCATGCGGTGTTCGCTGTGGCTGGGTGGCAGGTGCGTCGGCGTGTGAACGGGCGCCTCGCCGTTGGGACCCAGACCCAGCTGCGGAGCCGACCGTAACGCCGCCGTGGGGCCGCCTGCTCCGGCAGCTACACCGGCCTTGCCACCGTCTGTGTTCAGAGGTGGTGGCCGCGGGGCCGTGTTCTGCGAGTGCCGGCGTGTCCCTGAATTGCTGGCGACCGGCGGCGTGGCATGCTGGGTGCTTTGTGTTGCCGGTTGCTGGAGATGCTGCTGCAACTGCTGCTGTGTGGCAGCCGACTTGCGACGGCTGGTCGGCGGTGTCGACAGTGTGCGGAGCGAGCCTGTCGAGTTCCAGTGCCGCTGCACACGGCGTGGTTCGTCAGGCTGACCAGCTGCCACAGCAGCAGCCGGCTCGGTATTTGAGCCATCCAGCGGCGGGCTGAACCCGCTCCGGACGGCCTTTCCTGCTACGCCGCCCGTGACAAGATCAATGTCACCGTTATCGGGCAAGGCAGCAATCGGCAGCGACGCGGCCAGCTCGGCCATCTGGCTCGCCGACAGTCGCCGGACGCCGCTCGGGTTTGTCGGAGACGCAATCTTTGGCGAGGCCACCGGGATCGACGGCGACGTCGACGTCAACGCTTTGTCGGGCATGTCGGCAGCGCAGTTGGTGGTACGAACAGTCAGTGTCGTCCTTTTCGTGCCATTGTCCGTCTCCTGTGCGTCTGCGTGCACCTTTTTACCGTCGTGGAAGAGGTCGACCGGCGGGTCGATTGGTGATGGCTCCGGCGATGGTAGCTGGAAGACGCCATCTGCATTGGCCGCCAGGCTGCCCTTATCAATGTGCGAACGGCTCGGCCGTCGTGCATTCGCGTCGCCCACGGAGAGGCCTTGGAGGGCGGGAGGCATGTTGGGTGGTATGTGGGCAGACTCTGATCGGTGAAGATGTCGTCGATCTCGATCGTCGGACGATCGAATGGTCAAGTCATGGCAATCCGTACAATGGTATGAGCGGAACGAGTTATGTTTCCATTGGTAGGCTTGAATAAACCGTTGTCGATTCTGTAACTGAGGTGCACTGTATGTGTCCGCAGCCTTGTCGTGCAAAGCAACGCTGGATGTCGAGAAAAGACAGATTGAGAGGTTGACGACGGGATGTGACGAAAGGCACAGTCTGTTGCAGCGCGTAAATTACACCTTGCAAGAGCGATTGTCGCGCTAACTGATCGCCCGAGGCTCGCTAAACGGCTGGGCCCTTGGCGGTGGCAGCAAGCGCGAATGCCCTGAGAGACGGACGGATACCACCCCAGCCACGCCTTGGAGCCCTGAATACTCACTAACTAGTCGTCCTCAAGCGCTACCGCCACCACGTTTCGCTTCGTCACTTTCTCCTAGCTCTAAACGCCCAGCATCTCGACATCTCGCCTCTGACATCACCACGGCCGCCACACCCGACTGCGCTGCCGTTTCTTTCTGCTTCGACACGTCCCCCTCCTGACATGCTCTGGGCCCTCGTCAAAGCCGCTCGGGGACGGTGACTAGGAGCCATGGCGCCGCCACGCCGCGGAAGCGGAAGCGGAAGCGGAAACAACGGATCGCCGAGCAGCTTCGTTGCGTCTCTCGTCCGATTCTACCAGGTAGGCTCTGTTGGTGACGAGCACATAAACTCGCTAGGATGCTTGCTAACGGTGTGTCAGAGCTCTTATGCGTCTGACTACGCGGGCTTTACCTTGCTCTTAGTAGCGTACCTTTATGTTGGTGAAATCCGAGTTGGACGCCGAGTTAAACACCAACGACGACGACGACGACGACAAAACCAGCCACTAACGTCTTTAGATCCAATTCTTCGTCGAGCCCTTCCACCGGCTGTTCTTTGTTAACGACTTGAACATCTCCTATCCGCACGCGAAAGTCGAGCGTGTGCCCGTCGGTACGTCTCACAGCACTTCTGGTCCCATGTGCCATGATATCCCGATGTCCTTCGTCCCGGCTGACCCTTGACCAGCTATGAACTTCGTCTACGCCCTCTTCGTCCCGCTGTTCGTCATCCTCCTCTACAACTCCGTCTTCAACGCCCACGTCCACAAGCACCATGTCTCCGTTCTCGGCATGGCCATCGCCCTCATCCTGACTTCGACTGTCACCGACATCGTCAAGAACATGGTCGGCCGCCCCCGCCCGGATCTCCTGGCCCGCTGCAGCCCGGCCCCCGGCACGCCGCCCAACACCCTGGTCTCCCTCGAGATCTGCACCGAGACCGACCACCACCGTCTGCACGACGGCTGGCGCTCCTTCCCCAGCGGCCACGCCAGCTTTGCATTCGCGGGCCTGGGGTACACGAGCTTGTTTCTGGCCGGCCAGCTCAAGATCTTTGTGCTCCGCAACAGCGGATGGTCGTCGTCGGCGGCCGCGGACACGGCCCCCGTCCACGTCCGCGGCGACTTGGGCAAGATCCTGGTCTGCTTGGCCCCGCTGCTGGGCGCCGCCATGATCGCCATCAGCCGCTGCCAGGACTACCGCCACGACGTCTACGATGTGTGCACGGGCGCGCTGCTGGGCTGGACCATTGCCTACTGGAGCTACCGGCGGTACTGGCCGCACCTGAGCAGCAGCTACTGCGACGAGCCGTACCCGGGCCCGGCGTCGGCACGGAGCGAGGGCAACGACTATGACCGGATACGGGACGAAGAACAGGGCTTTCGGGTGGACTAAGGCAGATCTGGACGGAGCACTGTAGCGCATTTGTTGTACGTCAAGTGTTGGACCAGGCAGTCCAGGCACGGCTGGCCGCGTGTATGCGTGTATTATTACGAGCAGGCATGGGGCATGGCCTAAGGACTGCATCTCAATACGCAATCAGGGGAGGGCTGGCTGGATTTGGAGACATGGCAGCATATGTACGTTTCACATCACAAGTCGCCGCCTTGATGGCGTGTGACAACGAAGAACAATGAGAACAAGGCACAAACAAGGTCGTTTCCGCGATTTCCATTCATGCAGTTCCGTTTTGGCACAAGCTATTAGTAATACATCTATGATGGAAACATGCCAAGGTTCATGGTTGTGCGCTCGAAGATTCGACGCCGTCTCACGACTCTGACTCTGCTAATGGCCCCGCTCGTCTCTCGCTCGGCCTACTTGTCGTCGGTGCTCTCCTCTTTCGCCAGGTCGTGCTCCTTGAGCAGCGCCGTGATCTCGTCTGCACTCCACAGCCGGTGGTAGATCTTGCCGTCTTTGGTCTGGCCGACCGTTGCGAATTCGACTGTGCGCCGGGTTAGCAGGTGCATGCACAAAACGTTGTCCGACAGTCAGCGCCACAACTCACTCTTCTCGCTGCTCAGCTTCGTCGAGTCCATGGTCTTGCTCAGCACCTTGACCGCCATCCCGCACGCCTCCTTGAGCGTGCAGTCCTCCTTGTAGTCCTGCTTCAGCAGGCTCTGCGCGCTCGCATTGTTCGCGCCCGCGCTCGTCGCCTTCCATCCGCCGTAGTTGCCCGACGGGTTCGACAGGTACAGCTGGAACTGCCGCTGCGGGTCCCAGCCGGCGTAGATGAAGGACACGCCAAACGGCCGCAGGCCACCGTGCTGCGTGTAGCCCTGCTTCAGGTCGCATAGCCGGCGCACCAGCTGCTCGCAAGGAATGTCTGTGTTGTAGGTGAGGAGGTAGCGCTGCGCCGCTTGCCGCGCGTAGTTGATCAGGATGTTGGCGTCGGCCGTCATGCCCGCGACAGCGCAGATCATGTTGTCGTTGAGAATGTACAGCTTCTCGGCCGACGTGTCCTGCTCTAATAACTTGGACGTCACCTTTCTCTCTGCCGCCAGCACGATGCCGTCCTTGGCCAGGATGCCAATCGCTGTGCCGGCGTGCGAGATGGCCTCCAGGGCGTACTCGACCTGGTACAGCCGGCCCTCGGGCGAGAAGATGGTCGTCTGGCCGAGGGGCGCATCACTGTCAGCTTCCATCGACACCCTGCACTCCTCAACAGCGTTAACGCAAAACTTACACGAGAATCGTACCGTCTCGACATGGTGACGGCGAGCTTCTAGAACGACAGAAGGGGTGGATTGAAGTGCGTCAGGGATCAAGGCCGTATGGTAGTGGTGTCGGGGAACAAAAGGAGCGGTCGAGAAGCGAATGTTTCGATGTTTCGACGTTTCGATGTCCTGGTTGCGGTGGGAGGTGACGATGGGAGCAAAGCACACAGCAAGCAGACGGCTCAGGCTGCTAGGGGAGCTTCAGCCAGCCAGGCAAGCGATTCGACGCGTAGCTTGAAATCGGTGCGCTAGGGAAATCTCGCTGCCTGACAATCCAGGCACGAAGTAGCTCCAACCTGACAGAAGCCCCACTTTTTGTCACCAGCCGCCAATTGAATTTGCCACCTGTCGAGCAGGCATCGTCACAGCCGACAAAGACAGCCTGCAACTGTACAAGTAATTCGAATGAAATGTTTCTTTTGGGCTCCGCATCCCACACAGCAGCAATCTCTCTTCAAGCGACTCGATTCTACATCTCACAGCCGTCGACTACAACAGAGAGACGCGTATGTCGCACATCGCACATCGTATATCGTCTGTGTTGACAGAGAGCTGCCAGCACGTGATGCCCCAAACGAGGTCAATTTAGCGACCTTGACTCGGCGAATTACAGCACATCAGGCACCTAAAGACAGCAGCAAGGTGTTGCTGACAGCGGCAACCACTTTTGCGCCCGTACCGAGACACTCCACCAAAGCAAATTTGCCACCAGCCACAGCTCGGGTCAAAGCTCCCGTTGCGCCTGCCCTCTGCTGAAGACCTCTCGTCCTGGCTCCTTCCTCTTCCACTCCACGATAGTTATCCTCCCACGGCAAGAGCAAACCCGCCCAGTGACAAACCTGGGTTCTTTCCCTTTCCATAAATACGTGCGCGTAGTGTTTTCGGTTGTGGCAAGGCTTCGGACATTCCCAACCGCAAACCACCACCCAAAAGCCGGCGCTTCGACGCGAAACCTGTAGTCGTGTGATCGCGAAAAACAGCGCCCCAGCAGTAGAGCTGTCTGTTCTTTCGTCCTTTTGCCCTGTTTGCTCCGTTGCGGCGCGCAATCGCGAGCGCGGCAGGACAAGCCACACGCCACGCGGCGACCGACGAAACACGAAACGCGATTGACGCGATTCACGACGTTGAACGACATCACGACATCACGACATCACGACGTTTACGACATATCCACACAACACTCCAACATGTCAGGTAAGCGGGCCAACGCGCCCCTATGTGTGCGTCCCCCCTCGCGTTTGCGGCAACGACGTCTAACCACCATGCCTACAACAGACGCCGAACCACGTCGCTCTGTGCGAAGCACAAAGGGCCAGCACAAGTCCCTCGACCACTTGGAGGTTCCGGCACCGACCACCGACGGCGGCAAGGAGAAGGACGGCGCCAAAGACATCGCGGCGGCTCCGGTCACCAGCGGCAAGAAACAGCGCGGACGCAAGGGCAGCAAGAAGCCCGAGAGCCCGCAGGAAGACGACTCCGAGGAAGAAATCATCCGCTGCGTGTGCGGCGCGCGCGAGCAGGACGGCGACCCGGGCGAGCCGTGGATTGCCTGCGACCGCTGCACGGCGTGGCAGCACAACGTGTGCATGGGCATGAGCGTGTACAGCGAAGACCTAGCTAAGGACTACTTCTGCGAGCAATGCAAGCCCGAGAACCACAAGGAGCTACTCGAGGGCATGGCCCGCGGCGAGCGGCCCTGGGAGGAGCGCCGCCGGCAGTACGAGGAAGAAAAGGCCACCGACAAGCGGCGCAAGGGCGGGCGCAAGGCCAAGCCGAAGCGCAACAGCGACGCCAAGGAAGGGTCGGCCAAGCCGTCGCCCACGCCCGAGGGCCCACGGCGCGACAGCAACACCAAGGGACCGGCCGGCACGAAGCGGAAGACGCGTGCCGACTCCGAAGAGGAGACCAAAGACGGCAAACCGCAGCGGCGCAAGCTGTCGGAGGAGGTGCTGCCCGTGTACAGCCCGCCCGACGACCTGCCCAAGCACATTGCCGACCTGGTCGATGCGCGCCAGACGCCGGCCCGCGGGCTGATGCGTGCCATTTCCGAGGTGCTGGGTGGCATGCAGAAGCGCGGCGAGTTGACGCCGGCCGACGGCGCATCGGTGGAAGCGACGGCCGAGCGCTACGCGCTGCAGATTGAGCGCGCCGTGCACGACACGCACCCGACGCACAGAGAGTATGGTGGCCAGGTGCGGACGCTGCGGTTCAACCTCAAGGAGAACCACGAGCTGGTGGCGCGGCTCGTGCACGGCTCGCTGGTCCCGCCGATGCTGGCGACCATGTCGAGCGACGAGCTGGCATCGCGCGAGCTGCAGCAAAAGACGGCCAAGATGAAGGCCCAGGCCGAGCGCCAGAGCATCATCACCGAGGCCGACGACGCGTCGGCGCCGCGCCTGCGTCGCACGCACAAGGGCGAGGAGCTCGTCGAGCGCGAAACCGCCACGTTGCCCAGCGAGGACAAGCCGTCTGCGTTGCGTCGGCAGAGTGCCCGTGAGAACGATCTGGAGATGCCCGACGCCGGGGGTGCTCGACGGCGGGGATCGGAGGCCGCAGGACGCGGTGCACAGGGCCGGGGCGGCCTGCGCGTTGACACGAAGAGCGAGGGCGGCAGCAAGAAAGATTTCGACCTCAAGCGCGTCTTCTCGAGCGTGCGCTCGCCGACGGCGGCGACGACGACGACGATGCATCAGCGTCGGCCGTCGCAGCCGCAGTTTGCGTCCGACGGGCCAGGAGACGACCCGGACGTCGACCGCCTGCTGCAGGACGACGGCGACGAGTCACCGCCCTACTCACCGACGGAAGAGACCGATCCGGACGTCGTGTGGCGCGGTCAGGTCAGCATGAACACGGTGGCCGACTTCCAGGCCACGGCGCGGCACGTCGGAGGCGTCAACCTCAGCACGACCATTCACCTGCCCTGGACGACGCTGGTGCCCAAGAAACTCACCGTGGCCGGCCGTATCGACGAGCAGATTGCCACCGAGTACCTGTGCAGTCTGCGCTACAGTGCGCCGACCGACATCAGCGTCGCCAGCCTCAGCCCGGCCACCGACGCGGCCAAGGCGGGGTTCCTGGCGCTCATCGACTACTTTACCCAGCGTCGCCGCTACGGCGTCGTCGGCGAGAAGGGCGTCGGGAACGTCCGCGACACGTACCTGGTGCCCATTGCGTCGGGCACGAGCAGCCACCCCGAGTTCATGCTCAACCTCGAGGACAACTTCATCCCCACGTCCCGCACAGCGCCCATGCTGCTTCTGGTTGTCGTTTACCGGAACGACCCAGCCGCTATGGAGAAGCTGCGCGGACCGAACTGGGCCGGCCAGTACGTCGGTGGCGCCGGGGCTACGCCGGGGTCGCTGGAGAGCACGCCCAGCAACGCGACTCCCCAGCCGCCTGCCGCGCCCGGCGGGCCCAGAGGTTCGCGCACCACGTCCATCTCGGCACCTGCGTTCTCGCCCATGGTGCCCCAGACACCGGTGATGCCAACACAGGCGCAGGCTCAACAAGCCGTTCCGGTTGCTGCAACACCAACGCCGCCACAGCCGTTGGCGCAGCCAGTGCCGGCCCAGCCGCCCCAGCAACAGCAGCCACTACCTCCGGTGCCTCCGGTGCCTTCCGGACAGTCGCAACCGCAGCCTCCACCACCCCAACAGCTCCAGCCGCAGCCTCCAGTTCCTCAACCGGCACTTCAGCATCCGCCAATTGCCACCAGACCGCCTGTCCCCCCGCCCGCTACTGCTGCCGCGCATACACCAACTCCGCCGCCCGCACAACCGCAACATCCGATTCAGCAGCAACACCAGGCCCCTCCTCCTCCTCCGCAGCAGCAGCAGCAGCACGTGGCGCACCCTGGACCTGTTGCTAGCCACCCGCAGCCTCCCCGTCCACAGCAACCGCACCACCCCGCCGGGCCGCCGCCGCCGTATGCTGTGACGACCGCTGCCGCGCAGCAGGCGGCCCGCGAGCAGGCGCAGCGCGACGGCGAGGCGATTGCGCGCGAGATCCTGGGCCCACTGGCGACGTGCTCGGCGGCTGGCTTCCTGATGACGCAAGCGGCCAAGATGCAGAAGAACGAGTGGCTGCTCGTCCGCGCCGTCTTTGAGCAGCAGCCGCAGACGCAGGACGACCTCCAGCTGCTGAAGCACGAGTTGGAGCGGTACAACGACCGCAACCACCACCACCACCAGAACCAGCACCACAACAGCAACAGCCATCACCACAACGCTGCGGCCAGCAACGGTCACGGTCACGGTCATGGTCACGGCGCACCGACGCCGACACCGACGGCCACACAGCAGCAGCCGCCGCCACAGCAGCAGCAGGCGGCTGCGGCTGCGGCTGCGACGTCCAAGCAGCACTCGCAGACGCCCGTGCCCATTCCGCGGGTGCCGCACACGCCTGCTGCGGCGCCGTCACCGGCAGCGCGACCCCCAGCGCCCGCGGCCGTGCACGCTCCGCAGCCTGGCAATGCCCCGTCGTAGTGGGGTGGCACAGGAGGACAGTCTTGCATTAGCGACGCAGACGCCCATTTACTGTCTACGGTTTGTGTGTTAATTCGGTACTGTGCAAAACTGTACGAAAAGGGGTTTCAAAATTAGGGGGAGGCTTAGTTTTTTGTTTCTCGTTCGGCCAATATGGACGGCGTACGGATGGAGTCTTTTTTATTTATTCTGTAATCATTTTAATGTGTTTCCTTCGTGTATGATACTCTTAAGTTCAATTCGGAGTGGGATGGCGAGACAAAGTTGTTTGTTGTAAGGGTCTTTCGTGTAATCTTTTTATTTCTTATTGATTTTTGTAGTGTATGGTAGGTCATTTATTATATATGTCCAACTGTTTATTTTTATTTTTTATTTTTTTAAGTTAGATATAAACGAAATGTTGTCCGGCAAAAATAAAAGAAACCAACGAGTCAAAACTATATGCATTTATGTACGTTTATGGCGTGTTTTTAACGCGCAGTGAACATTTGAAATTAGAAACCAAATGGAGCAAAAGAAAAGGGCATAAAGAAAGAGACACTCTAAAAATAAACTAGCCCAAATCAAGACGATCGAACGATGAGGCCTCAAACAAAGCCGCCTTGGTGTATTTTTGTTAGTGGTGGGCGATCGTCGGCGTCGACTAAACTGGTGACGTAGTCTCCGCCAAGTCGTGCCCAGCCACACAGCCAAGTCGAATATCGAACAATATATGTCTTCCCTACGGAGACATCCCCGTCTCCTCTCTGCACCGTCTGTCTCTGGACCTCTACCAAACAAACACCACAAAGTCAATGCACGTTTCATCTAGACGATACACCGCAAGGCAAGTTTTGCGCTGCAATTAACGAGCATCAACTGGCAGAAGATCTTCCATTATATTGCTGCGTTACTGACCATTCAAGCCCCAATCTTTCACACCCAGCCTCGGTTCGTCGACCAAACTCACCACCTTCACCGTTCCACCCCGCACGACACGATGCCCAACAAGGTCACTGCCGTCAACCGCCGCGCGCCCGGCGGCGCCATTGCGGCGGCGGTGCAGACGATTGCGAAGCCCGAAGGCGGCGGTGTGGGTGAGAAGACGTCGTGCATCCAGTGTGACGGCTACGAGTGCTGCTGCATCCCGATTCCGTGTACAGTGATGTAGGCAGAGGGATGGATGGAAGGCAGGCATGGACAGGGCATCTGCTTTGGGACACGGGTCCAATGATAGCTTGTATTGTACAGTGGCTTGCTTCAACGGCTCGTGTGCATGTGTCGTGTTCTTCGTGCCAAATGACACTGGTGAACTGGTATCTTGTTTTGTGACCTTGTATCTCGTCTCCTCCTCCGCGCTTCGCCAATCGGCCCTCTTTATCCAAACGTCTCGTCCAATGCGGCCCATGCGTCTTCTTGCCGCCTCCGTTCCGCCTCCGCTGCTGTTCGTGCTGCGGGTGCCAGTAATGAATCTGTTTTTGCTTGTTGCGACCGAGGCCGGGCCTCTGCACCATTCTTTGCCAACGGGTCCTCCACATCGGCCAGCCCGACCAGCGTCTTGCGCACGCTGTCTGTGACCTCGTGCAGCGCGCGTGTCTCGTTGCGCGTGCGCTCCAGCTGGGCCTGCAGCATGGAGATGAGGGCCTCGCGGGTCTGGTGCGGGCGCCACTCGTTGATGTGCTGGTGCATGTTGAAGAAGATGGTCTGCAGGTCGGCGAGCTTGTCGGCGGCGTCGGCCGGGTGGATGGCGAGGATGCCGGCGAGCTCGAGAAAGTTGAGCAGCAGCGACTTGGCGAGCTTCTTGAGCTCAAAGACCTTGCTGGCGTGCGCGTCCTTTTCGGCGGACGCCGTCGGGATGGCAGCGCCGAGGCGGGCGACGCCCTGCTCCTCGAGGGACGGGAGCTGGTTGTTCAACTGCGGTGGGGGAGGAGCTTGTTAGACGACGTCCAAACGGAACTTGAGCTTGAGCGGGCCATCCAATGGACGCAAGGAGGCCAAGGCGTCCAAGGCCACGACGTACCGTATACATTTGGCCGAAGACGCGCCAGCGGCCGTTTGGCGGTGGTTCTGGAGGCTGCAGGGCAGCCAATGCCTCGGGCACATCTGGTACAATGGTCGCAGCTGTGGTCTTCTCGCCTGTGGCTGCGGCGTGCGTCTCACGCAGTTCTTGTATGGCCGCTTCGTTTTCTTCTGTGAACTGGCTCCAGAGATAGGACGGCGGCTGGGGGTAAGGAGCGACGGCGCCGCTGGGATCCTCTTGGCTAGCCATGGTCGCGGTGGACGGGCCGATGCGTTCTCGAGTCGTCCCTGCAGTCTGTGTTGGAGCCGTAGATCCGTGGGGAGCTGTACGTACCGACGCTGCGTTGTGGTTTCGTGGTGAGATGTTCGTGAGCTTTTGGTGTCAGGTCACGCCGAAGGTCGCTGGGATGGAAAACGCGCTGAAGACCAGCGGCTCCAGCGCCCACGCGGGGGTGTGGCTGAAGCTAACGGCCAGGGCATGTGGCGTCCCATCCTCACTGAATGTACGGAGAATTGCGCCACAGGCCAATCAGAGGCCGCCATTGGCCAGTGGCACAGTGGACTCCCCCGCTGAAGGAAAGCGAGTCTGGCTGCTTCACTGGCCATTGCGTGCCAACAGACAGCGACTGTTAGTGGACTGTTAGTGGAGATCGTCGCGGCGCACGCAGCCCTGAACGGAGACTCGAGCAAAAGCATGTCTTCATCACCGTCAGACCGATTTGTGCACGTTTTTTCTCCTCAGCGCCGCGACGCAACCCGTGTGACCGACACGCCTGCCCTGCTGATGTGATCTCGTCAATTGCAACAAGTGCAACAGGATACGCAGCATTTGCATGATGCAGTAGAAGCCCGAGCGTCCGACGACTGCCTTCTTTGTCCTCCTCGACGTGCGTTTCATCTTGTTCATTTCGACTCAAGCACGCACACGATCCCCAGCCGCCTACCGCACAAAAATGGCCGACGTGCGGGCCCTTCTTCGGCAGCAGCGGACGGCGCGGCGCATCGACCATCCGCTCGCCGTGTACTCGGACAGCGGCAAGCTCTCGTGCGCCGTCTGCCGCGAACCGGTTCGACCCGAGTCGGCCTGGGACGACCACCTGCGGAGCGCACAGCACCGGCAAAAGGTGCGGGCGGTACAGGCGCTGCAGTCAAACACGGTCAATGACAGGCCTGAAGCCACAGCACCAGCCACCGCAAACGCCGCAAACGGCCACAGCGATGCTGCGCCAATACTGGCGCACAAGCGGAGGTACAGCGAGACAGAGGACGATGGTGATGTCGACATGGGCAGCGATGGCGACGGTGGCAGCGACGGAAACGAGGACGAGCCGTCTCGCAAGAAGCAGCACCGGGCAGAGCTGCCGGCGGGCGTGAAGCCGACGGTCGAAAAGCCGACAATCGAGATCAAGAGCCCCGTTGAAGGCCGCGAGGCAGAGTCTGGCAGGGCCCACGGCCACGAGCCACCGCGGAAGCTGTCGCTGTCGACGACGCCCCAGCTGACACCACCGCTGGCCCGCCGCAGCTCGGGAACCCCTGCCCAGGGCGTGGAGATGCGCATCCCGTCGCGGCCGGCGACACCGATTGCCATTAAGGATAGTTTTCTGGGCGGTGGCAGTGGTGTCAGCAACAACAACAACGGACACACCAGTGGGAGCAACAGCGGCAACAACAGCGGCAGCAACAGCGGCGGACTCCCCTCAGCAGCGTCGACGCCAAAAACGGCACCGCTGGGCCGGTCACCGCTCATTCCGCAGGAGGCACAGATGGCCGCACAATCTGCATCCGGGCCTCTCAACGACGCCGTGAACGGTTCGACCGGCACGACCGCAGCACGACCAAAGACGACAAAAGCAACAACGACAACGATCGTAGAGGAAGACGAGGCGGCACCAGGGATTGCGCAGGCGGCGATTGACGAGGACGAGTGGGCCGCGTTTGAGGCCGAGGTGGTCAACGCGCCAGCACCACGGCCGGCCCTTCCCACGACAGCGGCAGGCGGCACACGCCCCGATATGAACGGGGGCCTGGTGGCGTCGGCACCCGCCGTCTCTGCACAGGATCTCACCGCGGTCGAGGGCGACGACGACGCGCGCTCCAAACGGCGCGAGGCGGAAGAGGCGCAGCGCATGGCCGAAAAGGAAGAGGCGACGCGGGCACTCGAGGACGAGTTTGAGGACATGCAGGAGCTCGAGTCGCGCGTGCAGAAGCTCAAAGAGAAGCGCGAGGCGCTGCGGAGCCAAGCGTCACAGCAGCAGCTGCGGACGACGAAATCGACGACACTGGCGCCGCCTGTCGTGCTGAGCGGCGAGGCAACACGCCAGCTCTCGGCCACCATGGTCGACAAGGAGGACATCCGGCAGCAGCTGGCGGCGACACATGCGAAAGGCGAGCCTGACGTGGACGAAGATGGCGAGGAAGAGGACGACGAGGACGACGAGGACGAAGACGAGGCAGACTGGGACGCCTTCCGCTTCCGATCATAGGCGGCTCGGGGAGCGATGTACAATGCGTGTGTGCATTTTTTTTACTAGGAGTTCTGGACGGTGGGGATTAAAATCGTGTGTACTGTACAATATATTCATTAATACGGAGAGCAAAAGGCGAGCCATGACACAATTCTTCAAACAAAACACAGACAGACGAGTAGGCAAAAGGATTGAGAGCAAAAGACGAACCCCCCCCCAATTCAATACGCCACCATCATCGTTTTACCATCATGATAATCATACAGAATCGCGGCCACGGCCCCGTCACACTCCTTCTTCATGGCTCACGCGCTCCCAGAACTTGCGCAGCCGCCACACCTTGCCGATGCCCACGCTCTCGTCAAAGCGGCGGATCCGCTCGCTGCGCCGCCCGACCTCGCGCTTCCACACGGCGCCGACCCACCGCCGCAGCCCGTCCTTTAGTTTCTCGCGCTCGACGGCCCGCGTCCGCGCTGCCAGCGCCGGCGCTACATGGCCAATGCCCGGCGCACATTCAGGCGGCAGCACACACCGCTCGACGAGCAACTGGGCGGGCGGACGGGCGGCCAGCCGGCGCGACAGGCGGATGGACACGAGCGAGCGCGCGAGTTTGCGCGAGACGACCGTGGTGTTGGTCATGAAGATGTGGCGGGCAATCAGGTCGGACAGCGACGGCCGCATGGGCGACGCGAGCAGCGGCGGCAGCGCGGCGCGGACCTGGCGGCGGCGGAGTGTGTGCAGAATGGGCGCCACGCAGAGGCAGCGAAGATGATGAGAGGTCTGTAACGTGGGACGCGAGGACTGTTCAGCATGCAATGTCAAGTCAAACGCAAATCAAAATACAATGTGCAGCGGCGGCCATGACAAGGCCATGCACCTACCCTGGACGCTGTGAGCAGGTCGTTGACGTCGAGAAAGCCGAGAATGTGCAGCAGCACTTCGTTGGGCAGGTCGTCCAGCGACAGCGACTCGTCCGGATGCGGCAGCTGACGCGCTCGTGCTCGTGCTCCTGCTGCCGAGGAGGAGCGGGACGACCGCGGAGAGCGCGAAATGGCCCTCGGGACAGGCACAAGAGTGCCGCCAGGCTCACCAGGCTCTGGAGACGGCTGCCGCGGCGTGTGCGACGGCAATAGCGAGCCGAGAGGGCTGTCCGCAGGCAATGTGCTCGCGTTGCTGTCCCTGACCCTGACTCTGTCACTGCCACCACTTGGTGCGCCAGCGGTGAGAAGCACAAGCGACTGCGACGATGCTTTGTTGGTCACGGCCGGCGCACAAGCGACGGATTCCGCTCGAGGTTGCTCCCGGGGAAGTTGGCGTGGGCGTGGGCGTGGGCGTGGGCGTTGGGCGCCATCCATGTCTTCTGCCTCTTGCTCTGTCACAGATGCGTCCACCACCTCGCTTTGGTCTCTGGTTGTTGCTCCGGTTCGTCCATCGGTGGCTACCGTCATTACTGTCGCCGACGGCGTCTCTGGCTGTGACGCTTCGCTTGCTGGTGGACCCCCGGCCTGTGATTGTGCTTCTGCATCTGCTGCATCTCCTGCAGAAACAGCTTGTGCATCACCGCCAGCAAGGCCGTCTGGGCCAACGGGGGTGTGGACGTGCAGTGGGTCAGGTTCCATGTCTGTCACCTACTTGCGAAGAGATGAACGGGAGACGATAAAATGGCAAGTAGAATAAAACAATAAAAAAACACGAAAGGCATACACTGCGCTATGCGTTGTCCTCGGCGTTGCAGAGACTGATGGACAACACGCCCTCACAGCTGCAAAGGCAAGGCTGGTCGACCGCAGACAGCTTCCTGCTGATGGGATCTCTGTGGTGGGTGTTCTGTATGCAGGATGCAGGGTTGGAGCAACATAGAAGCAGCACAAATTCAGGTCAAATACTCCGCACACCCCAAGAAATCAAATGTCAAATGTCAAATGTCAAATGTCAAATGTCAAATGTCAAATGCCAAATATCAAATAACCAAACCGAGACGTTGCGACAAGTGGGACAATAAGATGATGAGACGATGAGACGATGGACACAAAAGCAAGCTCGAATATGCAGGAAGTGAGTTCCACTCGATCGAGAACGACGCAAGAGACGATGCAAGAGACGAATGACGTGTATCCTGAGGGGGGGGGAAGACAGGGGTTAAGGGGCCACGGGGAAGGGGGACGGGGCTGCCTGGACAGGGCTGCCTCGCGAGGTCACAGGCACCACGAGGGCAATTGATACAGTTGTCGGCGCAGAATGACCAAAACAAGCCAAGAAGAGAGTATAGGAAAGCAACAAAGTCGACGGACGAGGTCACAGAATTGTAACGAAAAGCAGCGAGGACGACAAGGACAACAAGGACGACAAGGACGGCACATGAAAAATATGTGCGCGCGAGGGAAACGTGAAATGAGGCGGGCTGATTGCGCAAAGCGCCTCTGTTCTCAGACGGCAGCCTGGGTCAGGTGCCAGAGGTGTTGCTTTGCACCATTTGGCGATCGTCGTCTTAGCTCTCAGGACGTTTGGGGGAATGTGTTTGGGGCGCCTCGGCGCAATGCGCTCTGACGTGATGGGAAAAAGTGGAGATGGCGCGTTTTAGATGGAGACGTGCTTCTTCCGAGATTAGTCATTCATCGCCTCAGGTGACCTTCCGGCGCTGGTGGTCGGCGATAGCGTGTTGCCGGCGCGCTAACTCACCACAAAGGCCGCTGTAAGGCCAGTATTGGGTTGGCCATTAAAGCCATTAAATTCGTATGTCGTGTTACTTGGTGCATCCTCGCGCACGACAACTCACACTCACACA